AGACAGTGGACTCATCCCCGAACGCGGGTCATCCCTGAAGCATACTGGCAGCCCGGCCCGCAAGAGCAAGAAGCGCCGATCCGGGGACAAGAGCCGTCCAAAGTCCCACAAGGCCGACATGGTCCCCGAAGAGGAAGAAAAGATGGATCCGGAAGCACAGAGGAAGAAGAAGATCCTCGACGAACTGGAACAAGAGGAGAACGAGGTCGCTCAAAGGATCCGAGAACTAAGAGATCAGAAAATGCGGAGAGAGAAATTAGCCGGAAAAATGCCTGTGGACGTACATGCAAGGGCGACAACACCCAGGGTGCCTCGCGTTTCATCCATCCCCAGTCCGGAGTCCTCGCCCATCTCGACAGTTTCAAGCTTGTCGGAGGACGAAAGGAGAGTGCAGAACTCGACCAAAGCGCATCGAGTGCTTGGAATATCACAAGAAACAGCCTTAGCTGCCGAGAAGCTAACGGAAAGGCCGATGGACAGACCGGCCGAAAAAGCAGAAGGTGACCGCCATAACCTCTCGCTACCATCGCAACCACGCAGCCTGCGCCACTCGCGGCACCGAAGTCTGACGTTGAACGACGGCGATGAGCTTACCCCACTTCCGATCGATTATACGCTTGCGCTCCAAAGTCTGGACGAGTCTGCGCCGACGCCGAGCTTAGCAGATCCGCGGCAGTCGAGATCGCCTGCGCCTGCAAGCATCATGTCTAAAGCAACCAAGTCAAGCAGCGACTCTTCCGTACCCCAGCGAGCAAATTCACTCTTGGCAGTCGGCGGGCGATCTGCGCTCGGGCGTCGAGCGGCGACCAGTTCCGTCATCATAGGCAAGTCTTCCAAGCACAAACACTCTTCCAGTGTGAACGAAGATTCGACAAACAGACTGGCGCCACCATCTCGTGCGGCCAGCGAAGAGCCTATTACTCGACATCGCTCAATGCACGTTGTGTCCCCTCCGTTAGAGTCGCACAGTATGCAACTACAGCGCAGACGCACAAGTACCAGCAAGAGGTGGTCGCATCCTGATCTGCCAGCCAAGGCCGAGAAAGCGCACAATGACAGAATTGATCGGAAAGAAGAGAAGAGCAGGGCAGCCGCAGTGCAGAGCCCACCCCATCCGATCATTGAGGAGCGACCTGCAAGCTTAGATTCTATCGATTTGGATGTACACCAATACCTGGAATCATCCCGTCTGTCCCAGAAGATCCGACACCCGCAAACAGGAAGAATCATTTCTTTCTCAGAAGTCGGTGACCCTGAAGGCTTTGCTGTTTTCGTTTGCGTGGGCATGGGTCTGACTAGATACGTCATGGCATTCTATGATCAGCTCGCAGCTACTTTGAAGCTGCGTTTGATCACACCCGATCGCCCTGGTATCGGAGGCAGCCAGGCTGATCCGAACGGTACACCTCTTAGCTGGCCTGGTATGTGCACATCCCGTCATCTCAAAGTAAATCAGCTAACATCTGATAGACGACGTACTTGTGATCTGTCAGTCTTTGAAAATTAACAAGTTCTCCATGCTAGCCCACTCCGCAGGGGCTGTCTACGCTTTAGCAACATCATTACGAATGCCACAACACATCCGTGGCAGAGTGCACCTTCTTGCGCCTTGGATACCGCCATCGCAAATGGCACCCATTGGCATCAGTCAGGACTCACCACCTACCCAACAACTTCCGCGATCGCAGCGCTTCCTTCGCGCTCTACCTCCATCTCTACTCAAGGTCGCAAACTCAACCTTTCTCAGCGCGACGAGCGCTAGCCTCCAGCGCACTGGACCCAAGACGTCGCCCAAGACCAGACGGAAAAGCATGGCCCCCTCGCCAGTGCCGCCGCAGCAGTCGACAACCCGCCCTTCCCTGAAGGACACCCACCGACATTCGATGATGATGATGGACCAAGTGCTGCCGAACGCAAGCACTCTAACCCTGACGAACCCAGATGCCAATAACGAAGAAGCACAACGCATGCAAGAGATGCTCAGTATGGCTGAACTTGAACGCCAACGCGCTTTTGACGAACGCCTCACATTTGCCATCTGGGACCGCGCAACCGCAAACGCTAACCCCGCAACCGATCTGATTGTCTGTCTCGAAACCAAGCAGACCATTGGTTTCCGCTACGAAGACATTAACAGGCCCGTTGTCATCCACCACGGATCCAAAGACTCGCGTGTACCAGTTGACAACGTCCGATGGCTTGGCAAATTGATGCGGAAGTGCGAAGTCCGGATTCTGGAGGGCGAGCAACACGGACTCATGGCCAGTGCACAGGTCATGGGCAACGTGCTTACAGAGATGGCATCCGACTGGGAAGACTGGACAAACATGGTGTCTGGGCAGTCCAATGAAGGACAGCGCGCTGTCTCGAGGCGGAGGACCACCGAGAAGTTGAGAAGCCAAATGAGCTTCACCAACTGAGCGTATACACAAGACACGCAAGAGCTGGAGCTTTGCTTACCTGGATGACGACATTGTGATTCGACGATTTGCGACGGCCTGGATCTTTTCGCGATCTTTTGAAACACGCGTGTGCTTTATTTTCTTCTGTTGAATGGCGAGAACACGAACTCAAATACCCCCATACTAATTACCCGTTGTTTTGTACGTTGTTCTAATCGCCCAGCTAGTTTTTCCTCTTCTTTCTTGTTGCTTTCCTTTCTTTGAACACACTATACCCATTAGGTTTGAAGCGTTTTGCATGGGCTGGACACCTCGATTGGATCTATGACGTAGATAGGGAGCGGGGCGGGGGAATGTTAGATGGCAAGGAACTCTTGTGATATAAATGGCTACAATGAATTTTTTTGTACATTGCCGTTTTACGTCTCGCTAATCACTACATTCGAGTGCATAGAAACTTTCAGTTCTTGGAGACTAGGTATTCTCTAGAATAACGTATACTCCTATCTCGAAATCTTCGCCTTCCTTCATCCAACAGTATAGGCCTCAGCACCTTTGCCAAAGAGCAAATGTGGCTTTCTCTGCGCCAGGTCCAACACTGTCTGTGCAAATACCGAATTCGCCCACGCGAACCAGCTCCTCGTATATGACTTCCCAGATTGGACATTCACACTCTCGTGTATGAGTCCTAGGGGACTTACTTTCTTGACCGCAGCAAGACACTTCATAATCTCATCGTCGTCGTCACTACTCATAGCTTGGACAAGGACAGCCATAGGCCAAGCGTTTCGCACGCCAACGTGGGGGCCGCCGATGCCCGCAAAGTCGGAGCCGGTGAGGTAATAGGGGTTTCCGTTCTTTTCCAGTATCATCTTACGCGTGTTCTTGTAGATCTTGTTGTCTGCATCCGTAAAGCCGAGTAGTGGTAAAGCGAGCAAAGAGGGCAGATTAGCATCATCCATCAAGATGGAAGAACCATAGCCATCGACTTCGAAAGCAAAGACCTCGCCGTATTTCTTGTGTGTCACAACACCGTGTTCCCAGATGCCCTTTTGGATTGTCTCGCCCCAGGTCTGCACTTCAGTTGCTATGTGTTTCTTGCCTGCTTTCTTGAGGATCGCAGCTGTACGGAGGAGTTCGACAGCTATCATAGCGTTGGCGGGGATGAAGAAACCGAGGATCGTGGCGTCGTCGCTGGGACGGAAGGCGGAGCGGACGAGCCCTGTGCCGCCATTGAGAGGGTTGCCGAGACCGCTTAGGCTAAGGGTTTCGGTGCCGATGTTGGTCTGACGCTGCCATGTGTACTCGTTGCCCTGGTATGCGCCTGTCTTCTCGTCGAAGGTAGGCTTTGACTGCTCCTTGAGCACGCCGAGAAGTGTATCGAGAGCGAGGAGCCAACGACCGTTGATGAACTCTGTAGAGTCGGTATGGTTGTAAAATTGGTTCGATAAAGAGAGAAAGTGGGCAAGAGAGTCGAGTTCGTACTTGCATTCGAAGACGAATGATTCCTCGTAGTTTGGATGTACTTTATCGCCGTCGCCTTGGAAGGTTGGGTTGAGACCACTCGGAGGAGGCGGTTGGAACGCGTTACAGTATGGCGATCCGATGACATATTCTGCCTGTGTGTTGATGGCTCCCAGAATGAGCTGGTGTATCTCCTTGTCTTTCTTCGCTAGCAGCTGGTATTGTGCTAGCTGGTTCGTAGAGTCGCGTAACCATTCAGCGTTGATGTCTCCCGTAACGATAAAACTCTGCGCTCCTTTCCAAGCTGCTGGATCCCAACTTCGCTTTGATGTCTTATGCTTGACAGTATCACCGACATGCCAGCGTACGGTAGTGTCCAGTGTGTTGGGGAACGCGTTTTCGAAAAGACGAGCGAGGTCCTTGTCGACCATCTTCTCGTTCATGTCATCGATGACCTTTTCAACTAAAGGCGATTCGAAGGTTCGGCAGTATTTGGACGGTCGTTGAAAGGGTAGTTCCATGGGGCCGGTGCTATACGGCGGACTGTCATATAAATCAGCATCTGCTCTTTCAGATGTCTATGTTGACATACTGTGGTCGCATTGCATAGTTCTTGTAGTCTGGACATGCTGCTCGATATTTGAGCGGATCGATTGGAGGTCTCAGAGGCTCTTGCTCTTTAATATTGTTCAGTCCGGCGGAAACAGATGAGACGATGAGAAGAGCCCCAAGAGACAAGGATGCTAGTGACTGCTTCATGATCGGTTGAGATAGTCCAGGCAACAATTCGAGGACTTGGAGCTATCGCGAAAGATAGCCAGATCTAGTCGCGCAATGGCTATCGGAAATCGAGGAATGCAGAAATGGACGTGGCGCGGAGGAAAGGACGTTCAGCCGAAGACGTTGAACATGGCGCAAAACAAGAAAGAAAAAGCTCAAATCATCAAGAGCCAGATGGACAGATGACGAGATTCAATCGAAGTATAGATTGACAAGCTTCCGACTGACCAGGGAGCTTTCATGGGGAAAGGACCCCACCAGCTCCGCCAATAAGCTCGTGTTAAGTCCGCAGGGCCCAAGCTTCAGCTGCGTCGCGCTTCCTCAAGTCATCGCGTCTCGATTGTTCTTCGCACCCATCGCCTCGTCACGGCAACTTGGACTTTTATGTGACTACTGCCTGCTGTCTCAGGCGCGTTTGTATTGCGCAATCAAATTCGAATGTGCAGACTGATCCCCTCACCCAACTTATAGGATTCTTATACTTTCCAACCCACCCAGTCTTCGCACACAGCTGAAGCGTCCATCCACGTCATTATACCGACCATGATCTCTCTACCAGGCCTCAACCTATCCTCGCAGCCCACCGAAGCGCAAAATGCCCCTACTTCGACAGCCACACGAACGCAAGACCTCGCTGCCAACACCGAATACCGCTTCGAGGTATCCTTCTCACGAACCCTCACGGTGAAGCTGCAATCGGGCACCGCAGAGTTCTTCGGCACCGAGCTGGCTCCGTCCACCATATACACGTTTCAGGGCACAAAGGGCGCTATCTTCACATGGCATGGCTGCAAGCTCGACATCGGCGGAGAGGTTGAATCAGACTACATCGCGGAAGAGACGCCAATGATGAGCTGCGCGAATCTGCACTTTGCGCTGGAAAACCTGCGCGACAAGAGCATTACCAGTGGCGGCGTCGAAATGGGACCCAGAGTGCTTGTCGTAGGCCCTGAGAACTCAGGGAAAACGTCACTCGTCAAGACTCTGACCTCCTACGCAGTCAAGACCAGCAGGCAGCCAATGGTCGTGAATTTGGACCCGCGCCAGGGTATGCTCAGTGTGCCAGGGTCTTTTTCAGCAGCGGTATACTCGTCCATTGTGGACATTGAAGAAGGTTGGGGCAGCAGTCCAATCTCCGGGCCCAGTCCTATTCCAGTGAAGATGCCGCTGGTATACCACTACGGTCTCAAGGACCCAGAGGAGGGCAGGGTGTTCAAGCCGTTGGTAACGCGCATGGCACTTGCTGTCACAAGTAGATTGGAGGAAGACACGCTCAGCAAGCAGGCTGGCTTCATCATTGATAGCTCAGGCGCCATCAGCCAAGGGAGAAATGGCGTCTACGACAACATAGAACATATTGTTTCTGAGTTCTCTGGTGCGTGTGATGTCTTGCATACTACTTCAGCTTTCCCCTTTCCAACATCGCCCATGTATAGCCATACACTCAAGTTCCACTATCTATCTTCCGAGAGGATTGGCTATCAAGCGTACGTAACCAATATCAGATCATCATACTGACATTCGACCACAGTCAACGTCGTCATAACGCTCGGCTCCGAACGCCTCTACTCTGACCTCTCCCGCAAATTCGCAGCCCGCACCGGCGGCGACCCCTCCGAGACCGTATCCGTAGTCCGTCTCGACAAGTCTGGCGGGTGCGTCGACCGAAGCGAAGAATATATGAAAGCCCTCCGCCACGCCCAAATCAAAGAGTACTTTTTCGGCAAGGGCGACGAGACACTGGCTCCCAGCAGCCAAATGGCCGACGCCGCCGATCTGAACATCTTCCGCGTCGTCGAAGGAGAAGGAAACGGCGGGGTAGACGAGTACGGCATGACGGTCGAGCGGCAGATCTTTGAGAAAGTCACACCGTCTGAGGCGCTTCAGAATCAATTGCTGGCTATCACAACAGCGAGCCCCAACGATCCGCAGAGTGTAATCAGGGATAGCAGTATTAGGGGGTATATCTATGTCGCGGATGTAGATGAGGCGAAGAAGAAGGTCAAGCTGCTCAGTCCGCTACCGGGACAGACGCCCGGCAATGCCATGATCTTGGGTAGTTGGCCGGAACCTGTAGAGGGACTGCTTAACTAGGAGTTAGGAAGACGAACGATGGGATGGTGACGACTTTGCCACAAGTCTGACACATTGGAAACACGTAGCTTCAAGAACATTCTTGGACTACAAACAGTTTTGCCTACTACACATGATTATGCTCTATATCTTCAATTACCTACAACTGTATTGCGTGCTCCGACCTCCGCGATGATGTTTGACAAATGAATTGGAGAGCGAGAAGGGAATTAGTTGAGTGTAAATTTATTGCGAGGAAGCCTATTTGATATGAATTCTATTTCCAAATACTGCGCCTATCCTCAAAGTGTACATGCTAGCTACTCCAGCGGAGTTGCAACGTAGCTTACTATATGTATCCATAGCGTACAGTTTGGACAACAGTTGCAACTCCCATTCACTGTAGAGGTGGCTTTGAATCCGAAAATTCCAAATGAATATCAGACACCGACTGTTCCACTTGCGTAAGCGAAGCTCCAGCTTGTTCTATTGTGGCATAGCCATATCTTGAGAAAGACGTCTTTGACTAGAACTTGATGACTGATGGTAGGACCTGCGCGTCTTGAGCGGTTGTAGGGGGCGACCAGGTCGAAAAGCGTCATCGCACCACTCCATTTCTTGCCACCCGTCGATCTTCTCGCGCCTAGCTACCACTTCCTTCCACGCCCAATCCATCGCGATGCTCTGGAAGTCTTCCCCAAATATTGGGCCATATTGAAGTGTATCAACGGATGTCCTTAACTTTGTCAAAACTCCAGCGACTAGTCGTATCGAGCGCAGGAAAAGGGTCTTTTCCTGGCCTGACGCGACCATCTTAAAGCTCTTGATTTGGTCTCGGGTGAGCGACATATGATCGAACGCAAGCGACGAAATGGGATAGATGCAGAAGGAAGGCAAAATATTGGCAAGCTTGTGGATACTGGAGTGAACCATAGGCGGAGACTGGAGCCAACCGCCTGTTGGCATTGGAAGACCGATGCGCACGTGTGCCGTATCCTCTATCTTGCTAATAGTTGGAAGATCAAAGTCATGGATATCAAACTCCTTTTTGAACCATGGGATATAGGCATTAAGCCACTCATGCTCGAATTCGTCATAGACGGTTTTGCATGAAAGCAGGAGACCATGATAGCTGTAGAGATTGTGCGAAGACGGAATGCGCTGGGGGACGAAGACTTCTTTCATATGGTTAAGATGCGAAAAAGGATAGTCGGAGTCGGGTCTGTCTGTATGCCAAACCATTGTAGGGATGAAAGTGATGATGTAGGAGCAAATGTGGAGGCGAATTTCGACAGGAAGATCCGGGAAACCAGCAGTCGTAGCCTTTGAGGAAGCCATGTTTGGCATTAAGAATGTGGTAGTTTTCGTGTCCAAGTGAGACCGCCAGTGAGTTCAAGGTAGATTGTGAGCTTAGTGGTGCTCGTGGGTGTGTATTCTTCCAAATGTACGAGGGCTAGATGTATAGACGTATAGGCGCATTGTGCACGGACGCCTTGAATATCGGAAGGCGCATACTTGACACTGACGAGGGGACCCAAAACCTCCAAAGCTTGCTTGTAGTCCTCAATACTCGGGGTTCGAAACTACTTTCGACATGCGGGTGAGTGCCATTGATACTACTACATCTCTTCATCCCTTTCTTGCATCTCCTCTCTTTCAATCACCTCAGCCATCCGTTCCCTAACACTCTCGTCTTTATCCCAGACCTTCCATCCCATGTGTGGTTTGATCTCGTTAGGTTCTTTGTTCGGCGGCTGCTTCAAAAACGGACACTCGGGCTTGTCTTCGTCGTACAAAAAGGCATCAACCTCTTCATCCACAAGTTGTGAGTACTGACGGGACAGGGGTGCTACGATCCTAAATTTCGGTTTACTAACATTTGTCGTATCGTGGTAATGCTGCCTTAGTTTATGGAAGAGCCAAGGGAATGCATACTGCGGTGGTGTGCGCTGGAAACAATGATACAGAGTGACATGCTGTAAGTTCACCGACATGATGAAAAGATCGAGCAAGTCCTGCGCCGATAGCTTGATGTTCCGCAAGGCAATCGTTTTCAACTGCGGTCTCACCGCCTCTGGGATAGGATTGACGGGCAGGAATCGGCGCGAGCGCCGACCTGATCTTTGGTCGTTTATACTTAGATCGAGATGCTCGAGATACTGTAATTCCGCCAATAAAGATTGGAGATTGGTCAAACTCTCTTCGTTGTAAAGGTAGTCATTCGAAGGGGTGACTGTCAATTTGAGATGCTTCAGGGGTGTTCTCTGGAACATTTGTTTCGTGATTTGATAGTTGCGTAAGCTAGCTTTAGCGATAAAGCAGTGGTGGTAGTCTCTCGCTTGGTGTTCTGATTCAACGATGAACTCTTCTATCCGCGGATTTGGCATGGCGAGGATCGCAGAAACCACGACACCATAACGTCTGGGTAACAGTTCTCCGTTATCTTTCAGCTTGGCAGCACGTGAGGACCACTGATCGTATATACGCTCTGCTTCTTGAGGAGGTCGGAGCCATGGCCAGACAGTTGGTTTGCGGAACCCCATAGGCAGTGAACGATGATAGGGCGTGTTGTATCGAGGCGAGACATTCCATGCAGGCCATACGTCGATTGTCTCCGTTATCTTCTTTACGTTCGGAAAGCTGGCTAGTGCTTCATGTAATGCAGCTGCATCGACTTGCTGTTCCACAAGTTCCTGTTCTTGACGATACAACTCCTGGTATAGCGCATAGCTGTCTTCAATGCTCATCATTGTGGCATTCCTAGCCAAAACATCTCTTGAGAAGTGGTCGTCATATCGCAAGAGGATTTCTTTTGCGATCTCGGTCAGCCGACCATCCTCGATTAGGTCTGCCACCGACAATGATCGGTGTTCAGGGTTTTCGTCGCCGTAGAGCTCCATGGCCTCCTCGAGTCGGCTTTCAATCGCCCTGGTAATCTCTCTTTCGTCGGCGAGAACTGCTCGGCGGAAATCATCCAAGGTTGAATACTCATTGAGCAAGGCGTCATCCCAGACAATCTCGAGCACACGGTTTTTGTACGTCGGGTGAGCCATGATCTGATGCAGATAGTCCAGATTAGCTCGATTAGGCGACACATAGACGCGATCTATACGCAGGTACACGCTGGCCGCCAAATGCTTGCTCGTGAGCCGCAGTCGCTTGATGTCGAGCTTTGAGATGTGTTGGCAGACGATTTCGAGAAGTTCCGATGGCAAGTCCGTGACGGTTTTCCTGTTCTGGGCCCCGCTCCCGAACGCCTCGGGAAATTCATCGCCAAACAGGCCTTCCATGAAGCTCACGGACGGAACGATGCTTGCACTCAATGCCGAAACTGTGGAAACCCTGCGCTTTGAGACGCCAGCCCGAATGGACAAGCTAGGCTTGCGGCGTCGGGTCTTGGCAGGCCTTATCTGGAGGTTTGTGAACATCGCATTGGTATATGTATACGGGTGGATGGACGCGGTTGTAAGATCGTAAACACAGGCGGGTCCCGGTGGCTGGTTTGTTGTGGTCTTCTGCTAGGCTCTGGTGTGCGCACGACGATTGAGCGTACACGATGTATGAAGCCGTCTGGGATTGTATGTAAAGAAGCAGATATGATTATATGAGGCAGCGAGACAGATTAGTGCTGTTCAAAATACGGTGTCGAAGGACAAAGGTTTATGCTAAGGGTGGTGAAACGCCAGCGCTTGCAGCGCTACCAATGCAAGGCTACTTGCTACCCCGTTTAAGGACAGTTGAGGCGCCATTATAGGCATATATCGTGTCGTGCATGCGATATTGCTGGATGCGACAAGAACGCCCCAATAACTTCATCAGGAAGACCAGTGCATAGACGATATGGGAGGACAGGCAATTGTGATCGCAGAAGCCGCAACGTGCCCGGGTGTCTTCGCTTACAGCGTGGTGGAGAGCTGCCCGCAGTAAGGTGGGTCCGCCCAAGTCAACGTCAAACCTTTACAAACGACATCACAGAAAGCTTTGAGGACACAAAAGGATGATCAGGTCTTATCATTATACAAGGTGCTTTCCAGCAACCCCAAAGAGTGCCCGAGAGCATACATAAGCGGATACAGCCCATTCAGCAGGTACCCCACGAACGGTTTCACGACGCATCCACCGCTCGATATCCGCAGCCAGTAAACCGTCTACCTATGCAGGCCTACAGTATACCAGACACGCCATCGCAGCAGATGCGCTCGCTCTTCCCATATCGATATGAAGATTGACCAGCACCCGAGTGCATATCCGTACCCCGCACATACCAGTGCCGAAGCACGGAAGTATGACTGAGGCTGTGTGTAGAAGTCGACGTCAGGGAAGGGGCGAGTCGTTCATTTAGGAACCCTCCTCGCCTTCGGCCTTGTTCTTCTTCTTCTTCTTGCTTGAGCCGAAGTCATTCTTTACTGTCGGAACGGGTGACTGGTGGACGATGAAGCGGGTGTAGCACTCTTCTGGGTCCCACTCAAAGCCCATGAGGTATGGCTTCTCGAACTCGTCGTCTGCCTATACGAGGGTTAGCTGTGCTTTGACACCAACCTCAAATTATGCGGGATATAACAGCAGCGACAACGATGCCCAATGGTAGGATGCAATCACAAGGGATACTTACGCGCTTCTTGAACTGCTTGTGGATGGCATCTAGTGCGTCCTTGATGGTAACGCCCTTCATGTTCCGTGCGGTGACTTCTAATCCTAGCGGGAAGTGCAGGGCGATGGACTTGAGCTTGGGCTCGGTGAGAGGTAGCTTCAAGACTGAGGGGTCTTCGACGGTGCTCGGCGACTTGTTCAGCTTCCTGGAAGTAGTGTGTTAGCATGGTACAAGGTATCGGGGCTGCCGGAGCTATCCGGACGACGACGAGCTGGTAGACATCATGGTCGGATGGCTCGCAACGACTCGATAAGGGGAATCACTTACCAGTTCAGCTTCTGGGTTTCGATTGCAATCTCGATCTTCTTGCCTTCCTTCTCTGAGGTTCTGTCAGCCCCGCCCGCCCCTCACGCACGACCCCTCATTTGGGCTACTGTCACAAAGAAGTACTCACCTAGGTCCTCGATACGGTAGACATCAGCAGCCATAGAGCTGACTCTGCGGTGGCCCTTCTTCGCGGCGCCATCTTGGTGATCGGTCAAGGAGTCGACTTTCTGAAGCGTGTTTTCTGTCTCTGCGGCCATTGTGGTGGGATGCAGTTGCAGTCAAGCTACTGGAAGATTGAAGGGGTTGTAGATGATGAAAGAGCTTGGAAAGCTGTAGAATGGTTGATTAGAGCTGTGGATGGTATGTGAGATACGAAAGCACAGTGGAGGCTGTGAGGAAGGAGAAGAAACGAGGGAGGGCGCAGCTTATGAGGGGCTCAGCCTGTCGCCGGCAGGCACAGGAGACGGTCACTTGATCGATCACCACATTGTGGTCCAATCCAATCGGCGTGAGACATGAATGGTCGGGCCAATGCGGGGAAGGGGAGCATCACCCAGAATGCGGGGAAGGAGCAAACCAACGGTGGAAGCCTGCGTGTGCATCCAACATTGTTGGTCGGGAGCGCAAGAGATAGTGTAGAAGCTAGCAATTGAACCTCGTTATTTGCATTTTGCCCTTCCCAAGCATCTATTGCCATTGTGTTGTTGCTCCGGAGCATCAGGCACGGTGGTGAGATAGATCGCGTGACCGACGTCATTGGCCGCTCGGCGACTGGACAAAGCGCGCATCGACGCGTATCATCTCAGCTCCGGGCCCTAATGCGGTCCGAGTGAATCAGAGATCCACTTGATTACTGCAAGGGCTCAAGGTCCACGCGGAGATGCATGTCAGCATTCTACTGGACTGTTCTCTTTCGCAAGATGATCCGGGGCTGCCTAGGTACCTAGGTATCCATACGAAACCTGTAATTACCCACTTGGAAAAGCAATATAGATGAATGATGACTTCGTATTCGGCACCGCAATATTCGTTCATATATCGCTTGTTGACTTCAACCGCTGTCATTGATGTTATTGCATGACTTGTCTATGAATGCCCAACAATCCTCACGGGCTCGTACAGCTCCTCGAGGTACTTCTCCTCTTCCTCAGTCAACTCTTTACCTCTCGCTGCAAGCGCTTCATCCATCCTGTCTGTGCTGGAAAATCCGATGATTGGACTTGCAACACGCTTGTTGATCCATGCGAGGGCAACATGGCTCATCTTCCAATCGTGCTTCTTCGCGATCTCTTCAACGCGAGCAATGATCTTCTTATCACGCTCAGTGTTACCAGAGCTCTGGTTACCGGCCTTTTGTTCACCTTCTGAACGGGTAGTTGAGCCAAATGCGGAGGGAGGGCGAGCGAGATGGCCACGGCAAAGAGGTGCCCACTATCAAACTGTTAGCACAAGATTGACTTTGTAGTTGAAACGGAAGCATACTGGGATCAGACCAACACCAGTGTCATTGCAAAACCGGTTCATCTCACGCTCTTCCTCGCGGTAGAGCAGGTTGTAGTGGTTCTGCATGCTGATGAACTTCGTCCAGCCGTTCTTTTCAGCAGTAAACTGCATTTGCGCAAACTGCACTGCCCACATAGAGCTGGCACCGATGTATCGAACTTTTCCACTCTTGACCAGATCATGCAGCGCCTCCATCGTCTCCTCGAGAGGCGTGTTCGGGTCGAAGCGGTGGATCTGCAGAAGATCGATATATTCCATGTCAAGACGCTTGAGCGACGCGTTGACGGCGTTGAAGATGGCCTGTCGTGAGAGGCCACCTTGGTTCACATAGTCTTTCAGCTGAGGCAGCTCTTTGCCGTATTGGATGGTTCGTAGACCGGGATCCTCGCCGACGTAGCCAAAGCATTTGGTGAGAATCACGAGCTTATCGCGAGGCAGGTTGTACTTCTTGATCGCCTTGCCGACAAGTTCCTCAGAGACACCATTGGAGTAAACGTTGGCTTTGTAAGCTGTCAGTAAGTGTTGCTAAGTCGTGGCTGCTCGGACAGTCTTACCGGTATCCCAAGTCGTCAGACCGCGATCGTATGCAGCCTTCAGCAGCGGTAGCGACTCTTCCTCTTCAATCACCCAGGGCTGCCACTTGGAACTTCCAATGCTCATAGCACCCAGGATGGGTACCGAGACCTTCAGGCCGCTCTTTCCCAAGCGCTTATATTCAGCCTTGGACTCCTTGAGGAGACCTTCTATATCGAGCTTGTCCGGCATGGTCACAAATCACTGGAGCGCTTGCGAACTGGTATTTAGTGGGGTGCTTGGTGTTTAGCAGGGCTATAGTGGGGCAAGCAATTGAGGTGTGAATGAATTAACAGCTGTAAGGGCGACACCTTCCTCATATATATCGCCATGACGGCGCTTTCGCCGTGCCTGCACAACCTGCTTTCCAATCGAGGTTACAATGAGCTGTCATTGTCGGGTTTTGCGGCGATAGCCTCATCATTATCCCGGTGGTAGATACTGCAACGAGCGACGATGCGGGGTTCAGGCACGATGAGCCGCCATTGATACGTCATGTGGAAATCCCACATCCGCGGACTGTCCGATGCCAAAAGGGGTAGGAGGCGTCTGTTCGTGCATGGGTATTGAGATGGACCCGATCGATCATCAAACGAATGCTCACTCGGAATAATCATGTCTTGTCTGTAGTACTGTGAAAGAAGTGTGGATCACAGAATGCAACATCACCAAATGCCAAAAGTGGTCGCTGTTGTGTTGGAGTGAGTTTAGATCGTTCATGTCTCCTGGCAAGTACTGATCTTATTGACCTCTCATCACCTCACACTTCATGGTGAATGTGCCGGCGCGATTCCATCAAGTCATGGTGGTATTGTTTGAACATCGTTTTTTGATCTTAGACCCCCAGGCGCCAACCGCATATGATGCAGAGAAGTTCATAGATGCTCATTGCCCGTAAAGAAACCCGTACTCCCCAGAACCGTTTACGCGTCGTCAACGATGTTGCCGCGCTCCGACACGTACAGACCGTCCAAGAACTTTCGGATATCCTTGTTGCGGACCTTGCAGATTTGCTGGATATCGGCGGCACATTGGGAGACGTCCTCGAGCGACTGGATGATCGTTAGCGTTGCTTGCATTCACGTTGCGCGCCAGTCCTTACGTTTCCGGACAGCTCGAGCTGATCCTTCTGGTTCTTTGATGCCTCAACCTCAACACCGGGCCTCATGACAACCCTTCGTACGAGCTTCTCGCCGATGAAGTTCCTGATCTCAACCTCCCAGCAGTCGGTCTCCTTGTTCTTGTCCAGGTTGACGTTGATGGGGAAACTGGACATGATGTTAGTCGTGTTCAACGATGTGCAGAGGCCCGCCACGAGCATGAGCCAATTTGGCGCGCCCAGCATTCCAGCATCCGCCACTCGGAGCGCACTGAAAGTCGTGTCGTATTGGACATGCTGTGCAGCGGGTTCGGAAAGGACGTGCGATGGGTGCGACATACTGGGCATATACGTAACGCATCTTGTACTTGTAACCCTTGGTGACACCGACGATCAAGTTGTTCTACTCCAGTCAGCCCAGTCCTTCATTCCTTGCCGGTATAGACTCGAGGGTGCGCGCGACGTACAATCAGGGTGCGGACAGTGCGGAGGGTGGCGACGCTCTTGCGGGAACCGTGGTGGAGCTCGATCTTGATGAGGTTCTTCTTGGGCTGTTCCAGTCTTAGCATATGCCCCCAATGCGATGTGTGTGTTCCAAACGTACGTGCGTGAAGCTGACCGCCAAGTGACCGAGAGATTTTGTGAGCTTGCCCTGTGTAGTGTAAGAATTGGATCGTGGATCGTCGAGACTATTGCGGGCGGCTTACGCGAGGGCCTGTTGAAGATGTCAGTGTTCTTTCTCTAGGGGTCTTCTACCATGCGCACTCACCCTCAACGAGAACATTTCTGTTCTTGATCTGGACCTTGACGCCCTCGGGGATCTCGAGCTCTTCCTCAGAGTGGCTGTTGCGCAAACGTCAGCATTGGATCCGGAATTCGATGTTTCTTGCCGGAGGAATTCGGTATAGAGGCGTCCATTGACTGTTCGGAGGCGGGAAAATTGTGCGATACGGCGGCTTGGGAGTCGTGATCGAGGGATAGACGTACATGTACTTCATCTTGACGGTTGCTGCGGGTTAGCGGTGTTGTCGAGAAGCTGAGGTCGAATTGTCGAAATTGTGTGGGAGGCAGCGCGGACAAAACGATAGCCGAGCCACCGCTCTAGCCCGCTTTTGTGCGCACTAGTGCCGCCGTCTTCCTCGTCATGTCGAAGAACACCAACTCTACCCATCTCGCCGAGTTGCGACTTTTGCTACTGCGATACCCAAATCGAAATGGCAGACGCAAATCCACACATTGCGCAAACTTTGCTGCATCGCGCATTTTCTCCCTCCACTGCAGAATCACACTACCACGAGCGCGTCATAAAGCGCCCCCTCCACATTCGCGCAACCTCGCCTACACCGTCTGCACGCGCAGTCCGCCGCCGTGCTCTCAATGAGCGCAAACAAGCCGCCAGGAAGCGCAGCAAGAACCAGCCCCGTCCACTATCCGCTGCGAAGAAACGTGCACTGTGCTTGAACGAGATACCCAAGGAACAACAGAAGTATGCCATCTACGACGGATTGCACAACCTGTGGATTGGATACATGAGCGAGGTGCTAGGTCTGAACGATGCTGCGAGAAATGTGCTTGTCACGCCAAACGCAAGTGGGCAACTGCTTGCGACCGCCGACATGCACGGTGCGCTCGTGAGTGTGGTGAGAAGCCGGTGCGTGAGTCGCGTAGGTTTGGAGGGCATCATTGTCCGTGATACGAGGTTCACATTCGAGATCATCACAAAGAACAACGCCGTAAAATGTAAGTCCTGTGGGCTAGACCAGGTAAGTGGTAAGTATCTGACGAACTTAGCTATACCCAAGGAACACACAATCATCCGGTTTGAGTTGCCGCTTCCTGTCGAAGAAGGAAAGGAGCCCGTGAAACCACTGGTCTTTGAGCTCAATGCCGAGCAATTCCAGACAAGAGCAGCTGATCGCGCGAACAAGAAGTTCAGGATGCACTACCAGGCCGACATATGAAGAGAGCACACGAAACCATTTGGTGAACATTCCGATACAAATCGGGAGAGGAGACTACCAACCCACGACTCCTCGGAGCCCTTCACTCGACCAACAGCAATACCGGCCATGGGGACACTGCAATATGAGCCTCGCAGGACAGCTAAGACGTATCCTGCACCAGGAACGCATCGTGCTGTGCGAGGTGTCCATCGGAACGAAGAGATGCTAGGTGCAAGAGTACTTAGAAGGGAGCACAAGGCTACCAACACAGATGCTGCAAAGAGCCACAAATTGAAAGATCCAGAGAGGGTAGGCATGCAATTATGTCATTGAGTATGGTATCATCCCGATGGCGCTTCAGAGCGCCTCCCGCTAAATGCAATGGTATCATGAACAAACAACCTTTTCATCCGTGTATCAAAATCTTACACGTTCGTCGCGACCCTTCCAGATTGGAAGTCCTCGGGCTTGAAATCTCTCAGCTCGGTCTCCCGTCCACTACTGCCACCGTTCATCGAACTGATCTCATCCTTCTCTTTGACAGCCCTGCCCTTATCCAGCCTGCACCCTGTGTAGCTTCTCGGTAGATAACGACCCGGATGCCATACTGCAAATACGACCAGCACAGCAAGTATGGGCGCGGCATCGAAGACCCAGAAACACCATTCGTGACTCTGGAGGTATGCCAGCCCATAATTGCGATCGTGTGGTATCTCGATGGTGCGATAGAGGGCCCGACAGGCGATGAGAACCGATGAGAGGTTTATGGTATACCCTAGTTTCCGCCAAAGGTGCAAATCTCCAAGGTCGTGTGCAGCCCAGTGCCGACTAATGTAGAAGTACCGCATGCTGATGATGGAGAAGCTGAGGAAACAGAGCAGTTGCATCACCAGACCCATGATGAGGATAATCCGGCCAGGCAGCGCTTTTCGTTCAGAGGTAGCAATGGTCCGGTTCCCTTGCGTGTCTTCATCGTACTGCCGACTGATCTGACTCGCGCCGACGAGTTGAATGAGGAAACTGAAGAGGTCGAAACACACAAAGTTGGCGGTGATCCACCTAGGGAAGCACCACAGCGTTTTGAAGTTGAGCGCGTGGGTTGGGCAGGAAAACCAGACTACGCGACTGAATGCCGTATAGCACGCTGCAGCAAGGAAGCTAGGGGCGAGCAAGATCATGAGCCATGATGCGAGGAAGGGTGACTCTCTGTGCTCGTCGTAGGCCGATACTAGGCGGCATATGAACCCCAGATCGAGCATGATGATGGCGATGATGGCCGCCCAGAAGAAGTACGCCTTGTGGCGGACATACTGGTAGATGGAGTACGTGGAGAGCAACAGGACGACAATTGCGCCTGTTATAGCCAGGGGGTAAGAAGGGTCGTAGATGTAGGGGTTCAGAAAACTTTGGGCTGCAATATGGTCAGCGACGATGTTGCGTTGCTTAGTAGTAGCAGACGCGGACGAACATACCAACTTGAGCCCGATTTGGCAACCCCATACTTGATCGCGCTTCTAAGACGGCGCTCACGACGTGCATCTTAGCAGACATATCCCGCTCCGCACAGGTCCACCTGTTTTAATCCCCGAGCGTAGTCGTCCGTCGATCACGGCAGCCCCAGTAGTCGTAATGCTCGCTCTTTCGCAAATGCCAATGGTGCGTCGCTCATGTCCCAGTCGCGGTCGCAGTGATGGTAACGCCACAACGTCGTGGTACAGCAGCCTCGTCGCAAAAGGGCATGCTCGAACACCAGGGAAAAGAGCCAGCGGAGAAGCGACCCAGATAACAAAAGGCGGCGGTAACGCACGTTTTACCCAAGCCACGCCCGCCTGCGTTCTCCGCTTGCTAAGAGCACTCAAGGCTCTTGGCGGTCCCTGGCCCTTTCCACTCCGCACGCACTGCGCGTCTCCTTTCCTCCAGCTCCCACGTCCCCAGTCTGTCTCACATGTGTTGGCTAGGTAGGACCGGGAAACCCGCGACACTTGCGTCTTTAATGCGAGACGGGAGACGGATAATGCGGGTATATACAGCATGTAACGCAGTGCCGCGCGCACTACTGCTACCGACCCAGGCATATCTCCCTTTGATATTGATTCGGTACACACACGTAGTCGTACCTCCCTCTTTCACTGTTGCACCCTCGAACCAAAGGACCGGGCACAAGGTACACGCGTCAGGAATTCGCACATGATCCGCCGGCGTGGCCTTGGCAAACCAACGAAAGCCATGGCATGTGTCGCTGCCAAGGTGTTGGCAATGAGGCCGCTCGCCGAAGTAGCCGCACGCCGGGACTTCGCGTCTTACCAGACCCTACGGCGTGGTGTTGAGGCGTCGCCCAGCTGTCTTTGTCGTGTTTAGTCGTCGCGGCCAAGTAATATCCCGACGCAAACGTGAGCCGTGGCATTTCTTCGTTGCGCGATATTATCTTCGGATTGTTCGGCCTTGGTATATGTATCTTGTTTGTGTGTTGCGGTGTTATCCTGGCTAATGGCTAGCGAGAGTGCGTTCTTGTGAAACTGAGGCGTACAGGTGTGGCGCAGGTACGCCAAACATGGGGACAGGCCCGTCCTTGTAGCCTGCACAAGCGCAGAATGCACTACCTTTCGCGATGAACGCCACTCGTTTAGGATGGAGAAGGCTCAAAGTCTCTAGTGTGAGTTTATTGACATGTAATGTATCTCACCAATTTTGTGATAGCTTACGTATTTCCAGAGAACCTTGGCATAACTGGAGAAACATCGTGAATTTCCCTCTTGAAATCTTACTTTTCGAGCCAAAACCTTGAATCGCCCTAAACGGCTGGGTACAAGACCCGACCAAAGTACCTCGAACTACCGTTTCATCGCATCGTCCCCGCGAGAATATACCGGCTTGCCTTCATCTACCCGTTTACTCATCGTCAAACTCATCATCGGAAGCCTCCTTATCCGCACTCTCCTTGTTCTCGCCATTAATCTCAGCCTCATCCTCGTCATCGTCGACGCCCATGCCCTTCTTCAACCAGCGCACTTCCTTGGGCTTTCGTTCCATCCAGAGCTCGTTTGGGATCCAGGTATAGAAGCTGCACATGGTCTCCTTGATGTCGTCGAGAATGGTCATGCCGCCGGAAAGGTGCATGATGTTGGCGTCCATCTTCAGGCCCACAAAGCAGTCCTTGGCAATGTCCTCTTCGATCCAGAACTCGTACTCTTTGCCGTCATCAGCTTTGCGCGGCTTGCCGTTGGGATACTTGGTCTTGTCCTTGGGCAGGTCCCACTCGTCACAGTCGTCCGTGTACCAGGTCTTGCATACAAGCTTGCCGAGAGGTTCAAGCTGACCAAGCTTGTGTTTAAAAACCTTGCTCTGCTCTGCATATGAGGACTTCGTGTCGTCGTTGGGGAGGTAAATGCCAGTGACCTCAAGACAGGCAGTCTCTTTGCTGAGAACCTGCAGATCCCCAGACTCGAACATGTCGTACTGCGCATCCGAGCCCAGAACGGCGATACCAGTGCCGAACTTGATCCTGGCCTCTTCCTCCCGGATGCCGATCTCGGGAACGGTCAGGCCTTGCTTCTTGAGGTCCTCAGCCCACGACTTGTCGCCAGTATACATGCCGGTCTGGGCACCACCAAAGACAACGCTAGCGGACTTGTTGAAGTCTCCGGGCAGGGCAAGACCTACGGAGTTGACTTTGGGAAGCTCCCGCTCAGCCTGGTCACAGATTTGGAGCGCAGTGGCAAGCTGATTGTCGGATTCGGGGCAGACACGGTGGAAGCGAAGATATCCGAAGAAAGAGCGGGGCACTTGACAAGCGTTCTTAATGGCGTGCGAAGCATAGCCGTAGTGGGCAGGGTACCAAGATGATCTGTCACAGTCAATATCGCGTCAGCCAAGGTTGGGGTGGTAGGCTTACAGGAAAGCTTTGCAGACAGCCACAAAGTCAATAACCCATCGCTTCTCATCGGAGCGGTCCCAGGGTACGTTGTGGATGGCGAGGGCCCTCGCAAGCTCCTCAGCACCCATCTCCTTCATGTCGTGCTTGGATATCCCTTGGTACTGGCGAGGACCGGACTCTACTCCACCAAAGCGCATGAGCTTGTTGAAGACATGTGCATACATCTCATGCATGCGACGCTTTTGTTTGAAGCGCTGGATGGCAATCTCGATGCGCTCGACGAACGACTTGTCTATAGAGTACATCTCTTCTTCCTCGGCGGCTTCCGCGGGGGTGAGAGTAGGCTCCATGTACGCCTTCTCGAATCCAGTAGCCTTCAGCATATTCTTAGACACTCCTTCGGGATGTTTGGCCTTGGTCTGGGGGAGTAGTGGTACTGGGTACTGCGCTGGTTGCTGAGCCTTGGCCTTCCGTGAACCCGGGGCGTATGCGATGTCATTATCGTCGTCGGCATCGAAGTAATCTGGATCCAGGACGCACTTTCCGGTTAGAGGAACCTTCCGCTTGATGGTCTTCCCGTCAGCAGAGACTTCCAAGAAGGCACTCAATCGAAGAGCTGCAGAAACGAGGGACTTGGGCTTGTATTTTCGCATCTTTTGAAAACCACAGATGCGGCTGATGGAGACGGGGATGTTCTCACGCCCGCCACAGCATTGTAACATGTGTTCGTCGGTAGGGAGATTTTCATCTGAAAAGTAGAACTCCACCTTGAAGAACAATTAGTTCATCTGCAGAACTTACCGAGAAACTGGGGACTGGGAAACGTACTTGACGACGGATCTCTACCCCATCTGGGTGGTCCACCACAGTGCCGGTGACTTGAGAGATGGCAGTGATGTTGGTGGAGGCTCCATTGGGAGGTCCTGCATCCATAGAAGGTGCGGTCATTGCGGTTGCCATGTCTGCAACTCGCTGTACTGAAGATTGGGGATATCAAATGCGAACCGGAACAGACTTGGGGTTATAGAGGGTGATATACAGGGGATTGGGCATGGGAAGTCGACGCGCTAGTGAAGCAGCAGCAAACGATGCTTCGCCGGTGATGGTAATTGCAAACTGGGGTGAGAGAGCGCGACTGCCTCATACTGGTGGTCGTAGCTTCCTGTTCCGGACCTCTCGTTCGTACAAACGCTTGATACGGCAGCACCATAGTGAGACGTCAACTTAGTTAACTACGGCGCATATGAAATCTGCTCACAAGTGCTGCTATGGGTTTGAGCAATGAGGCTTTCAGATCGTGCCCAGCAATCGAGTCGTGTAGATGACATATAAGTCATCCACTCAAGGTACTGGGTGATGCTAAGCACATGAGTAATAAATTTCGTGATGACAGCATTGGCTGAATCGTAGCGGAGGACCCTGAAACGCCCGTGGGGCCAACCCACCATGTATCTTCCACCTAAACACCAACCACAAGTGCAACCACACTGATATCCCGACCAAACGCTCCATACAGACCACGAAACATGGCCTCCAAACAATATGACGCGTCGAAACTCGTAGCATACGGAAGTGCTGCCGCTGGCCAGTAAGTCTCCACCGGCTGCCTGTCAGCCTCGTCTACCAGACTAATACAACAACAGCGACGGCGTGCTCAGCGACCCATCCGGCGGCGTAGTAGTAAAACCATGCACCCTCGCTGAAATTGACTTCTACGAATCCCTTGCCGACCACCCAGACCTCGCGCGTCATCTCCCCACCTTCATGGGCCAGCTCTCCCTCTCAGCCGACCAAACCGCTGCTACAGAGTCCGTCGAGAGCGGCACCATACAAACAGCGGACGGCACAATTGAGCGCCTACACGGCAAGAAGCTCGCGACCGATCTCCACATTGTGCTAGAGAATATCACACACGGCTTCAAGAAGCCGAATGTTCTTGATCTGAAGCTTGGCGCTCAGTTGTGGGACGAGGCTGCGAAGCCGGAAAAGAGGGCACGGCTAGATGCTGTGAGCAAGGAGACTACAAGTGGCAGTCTAGGCTTTCGGATAGCAGGTATGCGCACATACAAGGGCGCTGAGGTGCCTGAGGTCCCCGAAGATCTCAAGGAATACGTCGAAATGGATAAAGACGGCGGCTATTGGGTGTACAACAAGATGTATGGACGCAAGTTTAGCGCTGAGGATGTAAGCGAAGGCTTCACGGACTACATCTTTCCTGGCGACAAGTCAGAAGCAGAGCTTGACCGGGCGAGGGAGGTACTCGCATACTTTCTGGGTGAGGTTAAGGATGTTCAAGAAGTCTTCGAAGGCAAAGAGAGCAGGATGTACAGCGCAAGCATACTGTTGGTCTACGAGGGTGATGTAGACGAGTATGCGAACACCAAGCAGAAGCTACGTTCCGCGCACCCGGAAGACGAGGATGAGGACGATGAGGAGACTGTGCCTAAGCTGGCCGAAGTCAAGATGATTGACTTTGCACATGCCACGTGGACACCGGGGCAAGGGCCGGATGAGAACGCGCTGCAGGGTATGAGGAGCTGAAGGAGTTGTTGGACAAGGCGCAACACCACTAGTCCATCTGTTGGGGGCCCAGAATCTATACGCTTAATACTGATGCTGTGTCTAACTATTCCCCAGTAGTGTATCATCCCAACTTCCGACTCCTCCCATCAATGACTCAAAAAATGCTGCGTCTACACCTTGAAGCGCCCAGTCGTCCGTTCCGGCAGCCCACCCTGGATAACATTGCGACGTGTTGAAGATTTCATCAGAAGGTGCTAGTGGTGGCTGTATCGACTGAGGGTGCTGCGGGCCAGACTCTGGTACGAGTAGGTTGGATGATGGATTGCCGCTAATGTCCTGACCGAAGGAAGAAATGTTGTCATCGACACCCACTGGGTTTAAAGAAGAGGGCACATCAGGCATTGCCGCAGTAGAAGTCTGAGAACCTGGCCGCTGCTTCGTGATGCCATTCGCACCAATCTTGATGATCCCAAAATATGGTATCGAGAGCTGAAACTGTTCACCGCAGCCCTCTTCAAGCCGGTTCACTGTGCTCTCGCTGCTGTGACTGAATCCACGCGCGGCGTCGCTTTCAATCAGCAATAAGTTGCGAAGCTGCTCAGCGCTCTTGCCCGTGAGAGGATCGTTCGTCTGTGTCTCGACGAGCTCCAGCTTTTCGACAAGTTGCTCCACCATCGCGCGATCACCGGGCCGCTGGTGAACAAGAAAACTTTGATCCGTCCAGCGTCTGCTGTCTATGTGCGCGATCAGTATTGTCATACCCGCCATTAGCGCAAAGAAGTCGGCTGTATGGCACGATTGGGTGGAGATGGGCCGGAAGTTGTGAAATGCGACGAATCTTGTAAGAATCTCTCTGGCCGCGTTGATGCAGGTGATCTTGGCGTACATATAGTAATCGGACCCCTTGGAGCAGCGTATAAGAAAAGGGAGATGGAGAAGATGAAGCAGGTTGTACTGGTAGATCTGACTTCGAAGCCGCATTAATTCCTCGAAAGTTTCTCTTGCGTTTGGTTGGAAACCAGTGAAACTGGGCGTGAGCCAGTACTTGTCTGGAACTGATGCCGCGACGTTCTGGAGGTCGCGGTCTAGTTTACGGGTAGCCTCGATATTTTGGCCTGGGTCTCCTCGGTTGCGGTCAACGATACCACATGCGATGAGGGTATGTGCTCGATCGATTTGGCAGCTTACACTGCCCCCAGGACTGGAGTTCTCCACGCTCATCTTCTGGCCCCCATGGGGTAGACCAAGCATCAGGCTAAGATAGCTGTCCATATGAACAATCCGAAACCAAAGGAACTTAGGATCCACCCTATGCTTGCTCTCCAGATACTTGACAGGCGGAGGGTTAGGCGTATCCAGTCTCATCAACTGTGCAAACACCATGGCTCTTCTGAAGGCGATCCACGCTCGCCGAAGGTTGCCGGCGTTGGATTGGAAGGTGGCTTCGTAAACGATACACTCTAGTCCTTCGATGCAACCTATCAGATGGTCTTTGGTGACGACCAAACGAACAACTGTCTCCACCAAGCGAGCGGCGAGGACGCCTGGATTCCCCGAGATGCAATCACTCTTGTTGCACCGAAAGTACTGCAGCATGAGGGCAAGGATGAGCATATGCCTAGCGATCAAGACTGGAGGTATGCGCGAGGTGTCAGGAATCGTAGCCAAATCGTCGGCAATGTCCAATGAGTCGTGTTCTGAGGGGTCGACGGACGTCGTGAGGCATTGGTAGCTGTACAAGGTCGCGTTGCGATCGGACTTGCACAAGAGATCCAGATCCTGTTGAGGGGGAAACGTTCGACGTAGGGCGGATGATGTGTTCTCGCTATCTTCCGTTTGTGGGAGAGATTGTTCCGGTGTCAGTGCAGCTGAGTTAGGTGTTGGAAGTTGCACATAGCTGATTGTTGAGTCGTCTCCTGGATACTCCGATCGCGCAAGCAATGCTTCTGCCCTTTGCAAGCGTGAGAGAAGCTGCTCATATGGAATATCAGGAGCATTGGCGATGTTGTTAGAGCCTCTACTAGGACGCAGCAGTGATGCTTCTCGGCTGCTATCGTTACCTCCAAGGAGTTCCTCTTCCGGCTGATTCTGGAGAACGCATGGCACCTTCCGACGGCGACATGCTACACATATGGTGTCAGACGTCGCATCGAATGTGCATTTGACCTTTCGCTTTTTGCAATGCCAGCAGCTTGTTGTTCCCTTCCGAAGTTTGCGCCGCTTGCTGTGAGGCTCGAAGTTGGTGGTGTCGGCGTCATTCACGGGCGATCCCGGTGCGCCTTCCATGGCTGGTGACAGTAGCCTGAGTTGAGGGCACGGTACCTCCTCTCGAGCAAAGCGACCCAACGTGTGGCACGCTTGAATCTAGTGACTCTGTTGCTAGCATCGTATCACAAACAGATGCGATGTTGGTGACATGGGGAGAAGTTGGTAACTTAGGGGCGAAAGGGGAAAAGTGAGGGCAATCACCGAATCTGCACGGCGGAAGAGACCTCGGACTCCGAACACATCCTTCAGGCTGATCAGCAAGGCCACCAGCCAGCCACCACATCATTGAGTCGATGCACAACGGACTTCCCTTGGTTCGGCGAGAAAGCGGCCGCTTTTGGATATCAATTCTATGGATCCCTTCTACTATTACAAGATCAGACAATACACATGCCTCGCGCGTGTCAAGGCGATGCATGTCCGAGTATTACCGAAAGTGAAACTTCCCTCTAGGTACAATCTACGTATCTCAAGCACAACCCTAGCAATAGCGTCGCATTGGTCGTAAGTACGGGCAATCTGTTGTGTAGCCCTACCAAGATATGGCGCGTTTGATCTACGCAGCTCCGGCCTGCACCTTTTCCATGTTCAGCTTCTTGAGAGGTACCAATGCGGCAGCCACGGCAGCTGCACCAGCCAAAGCGGTCGCAATAGCGAGCGCGACCTTGATGCCCGCCATATATGCGACCACTATGCCTGCTATGTCTTCCGCAGCGAAATTGTCCCGAAGTTGGGTCGCACCAGATCCGACTACTGCCAGCGGATTCACGTTCGGTGCTGTGTTCGCAAGCGTATTGATCATGCGGTTGACAAATCCAGACTGAGCCGCAGTCAACGAGAATGCGCCGCCGATGGTTTGGAAAACTACGGTGTGTTAGTTAATTCCATATGAAAAGAGTTGATCTGCATACAAAAGATCGTTGCGGTCGCTGAGGACATGTCCTCTGCCCTCGCATTGGCCTGACCTGTATTGATGGCCATTTGGAAGCCTAACCCGACTGCGATACCGTAAAAGGCCTGATAGCCAATCCATTTGCCCAGCCCAGTACCAATGTCGAATGTATACATCAGACCAGTGGCAATAGTCGCTAGAATAGCCCCACCGATCATGAAAGGTGCAGCATAGCCTGTCTTTGAGACAACGCCGCCACTGACGATGCTACCCAATACCATTGCGAGGACCAGTGGAAGATTTAGTACACCCGAATTGATTGCGCTGCGATTGTCGACACTCTGGAAATAGAGTGGTAGGTAGTACAGCAAAACGAGATATGATGATGAGAAGAAGAAGATGAAGGCAGATGGTTGCCATAGGGTCCGTTCACGGAGAAGCCGAGGTGGAAGCATCGAACGCTCGCCGTTGAAGATCTCCCACGCAATGAAGGTCATCGCGATGACGACGAAGCCTACCAAGAGGCCGATGACGTAGCTGCTGTTCCAAGGTCGCTTCTGGCCGCCATTTTCGAATGCTAAGATGTATGTAACGATGCCACCCATGACGAGCGCAATGCCGAGAGGATCCATTTGCAACAACTTTTCCTTCCAAGTCGCTCGGGTGATAACGGCTTGTGGTGGAGTCTTGTAAGTGAACAGAATTAGTGCTGCAGAGGCGCCGCCGATAGGAAGGTTGATGTAAAAGCTGTGCCATGGTTAGCATGTGAGCAGAACGATTATGAGAAAACATCGACATACCACCATCGCCAGCTCACTGTGTCTGCAAAAACTCCTCCCAAAAGCGGACCGACGACGCTAGAAAGGCCGTATACAGCACCAACAATCCCCATCAGAGCTGGTCGCCGTTTAGGCTCTGCCGCGAATGCCGCCATAGTGAACGCCCCCGTCACTACGCCAGCGGAGCCGACACCGGCGATAGCGCGACCAACAACAAATGCTATAGAATTTGGCGCGACGGCACAAATCAAGCTTCCAATCTCGAAGACGAAGATGGCACCCAGGAAGGACCACTTGAGTGGGAAGTAGCGGTAGAACTTGCCGGACATGGACTGGAAACCGCCGAACGTCATGAAGTACGCGGAACCATACTAAGACATGTCAATATTCAAAGACCCCGAGTAGCCACAGCGAGAGTGTAAAACTTACCCATGAAACCATGTTGAGGCCTCCAAATTCGTCTGTAATCTTAGGAATGGCTGTCCCAAGAATTGTCATATCCAGGGCCGTAAGAAAGATTGCGCACAAAATGGCAATCAATATGGGTACCAGCAGTATGCCACTAGGATATTCCTCTTTGACATCATCGGACTTTTCATCTTGTTCAGACTTGACCTCTTCCTCGATGCCTTCGTTGTTCTGCTGCTGCGCCTTCTCCTCAGCCAGGTTGTCTGGTATCGTGACACCACCAACGGATTGTGCTGTTGCATCGGATGCGACCGAGGTTTGGAAGTTATGTTCGTTCATCGTGTGCATCTGGAGTTGAAACTAAGGACGAGGTTGACGGGAGCGTCAGGGTGACGGTTTGCAGCGGTAAAAGAGAGTGGAAGAAGTGCCACAAATATACTAATCTACGGACGAATAAATAATTCGATTCTGCGAGCAAAGCCCCGATTTCTTTGGCTGAGTAAGTGTGCTTCGGAGGGCGAGAGCTTGGCACATGCTTCCTCCGAAGGTTTAGGAGGAGCTGCCCTGGGCCCCCCCAACACGACGTGCGAAAGCCAGATCTTCCTTCCGCCGAGACAGACCACGTGTTCCAATCTCCAAAGAATTGTATTAGCTACCGAGGACTCGATTTGTAATTTCGTTCCGTGGACCCATGGGCGGCTTCCGACCTCCAATGTGCGTTGTTTTTGGTCTGGGATCGTGATACACGTCCAAGAACCTTCCACCAGCGGAACCGAGTGGCGCGCATGGTTATCGCAGCAAGTGAACACACATATGTTATGTGAGAGAGGTGGTGCACTGCGGGTTGCTATATGCGGTTAGTCAGCACTTCATTAAGATTCGGGATGCCACCTCGTCCTCTTCACACATCTACCTCTTCCACATTGCAATGTCGCAAGATCTCCGTTCAAAGATACTTATTCCGCTTTACATTTACCCACATCCGGGTGCATGGAATCCTCTCTATACAGCGTAGCATTCCCTTCACCGCTAACACGAAGGCTGACTGACGTCTCCCAGCGTCGCTACGTTTCCGGATGTCCAGTTTCTGGTAATCATCAATCCGAATAGCGGACCAGGTGCTCCACCGTGGTGGCCGAATGAAGACTATATCCGGGAGATACCGCGGCTAAATGCGTTGCCGAACGTCACCACCCTAGGTTATGTTTGCATAACTTATTGCAAACGGCCTGTTCAAGACGTCCTTGATGATGTCGTGTCGTATGATAGAAGAGGTCGAGAGGACAGCGGGTATAGAGTGGACGGCATCTTCCTCGATGAAACAGTAAACTTATACTCAGAGGAAGCCAAGAGCTACCTCGATACTGTCGATCGTAGAGCGCGGGTCCTTGCTGGCGTTGCGGAAAAGAGAATGGCAAGTCTTCAATCGTCCATGCTGGATGGATGAGAGTTACCCAAGCTGACCAGGCCTAGATCATTCATAACCCTGGTACAGCAGTGAGTACTGAGCTTGCGAATCCGGGACCAGAGGTCACAGTGGTTGTGGAAACGGCCTACAAGGAGTTCATGACCGAAGAGTACCAAGAGTGGCTTTCTACCTCGCCATACGAGCGGTCCCGTACTGCGTACATGGTTCATTCAGTTCCACAAAATGAAGTCGGGCCGTTAACGAGAGCGCTGCGTACACGAGCGGCGTACTTGTTTTTGACGAGCGCGTCTTGTGACTTCTATGGGCAGTTTGGTGAGAATTGGTCCGAATTTGTCGCATCGCTAGCAGGACCGTGAAGTAAAGGCAATCGACTTTCTTACTCGTTGGTTGCAGTGGTTGGTGGACATATTGGAAGAGGCCGCAGAAGTTCCACATCTGTGCAAACCTCTCCTCACGGGTAGTCGTCGTTTCTTCGGGACAGTTTGATGGTATGGAGACGCTTGAGGTCGGGATTACCCGGCCCTTGGAAAGTTTTGTGACTACGCTTTTGAACTTGTTCCGCCAGCTCTTCAGCCGTTATCTTTGCGCCATATTTTCTTGCTCTCCTAACGCTTCCTCGATAGTAGCCCATATTCTACACCTGTTCCAAAGTCCATCGGGCACGTCAAGCAGACGCTCGTCGCATCCACTGATCTGGAAGCGTTTCTTCGCAAGAAGCTTCGCGGCGAATTTCCAGTCCCAGCAAGCAGTATGGTCCAGAAGCGCTGCATGTGGAGTGGTAAGATGCTGCTCGATCCACTTGGTGTCTAGATCCCAAACATGTGGATGTAGACTTCCGTCCCGGAGGCTGTCTCGCCAGAAAGTGGAATCGAGCGGTATCTGTAGAGCCAGCACTTTCGAGGTGCGATGTAGTGCTATGACAGACTGTATTGGAAGATAGCCGCACACTACGTCCAACAATTCCGTCGGCAGGCGCTCCAATCTTTGGGGTTCGCGCGTCGCTCTCGGCCTATACTCTGTTTCGTCTCTACGACGCGGCGAACTCTGCAATACTTTATGCACGAATGAGGCGATGTCTCCCACTTCGATGGGATCGGTGTAGAACTTCTGTGAATCGTTAATGGCAAGCTTGAAGGACAAACTGTGGTTGCCTACATCGTATTCCGCACCCCACCATTCTAGTCTACTCAAAGCTAATGCGCTTCTAGGCCCATAATCGCATGAAGAAGAGCAGAGATCGAAAATGTCGTTTGATGACTCGAGTGGCTCGTCCATTAGGCATTTTCGCTGAATGAAGCGCGCACTCAACACACGATACAGTATTTCAAGAGCAGATTTCGACACAGTATCCTTCCTTCTAGAGTAGAAGTGGTCGATGGCCCGACAACTGATCGCGATACACGATTCATGCAATGGAAACAAGGTTCCGTGATCCGGTGCATAACACAAAGCGTCGAGCCAAATATCGTCTTCGTCAGCGTCGCCAGCAATGCGAAAGTAGCCCGAGCCAGCCATGTTGAAGGATGCAATCTCGGAGAGGAAGATGCCTGGTATTTCAGAAACGTTGATCGGCCTTGTCCGGACTTTAGCGTGTGAAGATAGATGAGAGCCGCTTCTTACGTCGATCCCTCGCTGGCTACCGTGTGTTCAGCTACATCTGCGATGCTACCAAAAAGACGGAGGCTATACAACCACTGGCATACGCGCCGTATCAGTAGTCTGTAATAATTCTTTGGAAAGATGGTTTACCTGGAAACGCATGTCTTTTGGGTCGATATTATAAACATCGCCTTCGACATCGAAAGGACCACCACATATGACGCAGAATCTTGAATCCTCCATAGCGCATCGCGCATCGCTCTTCCAGTCATCCGAGACCTTCGAAGAAAGTAGACTGCCCATGTTGACACTGCACGATGAGATTACAGCTGGCACAGATCCTGGCGGTGAAGGCGATTTTTGCTCCGTAAGATGAGGACGCCCCGTCCCGTCCACCTAATTTAGTCTGACAGGAGGCGCATCCGCATCAAATGCAAGATCCAGATGAACAGATGTCGGCAAGCGGTTGTGAGACGCCAAATTGAGTGAGCGTCGCTGGATAGGTCAGTTGCGTGGATCGATGACGGTAGTTCATTCCGCCGTAACCCAACTAGGTATAGCGTTTCCCACAGCTTCTGAAACGGGCTGCGATGGCTGAGTCTTGGTGCTTTTATCATACAAATAGCATCGCATTTGTCATATCTGCGCTCATGTTGCTGCGTGCGATTGGACTTGTTTCGCAACGAGGGCGTGTATAGTTACGAAATATGTCGTGTGCACGGAGGTCCGCACATTTTGCGACGAGCGCATCATTTGTAGCGGAACACCGATCGTCAAGCAATATTTGATTATGCTTTACAGAGTATCTACGAGATCTTCCCATTCGTCATCCAACATATACCTGTGTCTAAGTTCTTCTTCACTAGATGATGAGTAACCCATATCTAGATGGCCTTCAGATGCCAGGTGAGTGCTGACCCCTGTCAACTCATGCAACCGCCGATCGATTCTTGGTTGTGAGGTGTCTGCTTCAGACCTGGGTCTCTCGCCTGGCTTCAGTACATATGCGTGTCCCTCCCAATGTATACGAGGCTTTTCACTGCTTGGACGCCAGCCATGGAATGTGGTTTTGATGTGCCCAGATACCTCTGCAACACTTCCAACCTTGATGTTAATCCGGTCATCTTCATCGACATCGTTCACACTCGACCAACCGCCCATGTTCGATTGAGCGTCTGGATTAGACTCAGTGCCCATGCCCGGTTGATCGTCCGAACCGAACTGATTGCCAACGCCCGGTTGGTCGACCGAATCAGACTGATCGTCGATATCCGACTCGTCGTCCGTACCCGAAGGGGCTCCCATAGCTATTTGGTAGTCCTCCATGTACGAGTAGAACGTCTACTTCATCATATCCCTGAAACCCTCGTCGCGAATGGCGACGATCATAGCTTTCAGCTCAGGTAGGGCCTGCCTTTAAGATGATACCAAATCGCGAAGTTGATGGCTATCAGGCGTCGTTGCGCGTTCGGTAGGATGTAGTGACAGAAACTCCAAGCCTGGAGGTAGCCGCCAGCACCAACGATCTTGCTCCAATATCTTGAGCTCGAAATTCATGTTCATACCGGGCTGATACTTGCCCAAAATGGCCCCAACGTCAAACATACTCCATACGTCCACATTTGTATCCAGTCGCCTCAAGGCGGTGAAGTATCTTAGCGATTCGATCAGATGGCTGGAGTCACCATCTTCTTCTTGCGGAGTCATCCAATTGGGTACGATGTCAAGATACAAGTCTTCCAGTGTATTATTGAATAAGTCAAGCATGGTGATAAGCTCGCTTGCTGTGAAGTTGTAAGGGCCGATGCCTAAACCGTATGAATAGTATAGCCACTTCAAACGAGGAGACGCTGAAAGGAGCTTTTGCAGCTCCACGCGCGTGAAAGCGCAATTCGGAAGATGAAGAGCGGTGAGCGCCCCGAGACCAAGAGGTAGAGCAATTGACGGTGATTCGAGGAGGTCAACTCGAGCTGGATACCAATAGCCCCCCTGGCCAACTCTAGGGTTTGGAGCGAAGTGTTGTCTATTATCTGTTTTAAAAAGGACGCAGACCATGACATAGCACTATCATTGGCGGCTGTAAGCCTGACTAGCTTTGCGAATCCATGCTTTGGCAAACGCCAAGGTAGCATGGTTTTGTATGGGTTCACGAGAATGCTGTGCAGCTCAAGTACTCGGAGATTTGGGAGAAGGGCTAAAACGAGTGCGACCAGTGCATCTTCATGCCTAGTGCGCAAAATCTGGCAGAACGTGAGATCATAAGGAGGCCACCCAGCACCCTGGCTTTCTTCATGAGAAGTTCTTTATATCAATCTTGCTCACGCCAATTTGAAGCCAAAGCTCCTTTTGGGGTGACTTCCGCGGCTTCATACGGGACGATGATGTCGATGATATTTGCGGCCTTTGTGGCTTTCGTATACGTGTCGTACGATTCTTTGGATATGATCTCTGGACGGGGCCAGGCGCAATTAGAGTTCCAGAAGCCCAGCTTTATCTTCTTGACATATTTTTCCGCAATGTCGTGCCTTGCGAGGATTCGGTCGGTAAACATGGAAAGCGATTTTCCGTGAGGCTGTACATATTCTCGGTAGAGTGACGATTCCGCGTGTTTCTGAAAGTTTTTGCACGTCAGGCTCAAATTGAGGAGATCAACCTGTGGAAGGAACGCTACGATGTGCTGAGCCAGTTCGGCCGGTAGTTCAACAATTAAGGGCGACATGTATGAGAGAGAGTTCTGGTCGTGCTCAAAGTCGCCGGATGTTGACTGCTTGATGCAGTAGGCGGATGCTAAAACAAAGTATTGCTGTGGCAGGACGTGAAAGTTGGGTGAGGTAGCGAGCGGCGCCCCCAAGATCCCGAGGCCAGCTTGCAGGCAGCCCACCCTTGGCCCCCGCACTTCAATCCGGTCATTGCGCTCTCAGAGTAGGCCAAAGACATGCTATCGCTATTGACCCTACGCCCAGCTCGTATCAGTATACAGCCGTTCTGTCGGCAGGAGGAAGATGGTGCAGATGGAGGTTGCGCTGGTGGCGGAAGATACAGTTCACGACCAGCCCAGTCGCTCCTGGCACAATCACTACGTCTAGACGCATATTGGTGTTGCGTCAGGCAAGCCGGATCGTCATCGCCTATGCTGCGAATTCGCGCACTGTTGGACAGAGAGGATCGTGTATCACGAAGCAAGATAGTAGAGTACAACGACGCGGAGATAGATGCGGGGAAAGCGATCACGATCTAAAGCTGAGATTGAGGACGACTGTGAATGGTATCCATACACAAACAAGGATCGCAAATTCGTTCTACACTGGCCACTGTCTCGCGACATTTCCAAAGACTGCCCATGATGCTGCCCGAGCTGTTGGTGACGTATTGCTGCCACTAAAGACTGGTGCGTGCTAGCGTGGCATTCTCGCGTCCCAGGGGGCGGGCAGCACTTCACGTCGTCAAACCTCCGCTTTCCACTCTTATCAGGCCGAGAGTCAGGCCACCACATCAAATTACACCCTGAGTGTTCGGTTTCCACGCTTTATTTTCCTTCTCCTATTTTCTATTGTCCATGCTCAACATCCTTACGCGTGTCCGCCCAGCTCAGCATCGTCCGCCACCGAAGCAAGCAACTCTTAATCGAAAATGTGGCCTGTGTCTCGACGTGAGGACGGCAGTCCAACACGGTTCAATGATGCCAAAGGTTGACCGGGGCCCAATGGAAAGCTGGAGCAAGGCAAATTGCTCCTGTCGTCCGGCTTTTTGGTCGCAACGCAACCTCAGATCCATTTCTCGAGACCGCGACAGTCGTCAGGCTCATGCTTTCCATAGTATTCCTCATGGCATCGGACATCACCTCCTGCAGTCCTGCTCTGAGCACCCTGGCTAGACTTCGCTCTATCAAGCATATCCAGCTCAAAAGGACCGTCATGTGCACCTCTACTCTTGTCCGCACCAACCCACCCACCGACTGGAGTTCCTTTGCGCTCTTCTGAACGCGGGAACAGATTTGTATTGTACGTCTGCAGTCTAGCGCCATTAGGACCCATTGTTCTATTCTGGCCTGGAAGCATCGGTACGGGAGGAGGCAGAGTAAGATCTTCCGCTGAGCCGTCACGAGAGTTGCCCTTGAGTGCGGAGCGGATATTCTCTTTCGAAACGATGCGTGTAATGCTGCGATCAGACTCATCACGCATTAGTTGTTGAGGACGAAAACCGCTGGCAAACCCCCGTGTACTGTTCCATCGCTCGGGGCTTCTGGATGGTATGGAGGGAGCGGTATACTCCATTCCAGGCCATGGTATTGCCTTAGGCGGAGAAGTACCTGGCCACGCAAGAGGGTTTGGTGTCGCCTTGCGATGGACGTCGTTCGGCACAATACGCAGATCGCCGGTATACGCAGTTGGCTTGATAGGCACAGGAAGCCTCGTGACTGGCTTTGAAGGCCGAACGCGTTGCGGATTTCTAGCACTGTCCTCGTGTACAGTGTTGAGCTTCGTCAACGAGATCTCGTCGTCCCAACCGCTGCCCTCGTAACTTGGAACTCGTCCATCCGGATGTGCCCTTCCCCTCTCGACCGATGGTGCGACCCGCATGTTAGACTTGTACTTGTCGTGTAGTGGCTGCGGTATGGCACTCAATTGGCCCATGGGCGAATATATCGGTACGTCTGTGTCGTCGCGCATCTGTATATGCCGATGGCTATCGGAAAGGACGAGAGGGTCTGAGTTCTGGGTTGATGTGTAAACACTCTGATTAGATGGCTTGCGCTCTGTATCGGGACGGGGCCAGGGCGTGATGATGGTCGTGTCAGACGATCCGACTGAGGTGCGACTAACATGCCTCTTAGTTGACGACGGTTCGGAAGGGCGATAAGCTGGTGCTCCATCATCAGGTAGATGGATCTTTCGTGTTACACCGTGCAGCGGACTCTTCGGCTCCTCCTTTGTCGCCATTCTGCACATGCCTCGAGACAGTGAGCGGCGGATGCTATCTGAGTACCGTCTGATTGGGCTCTCACCGCCATCTTGGTCTTGTCTGCTGCTGTGTTTGTCGGGAGAGCTCTTGTGTACCGGGCTCCCGCTACCGTCACGCTTTACCACCTGGGACTGGAATGCCCTCACTTCGCCCGTCTTCTCTGTGGCCTTCCTGCGGTGTGCTCGCGCTCGCTGTTCATTCAACCACTCCTCCATCTTGTGTTTGAACTTGGGCCGTTCAACTAAACCGCCATACTGAGGGTACACATCGCGAAGCTCCTTCTCGGTCTCGTCGTACTGCTTTCGCGTGAACACTCCAGCACCGCCGACACGCTTGCAGAATGTCGCCCCTTCATCACTGACGACCTTCTTCGGCAAAGAGACAATACGATACGGTGTGGGCGAAATCAAGCTTCCTCCAGGTACCACGAGGTTGTCCTTGGGAAATGCGAGACCAGATGGGCACCGCTCTTCGATGTACAGTGCGAGGCGACCGTAGTGTCGTCGGCCTTTGACACTATAGGAAGCGCGAACAGCATTTACAATCGGCACAAAGACTGCTTCCCAGGCTGTGCAGATGTTGCGGAGCTCGAAATAGTCAATGTTCCACGGATTTCGCGACTTGCCGACCTTGAATACCTGCAGCAACCAAGCGAAGAGGTGTTTCTCGTACGCCTCCACATTCCAGTCACTCTTGTCGATTACTCCATGAACGCTGGAGTCCGATGTGTACTCTATGCTGTACTTGTCGGCGCGTGGGTCATAACGGTGTACACCTTCATCGAATCGTGTATAAAACCACAACAGGCCCGTGCGAGATACACCGTCCTCCCCCTCCTCTCTGGCTATCGCCGTTGCACGTGGCACTGCATCCGGTTGACGCAGGAATATTGAATCGCGAAATGCGGCCCATGGCTCCAGAAACGCAGCGGTCCCGAGGAAGCGCTCTTCGAGGCTGTCCAAGTCGGACAGTTGCAGTAGCAACAGCGCTTGTTTGAGCTCAGGAGGGAACTTTTCCTTATCGCTGCGTGTAAAGAAGTCGGGCATGTTCTTGAATCCTGAGTTAGAAGAAGAGTGCGCCATATTGGCTGAGTCGTGGGCGCAACGATTGCGGCTTTTGTTTGTGGTGAAGGTTTGGGCTGTTGTTGTTGAGTGGCAGGAAACAGTATCGCTAGCGCCGTTCCTCTTTTGCGCCTCAGTGAATACAGATTATTTTCAGGCGAAGAGATTACGACATCTGGCCCTGAAACGCAAGGCAGCGGTCTCACCTTCACAACGATCCCGAAAGTCCGACGCCATAAGCTCCGCTTACACCACTGGGAACCGTTGGGTCTTGACAAGCTTGCTGCTTCTGCGTGACGGGTTTGATTATCACCCTAGAGCCTAAGGCAGTACGGATCATGATTTGGGATTTGAGATGATTCCCATGTGGTCCAGGCCAAGTTCGTGGGATGTGGCGTGGGTCAAGACGCAGTAAGGGTGGAGGTACAGTGGTGCTGAAGAAGGTGCGCAGGATGGCGGGGGGATTAGTGGGGTTAGGTTGGAAGACCTGATTAAGAAGGGACGAGAACGATATGTTCAGAGCCAGGTTTAGGGCAGATCTCAGCTGTGCTTCCATATAGCACTCGCCTCAAGTTCCGTTACTATATATAGGTGCTAGATCAGCCGTTATACAGCGGCAATATCTAGGTAGCAGAATCTCGGGGATATGCAATTCAGGCAAGCTTGAAAGCTCTGAGCAGTCGACTGACATCTCTGACCTGATTGCCAAGCGCGCTGAGCAAGGGACTGGCTAATTGTCCTGGCCACTCTCACCTTTACCTCATCTCTGCTCTTATTGTACAATTTCAAACTTCTTCATAGTTGCTCGCTTCGAGCATTAACTTTTAACCCTCAAGCGCCATTAGACTACGATGCATAAAGCTCAGCAATTCCAATCCTCTGCACCGCGCGGGCCAGATGAATCCAGCGCCGTTCCCGAACTCCAGGCGCAATCACCGTCTCTGAATCCTGTTACAATGGAAGGCAACGAGGGAAATCTGCAAGGTAAGCACGAGCCAATGCATCTTGATGAGGGCGACTAACGTATACATAGCGCCACTGAAGAGGCGCAGACTCAGCAAAGACGAAGATATCATGGCGGCAATGCGAGACCGTCATCAATAAGAAGAAGCGCAATTGTGTCGACTGAACGATGAGATTGTGACGCTCCGACGCGATGCGATATCTACAACACAATTCAATCGTATGGTCGCCGAGCAAGCAGAAGTAGCAATGGCTCTCAGACGCGAAGTCGAGCAGCTGAAGCAGGTGAAAGAGCAGAAGAAAAGAGCTTCTCAGAGCGTCAAGAATATGTTCGTAAGGAGTCAAAGCAGCGTAAGAGATTGGAAGGCACAGGCTGAAACGGCAGAGAGCGAGGTGAGGGAAGAACGCACTAAGAGGCTTGAGGCGGAAGCAAAATTGGAAAGATACATTAAAACACAAAAGTCTATGGCAAAGGAATTCGGAGGTTGAGCAGGCTAAATATATAGCCTTCGCGACAGAGTACTTGGGCTTGACACCAAAGTTGCACAGGTGGGATTGCTTGCAAGACTTCGATCGAAGTTACACAGAAGCATTGCTAGCTTTGGGAGTTCGCATACACGTCAGCGCTTCAGGGCACGTGCACTATATTTGCGGCGAAAATCACAGATTCAGCTTTGACTTGGTTGCTCGTGAACAATGAACGGTGAATGCACTAATGGATCGGAGAGCAAACTTCCCGTGTCGAGATCCCTATATCGCTGGCAATAACGACAATATCGCACACGACTTTCATCAACCACAAGCATGGATTCCGACGCCATCATCGCCGCGATGACAACAGTCAGGGTCCCCACCGCGAGCGCGCCTACCGACACCAATAGCAGTAACAGTGAGCCAGATGGTAGAGCTAAGGGTACTTCAGCTATCGATTTGACCGGCCTTACCAATGAAGTACCGAATATCACTGGCGATTATCCCAAGACCCTCATTCTCGACATTGGCGGCCGCAAGTTCAAGGTCTCGCGCGATACACTGCAGGCAGAGTCAGGCCTTTCCCGACACCAACTCTCCGGCCGCTTCCCTTGGGAGCCCGAGGCAAACGGCTCGTACTTTCTTGACGCCGACCCCGATCTCTTCGAGCACCTACTACGCTTTATGCGCCGCCCCGAGGTACTACCGCTTTTCTACGATGCGGCCAAAGGATATGACTATGATCTGTATAATCGTTTGGAGGCTGAGTCGCAGTACTTCCAGATCGACGTATTGCATGAGTGGATCAAAGAAAAGGTACTTCGCAAGCAACAAGTACATGCAAGTCGGATAAATCCTCTGTAGAAATACCTCAACGCTATCAGAGTCCAAACCCGCGACGCGAACATCCGAAGCACTGGCGCGATTCGCCCAGAAGTCTTCCCCGCGAACAAGACCGAGGACTGGTATATTGTTTCACAAAAGCGGAAGATATACCTTTGTCCTCGCCAAATCGGAGCTCACAGAGGCCGTCCGGAGTTGTGTGGCATGGCATGTCATAAGAAGCAAGCGGAGTACGCAGTGGAGTATGCCGAAGAAACTTATTTGGAGGTGTTAAGCGTACGAAAGGAGACTGTGTTCGACGCGAAAGCCTGCAGGAAGGAGTGGACCTAGAACTGGCCCAGCAGCTGGATGCGCAGTGAATGCCCAATAGCCTAAAAGATGGGACAAAGTCATCGGGAACGTAGTAGTTTCATGGACATTGTAGCGTACAAAAGCTAAGGTATATGCTTAGGTGACTAGCGCGCGATGATCGTTCCCAGTTCAGCGATGCTTTTGTATCTGTACTTGATCTAATGATTTCAAGATTTGGAGATGGTGTATCTTTCGCATCGCGTTGATCTATCATACAACGGTCTGCAGACAGATTTCGAGTACTTCTCGGTCGATGCGGTGAACAGATAAATCAAAGCATAAGCAAATCGGGCCGGAAGCGCGCAGAACGCGGATGGATCGGAGCTCTACAGTATGGGTGCTGGCACGTAGGTACCTGTTTGTGCCCATATTGAAGACGCCATCCCTCGAAGACGGGACGTCCCGGCCGACGGAACGAGTTTGATGGGCTGTGCGCTGGAGCTGCTCCATCACAGGGAAGAACCAGCTTCTTCGCAACCCGCCGAGTGCCAGGGTCTGGATAAGGAAGCCCGTATGGAGCCGCTCCACTAGGCTATTTATAGTAACTAATGTCCGGATCTCTCAGGATCTCACCGAAGCGAACGCAAAACAGTCCTGAGAAGTCGCATAACGGAGTTTGAACAGATTCTGTCTCTCATCTCAAAGACTGGAGCCAATGGCGCTGCACGTTGGATTGGAATCGCGTTCTCCAAATTGAAAGCGGATGCAAGCAGCCGGACTACCTAGGTAGTCGCCCCTAACTTTCCAACGATCCTCCATACTCACTCCTCTGTCACTACTAGTTACTACTAGTGACCCATTTGTTTTATTCGTCCTCATTTTTACTTCACCATGTATTCACGTACCATTCTCTCGGGTTTGCTGCTGGGAGCATTGCCTTTCCAAATTTCAGCACAAGATGACCCAACAGCAGACGACTGCACTGGTATCAAAGGCATCAGCCCAGGATGTAGCAGCCAAGAATCTGCATACCATCGAGACTTCTTCTACATCGGTGGCGGTTACGTCGACTCCGGCATCCCGGGCCAGCAGATGTGGAGCGACCAGTTGTATGTCGAGAAGCTGACGCCCGCTAGCAAGGCCAACAAGCCTTACCCGATGGTCTTCGTCTCTGCGGGTGTCAACACGGGCGCAGAATGGCTGAACACGCCAGACAATCGCAAGGGATGGGCTTCCTACTACCTTGATCAAGGCTACCAGGTCTACATTGTTGATATCGCTGCCAACGGCCGAAGTGGCCAGCAGCTTCTCTCCAAATACCCTCTACGCATCGGCTCTACAGACACGATCAACGAGCAGGGCTTCACAGCTCCGGAAAAGTTCGACCAGTACCCACAGGCAAACGCACATACACAATGGCCTGGCAATGGATCTCGTGGAGATCCGGCCTTCGATGCCTTCACTGCCGCCAACGTTCCTATCTCTTCATCGAACGTGAATGTGGAGAACACTATGCGCACAACGGGATGTCAGCTTCTCAGCATGATTGGCCAGTCATACACAGTCTGTCACTCGGCTGGTTGTACCTACACAGCTATCTGGTCAGACGCATGCCCCAATCTGCTGCGTGCCAACATCAACATCGAGCCTGGAAACATCCCCCATACCTCTCTCATCGGAAACGCGACTGTTGCTGGGGTCGGTCGTACCGCTGCTCGGCCATGTGGTCTAACATATACACCCCTGCAATTCGATCCTCCAGTAACGAACTGCTCGTCCATCACCACCACTGAGATTGGACCAGACGACCCTGCTAAACGCTCCTGCATCCTGCAGACTGGCACCATCCACAAGCTCACACAGCTCGGTAAAGTGCCTTACATCATGATCACAGGCGAGGCTAGCCCACATATCACGTACGACCACTGCTTCCTCGAGTACTTCAAGCAGATGGGCCTCACCAACTACCAGTGGATCAAGCTTGCCGACATTGGTATCAAGGGCAATGGGCACTTTATGTTCCTCGAGAAGAACAACCAGAATATCGCCGCGGCGATCAACTACGGTCTTGGGAAAATGAACGGAGGCGCAGCTGCTCCAGGTCATCCAGATCTTCCCATCTCTATGAAATGAGAGTTGTGCCTGACGATGGCTGCCACTAGCGAATCTTATTATATATAAAAAGTATATACGTAATCTGGAGATTGGTCGCGCTGTAGAGTCCATGCAAAAGCAGATTGATCATATCCTCTGCAAGATGGTGATGATGATCGTATCATGTCTTCAGACCTATTGTCGTGATGTCTATCGTGTGTCACTGTCATGAATGCTTTCGTAGTGCTTGATCTTTACTCTGAGTGCGTATGCGCCTCATTTGAGCGCGAATTTTCCACTTTGACACCTCTTCAGGTTCATCATCTGCCTTGCCTCCTTCCAAGCTTTCGCGCGAGCCAGCTTCGAGCGTGGTAGCATCGCCGTCCTTCTCTGATCTTGACGGGAGGATTTCCCTGTCGCCAAGGCGCGTGACCCGATTCTGAGCTAAGATGTACTCGTTTAGCAGAGGCCAGTGGATGATGTTGCAGAACCTTTGCAGATTCCTCTTTGCAAGAAAGATGCAATCATCTTGCTCCTGAATGATGAGCAGAAGGCCATGACTAGTTAAGTTCTCGTGATGGAAACTGGCGCTTGCTGATGAATGGCTGTCTTGCGGATGCTAGCAAGAAAAGCCAGTGGGCTACGGCCGTCTGTGTGGCCATAGTTTATGGTCGTGTCCTGCGATCGGCATCTCTTGTCCGTGCGCGCACGATACTGTAAAGGCTCATCTGTAGTAATCCGAAGAGGTCAATACGTCCCGTCCATACTCATGCTCGACTGGAGTGAGGGCGACATTGAGATGTCTGGACTCAAGGACGGGTAGGTAGAAGGGGCAGACATGGAGCGGTCATGCCACTCATCGTGCTCCTCTTCCGGCGAGGAAAGCTCAAGTAACTTCTGTGGCGACCCGGCAGAGAGCCCAAGCATAGTGAGCTTCTCTTGCAGTATGCTAATGACAGCGGGGTTGCCACCACGAAATGAGGCCAAGACTTGCGCTAGTGAGTGGATGAGATCCCTAGGCCCAACGTCAAAGTGGGATTCGTGGTTGAGCGAAGGCATAATCATCATCACATCGGCAAGCGAGTTGGCGACGTCGAAAAGCTTGGACTCCTATATACACGTTAGTGACGTTCTTCATTTCTAACGAGATAATGCATACCATGCCAGGCCCATGCGCCTCGATGCTCTGGCGAGAAAGGCTACTCAAATTGCTGAGGACATTTTGAGCGACCTTGGCAGGGAATCGAAACGAGAATTCCTCATCCTGGCTGGCGCGACTGCTTAGATTGGTCACATTAAGGGCATGTTGCCACAAGAAGATGCGCATCCATTGCTGCGTCATGGTGATGTCTGCGCGCTGAAGCTCGTTTTCGAGGCTGCGAGGGTCTTCGTCACTGCTAAGCTGTTGCTGAGCTAGTGCAAGAGCATGGCGTGCAGCTGCCGGTTCAGCTGTGATCGTGACATCCAGGATGTTGAAAAGCCGGCAAAGCTGAACAAAGGCGGGTGTGACCGATCCATCGTGAAGGTCTTCCAGTCGAGGAAGATTAGGTGCGCGCTTCAGTGTCGTTGGCACGTCATGCTGCAGAGAATGTGCTCGCTCTGTGATGAAGAGGAGCCAGTAGACTCTCAAAGCATATTGCGTTTGCTCCGCGGTCATGTGCTCGTAGTGGTTCGCCTTATGCAATCCTATGATATGCGCTTTGAAGATGGCCTCTCCAAGCAGCACTGTGGAAGCGTTCATCCTCCCAACGTTTGCTGAGTAGACGTGTAGGAAGAAGCTGCTCAGCAAAGAGAATACAGTGACGTTCTCCAGATGATCGCATTCATTCCTTGCCTTTTTTGCTTCCATCTCAAACGTGCCACTTGGGACGCGGTAATGACCCTCCATTGGACTCCCTGATTCATCCATAGAGAACTGGCTTACTATAGCAGCAGATATCGCAGTGGCTAATGCGTAAGCTTCCAAGTCATCGGGATGAGTCAAAAGACGTGCCGTCAGAGCCTCTGCATCGACCACCGGCCATATACCATATCCGCGTGCTGAATAGACATCCAAATATTGCGATAGGCAAGCAATCGATATCCTCTGAGGCTCGTGAGGGGTGGCGGAGAGGGTCGGACTCAAAATATCCGGCCAGGCTTTAGGGTCAACATCGGCATCGCTCATCAAGGAGATTGGGTCCAGGTAGGCTAGCTCCGTAGATACTGGGCTTCCAGCATCAAAGCTTGTCTCGCTGTTGCTCCTTGACCCCTCATCATGGGTGCCCTTGCTCCGTTCCTGCAGTCTCCTGATTGCGGCTTCCGTGGTCCGGCGTGGTCCTTTTGGTCCGCTTTTCCCATGCGTTTTCAAGTAGGTGCAGTCCCAGCTAGCGGCCTCGCATCTTGAGCATGGCTGGTTGCCATCACATCGCACTTTTCCTAGACGAAGAGAGCGTAATGTCAGTTGTGCCACAAGTGTTGACCTGCACCTAACACTCACTGACAGAACAAGGGTCACACGCTCGTCGCGTTCCTTTCCGTGGGGCCATGGCCATTTCTGGGGCCAAGGTACTAGCCCGTTTAGATAGACAACCTGTACGAGACACGGGATATCGTCATCTCAACATGACACGGATTGATCGGATCAAGCACCAGCAGACTGGTGGCGTCTGTGGAGGAAGGTGTACTGGAATGTCTTTCGGAAGAAAATGGTGACTGAACGAAGTACAGAGATATAGAGTCCATACAGAACGATGTCGTAGGGAATGGATGCGGCTGATGCTGGAAACAAAAGGTGGAGATGCGGCTGCAGGTCGGTTGATCCTTCCCACTTGGGGCGGCGGCGAGAACCAATCAGGGCCAAGTGCCGCCGTTGACCGCTGTGGTGCCCTGAGCCAGCTAATCGTTCCGACAAACAGGCCGAGAAACTATCTTCTAGAAGCTCCATGGAAGGAAATACTCGGCGGCTGTGCACGGTAAAGATAAGCGAAGTGTTATATGATTCGATTACGGACCTTCTAGAAGCTTACCGAGCGCGTCGTAGTGTGCTTCCTTTTGAGCATGGCGTTGCACACGGGCCTGCCATGATGAAAATTTTGGTGTTGAGGGTGCAATGCAATGCGCTGTCCCAGCAGATCGACCAGGAATATTCTTAATCGCGCGTCCGAATTTGGCAAGGGTAGTGATTGCTACCCTGCTGTAAGCCGCAGCACCGCGGCTACGTCCGGGTGTTGTGAGTAGAGGCTGTGTGTGAGGCTGACTTGGTGATGGAATGCGCGTACGTGACGTAACCTTGCAATGCGCGAATTATTAGCGTGCCCGACAGCGGGCGCATCAGGCCTTGGGATAGCGCGCCAGGGTCAAGGACACGAACTATCATGGTGCGACTGCGGCCATCTATTACAAGACAGCGGCACATTCCTTAGCAGGTCTTCTAGCACTGGTTGTTGACAGCGTACCTAGGTACGCTTTTCAGTGGAAGCGTTGCTAGATCGGGGCTCCAGGCCATGGAAGGAACACGTGGGTATTGATATAGCAGTGCTTGGCTGCTCTGCTGAGAATGGAGGCTCTAGGACTGCAAGCAACATGGTGGTGGTGGTGGCTAGTAGCGAAGCCGAGACGATCAGGAACGACCGAAGACATGCATCTCGTCATCTCGAGCCACCCCAAACGGTTATCCAGGAAGCCTAGAACACGAGTGGCGCTTCCTGCTCCTGCGCTGCGACGTCAAATACGCCACACTACACCATGAAGGCTGGGACTACGTCGAATGTCATTGGAACCGGTACTGGAGGCCATCGCATCATTGCCGGCCAACTGGACACAGCAAATTGACCAACATGGATCAATAGTCGAGACGTGCCTCGTTCAGCGTCGTCTCATCGATGAAATGGCTAGCAACAGTGCCCTGGGAAGACTTACTCTTCCATTGAGACAAGACGCTGCACCACGTGCGCGTGGAGAATCTACGACGATTATCTTGCCATACCATGTGGCGAAGCCTGCAATGATGCACAGCAGCGTAGGGAATTTCCGCAAGAACGACGTAGCGCTGTGAATGAAGGTCTAACATGGCTGCAATCGTAGCCACAGTGGGTCACGAGTGGTGTGCCAAAAAGATCTGGAGCGTGCATGGTGAGGTAGTTCGCTGGAGCGACTTGGTTCTGCGGACTTGCACCCGGCGTAGATTCCAAAGCAGCATTAGTGCCGTCTTGACTACCTTGGTACTCTATGAGATCATACACTCTACCACCTCGATGAAACCGCAACGCGACGCGACAGAAATCAGTTCTGGATGCTGGGGACGTCATAGCTGCCTGGTAGACGGGTCAGGAAAGACTGTACGCCTGCTTCATATGGTAGAATGTCTAGCTCGCATGTGGGGGACTTATCAGAAGTGCTGGCAATACGAGAATCCGGGGAACATAGATTGCATTCCTCGCTAAACGCTGCGACGCAATTTACGCATATGAGCGCTATCACAACGTCCACGGTAGGAGATTCACATTGGCCCAAAATCTAACATGACGGTATCGCTGCTGCGAATACGCAAAGCTTAACGTGATGGCTGGAGGACACAGAGATGCGTGGATTGGACGGACCTTGGGCAGTTCGCAGTCGCTCAGATAGTCCCAGCTAAATTCGGATTGCGACGCAGGAGATGTGGATGAGCTTCTCACTCTACAGCGATGTCAGTGGCGCCGCAGATACGAGGCTGCTGTATATATAAACAGTTGTTTTCGTGATCCAAAGCGATATCACTACCCAAGCCGTCAACTTACTCACTCACCTCCATAAATCTTCGTGAGATTCCAATTCCAACACCTCCCTTGATCAAAACCACATCATCTATCATCAGACATTAAGATGAAGGTCCTCGTTCTCTTCGCCGCGATCGCTTCCATCGCTCTTGCTGCGCCGAAAGACCCATACCCAGCTCCATGCGGAAGATCGGACCCTTCGGGCATTTGCACTACCAAAGCGACTTGTTACAAGAAGGGTGGCTTCTACGTCCAGCGCGACTGCACCTTCTACAATGTGCTCGACATCGGTTGCTGCTACTCCATTCCGGATGAGAAGAAATGAGGGTCATGCCAATGCGACGAGGAGATAGGATCGAAGAAGGTGGTAACTACGCATCGGAATGACGGAACTGGGAGGAGGCTCGAAACATCGTCTATAGGAAAGCTTGAGAGGTGCGAGTTTGCACATGCAAAAAATCGAATTAAGCGTTGTGCAGAACCGTAGTTCCATCGAAGCACCCGTGATGTAAAACCTTGAACAGCTAGCGGTAAGCGTTACGACAACTCAAGGCTTTGAGCAAACGTGGATGTGGTTCAGATGCCCGGACGATGGCTTAGTAGCGGTGCATCGCGCAAGCCAACGTTATGAAATGGTTGGCAAGATGGCACAATCGGAATCAACGGAGGAGTGGTAAATGTGGCCTGCGGAGGGCGAAGTAGAGTCGTGCGTGCCTTGCGCATGTCTTGCATGCATCCGAGATGTCTCGAAGTCGAGTGACGGATCAGGGGGACGGAAAGAAGCAATGACCGAGGCATTATTATGTCATCGATGCTCATTCGTCAGTCGGCCGCTACCGGAACGTAATCCCGCATCTCTCCGTTTGTCCACGATGGTCAAAATAGACGAGACTAAAAATTCCTCATCGTTTCCCATGCTCTTTCTGAATCGCCCTGGTTTTGAAATAGACGCCCCACTTTGCTGCGAAGTGTTGGTAATACAACGCCATTGTTCATCTCATCCCGCCTGTGCAGCTTCCCCCACAATATTGTCAACACAACGCCAAGATGGACCCAGATCCAGGTACTGGAAGCTGCTAAGCGCTATTTGAGGCGCGGAAGGCTAGAACCACGCTGCGGCGTGAGAGACAAGTACGTCGCCTTGAGATGCGCTTCTCGTCATTGCGCGGACTGGCCGGTGCTCATGAGCCAGTATTCTCATGGTGTACCTGGTGGCCCATGATGACTTCAACTTACGCACTGGCGTCCTTACTCTTCCTTGCTCATCTTTTGCAGGAGTCTCAAGGCTAATATGGCTACTCAATCGCTGGACCACGGCGTGTCCACCAATAGGACAGCAGAACCACGAGATACTCGTGATCAAGACTATCGCGAATGGAAGACTATGGAGACTATAAAGCGCAAGAGGCCAACCGGCGAGCTGAGGGAGGCGCGCAAAAAGATAAGAATGGACAGTACGGTTGCGTCAAGAGAGCGGTGTCCTCTCATGGAAGTATTCCACGAGTATGGCTTACTGGAGATGATCATATCGAGCCTATACCCAGACGACCTCATGGCGCTGCTTCTATGCTCGAAGACTGTGCATAAGACGATACTACCACAGTCCGGTAGCTTGGAGAATTTGCTGGGCAAACTCAAGTGTTCTGGTAGAGGTGTAAAGATCCGTAATAAGCGTCACAAGAAGTCGACCTTCTTCGACGCTTATGACTGTACTGAATACATCAAGTGCGGCGCAAAGGAGTCCGATACCGAGTGTCGACCCTGCTCAAGATGCAAGGTTAGCACCTGCGACGAGTGTCGCATTCACTGCGTCTACCAGAGCATCTACGAAACGCCATGCGATAAGGATGAGTTGCCCAACTTTAGCGGCTTTGTCCTGTTGTCACCCTTTGAGGTACCTATTCTCAGCCCACATCACATGTCTAGCGACGACTCCGCGCCAGAATGGGAAAGCTCCGCGCATGGTTCCAGTGCACCGTATCACGACCAAGGCTTCATCGACGTTCCTTTTGAGCAAGACAGCTTCGGTCTACCCGAGTGTGTCGAAGAGCTCTTAGAGTTGGATCTTGGCAGTCACACCTTGGCTGCATCGCCTTCTTCAAGCATCGCTCACCCCTCGCCAGTCCTTCGAGCCTTGTACCAAGCAACGGAGCAAAGGAAACGATGGTTCTGCAACGACTGCCTCCCAAAAGACGGGTCGGATAGCCAAAGAAGACTCCCAGACTTTCAGTGTCAGTGCACTTTGCGCAGTCGATTTCTTGACCGCTGGCTATGCCTGCGCTGTTACGAGGCAGAAGAATCTAAACTGGATACAATATTCGCTGATCACAAAGAGCATTGCGCCTGTGGGCGACAGGTTGGGAACAAGACCTGCTTGTGGTGCTGGGGAGAGGTGACGCATCCAATGCTAGAATTCGACGCAGTATCGAATTGAGACCCGGAGGATACCCTTTAGCGAAAGCGCACCACCCCAAGCGCGGACACTCTTGCCGTCGCATGATCTTGCGTTATGTGCTGTTAATCTCTGTATTTGTACTGTTTGTAACAATACCTTGTATACTTCCGTAATCTCCAAACTTTTGTTGTCATTCGCTCGTCTAATCCGGTTTTGAGTGCTGCGATTAGGAGTATCCCCTACCCACATGATCACCCATTATTGCTTGTATGAGAAAGAGTATCGATAGCGTCCAAGCAAAGGCATGGAAACCGTTTTTGTGTATTGCGTCCTCTCAGTCCTAGACCCAACTTGATGCATGTCGTGTTTGTCGAATCAGCTCAAGCACCCCTGCACCAGACACCGTAGGCCTCCTCTAGACATGCAGGTTTGCGTGCCCTGGCCCACTGATCTCTCAGCGTAGACACTCAATCGTCTTGTCCTCCTCCATATAACGTCCAATCTCATTCAACTGCTGCTTCGCCACGATCGACCCATCCCCAACCACCGCCTTCAACCTTTCCTTCTCCTTCTTGATGTTCTTCTCAATCCTCCGTTTCGCGTCTCTGTGCAACACCAGTTCCCCCCGTGTATTTTCTAGATCTTCAGTAAGATATGGGAGGCTCGGTTCGTCGCGCTCACGCCGCACGCTGATCTCGAGGCCGACGGCAGTGCTCATGAGGTCACTGATGCGATCGCTGTGGAAGGAATAGGTGGCGATGAGGTTGTTTTGGTAGTCTGTCAGGATTGGAGATGACGGCGGTGATGATTCGGTAGTGATAAGCGATGTCTCGCTCATCTCCGTGTCGCTCCAGATGGCGTCCATTGTTGCTGTGATGTGCGAGTTGAAGCGGTGATGGAAAAGTAGGAGGAGTATGTGTAACAGTTGAAGTTGTAGTATTGACGTTGGTCGGTCTTATATCTCATAGTGCGGAGCGTTCGTCTTAATTTAGTGTCATGAGAGAATGGTCTGGATTCTGCAGTGAATGAGGATTAGCACCACCGAGATATTGGGGTGACCACGAGAAGGACCATTAGGGGGTGATCGTAGAGGAGAGAACGTGTATACGGTGTGTAAGGTGGATTGGGATCCGACAAGAGAGCGTTCTGTAGGTTCTCCAAGACGATGTGCGTCTTTGCTACCTCTTGGGGGCTATATTTGTGTTTGTCCTTCTCCAATCTGATGATTTTGATAACTGGAATTGTCACCTCGTTACTGATGATTGTTTAAACGCGGGCTGCAGGCTTTTGTGGGCTCCAGATGGGGAACTGTATGGGGACTACGAGACTATACCTACTAGTATCGTCTGCGTGCTCAAGTACGTCAATTTCTATCCAGAGAAATGTATGCCTGGCTACGACTTCGATCAAGATGACAACGCGGATGGGCCTTGAGTACAGCGTCGTCTTTGTCCTCGCTCTATGGTAGTAAAGGTACGCGAATGGGAAGGACATGAAGACTAGGGACTTTTATGGTGTAAATGCTAGACCTTGTCTCGCGTCGTACCGACCAGTTTAAGCACCTTCAAACGAGCCCGGTCTGCCGAACCGGCGAGTACGACGTAGACTATGACGAAGTCGTCACGGAGAGAAAGCAATAAAAACTATTACGGCTTTGGGAACGATGATGCATAAGCACAGTATAACTAATACTGATAGAGGGAACAACTACATGCTTGCGTGCCGGTGTTGAGCATACTAAGCCATGCATCCCACTGCAAATACCAGTCCGCTCCGTGATTCAATGCATCTACATACATGCCTAAACGATTATCCACATGTTGAAAATGGCTCTCCACAGCCTTTTTTTCTATATCTTTGTCATGCGTTCTCCATTTCCGAAAGTTGGCGTTCATGCACACGAACGTCCAACTTCTCAAAGCGCTGATCTAGAATCAGCAAGCACGCGCTCCTAGAGAAGACTTGCAAAGAAGACGAGCTCCAACGAGCACTTAATAATGGCGATGTTGGGTAGCATGTGCTTGTACATAGCATATACCGTAGCACGTTTGTGATTGACCGTGCTTCATGTCACGAAACAAGAGCAGAAGAGTATGGAAGTGTTTGAGCTAGGTAAAAGTCTCGTGTATTAACTAGCTTCCAAGCCAGATAGGTATCTTCAATCATATAACGGTTTAATGCACACAGCCACTCTTGGCAGCCACACTCATAAACATCGACGTATAGCATCAAACTGCCAACGACTGATTCTAGGTGCGAACATGTGCCTCGACATTGTGACCAGCGATAGCCTCTTCAGCACCAGCAACACTGTGCCTTCGGTCCTTGCCCATGTAATTAGAGTCCGGAAGCATGTTAAGAATGTCCTCCTGCTTATCCGTCTTGCGCTGATGAAACCAGAAGAGGATGCCACCGATGAACGCGAGGATAGCGACAGTCGTGTAGTTCCAGACCAACAACGGATCCTCGGACAGCGACACAAATGCCTGACCAAGCGCATTGGAGAAGGCAGACATGAAATGCCAGTAAGAGGTTACTAGCGAACGCATGTTCTTGGGTGCTTTTGTGAACGCAAACTCGAGTCCAGTAATTGACGTGAAGATTTCGGAGAAACCGACAAGCATGTAGGGCACGGCTTGGGTCCAGACGTTGATCGGGGCTGGGTCATCGCAGCTGTTCATGTATTCGCCGCAAGGGCCCTCGGCGTAGATGTAGTGCTGGATGACGGCAGCAGAGACCATGGCGAAAGATGCGAGGATGAAACCGAAGGCGATGCGCTTAATGGGAGTGAAGCGGATGTTTGCCTTGCGGAGAGCCGGGTAGAGGAAGTTGTCAACAATGGGAATGAAGATGACGAGGGAGATGGGGTTGAGGTTGGTAATGACATCGTTGGGAACACCGTTACGGGTCATTGTGGCGGCCTGAGACGTAAGATTGTTGTTCATCTGGTTGTAGCTCAGCCAGTAAAGAGGAATCCAGGTGAAGCAAGAGCACGCGCGCAGGCCACGAGCAACCTGGTCAACCCAAGCGTCGTCAAATTGCATCCAGGAAGGCTTGTTGGCACCGAGGTGGCTGGGCTTGACGTCCTCCCAGAAACGCTCACTCTTGAAGTTCTTGCGCGTAGTCGCAGGGTTGAGGGACCACTTGCCCTTGGTGGCGAGCTTCAGGACCTTGAAGGCGCGGATGAGAACGGAACCAGTGGGGGGAGTACGGATGTACTTGTTCCTGCAGACCCAAAGAACGACGGGGCAGAAACAAAACATGATGGTGGGTAGCAGCCACGCGCACCAGAAACCGACGTACTTCTCAACGTAGACCATGGAAATTTGTCCAGTGAGGGAGCCGATGTTGATGAACATGTAGAAGTCTTGGGATATGTTAGTGGTTTGCTTATAATATCGCATTGGGGGACAACATACACAAGAAGATACGAGAGAGCGTGATGTTCGGGTCAGAGATGACACGCTCGCCAGTCTTGGGGTCCTTGATGACACGGGGCTTGGTTTGGCGGTATTGTTCAGCGATCAAGGGCGAGATGTTGGCCTTGAAAGCTCCGGTACCGAAACCGAGGGTGATGACACCTAGAATGAAAGGACCGATGGCATTTCCACTGGTGAGGACAGCGGGAATGGCAGAGATGATGAGCAGGATGTGACCCAGGATAGAGAAGGCGATGGCGATGAAGATGGTGTTGAAACGCCCGAGGTATTCGTCGGCGATAATGGCACCGATGATGGGTGTGCTGTATGCCCAGAAAGAGTTGAATTGACCGATACCGAAGGATGCACGCTGTCCCATACCCAACGCACCTGGCTGGCCCTCTGACCGAGGATCCTTGCCAGTGGTTTGCGGAACACCATCAATCACAGGCAGGTCCTGCTGAATGAAGTTGGTGTCTTGAAAGCAATTAGCGAGCTAATTGGTATAGAGGTGAACGATAACATACAAAGTACTTGACAGCCGTAGTAACCAAACCGCTCGCAAAGCTCGACGAAGGCAATGGTGAAGGCAGTCCAGGGAATCTTGCCAGATACACGGCGGAGTGTCTTCAGCTCATCTTCCGTAGGCTCTTCGCCTTCCAAGTCGGCCTCGAAAACATCGGCGCCATGAGGTTGGTGGCTAAGAGTCGACGGTGTGCGATCGTCTGAAAGAGCACGCTTCTCGTCGACTTCGTACAAAGGCATAGCAGCCTTGCTGGGCTCGTTGGACATGGCCATGTCCACGGCGTTGGATGCAGCGTTGGCTGACATGATCGACAGCTACGGAAAAGGATGGGCGGTGCAAAAGAATGAGCTGCTGCTGAAGCGCAAGGGTTGGGCACAAGACCGCAATTATACTCATAGCACCCTTACTGTAGCACAGAAGCGGCAAATCTGCTCCTCCCAAGCGCCGTCTTGGTATTCCTTGACTGTCTCTCTTTCGAGCAGGTGTCCTATGTGGATACACTCCACCCTCGTTTCCAGGAATTGGTGGAATCTAGCTAGTGGCCCAAGCCGGCGGTTGACCCATACAGCGTCAAGGGACTATTTCGCAATGCCCGTCTTATCACCAGCCGGTGACTGGGCAAAGGCTGGGCGGGTAGGCGATGCCGAAAGTAAGACTACGATTTAGAGCTTCGCACCCGTCTTTGCAGGGCTTCGGTAAGCCAAGCTCCAGGGAAATGGGTATCTCGGCGCATGCGACGACATCGATTGAGTGCTTCGGCACTTGGCAGCGTTGCTGATCACACTATGTTCTGCTCCCTCCAGCCAGTCACGCGATGGGTAACCCTAGCTCTTTCTTATCTGGACGACGAGCTGTGCCATGATGACACCACGCCGCAGCGCAATACCGAAAAGCTTTCGCACAGACACGGTATGCACATGGGCGCTGACAGCTCGTGCGAAGGCCGTTCGTCGCTGCAGTGAAGAGGCAGCTGGAGTTGAGAGCCAGGACGTTGGTCCGGCGAGGATGTCGACGATCGCGTGTGTGGTCGCTCATGACCGCCGAACTCTGCTGCGACTCCGCTGCCCAGCTGGCGCCGAGCCTTCCGTCCCGCTGGGCGCTTCCTCGTCACATCAATCCTCGGCTGCTCCCCACACCATGAAACAGCCTTCGCATGCATGCGATGTAACTCCACCAAACTCGAACAGGCAGCTCGACCAACCGGCAGTAGAACGCCGTGTCGCTCTACAATCGCACACCAATCAGTGGTCGCGTTGTTCTCTCCAATTCACCTAGTGCGGACGCCCCGTCACCCTTCTCGAAAACGTCCATGGACGGCACCAGCATTGGCATATCCACCTAGCCACGCTTATCTCCTTGACAATAAAAGAAGCGCGACGAAACGAGACAAGAGCGCCGAAGAACTCCACATGGTCGTTGGCACGAGGCTTCGTTGCTATCAGCGGAAGCTTTGCCTCGCCTGGCAGCATGGCACATTGGCATTCCCATGGCCTGACCCGCTGTTTTCCGTCTTTGCTTGGCATGGCCTGTCCAACAGAACCATCTGATGATCACCCATACACCAACACAACGGGGCGCAGTAGGATTCTCTGCTAACACAGAACAATGAAGGATGCGGCTTGGCTGGGTGGCAATAGCGGCTGGTTATCTTCGCCCCATACTGTGCTGACGGTCCTCGATGGAATACAGACTCTGAAAGCTTACTGTCGACGCTGAATCAAACTAAGCACATGCGATCGGGTCTTCCGAGTCATTTCCTGGCTTATCAATAAGGTCTTTTGTGGACAGCTTCTGTAGTCTTAGCGCTGCACATGGTCGTTGCCGAGAACCGAGAGCATACCAAAAAGGCCAAGACCAGCAAGGGAAACCACCATCCATGTCCCGCCTGACAGCAGCAGCCGTACCTGAGGACAGACGCGGATATACTTGGTTAGTAAAGCCGCTAGATACCGGCCGACGGGTAGCGGGAGCGACGCTTGATGCCTATGCTCTTGCTTGTGTATGTAGCGTGAACGTTCACACGGATTATGCATCTTTCAGCGAAGTCTGTCAGTTGGTTATGATCGTCGCTGAATCCAGCTAAAGGACGTTATTCGGATACCGGCATGAATATACGACTACCCCGCATAACTCTCAAGCTCAATGACGTTCTTTAGTCGACTACGGGTTGATCCTCACCATGCAGTAGCGATTGACGTACCCCAGGTAGCAAATTTACTACACCTCGGAACTAGGATCCGATTTCAATAGGCGCACTCAATGAGATCATGTTACGGTGGGCGCTGATGAAAAGCGAGCATAGGTCACCGACACATTTGTACAAATGAATCTTGTTATGAATGTATTATCATTAATCGTCTAACAATATGTTTTCATCAACGTTGTCGTCAATGCTACTGGAGCGTCGCTTCCAACCATCTAGTTACCGATGGGGAGATCGCTCAAAGGCTCACCCTTGGACCAGTGGTTGATCCAGTTGAAGATCTCGGTGTGCCAGAACAAGCTGTTCTCCTGCTTGAGCACCCAGTGGTTCTCGTCGGGGAAGTTGAGGAACCTGGAGGGGATACCGCGGGCCTGGAGGATGTTGAACAAGCTCAGGCCGTCGCTCTCGGGCAGACGGTAGTCAAGAGTGTTGTGGATGACGAACTGAGGAGTGGACCAGTTGGCAATGTGGTTCTGGGGGTTCCACTCGCGGTACGCGTTGGAGTCCCAGATGCTGCCGTTGTAGTCGTGGCGGATGAACCAGAGCTCCTCAGAGGCCCATGCGCCCTCGGTGTTGGAGATACCGTCGTGGGTGACGAGGCACTTGAACTCGTTGCCGAGGTCGTTGGCCTGGATCCAGTTGGTCATGTAACCACCGTAGGAAGCACCGGCGGCGATGCCGTTCTTGGTGTCGATCCATGGCATGCTGGTGTTGACGTAGTTCCAGGCGTTGACCAAGTCGTGGTATGGCCAGCTACCCCATTGGCCCTGGATGGAGTCGGTGAGGAACTGTCCGAAACCGGTGGAACCAGTTGGGTTGGGGGCGACAATGATGTAGCCTTGGTCAGCCCAGACCTGAGGGTTCCAGCGGTTGGACCAGCTGTTACCCCAGTTACCCTGAGGACCACCGTGGATGTAGAAGGCGAGCGGGTAAGTTACGTTCTCCTGCCAGAAAGTAGGCTTGACAACGTAAGCCTGGAGTTGCTGCTTGAGCTCAGGGTTGGAACCATTGAAGAAGATCTCAGAAACAGTGTGGGATCCGAGACCAGCGAGGTTGGGGTCAACCTGAGACGCGTCGAAGAGGGTGTTCTTCTCTCCGTCGGCGAGGATGTACCACTCGCTGGGAGTCCAGATGGCGGTAGCAGCAACGAACAGCGAACCATCAGGAAGGAGGGCGAAAGCCGAGACGGATGTGTTCGAGGTCATAGGCTCGGGGACGAAGCTCTCATCGGCATCGACAGGGAAGTTGAAGATCTTGACGCGAGCGTAGTCATCAGCAGTGACGTAGATGGAGGAGTCGTCGTGAGCCCAGGTGATGGGTCCCTGAACCCAGCGGTCAAAGCCGGCACTCAGAGCCTTCCAGTTGCTGACAGCAACACCGGTACCTTGAACAGCGACGTCGACAGTGTAGAGTTGCCATCTGTCCGACTCGTAGTAGTCCTCATCCTGCTGCACGTAGGCGAGCTTGCAGCTGTCGGTGGAGAAGGAAGGGAGGCCAGAGGCACCCTTGTGGCCAGCCTCCGCCGCGAGGGAGTCTGGGCCGTTGAAGGCGATGGGAGCGTCGGAAGACGCGAAAGCACCAACATAGGTGTATGATGCGGTGTAGTTGGCCTTGTTGAGTTGAGGGGCCTTGCTCACGAAAGCGTACATGGAACCATCGGGGCTGATGTCGTAGTCGCTGGAGTCACCAAACGGCTGGATAGGGGTCTCAGGCGCAGTGGTGGTGAAGTTGATGCCCTTCTGGATGTTGCGCATGCCAGCGCCGGACAGCGCATAGCTGTTGTTCGCCGAGAGAGCTCCGGCGAAGAGGTTGTAGCGGTTCTTGGTCAGCCAGGTGTCCCAGTGGCGGACGTAATTGTCCGAGTAGTATCGGGCAGTCGTCACTGGCGTAACTTCGGTCTCGGGATTGACGGCAGTACCATTGGGGTAAGCCATGCAGTTTACGATGAAATGCATGTCTCCGGTCGAGGTGTTTGCGACCTTGAGACCGGAGTATGGCGCATCCAAAGAAGCGACCATCTTGCTCATGCTGGGCTGTTTGATGTCGCCAACCCACAGGGTAACACCACCGGGAACCTCCTCGTTGGTGCCATTGATGTAGATGATACCGGTCTCGCTACCGGGGATCCAGGCGACCTCGTTGATCTCGCTGGCGTTGAGGCCCGACTCGGTGATCTCGCCGGTCTTAAGATCGATGAGGTTCATGCCAGAGCCCGCGCTTCCGTGCTCCTCGAAGGAATACTGGGAGTACGAGAACAGAGCGACAGAGCCATCGGGACTGGCGTCAGCGACGCCACGTCGGACGGTGCTGAGAAGCCCTCTGTTTACTTGTCAGTAGTTGCGCATGCAATGGAATGCAATAATAAACATACTCAGGCGTAAAGGCACAGGCGCCGGTAGCAGCCAAAGCCGCGGCAACGCTGATGTATCGAGCCATTTCGTATGCGACCAGCTTCGTAAAAGCTCAATTGGACAAGGTCGATGGTCGGACGAAGCTCAAGACGGGCAGACAGCTTATTTGTACAACGAGCTGCTCGGTACCTAGCTGCAGACCCTGGCTGGACGATATTTTGCAAGCGGGGTGTTAGGTAGCACCGGGACCGGTACCTGGCCGTAATGGCGCTCCTCGTTGGCTACGCACTCGGTGATGCCATCAAGCTCGCCCTGTAATGCGGTTGCTGCTATACCAAACCTGTGGAAAGATGGGCGCTGTTCACGACCGCTCCTTCCTGATGCAGGCTAGCGCTGCGGGCGCACAAACAAGCTCGCCGTCGGTGGGAACGTAGAAAGCATGTTTCTGCGTCGTCCTATCGCGACACGGCCCACTTGTCCCGCAGTCGTGGCTAAGACTTGGCGGGGCATCTCCATGCAGCTCTCACGTGAAGCTCCGCAAAGCTCTCGCCCAGAGTGATGGCGCCCGTGCCAAGGCGCGCCGTCATAATCAAGCCGGTGGCGGATAAAACGGCGCACCTCTTTTAGGCAGGTCGATAAAAAGTCCAACACCCAACTTTTACACATCGATAGCCAGTGCGGCGTTGCTGTGTCGCTTGTATGCTGCCTTGCCTGATGGAGAGGCTGGGAGTGCTGATATCGTACGGGCTGCCTCGGTCTGGCTCGGGCCTGCTGCGCGCCTAACACTCTCAATCTTCCATCTGCAAATTGGCGATCGGCACCTGCCTTGCCTGGCTTAGATGTGCAGACCCTATTGATGCAGCTGCTTCTTCGCGTTGGTGATGGCGCATGCCGTGCTACCTCGATGACATAGAACGAATGGGCTGAGCGGCGGCCTCGTATCGCACCCAACAAACTGCGCATTTGCGATCGATGACAAGACGCATGTACCTTGCTGTCCGCTCTCCTGCTGCACGTCTGCCCTGATCCGATCTCTCTTGCTTCCTAAGGCACGACCCCATATCTGCGAGCGTGCCAAAGACTGCCAAAATACCGACAACGCGGCAACCGGTATCTGCGTATCCACAGTCTCGGAAGCAGTTCGTTGTCATTGCGGCTGTCGCGCCTCGTTCGTGGTCCAGGGATAAGGAACCTGAGTATTGCACCTTAGGTCTGTATAGCCGCAGTGGACCCATGTAGTAGCTTTTCCGATCTGGTGTGGTATTGTCGTTAGCAACCTTATCTGAGATGCGGTACGTCCATACCGCGCGACAGTGACACGGCAATCCGTGTTGAAGATTTCTTCGTGGTTGCCGGCGTACGAAACTCGCGCTTGCCCCGCGCCCTCACGTGCCTTGCGGGCCAGCCATGACGGACTGGACGCGTTCGATCAAGTCTCTACAACACCAAACTTCTGTCTCCGACCATCATCGAATGTTTCCAGGTCAGCATGGTCCGAAGCCGTGAATGATAGTATTGCGCTGCTTGAGGGCCAGCCAAGCGACGAATGTGGCAGCCTCACGACTCCCGCGGAAAGTGTTGACGAAGGATAGAGTGCGCCTTTGACTCAGACTGGGCCGGGTCTCGATTTGGGCAGAAACTTTCGGCGCAATCACATGCAGTTTGATCGTCTCTTGAAGTAACTCAATTGGATTCAACTTCTACTAGATGGTCTCTCAGATGTACGCCGCAACGAACGGGTCGAACGCCAACGGCCTACCCTCTCTAAGAGCTATCGTCTGCCGACATATCGATAACTCCATTCAGTACTCTCGCCTCAAACCTCAGCTTCTTCCGCAATTCGTATAGGATGTCCTCCAGATCCCAAACTGCATTGACCAGTTCCGTTCTAGCCCCAGCAACTTCATATCTCAGAGCACCAGCGTCCCACACCTCATTTACAACGCCTACTACGCTTACCCATTCCTTAAGCTTCACGTTGGCGTCCTTCACATCATTTGCCGAGTTCTTGAGAGCCGGTACGAGCAGGTCTTCTTCTAATTGTTTCCTTAACCACTCAGCGTCTCTTAGGTTTCCAGCGTGGTGTGGTTTGTGTTCGAGGTATTGTTGGCAGCTTTTCCATTTGCTCATCACATCGAGAATGTCTTCAATAACGACGGTGTTGGCAGTGGTGGTGGGAAGTTTGGAACTCATGGTGTAGATGACGAAGAAAGTAGGCGTAGAAGAATGATGTTATAGTCGTTGTGAGTTTGCTACTTGTGCTTGCTGTACATGTATAACCATGAAGGGAATAATGTCCCGGTTGGCGGCGCTTTTGAGGGTCTCAGTATGCACCAGACAGATATATAGCTTTGTAAAGATTCCAGCCTTGACTGTAAAGGGTAGAAGGCCACCTGCTCAACTTTTGGGGACTTGGATGCATGCATGCCACGACTCAATAAGAAGTAGTCGAGTCGATCCTTTCTTGCTCAATGTCAAACATTCCCAAAACAAGTCTGATCAATATCTTCTCTGAAGGAAGACCAGGTATGTCTCGCGAAGAAGTCCAAATCTTCACGAAGCATCATCCCGAATTTTGTTGCCAAACTTCCGCAAAGTCCACAACCCCAGCATTGGAAAGCCACGGATGGCCGTGGGCGACATGAACTTTCCCCACTTAATGCAATGAGCCTTCGACATTCCGAATACTCCCGGATTAATTATTTCCGGCCTTTCAAAAAGCTGCAACATCCAACGCCTCTCCTGCTTTTCTCATCCTTTGCTTGAGTCCCTCCACTTCCTTCTCCAGCACCTTTGATCGCTTCTCAGCTTGTACGAAACATGCCTGGCTTTGACTGAACTGATCCCGAAGACCGTTGTCTTCGTTGATTGTATTGGCGTGTCGCTCGACCAATTCATCGTATTGACTTTGGATGCCGCGGTACGCATCTTGACTGAAAATGCTTTCGTTCTTGACTCTGCTTATCTCAGCTGTGAGTCTGGCGACTTGTGCTTGGAGCTGATAGTTTACTGCCGTCTGTACTCTGAGTTGTTCAGCAGTCATTGTTTGCGTGTCGATCTCTGCTCTCAAATTGGTATTTTCTCTTTCACTGTTTGATATTCGGGCTTCCACGCGGGTTGCCATAATCGGATGTTCTGGGGTTAGTGATCGCCGTATGATGCTGTGCGGTGGATTTATGTATGGAGATATTAGCTTGGAATATGATTTAAGCTATCGCATGTACGCACGATATAACTGTAACCACGACGCTTAATCCTCGCTATTATGTATTAGTTCTTCCAAGTGGAATAATTGCGGATCTTGTAACTTACCTGCTGTTGGCATGAACCCATCGTCGCCGGTGCGTTTCTTAGATGCGACAATGTCGTGCGTCAAGTCAGGCTTGTCTGGACCCGGGTCTGGTTTCGGAGTGAATGTTGGTACAGATTTCTGTTGCTGCTTCTGTACTTTTGCGTGAGGCTTTGGGCGGCTGCCTTTATTTGCGATCCACGCGCAAGCTTTCGAAAAGTCCATCAAAAAATACCTGTAGCTTTCGATTACTCAATGTGACCAGAAGCTAAGAAGAAATAAAGTGCCATCGCCCGTATTCTGTTATAAAAGGTTTGTTCGCCAACTGAATGGTCTCCAAGATCACAAAAGGATTCGTCAATGTCGACATGACTGAGGCTGCACCGTTGTATGCGATAGATGCTTGAGTCTGGGTTGATATAAAAGTATCCAATCTGATGATGTTTCAACCCATGCACGAAGACGTAGACCAAAGGTTTGAAATCCAGAAACCGGGCGTCGAAAGTGCCTAGAGTAAATACCATCTCGGACGCGTCCTTTGGCCAATAAGCGTCGACTATTGGACCAAAGCTCTTGCGATGGCTGAATTTGATGGTCTCGGAAGTCGGGAGCTTTTCAAAGTCATCGGGTATGAGGGATTGTGCATGTCTGGAGATTGTTTGCGTAAACTAATTCTGTGCGCTTTCATCGATAATGATGGGGTTATCGGTATTGGCATGTCTCATCGTGGGGAAGCGTTGCCGTCTAGCACTGCCAGATCAGTAACTGTGGGCTCAACGGGCTGTTAGTATTGTCCCAATTGCGATGGTCATGTTGCACGCACAAGGTAGTGTTGCAGAGGCGAAAGAGAAGGGCCGAGAAAGATGTGTTTTGTAATTAGATGTGATGAGAGATAATGTTTGGATTTGAAGGAGATTAGAGACTTATATATAGAGGCACGATATCAAACTCTAGGTGTATGAAGTGGTAGAATGTAGGTTACAAGAGTGGTAGAATGTAGGTTACAAGAGTGGTATGTGAGAGCGATGTACGGGCCCTGCATGGACATCGAGAAGCTATCCCGACAAGGTAAAGGTGATCAGATGCAGGTTGGGTAAGAACAAAATTCCTACGAGGATTATTAACAAACCTGGTCGACCAGCATCACTGCGGCCCTGTCAATTGTCTTGGATGAGCCTGTACGTATGATTGCAGGGACACGACAGGCTCCTTACCACGCGCATGTAGTCATAGAGCTCAACAAAGTAGTGCTATATCTAGTTCACGAATTGAGAGAAAGGCACGATCGTCTATCGGCCGCAGGCGGTCGGTCATGTGCGAGATGGCTGATGACGTCGTAGTTGCCCTGATGGATCTATCGTCGTTGCGGCGCAAACGTTCAGGAATACGAGCACCTCGTCCCGACCATCGTGAAGTTCCACCAAACACCGTTTCGCGTACCATCAAGATTGCGGAGATTTCGTCCACGTGTACAACGATCGAAATGCGCGCTACCATCGGCTGTTGACCGGTTCGGCGGACTTGCTGAACCAGTTGTCGCCGATCTTCTCCCACCCCGCCATCCATCTCCACAATCCACCAGTAAAGCTTGAGCCTCACTCCGCACGCTTAACTGGTCTTGTCTCCGCGCCCAGCTTTTAGGCTGAAGTACGGTGCGACTGTTAGACTTCATTTTGCTTCCTCAATAGCTGCCGTAAATGAGTTAATGACGTGTTGATCATGAGGAAAGCATGGTGACCTATAAAAGATCTTTGGTACGGCGGCCAGTATGCGGCTATTGACCGCTATCCATCGACGTCAATCATGCGACTTCAACTCACCACACTGTTGTGCGTGCTGAGCTTTGCTTCAGCGGAAGATGGCTCACAGGGCTGGCTGCGCTACGCTCCTATACCGGACGGGCCATGCGCACAGTCAGTACCCGCGAAGATCATCGCCCTGAACAGCACGAAAGTGAGCCCTGTCTACACCGCAGGCCAAGAGCTTCAGAGGGGCGTAGGGGGCATCATCGGACGAAAGCTCAACGTGAGTTCTAGTGCAGACCAAAGCCAGTCTGCCATCATTGTGGGAACTTGGGACGCCTACGTAGCGGCGTACGGAAGCATCGATGAATGCGAGAATCTGGACGAAGATGGTTTCTTCCTCAGCACAGCTACACCTGGCAAAGTCATAATCGTTGGAGAGAACGAGCGCGGCGCTCTCTATGGTGCCTTCGAATATCTTTCTCAGCTCGCGCAAGATAACGTCACGGCTGTCTCAGCGGTATACAACCCGCAGGTACCCATCCGATGGACTAATGAGTGGGATAATATGGATGGCAGTATCGAACGGGGCTATGCAGGGTTAGTGATCTTCATTTACGAACAACATGTGAGACATATACTGACTTCGTACATCCGCATTCAGCCCTTCACTATTTTTCCGGGACGGTTTCGTTGTGGACAACACGACGCGGGTCGCTGAATACGCTCGCCTGCTCGCATCAATTCGTGTAAACGGCGCCATCATCAACAACGTCAACGCAAACGCCACCCTACTCAACGATCGCAATGTCGAAGGCCTTGGTAGACTCGCTGATGCGATGCGACCGTGGGGTGTGCAACTTGGGATATCACTCAACTTCGCATCTCCAAATGCTTCGTTAGGCACATTTGATCCACTCGACCCAAAGGTAGATGCATGGTGGGCCAACATTACCGACCGAATTTATTCCAAGGTTCCAGACATGGCCGGCTATCTCGTAAAAGCGAATTCAGAGGGACAGCCAGGCCCATTGACTTACAACCGAACACTCTCAGACGGCGCCAACATGTTCGCGAGGGCAGCCAAACCCCATGGTGGTGTCGTCATGTTCCGTGCCTTCGTGTATGACAATCACATCAATGAGACCAACTGGTACAACGACAGAGCAAATGCGCAACTGGAATTCTTCCAGCATCTCGACGGGAAGTTTGACGACAACGTTGTTGTTCAGATCAAGTTCGGCCCGGTATGTCTACAGACGTTATTCATCTGAGAGCAGACTAACGTGTCTCCGTTTCTCCGCAGATTGACTTTCAGGTTCGAGAACCCGCATCGCCACTATTTGGATCTTTGCGCCACACAAGCACAGCTATCGAGCTACAGATCACGCCAGAGTATCTCGGCCAGAATTGCCACCTAGTCTACCTTGCGCCACAGTGGAAGGAGATACTCGAATTTGATATGAGATCTGACAATCAGTCATCCAAAGTCAAAGACATCATCACTGGAGAGCGCTTCAAGCGACCATTGGGTGGTTATGCAGGCGTGACAGGAGTTGGATCAAACGCGACGTGGCTAGGCTCACATCTCGCCATGTCCAATCTGTATGCCTACGGACGACTAGCCTGGGACGCATCGGCGGACCCCGAGACTATTCTGCAAGACTGGATTCGATTGACATTCGGCTTTGACCAGGACGTTCTTGACACCATCACCGATATGTCCATGAGGTCGTGGCCCGCATATGAAAACTACAGCGGCAATCTCGGTATCCAGACCTTGACAGACATTTTGTACACACATTTTGGACCAAACCCTGCTTCGCAAGACGGTAATGGATGGGGCCAATGGACGCGCGCCGATGCACTCAGTATCGGCATGGACCGTACCGTGAAGAACGGCACTGGCAATGCTGGGCAGTACCCGCCCGAGGTCGCTCAGATCTTCGAGGACATTGAATCGACACCGGACAATTTACTGCTCTGGTTCCATCACGTTCCGTATACGCAGCGACTGAAATCTAACAAAACTGTTATTCAGCATTTCTACGACGCCCACTACGAGGGTGCTGCTACTGCGCAGGAGTTTGTCGGACAATGGGAATCCTTGAAGGGCAAAATCGACGACGAGCGATTTGAACACGTCCTGTTCAGACAGGTCTTTCAAGCCGGCCATTCGCTTGTGTGGCGAGATGCAATCAACGAGTTCTACCACAACCTCTCGCAGATAGCAGACGAGAATCAGCGCGTAGGCAATCACCCGTACCGCATTGAGGCGGAAGATATGATGCTGGATGGTTTCATGACTTACGCCGTAAGCCCTTTTGAGACCGCTTCCGGGTATACGGCTATCGTTGCTGTGTCAAACTCCACAGCGGGCGTCGCGACCGCTAATGTCACGTTCGCCTCGGGAACGTATGACGTCGCTGTTAATTATTACGATTTGATCGGAGGTAAAGCGAAGTACGAACTCAAGGTTGGCGATCGTATCGTAGGTAGCTGGGTGGGGGATCTGGAAGACAAGCTGGGGCACGCGCCGAGCGTATATCTCGATGGGCACTCGGCGACGCGCATCACATTCAGAGGTGTTGAGGTTCAGCAAGGTGACGTGGTGCGACTCACTGCGCAGGCCGATGGGATAGAGCCCGCCCCGGTCGATTACCTCTCATTTTTGCCACCTGGCATTGTTGACTGAATCGATTGTGCAGGAAGGATGTACAAAAAAGAAAAAAAGATGCGAAATTGAAATTGACGTCCTCGCATTCGCAGACGCGACAATCTAATGTTTCCACTGCCCAGTCGGCTTCATTTCCACTGCCGGGATCCCCTGCGCGCCTCCCGTTCCGCCTAACCCACAATAGCGACTTGTCTCCTATTCCCCCAGCCATGGCAACACCACAGCCCAGTCGTTGGTGGCATTGAGAGACGGGGAATATACGCTGCACTCCCGCAATTTGAGGCCCGTCTCTTGCATTAGCCACTGCTTTGGAGAAGCAAAGCCCAACAACACCCAATCCTTCCTCAAACAATGCGCAGCCTGTTTCCTTCGTAAACTGAGTGTGATCTGTGTCTTCCCCCTTTCGCATCCAACGTCGTGGGCCACCAAGTAACCGGCGGGCACGCAAAAGCTTGAGATCCGTGCCGCACGCCAGTACTTCACGATGTGACAAGCTCGTCAGCTCCGACCAAGCCAACACACCTTTCGAAAATCGCCGACAGCATCGCCGTCCCCAAAACAAACACGACAGCCACGACAGCCCGGCAGCGCCCTCAACGTCTTTTTCAAAGTGCACATTAGCATCAACTTTGTCATCGCACATTCAAACTAATGTCGCGTCCTAGTACAGTCGCTGCCCGATGCGCTGCGCTAGGAACTTCGATCGCCCAGGTAGCCGCTTCACATGTTCGACTTTGCAGCTACACACGCTAACGCCCAAAGCAGGTCATCCCGGATATCAGCAGCTTCGCACGCAAACACCGCGATGCGCGTCACGACCTAAACAAGATCAATAGCGATCTGCTTGTGATCAAGACTGGACTGAGTGTTGCGCAAGACGACTTTTCGGCAAGGTGGGCCGAGCTACCGGCGTCTCTTATTGATGCTGTTTCACGCGTGCTGGACTCATGTGACGACACCAGTGAGCGATTGCACAAGGCCTTTCTCAAGCTCTCTTATGGTAGTAAACCGAAAGAGGACTGGCGTGCGCTGAAGGACGGATCTTTGGTGAATCTACGGCATGATCTTGACGCTTCGAAGGTGGTGCTAGAGTTATGTCTGGACTATGTCGCACTGTAAGTCGTTCACACCAGAAACGAACGAGTATTGAACGAAAACTGACTCGACTTAGGTTCTGTCAACAGGACACTCTAGATTCTTTACTTCAAAATTATGTCAGCAACCTCATCACGCAAAGTGATGAATTGCTAAAGAGGACGGACACAGACGAGATTTATGTGAACCAAACAGCACGCGACAAACTATCTTCATTACTACAGGCTGTCCGTCTGCTCCGATCATGTATCACAGCTATTTCGCGGGAAGGGACACCGTCGGCATCACAACTAGCAAAGAGGACTACTCTTCCACGTCCAGATTCTCTAGAGCCAGCCCTTGGCGAGGAGCCTCGAAGCGGCAGGAAGAGCCCTCACGAACAAGCTTCAACACGAAACAGCGCTAACGACGGCATCGGCACATGGCTCGCCAACGTTCCGTCCTTTGAAGACGCGCAGACCCTCTCTTATTCTGCACTCGAACAAACATCTGTTCCAAGGCGACTTCTGATACCGCCATCCCGGGATGACATCACCCCATCGCGTGGTACATTTTACACCGATGATGGTGCGGCATCAAGTCCCACGCTGGTACCACCAGAGTCCCGACTCAAGAAGTCATACAGCTGGTGTACTGATCTCTCAGGGAAGGCGAGCACTCGGTTACAACTTGCGTCCCGACACGCATCGAAACAAGCATCAAAATATACATCAACGCTGTCCAGCTCAGACGTCTCCATCTTCCAGAAGAAGATCACCTCGGACCGGATAGCTGTGACGAAGGGCAAACGAAAAGAGCTGGAGCCAAACCAAAGGGCGGCGGTTGATCGAATTCTGGCAAACATACCAGCGGAAGCGACAGCTGCCGAAGTGGAGAGGGTGATATGGGAAGGCGCAAACCCGATGGCGACGCATCCAGAGTTTGGGTACTTCTTCATTCGAGTAGCGTACGAAATGTCGCCAGATATCCTCACCCTTCTCTTGGATTTTGGGGCTGACATCACTCGTGTCAATCCGGCACCATCATCGTACTACTCGGCAATGCATGCCGCTACATTGGGACGACAGCTTCAGACTGTTCGTTACCTTGCTTCTTTGGGTCACTCGATCGACAACCCTGACCATGATGGAGAAACGCCTCTCCATCTCGCTTGCAGGACGCCTGGCGCGTCTGCGATAGCAAAGTACCTTGTTGAAGCTGGTGTGGACGTGAACTTTGAGGCGAAGAACGGACGTACACCGCTACAGTCCGCCCTCAAAGCGGTCAGGCTCGAGGGCAAGGAGAGAAGCATGCTGATTGAGCTCCTGCAGACACATGGGGCTGAGGGTGAAGTGAAGAGGGATTTGGACTGTGGGAGGGGTAACGAGAAGGGAAGACATGTGCTTGGATTAACATGAACTTCCAGGTTGATCAGGACAAAATGAAAGTTCCTTTGTTTCTGCTTCCGGCGGCGACGATTACTTCTCTCATTCTTGGGCCTCGCGCCATATCTGATATACTAGGATGGTCATTTGGCTCCGCTTTGTACCCGCAGGGTCTCTTCAGGCGTTGTTATAATACGGTGGTCAACTGAGAATGGCGAAATCGGAAAAGATACCCAAATTATTGTATCACAATCATAATCAATGATATTGAAGCTCTCTGAACCGAACTACAATACTGCTGAGTATTCTTTCCGTCATGTTGTTGATCTGGAAGGCACTCTGAAAGCCGAAACGTCTCTAGCCGCCGCTAACTTATCGTAAGGTCCACTCTTCGTCGGCCACCTCCGCTACCAAAGGCTCCCCCATCTGAGCTTCCCACCCATCCCCAGACATCTGTAGCACACGACTGATCCTCACAACGTGTTATATGGCCAATATGGAAAACACGTACAAGATGTGGGCGGAAGGAAAGGAGGTGGAAGGTCGTGCGGAGCAGTCAGTCAGCGGGACCCCTCATTCGTGACCCACCCTAATTGCTAACAATATCATAGACTCGCCATTGAAGACCCCGCAACTGGGGAAATCTTCGCGCACTGCCATGCTGCATCTGCAGCCGATGTTGAGGATGTTGTCCAAACTGCACACAAGGTCTTTAAATCGGGAGTGTGGTCGAGAGCCCCGCGCCATGTGCGTGCGGACACGCTGGACCGTATCGCGGAACTCCTGACCAAGAATCTCCCAAGACTTATCGCGCTTGAAGTACAGCAGACCGGACGCGCCATTCGTGAGATGAATGCTCAGGTTCCGACCCTTACGAAATGGTTCAAATATTACGCCGCATTGATACGAACAGAGGAGCGCTCTGTCTTGCCTACGGTCGGCAAACTACACAATTGGGTTGACCGTAAGCCGCTCGGTGTAGTCGCGCAAATTACGCCGTTCAACCACCCAATGTTGATTGCTGTCAAGAAGATCGCACCCGCATTAGCCGCGGGCAACTCCATCGTGCTGAAACCAAGTGAGCTGACGCCGCTCACCAGCATCGAGCTTGGCAAGCTTCTGAAAGAGGCCGGCTTGCCCGACGGCGTTTTTTCAGTGTTGTCAGGCGACGGTATCACGACCGGAAAGGCTCTTGTGGAGCATCCGCTCATCAAAAAAGTTGATGTTACTGGCGGCACACCAGCAGGACGCGCCATCGGCGCCATCGCAGGACGCAATCTGGCACATTACACCGCCGAGCTTGGTGGCAAGGCTCCGCTCATCGTGTTTGAAAAAGCGCACATGGATCTTGCGGTCAATGGCATTGTGTTCGCAAGCTTCATAGCCAGTGGTCAGACATGTGTGGCAGCGACGCGTATCATCGTGCAGAACAACATCATCGATCAGGTAGTGGAGAAGCTAAAAGCCAAGGTGCAGAGCATTGAGAGGCGGATGGGCTCGCCGAAGAATGTGGAGTCTATGATGGGTCCCCTCATATCGGCGAGACAGCTCAGTAACGTTGAGACACTAGTCAACGACGCAAAGGACGCAGGTGCGACGGTTGTCACGGGCGGCCAACGAATGACTCACGAATCTTCACTGGACGACACCGATTTCTCGAAAGGCTACTTCTATCCACCAACAATACTGATGGATAGCACCACAAAGAAGATTGTCGATACGCGCATATGGAAGGAAGAGGCCTTCGGGCCTGTCATCGTCGTCGTAGGCTTTGACACAGAAGAAGAGGCCTTGGAGCTTGCGAACGACAGCGAATTCGGCCTAGGTGCAGCCATCTGGACACAAGATCTTTCGCAAGCTTTCCGCGTGTCGGAGAGCATCGAGAGTGGCATCTGCTGGGTCAACACGCATCATCGCAACGACCCGAGTTCCCCATGGGGCGGGATCAAGAGCTCGGGAGTGGGTAGTGAGAACGGTATCGACGCATACAATGCGTATACAACATCGAAGAGTACGATTATAAACTATGCGACTGCGGACGAAGGGCTGGCTAGCGATGACTGGTTCAGGGAGGGCGCTGGCGAGGTGAGATATGGATGAGAGATACCGTGTCTCGATCTGGTGAAAGAGAGGCCGCTATCACACGGAACGTAATGTTTCGTAGAAAGCGTCATTCTTGAACGTCTCGTGTGCTCTAACATAAGCACAGTAAAAGAACACAACAACGGCAATTTCCTATATCATTCCGTACAAGAACTGAATAGAAGTAAAGGAAGGAAGACATTGCTGGCGCTCTGGGTATCCCAGCTGACGCTCGTGATTTCTAGTAGATGGTTCTGCTCATTTCAATATCTCATCAGATCATTGTCGATGATCTCGTGTCTTTCGAAACATGTATACGTGATCGATACTTTCTCTTCAACAATCTGTGACTGGAACCTGGTGGTTGCTGGAACTTTCGCTGAAGGGGGTCTTGCGAATGGCCTAGGCCAGTGAGAAAGAGAGTTTGTGACTAGAATAGGTCACTTCATATGCTAACTATTCCCTACCATACGTTGTGCTGATCTAACCTTCTCTCAACCCTAAGCATCCTGCTGAACTAGTGGCTAGATCTCCAACTCTATCGTCCGATCATGTCAAGCACGAATCGAGATGCGCCAGTGCATGTACCATCCGGAAGTCAAGGAATGGTTCACAAGTCTAATTCATCTCTGACTCTCTCGTCCACTTCGGAGTCCAGATTTCCTGCCATAATCCCATCTGTATCACGAGAGCGAGGCACAGACCCTGATGCTCCTTGGACGGCCAGCACGTGGGTAGGGAATTTCAATAAGGAGAAGATGTTTAGAGCACTGCAGAAGGCGGGCAAACACGTCAGTGTATATGGCAATACGCCTTGGAGAAACTTCGCGTCATGGGATTTCGCCAAGGCTATCGTCGTCTGTCGCAATAAGCGCGTCGACCAAGGACTTATCGAAGGAACACCAGTCATGGACACTGAGAAGAAAATCTATACGCGAAAGCCACGATCCATCGGCTCCGCCACAAAGAACGATCTTTCCCATATACATACAGCTCCAGGGAAAGAGCCCAAATTGATAACGAAACGCCAAATTCGGCTCATTCTGGGGGTCCTCCGTTCACAGCTTCTCATGATCAAAAATGCTGCTAGTGATGAGGCGGAAACCATGCAGCACGGCAGTCCACAAGGGGGAGTAGATGACACAAATCTACTTGGCAACCCTTACCCAGAGGATAGCAGGACACCTCTCACAGACTACAGGATCATATTTGACAGCTCTTCGAGGCCCATCATTTCAGGCGAAGCTGAAATGCTGGTTCGCATGGTCTTGCACCGTCAACACAAATCTCTCTTTTACCGCCAGCAGTGCGGAGACATTGCCGACGAGAAGAAGTTCTACTCGGAGTGCCTTGGAGGAGTCTATGATGTTGAAAAGGCTAAGCTATGGCGAGAGATCATGATGAGCATCAGTGGTGACATTGAAGATAGCGAGATAGGAAAGCAGGTAAGAGCTATTGTCAACGACACTTTTGCCGATGTAGATGATCTGTAGAGGAACGGTCGGCTTTAGGCAGGCCGCGGCGATAGTCCGATAGTGTTAGTCTGCTAGACATTTAATAAATCGTGCTCTCAGAAGTTAGTATTGCGAGAGGGAGTGCTTTGGTGTGTGCCAAATGGAACGGACGAGCAAAGCCCCGGAGATGGCTGGGGTCACGTGGGGTATCTTGCGTCGCGAGAATGACATCATCATTTCGGCGGAACTTTGCGACGCGTTCACGGGTCGCAACCTACGGCTGCAACACCGCCCATCGACAATTCCAAGTATACACTGCTCTTTTCAGCATACGCGTCATGTTCAAAAGCTTCGATTAGTACGAACAGCATGAAGCGCATGCAATGCCCGCGCAACTGGCCATGCAGCGGCCTACCAGGGGTGGCAGCCACAGCGCTCCAGGGCTCGATATCTCTCCAACCCAACAAGCAAGTAAAAAGGATCAGGCTCTCTTGATGACAGATATTGGAATAGTTGCCATATACGTTATTATGGCTGACCTACTAAAATCACAACAAGACAGATGTATATAGGCAAACAATCCTCTCGTTTATGAGCCCCGAGCCTAAGGCTGAATATACACCCAAAATCGACTCGATTGGCACACACCAACTTCCGTACTACTCATCGTCAAGAGAAAATCGTCGTCGGTAGGATCGTTCAAGCTCCACAGCATCTTTTGCTCCCCAGCGCGACGCTCGTCCTCGGCATCCAACTCGCGATCGCCAATCTTGCCTGGATACCCAGGTGCTAGAAGCTTGTCGAATAGAATCCGTCCACCGATTGCAACATCGTCGCTAGCCTTAGCTCGAGAGACAGCACGCTGCTCTTCGTGGTCTAGGTTGTCCGTAATAAATGCAGGCAGGGGTGGAATGTTGTGCCTGAACTGAACGGGTACACCGACTAGTCTGATGGCCAAAGCGATACTGCTTGCTACGGAAGCGCTTGTTCTCAGGGCCAGGAGCTTTCGCGCAAATGTCGCACTCGATAGTCTCCTTCACATGGCACGCGTTGGCATAATGCACGTCTGCCTTTTCACAGTACCAACAAAACTGAGCAGTGCCCCACGTCTGCGGCGGGATAGTCTTCTTCTCCTCAGCAAGATCGGTCCATATAGCATGGATAGAGCGGCCGGCGATAGTGCAGTCCCATGGGAATTGATCAGGAGGCGCACCCAGATACAGTACTGGGAAGAGGACGACGAAAAAGAACAGTGTCATCCCATACACTGCATCGTTGGAGCTGCTGTGCATCCAGATGCTGGTGGTGTTGACTTGGAGTCCACGAAGAAGCTCGACGAACCTCGGCAAACTTTTACCGCGTTCTTTATCTGGTGCAGCGACGGTACCAGCGTGGCTCGCCAGTGCTCTAAGCGATCGGATCGTGAGCACGACACTGTAAAGCTTAGTGGTGTTAAGGCCCCATTGCTGCTCCAGCTGGCGCTCATAATTATTCAGGCCTTGACCAAAGAAAATTACTGGCCTCTTCGACCCATCGTCGCAGCGCTGAAAACCGAGAAACTTGACCAGGACTGCTTGGGCCGCAGACTTCGTAACGAAGCGCGTTTGACAAAACTTTGGGTTCGGCTCGGAATGATCGAAAGGTATACCAGATTTGTCTTTCCCCTTGTTCCGCATGTGACACATCTCCACGATGGGGATGTAATATACCGCAAAGTTTCGAATGAGATCTCCAGAATCACTTTGACTCTTGCAGTCACGAAGCTTCTTCATCGGAGAGACGGCTAGACTACACTCATTGATGATCTTCACCGGGCTATCGGGAGGTTGGTTGTACCATTCCAGGTCTAGACATACACCGAGCGTATCATCCCACTCTGCCGGTGCGCCTGGGATCGGAGTAGTGCTGAATCTGCGCACGAGGTCAAGAGCTTTGCGGCCCTTGCAGAAAGCCTTGATACCCTCAAGAGTGTTCGGAAATATTGTAGTGACCGAAGCCGTGTTGAGTGCTCATGGTGTATGGCTTTGACGATTAGCATGGGTCACGAATGATTAGAGGTTTTCCATACCTCTATATATCCGGAGATGGGGAAGTATTACTTCGAGAACTTTGATCTGACCTTTTCGACACAGATCACACGACCTTCGCGTTTCGATATAATCTCTATTGGTCGAGGAGTCGAGTTGAGCTTCGCTCTGATGGCCTCTGGGAGCAGAAAGCAACATTCATATATTGACAGAGCAGAGTAGCCTGGGAAATAGCGCATGAAAGGCCAGGAGAAAGAGGTAATCGCAACAGGGACGACATATGCAGCGCTTACGCCCGAACGGCAAGAAACATATTTATTGACTTCGCTGACTCAGTCACTGGGCCGACACAGAGTCAAGAATGGGTCCGAACAGTCGGTGATGGCATCGAGAAACTAAACGGCAAGAAGCACTCAAGCGGCCAGCAAGCCAACTGCTCGCTTGATCAGTCCTAGGGGCCGAACGCTGGACGTTGAACAAGCTTCAGCTCGATGCTGGAGAATTGGCTCTTGGTACTAGCCAAACCCGCAACAATGCAACTCTAGCAATGTTTGTGCATTGTAAGTCGACTTTCCTAACATTACAGCGCCAGCCAGCTTGTTCGCCTTCCCCTGTTGGTCAGACATTTCAAGCAGACCGTTCGCACTTTGGGTTGAAATGAGAGTCAGATCATGCGGATTCGTTTTTGTCTGGGGTGACAGCACTATCAGTTTCTAATGAGAATTCAAGCTATTCACCCTTATATCAGCAGGTACAAAGAATATCTGGTCACTGTAATAACGTTCAAAGACGCTCATACTACTCAAAACCCCACTCCCCTCATTAGGCTTGTTGAATTGTCTTCTTGCAATCATGACCAGGTGATTTACCACCGTTGACTTGCCAAGCTGCCTTGTGGGTCCACATGCTAGGGCTCAACCAACTTCTCCAAGACCTCATCCATAGCCCTGTCCGCCTCGCCCATTCTAGCCTCGTTATCATCCCCAGGAAGCTGCCATGAAAGACTGTTCTGTAACCTCTCCCAAAATTCCAAATAATCTCTCATCGGCTCACCCAGCACCGTCTCGACCTCATCCTCCGGAGTATCAGCGCTCACTTGGCGCAGTTCTGCTGAAATGTCGATGAGGAGGCGAATCATCTGCTGAGAATAGAGGTTGATCATGATAGGCGGTGCGGCGAGAGCTAATGACGTCGGCTCGTGGCGCAGAGCGACGCGGTCAGGGTCCAGAGACAGGTCCTTCTCCTTGAGTATGTAGTCCTTGGCAAGGCTGAGCTTGCTGCGTAGCGTCCCGTGGTATTTGGCTTCTTCTTCGCGACTGAAGTTAGCAAAGTCAGGCGCATCGTTGGTTTTGGCGTTGACGAGCGTTGCGACGGTGAGCTTTAGGTGATTGAAACCATTGTCTTGCTGGTTGAAGGCGACTCTTGAATCGGTGTTGCGTGCACTTCCCTCGTGACCGGAGACCCAATGACGACGGAAGTCATTGTCAGCGAAGGCGAGAGTTGTTTTGTCTTTATCGTTGACGCCGATTTTGCGGGTGCGTACTGGCATTGTGGATCTAGCTGGGATTCAATTTTGCGGTCGCGGTAGGAATACGAGGGTGCAAATGATCGAATGATTTCACAACCGCGACCTCGCCGTAAAGGTGGATAGAGAGCTAAGGTGCGCAAAGGCAACATCAAGGTAACGAAGGCATTGTTTGGTGTAGAGCTTGAGGTGTTGGTGAGCACGGACCGCGACTCGCATTCACTACTGTATTGTCATAATGTCCTTTTACCAAACAATTGGTAGAGTTGCAGACTGTTCACAGTGAACCCGTGCATTCTTGACCTAGAACAAATTATCTAGATAGTCTAAGCTGTCCAGGAACCCAATTTGGACCTCTACGCCACCAAGAGCCTGTCCGGTCTCTAATATCTTTTCCGCCTCCTCTAAAGCGGACTCGGTGGCATCACTTAATTGCCTGGTCCCATTGCCATGCGCGACCACCTCCATCCGTTGCGGATCATACTTTTCTTTATGATAGTAGCTGATACCGCTCTTCCGAAGGCGTCTTAGCAGACCGACTAGCGCCATGGTCTCTCCTTCAATAATCATTGGGAATGTTGGCGTGTCGAAAATGCGCATCTCGTACCGAAAGTCTTGTTTTACTGGGTTGTATGTTTCCATCAATATATCGCCCTCCCGATCCTCAGTCTCATCGGGATCTGTGATGCACCAGCTACCATCTTCATAGAGATCATAGGCGATGTGAGAAAGTTCCCACATGATCAGCTTAATACCCTTCGCGCTGATGTACACATACAGCTCGCAGGATTGACGAGCGGCCGATGACGGCGAGTGGAAAATGATCTGTGAAGGTTTCCACGAGGTCATACAAGTGTGGGAGGATTCTTCCGATTTTGGGTCCTGGAATATCTTTCTTACTCCCCTAGCGTATTGGAAGATATCACGACATATTCGTCGACTGTATATGAAGGGAGCCTGTTGTGCGAAGGCGTTGGCAATTTTTTCCCTTGTCATCACTCGCGCCATCTTAGCGTTCCTGCAAGTGCACGGCGTATCGACGAAAGTGTTGGAGTTTGCTGTGTTGTAGGCTTTGTGAAGTTTCTTTTGTGGGTTGTCTTGGTGCCAATCAGGCTGGTTTTCATCCTCGTGAGTATGCTTGCGTTTCAGGCCCGCAATGGCAGGCGGGATATACGAGTACGATTCTGGTTCATCGTGCGCAAACCCTGGGACGCCTTGGAGTGTTAAACCCAATGAAACATGGCCTGCATTGGTCTTCGGCTCCCTATTCGACTTCATGACATCGTTCGCTATAGTGGGGGCATCAAAGTGGCCAGAGCTATCTTCTTTCGTTGATTGTGAGGATTCCCCGCTGAGAGTTGAACGGAGTAATGAAGAAGCTACGAGACCCACACTGTTCCCTTTCCGTACCTTGACGTGAGCCAAAAGAGCCTCGATTATTGCATCTGCGGACGTCTTCGGGGCCCGTAGAGATCTGATGTCGTACCCATCGTCCTTTAGCAATTTCAATCGTTCGATGTTGTTGGCTTTCTGCTTCCATGTCTTTTTATCCCAGACTTTGTCCAAGCTCAGTGCCTTGTGAGCGATGCCTTTACTTGCTTTTTGTTCCCATTCCTTATCCTCTGACGAGAGTTTCGTGCATGGGTGTGATTGTGGGATGACAGGAGCCGTCTTGGATGGGTCCGCGGCTGGTAGAGGCAGACTGCCGGCGAGATCATCGGTGTGCGAACGTATCGGCGTTGAAGGTAAAGGAGGCATTTGGGGCGCGGGGCTGTTTGCTGCCTGGGTGTCAGAGACATCATTTCTTACGCGCATCCGCTCAATGAGGTCTTCATTCGGGTGTTGATAGTTTGAACCATTGGCAAGGGCTTGCGCAAGGTACAGCTGATCGATGGTGAGATCCTTCGGCTTGCTATACTCCGTGTCCCACGAATGGTTGATAAGACGAGGCTCAAAGGCGACAAAGCGGTTATTCCTTGGTGAACGCTGGTGAACCCTCCTGTCGATGCAATGCATCTTACACGAAGCAAGTCTTGTGACTGTAGTTAGTATCTCGTAAAAGGTGCAAGGATAATATTTGGTACCGGTTTGCTATGCGGGTACGTTTAGCGTTTTTCCAAACCAGTATGCTTGGATGGAACTGGGTGGTTCTTCCGTGCAGGACAAGAGGCCAGCCAAAGAAGTAGAGTCGACTGGTTGTGTGGAGTGTAAGAGGTCAGCGGAGGGTTTATTTCGCGTCCGTAGTTATACAGGAAGCAGTTATATCTTGTGGGGCAGGTTGCTTTCCCTCCACGTTGTGTGACATGATCTTTGGCGCGTGTGAGTGACGCTGGATAGCTTTCACCACGTTGAATTGCCAAGGTGTCCGTAAGGAGAGCTGGTTGAGAAGCGGATCGAAGCGACCCAGTAGGGCGTAGCTGCGGGCTGAGCTTTGATATGCAGCATCTGTGAAAGATCAATAGTATAGCCATCGTAGTGAATATACCGGGTCCATATCCTTGTGCTATTAGTCGGACGCATTGTACAGTGCAGTAGCAAACGACGAAAACTTCAAGTGGAATGCTTCGTTCTGGACTAGTCAACAGAGTTGACTGAATGTCAAGAGAAAGATGGAGCAACCTGTTTTCAGCGAAGCCATATCGTATTGAGTTCATCGCGACGAACAAACTCTGCTGTTTCAAGATTGCGAGCTTGCAAAGAAAACCTTGTCATGTGAGCAAGCAGTGATAGAATAGAATAGGATTCTAGTTCTTGAGGCCACGATTGGAGCTAGGAGCCGCCATAGCGGAACGGGATGACAAAAAGATTGCTTGCTCGACGTGACGGGCAACGGAACCATTGAGAGAGCCCGTAGCAGAGATTCCTAGAAGGAGCGGTCTACCAGTCCATCGTTGAATGTCGAGTGTTGGAGCAAGCACACGCCCTGTGGGATGTGCAGTAGTGCTGCTCTGGCCAAGGACTGACGCATTGTTCTGGCCAACAGTTTAGGAGCCTCGTCCCGCGTTCTTGTCGTAGTGTAGGAGAACACTCGCTTTCCTGCATGAGACATAGTTCCGAAATGGCGCTGATGGTGTAGGTGATTGAATCTGGTTGTTGTGAAAGACGCGAGAGCGCGTGGGCGACGTGACACACTAGCTTTTATGGCGTCATTTATCCAACCACCTTCAATTCAAACACATCTTTGCTCCTGACATCATTCCTTCCAATCTGACTGCCATGCTATAGTATCATCTAGACATCGCTAGATGTTTCCATAGCTCCTGTCCCTCATTCAGTCCACGCGTCTTTCGGACCCGGGCTCTGACCATCTCAAGCCGTTAATTCGCGACGATATGCATCACGGCCTTTCTGAATTTATCCGGCAGGTACATGCTTACTTCTCAATTCGTACTGCATTCTCGATACCGCGTTCGCTTTCCATGAGGCGTACATCCATCGCGCCATTTCCTTCACGCTCACTGTCTCCTCGTCTCCGCCCTCGTGGCATCTTGTTCGATGGTAACAATTGCATGGTCATGCCCGTACTTCGAAGATGTCTTCAGCACGAGTATACGTTTTGGCCGAACGTTGGTGCCGCTTATGCGCGCATCCGTGTGTTGCTCATGTCTCTACCCGTTTGTTATCACGCTGTCACGTGAGAAGGTGCTTGCTGCCTCCAGCGCTGGCTGCTTGCCAATGGCTGTCCGTGCTAGCGGTGATAGCACAATCACCTCTATCAACACAATCAGCTGAACTGATACTACGTTGTTATAAACACCGACCCCGTCCTCCCCTCGCTGCAGCGGATTGGCAATGGCCACGCCTGGCAATAACCGCTATGCGATGTTCGCTAGCGCAGACAGCAGCGAAACTGCCGTCCGTAGTCCAGCTGTTGACCCTTCTCAAAATCCGTTCCTGAACCAGATTGCCGATGACTCGTTACCATGGCAAGAGGTCAAGAAGCGCGGCGCTCCTGCAGTGCAGCCGGCACCACCGGTTCGACGCTCTCCGCAAGTGGTGAATGACCGCACCAAGGCTATCCTCAATCGCCCGCGCGCCCAGCAAGGACAAGATCGCGTCGTCTCAGGCTCAACCGATAACACACCCGAAAAGGCATACGATCCACACGAGAACTGGTGTGGTGTCTGCTCGTACAAGTTCGCCAACAAGGCTACACTGCTCAGTCACATCAAGCAGAGCGTCGGACACGAAAACTACTGCAACCTCTGCAAGCGAGTCTTTGTAGACCGCAATGGACTCAAGAACCACGTCGATAATGCAGCGAATCATGAAGTTCACTGCAACCTCTGCCTCTCCGCTTTCAAGGATGACTGGGCTCTTAAGAACCACTTTGAGAATAACTACAGTGTCGGCCATGAGTGGGTGTGTCTCACTTGCCTGCTCGGCTTCAAGACTCGCGTTGAGTTGGAGCGACATCTTCAGGCCGCTGCGAAGCATACGTGGTGCGGAACATGCCAGCGCCGTTTCCGCAATCAAGATGAACGCGATGCACATTGGGAGCAGACGAACAGTAAGTGGTCTGGAAGATTCTAGTATTGCGAGCCCGTGCCTTTTTGCCTGATTTGAGCGTTTATCCTGTTTTTCATCGATCACTATATCTTGAGGACCTGACTGACCAAGGTCAGGGCATAAGCATTGCTTACAGCCAGGTTGCGACTTCGATGGACCGGATCATTCCGCGCTTGCACAACATCTCAAGTGTGATCATTTCCAGTGCGAAGACTGCAAGCGCATATTACCGAGCTTTAACAAGCTCACCCAGCACAACGAGAGCTGTTCATTCGTACTTTCCTGCCCCCAATGCGGCGAGCACTGTGCTGGAAAGACCCGACTGGGTCTCCATCTCGAGAAATGCTTTCTTTGCGAGGAATGTGGCTTCCACACCCACCACGAGGGCAACTACCACATTGTGAGTGATCTGCGACGCGACTAACTCACGACTCCCACGCTGACAACACTAGCACATGACTAAGCACAGGTCCGCTGACATTGGCTGTTGGGCCTGCGACGCACCGATGCGCACCTACTCCAGTCTCATCAATCACTTGGAGTCAGGCAAATGCCCCAATTTCAACGACCCGGCACTTCTTACGCGCTGTCTCGGAAAGTGGTGGTACTCGGCGCTTTACATGGATCTCGATATGCATGCGTCCATTCGCATAGGCCGCGTCGATATCCGCGAGGTACAGCGTTGGTCGGCAGCTGGTGACCTTCACCCTTTCGTGTGTCGCGACGAGGGATGTGGAAAAGTCTTTGGTCATCTGAGTTCGCTGGTGTTGCACTGTGAGAGCCAGGCTTGCGGTTGGGGTGTCGATCGCTTGAACATGCCTGGGCTGGAGAAGGAGTTCAAGCACACGTGTCTTCGGAGGGATAGTGACATTACCTAGGAGCGAGTGCAACCTCCGATGGTAGTGGGCATGCTCGAGAATCGATCTGAAACGCGGAGGACAGTCATTCATTCTGTCTCATCCATGATACTTGGACTACGCCAAGAGATGATCATTCAACAGTCAAAACTCAGTCGTCTGGCTCATAACGTACCATAACGACTTCGTTGACCCATGTTTCATGACTGCGTTGGCTTGTTCAACGTGTATCCACCGAATCAGTCGCGCCAGTGAATTGATCACTATACAGCCTGAAGATGCGAACTGGAAACCCAGCTGGCTATAGTTATAGTATTACAAACGAGTTCATTCGACTGCTCTCCTGACCTTTGGAGTGCTTCATGACAAATGTCACGCGTGACCTTCCATCATCACCTCGTCACAGTCCTACCGCCTCCGCTCAGCCTCCTCGCTGCCCTTGCCCTCTAGACGCCCAGTAATCTTCTTCTCGAACTCATCAGGATGAAGCGTCCTACCTGTCTTGTCCCTGAATCGCCAGCTAACCCTATTCCATACCATTGAGCAATCTTGTTGTAAGATGCGAGCGACTAGACGTAAGTCGTCGGCGGAGAAAGTATCGTCAGGCTTGACTTCGAGTTCGAGAGGACGAGCGGTGATGAGGTGGGTGTTGTTGCTGTTATTCTTCTTGTTATTGGCATTGGGCTTAGAGGGGGCTTGCGGGGGCGCTTTGTTTGAAGGGGCTTTCTGTGCTGGAGCGCTTGCAGTCCACTGGTCGCCTCCGATACCGCCGCCGATGTTGTTGTTCTGGTTGTTATTCGTGTCTGTATTCCAGGTGTTTCCACCGAAGTTATCCCAGCCCGGAGCAGCATCATTCGCGCCGTCTCCACCACTTGTGGTGGCGCCAGGGCCCCATCCACCCTGGGTCTCCCAAGCTTCAACTTCACCTGCAGCTTCTTCCTTCTTCTCTTTCTCTTTCCTCTCATCTTTATTGTTCTTTCCATCATTTTGATCTGCGTTCTTCCCCTTCTTCCCCTTCTTGCCCCCACCCCCTTTGTTGACCTCGTTGGCCTTATATCCCTCCGGTTGGATGTCTTTGAAACGGTCCTGGCAATCTTGCTTCGTCTTACCACCGATTTCTTCGCCCATCTGAGCCCAAGTCTTCGAAGTCTCAGTCTTCATTAGTATGAGCTTTTCATCTTGCTCTTTAGTCCATCCATTTAAATCTCCATCCTTCTTATCGTTATCTTCTGCGACTGTGTTGTTCTCCGGGACAGTCATAGCTTCCCAAAGTGCTGCGGGTTCATCTTTCTTCTCTTTGTTGTCGTTGTCGCCTGTAGCATCTGGAGTAGTGCTCCAGGTGGCTGCAAATGGATCGCTTGCGTCATTGCCCGATTCCTGCACGACCCATGCATCACCTTTGTTACTTGAGGTCTTCTTCGAGCTCGATTTCTTCGATTGGCTCTTTGCATCGGTGTTACCCCAATCATTGTTGCCCCACAGGTTATCTCCATCGGTAGCGGGCTTGGTCGAAGCTGCTTTCTTTGGGGTACCCTTCGCGCCTGGTAGCTCCTTTGCCGGCCGTTGTTCAGAATGTACCTTCGCAAGGCTGGCTGCAGTAAGTCGTGGTTTACCGGTGCCTGTGAGTCTGCCTTTTCGTCCGTCACTCGCGGTCCACTCTACGATACGACCAGGGCTAGACATCTGACAGTAATTAGCCTACGAGCTTCGTCATGGTATTCAAAGGGGGCAGCCACTATGGTAGCAGATTGTCCGGGCTTTCTAGATTGCGGCGGGGGCGGAGGTGCGGGTGGCTTTACTTCCTTGTACGGCTTGTCACTAAAGCCTAGGATGTAGGCCATTGAAACCCTACGCGGAGCGCCATTTGCATCCGTCATCCTGGTAGCTTGGAGGTGTAGGCGCTGAATTCAAAGTGCGGGCGTTGACGCCGCGTGTGAAAAAGGACGCGGTCTGTAAGCGACGGCGACCAAAGTACCGCGTGGATACGAACGACAATTGGAGTGAGCAACGCAAGCTCAGAATGAGCACACAAGAGAGACGCGCTGGTGTTGCGGGGACGGGTGTGGGAGCGGACTGACGGTTGTCTTGGCGGCAAACAGGTCAATTTAGAACCTCTGAAATTGGACGACAGAAGAGAAGGGTACCTGACGGAACGACAACAAAACCAGAAGAGAGGACATTATCCCAGGACCTACGCATACAGAAGAAAACAGGTGGACAACGAAGAGGATAATCCATGAAAGATACATGGGTGTTACCTTTCGCCCCAACTGGTTGAGCTACATAACCAGGATACCGGCGATCTGAGTAACCTGATCACGACAAGTCATCTCCGCGGTCCTCAGCTGCACTTTGATGTCTGGCATCAGCGCATAATGGTAATCGTGCGAGACCCTCAAGGGTTGCGGGTGTCAGCACACGCAGACTGCACAGCGAGTCGCAACATTGTCATGTCATTTAATGATTGCGAACAGATCAGAAGAGACGATGCATCGCACTCAAGATTCAAAAAGAAGGCTGTGAATGAACAACAACATTGCAGGTGTAGGACAGAGCAGGACGCCGTTCGAAGGAAGTTGAAACGGAGCCGTGGCTGACTAATCTCAACGCTAAGGTTCTGGGCCCTTGCATTGCGGGCAAGCTGGCATCTCCGTGTACGTAGCTTGGCGCTCGACGAAACATCGAATTCAACACGACAGAGCAGCACCACGACACACCCGCCATGCTGTTCCCGTCTTTCGCCATTCTCGCTGCGGCGAGCAGCCTGCTGTCATTTGCGACGGCGCACAACATCCAAATGAAGGCCCACCAGCGCGAATGCTTCCACGAATCCCTCCACAAGGACGACAAGATGACAGTCACGTTCCAGGTCGGCGACCGGGAATTTGGGGGCAGCGGAAATCTGGAGATTGATTTCTGGGTGCGGAAATGAGACAAATTCTACCTTCAACCCACGTAGCTGACTATCTATACACAGATCGAGACGCCCTCTCGAAGCTACCAGGTCCACGAACGCGGCGTATCCTCCGGCGACCACTCCTTCGACGCCAAAGAAGACGGCAAATATACATACTGCTTCAACAACGAGCACTGGGGCGCGAACACGAAGGAGGTCTCGTTCAACGTGCACGGCATTGTCTACGTCCCTGAATCGGAAGCCCCCCAAGATCCATTGGAGAAGGAGGGTGAGCAACCACACTGATTCGCCGGGAGAGGGCAGTACTGACAGAACCAGTGCGAACAATGTCGGAACTTGTCTCCCAGGTCAAGGACGAGCAGAGCTACATCATCGTGCGCGAGCGAGTGCACAGGAATACTGCCGAGAGCACCAACGCGCGCATCAAGTGGTGGAGCATCTTCCAGTTGATGGTACTCATTGGCCAGGGTTTCTTCCAGGTGTGGTGGCTCAAACGGTTCTTCGAGGTAACCAGCCCCCGTGCATCCCATTACCATTCCAGTAGTACTCAACTGATCCCGTCTACAGGTCAAGCGTGTTGTTTAGCTTCCCTTGATCTCTCTCTCACGAGCTGCATGCGGCGCAACATCTCCTGTTTTCGTCGCTAGTCTACGCACTTTGTCTCGATTCTTCTGGCGTTGGAAGCGTGTGTTTAGCAGAATGAGCACTGGAAAAGGCGGGAGTATGGCGGATTACTTTATATGACTCATCAGCGAGATCTGGGTAAGATTACGTTTTCATATGCAGAGTTCATCCAGTTCGCTCTATGTTCTACGGGTCTGCTTCTGCCTACAAAGCTTGGCACGGATTGACCCGACTAAAAACTGCTTTGGGTCAGCTGATTCGAAGACAGCCTGGCACCTTGAGAAGAAGATCATTTTAGTGGTTGATGAAGACAGGTTCCATGAATGTTAGTGCGGTTAGCCTACCTCAGCGCATTCATGAATCAGTCACCAACTTTGCTTCCATTTGCGGCATTTCTATATAAAAGTGTTCCTATATCACTCCAAGTTGAGAGACTTCTGTCTCTACCTCGATATTCTCAGCTCATGTTCCAACCCTCCGTTTTTCATTAATCTCCTGATCCATCTCGTTACGTGAACAACAGAACAGTCAGGCAGCGACGTTGCAGCCTCAACGTGGTCAATCCGCCACTTTGTAAGTGTCTCTATCCGCAGTTGTCGGGTGAAGGCGGGAGACACGTCGCAATCTCGCATTGTCGGTGTGCTCTTTTCTGTTGTCGGAGTAGCGTGCCTTCTATCACTGGCCGCGTGTGCCTTCTACACGACCGTCACCGCGAGCAACGGCAGTATAGATAGTCAACAACCCCCGCCCGCCTCCTTCAACACCAAACATGAGCCTCTCGAATCAACCTGCTGCAATTACACCAGATGAACCCTCCTCAACATGGCGCGCCTTCCGGCTGGCCTCAGGCTATGAGCTTGGATGACGTGCATGACGCTGCATCCATGCGCAAGGACTCGGTGGCTACCTTTGGCGCTCCCTCCCCACAAACAACTGCGGCAAGTTCTTTCATCCCAACTCCTATCTCCCCTAAGCCCGAAATCATCCACCAACCCCAACATCGGTACAAGGTACCTGTGCCGCATTGGGCGAACGGACAACGACCACCTACTCCACCCCTTCATCACCTCGACGATGTCCAGCACTACCCGTGCCAACATGATCCTGCGAACCCATTGCGGGGCCCTTCAGAGTATTCATCGCCGTACGGCACATTTGCACCAGCATACATTCATCCCTCAGTATCGAGCATCCAGGGTCATCCGTCACAACAAACTGTCGTTCCACGCCCTCGATTTCATCCATCCGCCAATATCCTGCAACCGTCGCATCAGCAGCAGATACTCCAATCCCAGCCTGCTCAGAAAGCGCCCTCTATCCAGTATTGGCCAACCCACAACCCTATCATGATTGATGCGCAGAGCAAGAAGAAGCAGGAGGAGTACAGAAGAAAGGGCGAGGCAACGAGGAGAAAGACAGTTTCCTCCCAAGCCTCCGCGCCGCAGTATGAACCGATCAAAGAGCCTGCATCTATGCCTCACAAACGCAAGGCTTCAATCGTTGACGACTTGACATCTACACCTGCGCCTCCTCCTCGCTTTAGGCGTCTTCTTCCGGGTTCACCCAAACCAAAACATGCACAGCAACAGAACTCCACAAGCAGCCCAGTAGTAAACTACCATCCGCCTCCTCATGGACCACAACCGGGCCCCATGCACTACATCGGCCCGCTGCAGTATTACCCACCACCACATACCTCTCCCTACCCACCGTATGAAGAGCCGTTTCATGCGCGACCCTTGGTCTATATGCCGCAACGTCGACCGCATACGCCTGCAGCACCTCCACCACCGCCTCCCAAGATCGTCGACCCTGAGACTCTACCTCAGCATATCACGAACGCTTATGACGAGTACAAGTGGCCGGCCGTTTTGTATGAGCTACAAGCTGCACACGGCTTCGAATTTGCTGAGTCATTCTTACAAACTCAGTTCGAGCAAGGAATCTACAACTCAGACAGCTACAGATGGGACGCGCACACCACGGCAGGCTTCATTAAAGATGGAAACAGAATGTCGATTCTAGTTCTACATAACGCTACGAACCCGTTCCAGTGGGACCCACCGGCCAAGTCGACTACCAGCATCGGCGTATACGGACTTTTTGCTCATGAGCATAACGAGATCCATTGGACGACTATTGCGCCGGGTGTTCCTAAGTGGTTCACCTCATGCCTCAACGGGGGTCACCTAACGATCGAACAGAAGTGGTTTCCCAACATGAAGGCTTCTGACAAGCGGTTTCATCGCGCGTATTGGTTGGCTGCAAACAGATTGCCGCTCAACCGCATACTAAACCATAGCGTGGCACCCGAGAAGCCGTACGGAGTGCTTGAAGACAACGAGAAGGATGACTTTGTGATTACGGAAGAGGACCTGCAGCACGGGTGGAACGGAGAGAGTGTACCAGTGGAGGAATCGGATAATATCTGGGAGAGAATTGTCGAGGAGACAGAGGGAGTGAACCTGGCGGAGGTTGAGCATATGTCTATCGGGGGATCAGAGAGGGCGTTTATGGCGGACTGATTGATCAAGTGAGGGTTTCCTCACTATGCGATGCCAAGAGCTCACATACGATGGAAAAGGAGGCTTTTAGATAGGAAGTGGCTGCCCATGGGCCCGCATATAGTATAGTCTCATTGAGAGAAATGAACGATGATCCAAATCATCAGACCACTTTGGATATTCATCTGCTATCCACAAGCGCTAATGAGAAGACTTGTCTACTTTCCAACTCTATCAAGCCAAAGCCACAGTTCTCAATAAGAATAGTCCCCCCTTCCACTTGGTCATCAAGACAAGGGTCTCTTTAACATCCAAATCTAGCACTAATCATCAATCTCCTCGTCTTGAACACTCATCGTCTCGACGCTCTCCGCAAGGCTCAGGCCCGTTCCACCCGCCCTCAAGGAAGGTTTCTTCCCTTTGCCCTTTGTTCTCTTCTTGCTTTTCGCACCACTGCTCTCGCCCACTGGCGGCGCATCCCTGACCCAGCGTGAGATGGCTTCGGCTCGTTCCGTACTGATAGGATATTCGCGACCGTCATCTTGCGCCCAGCGCTTGGGTGGGGTAGGTTGTGGCGACGCGGGATTGCCATCTGCATCACTAGGAGGCGATTGCTGCCTCTTCTTCTCGGCCTCTTCGTCCTCTCTATTGCGGCGCTCGCGCGCGCGAACTGCACGCTGAAAGCTTTCTTCGTCGACGACGCGTTCGTCGGCCAGAGCTTCGAGGATAGCTTCGTGTTTCTGACGTTCGCGACGTTGGGCCTCTGTTTCGCCGCCACCAGATCCGTTCATGCCGTTCTTTCCTGCTACGTCTGTGGAGCCGTTCTTACCGCTTCCGTGACCAGGTAGAGGTGCGGGGCGACAGAGGTTCTCCCAGGATGTTGACAGGCCGATCCAGTTCCCGGCTCTACGGAGGACTTCGATCCAGTCTGCGCGTGCGGGGGAACGTGCAGCAAGGAAGATGGGGTAGCCATCGCAAACGCGGGCGAGGCGGGCGGCATTGTGAGCGTGTCGAAGGTGTTCTTTGGGTGGTGTTTGTATGAGCGCATGGCAGAGGAGTAGACTATGCAGGGCATCTGTAATGAGGGGGTGGTATGTTATACTCTCGTGGCTGTCTGCGAAGGCGGTGGCTGCTGCTGAGGCTGCAGACTCGGACGAGTTGCGAGGCGGTGGATACGGGGGTAGAGAGGCGGGAGGCGCAGCATCGAAAAGCTGAGAGACTTTGAATATCTCCGGTGGAGGGAGTTTGGGCCACGATGCGCGGTCAGAGGAGGATTTGGTCGGGCTGCGGTGAGGAACGAGGGCTTCGGAGATGGGGGAAGAGGCGCCGTTTGTCTGCTCGATGAGGCGGTTCATGTTCGGTTTGATCTTATCGTTCGAATAGCCATTGGGGCTGCCGTTCGCCGAGTGGCCCAGTCTGCGTAGGAACTCTTCGGCGAGCTTAGCGGAGATACCGGGGGTGTAGTCGAAGTGTGAGAGGAAGGCAACATAGTCTCGAAGGGCGCGTTTGGCGTTCTGGCGGACCTGCTTGCGGGCTTCCAGACGAAGATGATTGCTGTGCGCTTCTTCTGGTGTTATGGGGTCTGGTTCCTTACCTTCCGCGATCTGAGCATCGCGCCGTGCCTTTGCCTCTTCGGCTGCCTGCAGGCCGTCGAGGGCAGCATTAACGTGGCCGCATGCTATAGTGAAGTATACGCCAGCGCGATGGAACAGCAACTGTGTCTCGAGCGAACTGGGGTGGTCTTCGTCGGGGATCTTGACCTCCTGCCGCCAATCCCTCCCGTATTGCTCCTGGAGCGTCTTTGCCAGTACCAGCTGATCGTTGCCTGCGCGGTGCTGTGCCATCATGTACCGCGCCGTGCTCAAGGCCTCACTCAGGTCCTTGGCGGAGTTCACATAGTCCTCCTTGAAGATTCTTGTCAATGCGCGCGTTCGAAGGGGGCTCCCGTCGTTGGGTCGCTCGCTGATGATTTCATTCAAAGTATGCAAAGGTGTACACTGGGCCATCATGCGACTGGGAATCTTCTCGTGGAAGAAGTGGACGTACTTGGCGTCGACGTTGTTGGGCTCGCGCTGCAGCACCAGGTGCGCGACGTCTTCCAGCGTGCTTGCGCTCTGCATGGTAGCTACACTGGCCGCGATCTCGTCCAAATGATATGCCTGACTCAGCTTGCTCGTCGCCAGCTCGCGCATGCGGTGCTTCCGCTCCCTGCTCAGCTTCGAGGTCCCCCCTCCCCCATAGCCTATCCCCAACGCCGCCGCGTTCCCGAGCATGCTGTTGCCCCCATTGAGGCTGTTGCTGAGGGCGGCCGACGTCAAGCCCGACGTGGCGCGCACGGCGAGATTGGTTGCCTCGTCGACGGCCTTGCGGATCTTGACGAGGTCGTAGAAGACGGCGGGGTCAATCGGGTGGGGGCGCGGGGAGAGGTAGTTGCTGTGGGCGAGCGACTCGAGGACCTCGGGGGGCAGCTGCAGCCAGGGGCCGTGGAACGACGAGATGTAGCGCCAATGCCTATAGTCCCGCTATTAGGGTATTGTCTCTGTGCATCACGACGGCAGTACCCGCCCAAACTCACTTGTTGCGGCAGATGATGAGGGCAGACGTCGAGGGCTCGCCGGCCGGCTTCTTCGCGGTTGCTGCGCCGTTGGGGACAGGCGGCGGCGTCGACGAGGCGCTGCTGTTGGGCGCCGCATCAGCCTGCGCGCTCTTCTTCTTGCGCGCCATGTTCCAATGTCTTCGGTATACAACTCTCGCCGGGGACGTCTGCGCTGCACTGGCTGGAATACTGCCGTATCGATAATAAATTTCGTCTTGGCGTTAGCGCGGAGACGGAGCTTGCATCGTTGTCTCCGACACGGCACCCTTCACCTCCCTCGTCGCGTCTTCCCACCCCTCCTTCCTCACAACGCGCTTTCTTTTCATCTCGTTCGCGTCTTCTCTCACACAGCGATGCGCCTTCGCGCCTCGCGCTATCACACTTTCCCTTGCCGTAAAGCGGCTGGCATGGGTCGCCCTTCCTTCGCGTGATGTTTGACAGGGGCATGCAACGGCCTCCTGCAGCGCGCTGTTCTAGCTTTACCCCACCGGTTCTTTGCACGACCTTACACGACGACTTCCTCATGATGTCACTCTTTTCTTTAGTCAAAGCCCTCGGCGACTTTCTTCGAGCTGGATACCTGGATTTTAATCATAGCGAACACTGTTGCTGTGTATTCACCGTCTGCACTCAGTGTGGTGGTGTCGGCATACGGTCCAGGCTGCCATGTCGCCCGCTGGCTTTTTCACGGCTTTCCGATATATCACCGCCATTGGAGGGACTAAGTCGCTGAAAGCCGCCTTGTCCGGATTCTGTGCGAGACTCGCTGACTGAGAGTTGCCGTTTGGTATGGTGGCTTATTTCCTCCCACACCACCCAACACGCTGGCACCGTGTCTAGTGCCCGACTACGTCTCCCGGCCGATGCACAACTGATCCTGGTCAAGCCTTTGCCAAAACCACATGAGAAGTATGGTCAGTCCAGAGTCAGCCATGGCTGGACTACAGACTGTCTCTTGGCTCCAACCCCAGCGCTCCGATTCCGCCTCATGTATTAGCCAAGTCAACGAATGCGGGGGACGCTGTCAATACATGGAGCCCATCATCCACGTTTCACGCTTTCAAATCATGACGAATTGTGCATCAGCGCACATTGTTCAACACAAGCAACTAGTGGTCATGTGCACGCATCTTCGGCAGCAAACGCGCATTATGCAACATTATCATGGCAACCGTAGCACACACTATCTTTGCAGCCATCGCAAGAGTGCCTCCAGCTCTACCTTCCCAAACGGCTTAGCGAAACTGTCTCGCACGAACTTGAAGCCTGTCCCTATCGGGTCAAAGGGCGCCGGTCACACTGCATGCATCTATCGTTTCCGGGAACTGATCCCGCTTGGGGAATGCATGTGCAGATGTACGCGTACCCAGAGCAGGCTCCTAGAACATTGTTGATAGGCAAGAACTGCCTGCTGCACTGGCCTTATATCTGTAGCGCATTGGTGTGATCTGGCTATCGGAGTGTCAGTTTCATGAGCTGTCTACAAATCGGAAACTGGAGTCTCGAGTTTGATGCGGATGCTCGATGTGACCACAATAGATTGTCTTCATGACGAACGCATTGCCGACGCCCGTTGTCAAATCGTTGCCACGTCCGACTAGTGCTCTATGTTTTCATATCGCGAGTATGACAAACCACGCGCGCCACTGAGGCGCACTGGCGTTGCGCACCAAAGGAACGCCTAGACAAACACAGCGTGTTCCAGTATGTCCAAATTGTGCCGCCACCAGTTGAGGGGTAACATTTGTTAGTCGTCATACCCAAACCCAGACAACTGCATGTCATGCCATCTGCGCAATGCACAATCTTTCCCATACTGTTGGCCACCATGATAACTACCGAATTATGCAGACTGGGGCCTGGTGGGATTGTCGTCGTAAACGAACGTTTCGTCGTGCCTTCGATCGTCGGCTGCACTGACACGGCACACGCTCCGCCCGGGAGATACTCGACAAGGATGCTTGGCCGTCTATTCGTGGAGCTTGACTCAAAGCTTAATTCAGGGCGCTAGCGTGCGGCTTCAACCAGCCTTGCGCGGGGTGGCTGACGGAAGCTAGTTCAGTGCTGATGAGGTGTATTGCGGGGTAATTTCGTCCAAAGATCTCTTCCTCGACAGAGAGTTTCCTACCACGCAGTCTGAGTTGGCCGTTGCCAATCCACTAAGTTAAATACACGCGATTCGGCTATCGCCAAAAAGCTTGAAGCAGGCCCGAGGGCGATGCTAGTCGCAACTCAACCCTGGGTTGGCTCTGCTTAGGCATATCGGCAGTGTGACAAGCGCTTGTCTAATACCTTACCGGCCCCTGCTGGTGTTGACAGCGTGACTACGTCTTTGCGCCTCAGTGGTGTGTTACGAAACGAACGCCGAATCACAACTACGTCAAAATCTCCACTCCTCCTCGCCCACACCTCGGTCTCCAAGACGGAAGGTCGAGACTTGAGCAGGGTATCAGATATGCCAGCTGCAGTTCACTTCCTCATTGGACATCGCGGGACCGGCATGCTGATGTCTTGTTGCCATGATTGGCAGTTCCTCGACGCAACTTCGCCTAGGCGTTCCCAGCATGTTTCCATGCGGGTAAGCGGTTGAGAGTGGGTGTGCTGACCGGCCACCCAGTAGGCTCAACTACAGCGCTATGGCTTCGAGACCCAGTTTCATCAATAGGACGCTACCTTGTGGTCGATAACGCCAATTCCCAGGATGTGTGGAGTATATCTTTGATATGCCGTGCTTCGGATTGACCCTCAATAAGCCTCCTCCACTGCTCAACGCCGCACTGTCCTAGCTCTAAAACATCTCTTGTCGCTTTGTTTTTGCTTAATATCTGCCAAACCACTATGGAGTATCTCAGGAAGAAGGCTCAAGGAAGCCGGGAAGCGATAGCCACTGATACTACCCTCCAGCGGACGATACGGTATGGAACGAAGGCCGTCCGTGCCGCACCTTCAGTGGCAGGCCAGTATTTACTCCAGAAGGCGCCCATCATCCAATGGCTTCCGAAGTACAATCCGCGATGGCTGTTGAACGACACCTTAGCCGGGATTACTGTGGGTGTACTGCTCATCCCTCAATCTCTGGCATACGCGAAGATTGCGACAATTCCCGGACAGTATGGACTCATGTCGAGTTGGCTGCCTAACTTTCTGTACCTGATAATGGGAACTTCTAAGGGTGAGTTGGTGTTACTCGTTCAAGACCTTTTTACTAAAACTCTCAGACCTGTCCACTGGTCCTACGTCGCTCATGGGTCTCTTAACAGCGGAGATAATCGCAGATGTTGCCCAAGACGGATACTCACCACAAGCCATCGCTTCCGCCGTTGCCATGTCCGTTGGTATTTACTCCATGACGCTAGGCCTGCTCAAGCTAGGATTCCTGCTAGAGTTTATTTCCGTGCCTGTTCTGAGCGGCTTCATCTCCGCAGCTGCCATCGTCATCATGCTCGGCCAGATCCCCTCGCTGTTCGGCATCACTGTCGGCTCCGGTACGGCGAACATCATTCACGACCTTTTCGCCAAGATACCACAATATGATGGTCCAACATGCGGAGTGGGTCTTGGGGGTCTGCTACTGCTTTATCTCATGCAGAAGATGGGACAGCGCTGGGGCAAGAAGAACAAGGCCATATGGCTGCTAGCACTTGGTCGTAGTGCTGTAGTCCTCATTCTCTTCGCTGGTATCTCGTACGCAGTGAATAAGGACATCGACCTCGAGAATGGAGATCCTGTCTGGGCACTTAGCAAGGTCAAGTCTGATGGCATCGCAACGCCTCGCATGCCAGACTCGGCACTTATCGGCAAGGTATTCGCACGAAGCATTGCACCCTTCATTGCAGCTGCACTTGAGCATCTCGCTATCGCAAAAGCCTTTGGTCGCAAGAACGGCTACGTTACCGATGCTGCACAAGAGCTAGTCTATCTTGGCTTCACGAATTTCTTTAACTCTTTCTTTTCATCAATGGCGGTCGGCGGTGCTATGTCGCGTACTGCCGTCAACTCAGAGTCTGGCGTCAGGTCTCCAGCCTACGGTCTGATTGCGGGCGGTGTCGTGATTCTCAGCATCTTCAAACTTTCCCCAGCACTCTATTGGATACCCAAAGCCACATTGGCAGCCATCATTGTCACAGCGGTATGGCACATTGTTGTACCTCTTAAAGTCTTCTATGGATACTGGCGCACCTCACTCGTCGACTTCACTACTTCCATGCTGGCCTTCTGGCTCACCCTCTTTGTCTCTTCAGAAGTTGGGATCGGCACGGCCGTCGGGTTCAACATCGTCTACCATCTCCTCTTTATGGCCTTCCACCGCGTTCACCGCATAACGTCTATCGAGGTGGCTTCTCACGGCCGCCAACCCGGTATGCATGCCACTCCTCTCGATACCCAAGTATTCCGCATCCACCAGTCTATGCTCTTCTACAACGCCTACCACATCAAGACGCAGTGCCTCGACGCGGTCCAGACGTTCAACTCTGGCGATGTGGCGACGCTAGAGGCTGCGCACGCAAACCGCAACTGGAGTGTCGCTGGCAAAGATCGCGCCTTGCGTCTCCGCACGAAAGCCGAGATCCTCGAAGAGCCTGTTCAGATCCGCAGTGTTGTACTGGACATGTATGCAATGCATAATATCGACACAACAGGCCTCACGCATTTGAAAGATTTGAAGGCAGACATCGAAGCGTACGGCGGGAAGAGCACGCAGTTCAGACTCGTAGGCCTAAACGATCGTGTTCGCGAGCGCTTTGCGAGGTTCGGATGGCAGCTCCGTGATGTGGCTGACGTCAATAAGAAAGGCACGATGGTGTATGGTACAGTTGAGGAGGCTGTCTTTCGTCGGTCAAGAACGTTTTCGTCGGATGAGATTGAAGCGGAGCCTACTGAGGTATTTGTTGTTGGCGATGAGAAGAGTAAGGTGTAGATTATGGGTTCAGAGGGCGCACCAAGGGTGTGCTAAGTCTGGTGTTTCTTTCACTTTTGCTATCAGAAGTATCGCCATGATATCATGATGACTCTCTTGTTATTCCCCGACTATACATAGAGTTACGAGTCCATACACGAGTCATGATCTTTCTATTCCGCGTGTATTCATGATTCACTGTATTCCTTGTGTTTCGCACAGCGACAGGGCGCATCACCTTTCCTCGCCTCGAGCCAAAGAGCGTCATTCGCTTGAAGAGCTGATGCGTATCCAACCATGAGACAGGAACTGGCAAACCCCACTCTTTGGGGCATCTTCTCTGTTCGTTCACTCCACGCTCTGTATCTACTCGCTCGTCTCCGTAAAGTTCCCAAACATGCCTCTGCAACACTCCCGGTTACGCGCCGTTTGATCTTGCGCAAACAGCGTAGGATCGATAACAATACGGATATTAGACTCCAAGGCGACTGGGATGGCGCCACGCCGACCGTACGTATAAGTTTCGACCTCCATCTCCCGGTCAAGTTCCTGGAAGTTGTAAAACGTCCACCTTAGCAAGCGCGACGGAAGAGGGTATGCTGGCCTACCACGTACTGGCAGAGTTACAGCAGTCATGGATCTTCTTTCACCAAAGCTGGCCGGCCACGGATTTGGAGACGACCTTATATAGTTGGGAATTGCCTCTGCCTCAGCGAGCCTTTGCATCCCCAGATCACGAGACCGTCCCAGGTATGGCTTTGCGGAATTCAATTTTACCAATCTACGGAATCGTTCTTGAGCCCCAGCAGGCGAGTTACGCCAATTTTCACTTTCCCCAATAATATGCAGGTCTGGTCTCTCTGCATCGAGAGAGCCATGTCGAGGTGTTGTGGCGGTCGAAGGGCTATCGTTCGGTGGTGAAGACGTGCTGCTGGGAGGCATTTGGATTGCAGTAGCGGGACTGGGAGTCGCGTTGCCGCTTGGTGCCTGTGACAGTGCAACGGAACCTGCTTGGCTCTGATTCGAAGATAAGGATGAAGCCGATGCAGGCGGACTGTCGGGTTCTTCTTGTGGACAAGTCAGGGTGAGTTCTGGAAACGAACGTGCTTTCCGAGGGAGCGTGACACTTTGTTGCTCTGCAACAGGCTTCAAGAGATCTAACAGCTTCTTTTGGAAGTCGTCGAGTTCATCCTTGTTCCTGGGGATTGAACACCGCTGTGGTGCTTTAAGAAGCGCGTCTGATTTCGCCGCGGAGATCATCGGAGCGAGGGCTTCTAGGGAAGTCCGTAAGAGTCGGAGCTGCGATGACAATTCGTCTTTGTCGCTAGTGATTGGGCAGTTCACCGCAGCCGCACCGTCGGTCGGTAGTTTCTTGATAGGGGAGGTGACGTTGAGTGGCTTAGATACAAGCTTGGGTGGCAGTCGGGTCTGCGCTTTGCAAGAAAGATGACTCAGAAAGTCTTCGAATCGAAAAAAGGTTGTACGTCTATTGTCACTTCCTCAGGTTTGTAGTCCGTGCGCATTTTCGTGGAGCGAGGGAGCTTCATTACAGAGAAGCTGGACCTTCTGAACCGATGGAATGGGATCGTTTCGGCCACGACAGCTTTCTCCACCCTCGTCACCTCAATCTCCGACTGACTATGGGACTCTCTTACAGGAACGATTCTCTGTAAATTCCGTAACGGTGAACTTTTCATACGGTATATCCCATCCTCGCGCGCTAACCCCGACTTCTTCTTGGTCTTCACGCTGTCCCTGTGCTTCCGCAGATCCCAATCTTTTCTTTCCCCTATATTCTTCCAGAAGACTCTCTGCGTTACTTCGGTGCGACCAGTCCAACGAGAAGTGAAGGCTGTCCAGTCTTTCTGTGCTTCGGGGCAAGTATGGCAGTTGTTCTGGCAAGCGTGCAAGTGCCAGAGTATGGTGTAGATTTCCCAGCCAGTGCCTTTGCATGGAAGTTCGTCGTCGCATGGCCCGGATTCCCCTGTGAAGGAGAGCTCGCAGACAGGCCAGCGAGCTAGGGAGAGGGTTTTAAGGCAGATCAAGCGGTGGTTGAAGGCGTCGAGGTCTTTCATTCCGTACAAGTCTTTATGGCAGAGAAGGCACGCTGTTTCCTCGAGGTCTGATGAGAACGGCGGTATTGACGTGGATGGTTCCTCTTTTTCGTCCAGTGCGCTGCTTGCAACTTGCGGTATGTCCGATAAGACTTCGCCGCTCTCTCCAATCTTACTTTCCTCCAAGCTATTCTTCGCAATTTGATCCTTCGCTTCCTTCACCTTCTCTCTTAGACCGTCCCAGCACTTGTTGAAATGGATATTGGCTTTGGCTTTGGGCTTTATTTCTACCCATTGATAGCAGATGCCGCACTTGGATTGATCGGACTTTATGGCCTTCTTTGGCACAGGTGGTGGCTGACGCCTGGGCGGAGGTGGTGGATCTTCAACTTGAGCGGCTGAGATCTGGAGATGGAGGCGCAGTGGGGGCCTCTAGGTTTGGCATCGTTCAGATTTTCCTCTGGTCAGCTTTGTTTTGAACAGCTCAAGGGTGAATATAGAACCCGGACGTGCGCTTGTAAGTCCGTGGAATTGAAGTTGTGGTTCAGTGGCTGTGAAAGAGGTCGAGCGGGTGTGATTTGACCGTCGATGCGGAAGCTGTGAGTACAAGAATCTTAGTCTAGTAGGTCTAGGGTTACACGGAGTGTTTGTGCTTTCAGAAGACAATGCTTTTCTACATATTCACCAAGCCAGGTTAGATTTATCGTTACCGACTGCAAAGCCACGAAGACTCCTGCTTCACGCATCCTGATTAAGAGTAAGCTAGGGCGGATCAAGGTACTTGTCGTGCATTCCATGAGGTATTATAAATATCTTGTTCCGTGTCTCTTCATATCCGTCGTAAGTGTTGGCTGTTTGACACCTCATCAAGGCAAATACAAATTTCGTCAATAGGGCTTTGGAAGCTCTACTCTGTTCAAGGAATAGACCAAATGACTGCCTCCTAACGATAATGATATAGAGGTAAAGAGCTTAGAGGACTAGATCGCGTTTCCATATTATTACCTCCTATAGCTTATACGAGTGTAGACTGCGGCGCACCTGTTCAGTTGTCTCTTTTCATAAGGCGGCAGCAACGTCATGATCAGCCGATCAAGTGCGAGTCAGGAAAGCCTAGTACCTTCTTATCGCGAGGCTACGATGTTGAACTCATCGTTACCGCAAAAGCCATTTATACCAGAGTTATTATGAGTCGGTTTCCAGTAGCAGGTCTGTCTTTATTGGTTTCCATCTGCCACATCTAAGAGTCTTCGAGGTTACCGAATGAGATGTGGCGATACAACATTGAGAACGTAGAAGAGTATCGCACGATCGTCACCAGCGTCGTTGCAAGCTGAGCGAAAACCTATTGTTCGTTCATACCACATTCTGGCAAACCCCCGTGGGCCTATTCAAGCTATATCATAATTACATAGAAGCTCTTTCGACCATCAAGCTCCTACACAACCGTGTAATAATGTCTCCTATTATCCATCGAATCATGTCACCCCACGACTACACTGTCATTATGAAAGACATTGAAAAAGGTTACGCTACCTTCGAACAGTGGGACCAGCTTAGTACAAATATGGTCTTTGCGTTTCCATGGGGATTTCTGCAGCAATGTCCAGACGGGCTGGTACTAGACGAGCCCAAGACGGTAGCGAATTTGGCCAAAAAGGGTGATGCCTTGTCGCACTGGGACAATGAAGACGAGGGAGTTCAGTGGGACAAAACTTCAGGCTGGACGTTCAAGTCTCTAGGAAGGCCAGACGCACCTAGTACCGAAAAAGACACACGTAAAGACCTTACTCCGCAACCGAGCCTCGCAGATTTTGTCCAAGAGGAAGTTTTGGCATACATAGCGACACTCCACACTTGCCAGAAGCCTTACCCGCATGTATGCCCATTAGTGCTCAGAAAGGTTCCAAGGCGCCTGAGTTGCCGACAGAATACTCGTGATCGCATCGACGCTTTTCGGAGTCTTGAAGAATTTACCGGATCACGATTTGGAAATGGTACTTCAATGTTAAGGAACGAGATTCTGATGAGCCATAACGATGACGACACAACTAGGGATAGCGATATTGTTAAACTGGACTCGTTCAGGCTAGCGAGTCTCTGGAACGAGCGTTTTGACACAAGGGCTGGGAAGTACGATATGACGGGCATCAAATTACTCAAAGAAGAGCCTGGTCAGGTAGTTTTTTGTGATCCTAGAAGCTTAGCACAAGAAGAATACTAATTCCAGTATAGAAGGTTTCAAGTCATCAGACTTGTTGACAAAATTAGTATTTGTGCGCTTCACATTTTGCTGCATACGCACTATCAAATCATAATAAGTGAACAATTTGAAAGATGATGTTTACTCTTGACTAGGAAGATATTTTAATTGAATGCTTTTGTAGAATGCGACACGAGTTGTAACCACCCCTGGTAACGTCTTCTTGGCTCGCACTGGATCGACATGTCGCGGTTTCACAGCCGCGCTGATAGCTGCTCTTGTGCTCCGAGGCAAGCGCGCCGGCTTGTCAGGCCCCGATGTTGCAGCTAGCATGAGTCACGGTCGCGATTGTGCGCCGCAACACTATGATATGAACGTTCAGCTCCCTAGCCAGCGTAAGTACCCTTTGTGCGAATAACGATAGAGTAGAACGGGGCAGATATGAAAGCGCATCTTCATGGACGTGTGAGAGCGCTAAGCGCAGGAAAGCAATAAGCTGCATGATGCAAGATGGACGCACAAGACGAAAGGTGGTGTTGCGGATGGGCAAAGCCAACGGCTTCATGATGTTGGTGGCCGCAAGATACGTCATTCGACGCGCGCTAGTACATGGCTGGTTTAGCGGGTTTCAGCGCGATCGGTGTGGGTACAGCGCGGCAAGTTTGATTTCGAGCATATATCTCCGTTTGTACGAATTGTATTGCATTATGCGTATGCATGGGGTATCAGTAAGTTTATGGATGGTGGCCTGCATCAGAGCCGACTTCTAAGGGATCTTCGTGATCCACTTCCTTAGAACATCTGCCTGTTCTTCATCTCCACAGGCAAGAAGCACATCAATAGTGCAGATAGCCAAATACCACCAGCACCTAGCCAGAGGATTCCAGAGCTCTGATCGGCCAGGAGCTGAGCACCCGCAAAGGGTGCGACAATTCCTGCAATACGACCGAGACAAGAAAGCATGCCACTCACACTACCACGGTAGACAGTGTCGAAGAGCTCCGGAGCAGACGCGTACAAGACCGCATTAAAATACTGAACACATGTCAGCATTGGAAACGTTGAGTTTGAAATTTTCACTTACAGTTTGCATAATGTACTCCAATGCGTTCAAACCCACATAAGCAGCGGTCGAAGACACCTGGGTATACATTGCCATTGAGATACCCTGGCAGAGGGCGGAAAAGACTAGTGACCACTTTCGACCCACAAGAGGCAACTGAATGGATGCAAGAGCCAAGATGGCACCTATGATACCTGGGAAATAGATGATCAAGTACTGCTCATAGGTGTCGCTCACAGTTCCTCGGCCTTCATCGACATTGTTGCGTAGCAGGATAAGCGGAAGGAAGGTACCCGCCAGATTAAAGGACCAGTAGTCTCCCTGTTTTTGTTAGTAGGGAACATAATGATCAAAAGTCGAGATGCTTACCATGTATGCCAGCGCAAGCAAGACGAAAGTGAAGGCAGTCAGCTTATTGGTGAAAATACCCTTGAGGCGCTTAAGCTCTTTGCCGAATCCTTTGATGACTTTCTTGGTGGTAGCCTTGGTACTTCGAGCTCCCCCAGTGGAATTTCGTGCGCTTGGTGTGGCATTACGCTTCTTGGTGAAAATGCCCTTGAGGCGCTGAAACCCATTACCTTTCTCGGTGGTATCCTGGGTACCTTGATCTACCTCAAGTGGTACCTCAGTGGAAAGTCGTGCGCTTGACGTGGCATTGGACGATACCTCATCTATGGCGGCAAACATCTCCATTGTCAATGTTGGAGCTGGCTGCTTGTTGAATTTTGCAATCCTGTGAAGGACGTTGAGGGCCTCTTGCTCTTTTCCTCGCGCAAGCAGAAACTTGGGGGACTCATGGAAAGTGAAGACGAAGTACCGAAGAAAGAAGACAGCCAAGGTCATACAGCCAAGCACTATGACAGTGTAACGCCATCCCATGTTACTGTCAACGGTACAACAATCGACTCCAGCTGGGGCGTCGGGACAAGCTGGGGCGTCGGGGTCGCAGCGCCACTTAGCTTGGCCGGTGGTGCCGTAGGCAATGCAAGAGGCAATGGCGACACCGATGGGTTGCCACATGGAAAGAAGCGCGACAAGGAAGCGGCGGTTATGAGGTAGAAACTCAAGCGCGATGGTCGCATCGATAGGGATGTTACCTCCGAGACCCAATGACGCGAGGAAGTAGATGGCGCATATCGCAGGGTAGTTGTACTTAGGCGCGGCCTGGCATATTGTTAATGATCGTTGATTGAAATCGCGGCTTCATGAACATACCAGCAAAAGTCCGAATACGGAGGTAATGAGACAAGTCAGGTTGAAAGCCCACTTGCGTCCGATGATATCCACAGCAAGACCAAAGCCGAGCGCACCGACAGCAAGTCCTGCATTGGCAATTGCAAATATATCTCCAGTGTGTTCGTCCGAAACTCCCATCTGCGAACGCTTTAGTACACGGTACCCGCTTTATCTGGCCTAACTCACCTCTTGGTAGATAGCAGAAGCAATTAAACCAACGCCTTGTGACCAGGCGAGATCAAGGAAGTATCCGAAACCACAGAGAAACCAGATGCATATCTGGTATCTCCCCATTCCAAATTTATCGAGTTCGACATTGATGAGGGCAGCCTTCTTCTCAAAGGTGTTGAGCGGGTTCGCGGCTGTGCCTTTGAGAATTGCAGCGAAAGACAAGTCAGTTTGGTCGACGCGTTCTACGTCGTTGTAGATGGGGATTTCGACTTTAGCGCGCGCGTTTTCGGGGTGCTCGACGGGTATCTTCTCCTCATCGCTGAGGTGCGCGAGGCTGCGCTCCGACTGCTTGACATCCATCTTGATGATGGCAGGGCAGGCGGCTGTCAAGGGCAGAGTATTGTCAGGTGACTGCGCGTAGATTGGGTGAGAGTGAGTCGCCTCGTGGTAATGGCAGTTTACAGGACCGGTACCGTGGGACAAGGTATTATACGTACGCGGGGAACGAGTAGCCCTTTCACGCTACCGTTGACTACTGGCGAAACGGATCTAAGCGATGAAGGCGCTGCGATCTAAGTGCTGATCCAAGCCTCGTCCGTTCAACGGCCCTCATGTCCAAGACGGCAGAGGTTTAGCTGGTCCGATCTCATTGGGTGCCACCGACTGATGACGGCATAGCCAGTAGCCTTGTCGCGCGACTTTGCCTGGCCCTGTTCTTGCATGGTTTTGTTCCTTCGGCATGGCCGTGTAGCGATACATCTTGGACAGCGACTAACAAGATGCACTAACAGCTCAGCTGGTTAGAGTTTGTCAGGTTCGCCGTTGTGTCGAAATGCGATCGTAGAACATAAGCGGCGGCAAATGGACGGAAACCAACAGAGATGCACTACGCAGTGCCTAGACCAGTGTCTCCGCCTGGGGCTGAAGGTTACGCAGGCTGATCAGCTGCACCGTCATTTTCTGGCACGCTTGCTGCCAACTCCTCTCCACTTTCCAATATCACCGCGGAGCTCCACTACCAATCTCAACCTCGCCATCCACAAGACTGGCGCTGGTACCGAGATCTCTTTTTGCCATGGCCCGCCCTCCCCAATTTTTCGAGATCTTAGGTTCGTTATCGGCGACCGCCCATTCCGGATATAGTTTAGCGCTGAGCCCGATAACGCCACACGAATGCTCGCATGCCCAGGTGGCCCGCCTCGGTTACCTGCAAACATCCTCACGTCACGATTGATGACTTTTCTCATCGTATCCACCACTCCCTGGATAGCTAAGTGCGACTGACACGAGATGACTCCTCTAAAGACTCTTAAGGGGTTTATAATTAGCTCCCCAGCTAAGCGTTCTCCTTTCACCAAGTGCGACAGGACGCACTCAGTTCACCTCTGCCGTTCATACGCCCAGCAGAAAGGTCGTTGTCACTGTCACAGTTCGCCATTTCCCAAGCAGCCTTCGGAACTGAAGAGCTAATCAAACAGTATCTATACGAAAACTGAGTATTCATACCTTTTGGAGAAATCTGCGATTGCTGCTGCACGCTTCAAGGACAGGTTCTACGAATTTGACTAGCGCTTCACATGTTGCTCCCATGGGTACCGCAGCTTTGCTATGGGCGTTTTCCGATTCCATTCCACGATCAATGCTTGTTGTTTACGCTCATTCTTTGGACATATCTACACGTTGCCAACGTGCAGCTGACATTCTAGACGTTGAATGTCCTCAAGCTTACCTGTCTATATAAACACCCTTGCACCGCGAAATATTGAGCTCTCTAGAACACATCGCATACTTACACCCAATACGCAAATTCGCCACATCTTGTACAATCTCCAGTCTACACAATCAACACACCTACCTACCTATACGAATACAACGACATATCACCTTATGCCAAATCATTCAACCATGAGCCACTCTTCCTCTATCGACTCGAAAACCACCCACCTCGAGGAACAAGACCCACAGAAATGGATCACATACTGTGACGTACACCGCCTTCCGTTGCTAGCCGGTGAAACAAGGCCAATCTCTATCGGAGAGAACGTTCTATCCCAGGCCTCGGGCAGGTTTCTATGGGCAGACTTGATGTTCGAGATCGTCAAACGGCAACTCAATACATCTAATGTCACTGCTTGCCTGAAGACTGCGCCAAGAGATGCTATGGAACTGGTCACATTGTTGTTGCAGGTCTACAGCAATGTACTCACACAAAAAGAGTTTGGAGAGCTGGTTTGTATCGTAACATTCGTAGCACACGCTGGTCGGTCCTTGACCCTAGCAAAACTCGATCGCGTCTTAGGCAGGTTCTCGCTGACTCGCAGCACGGGCACCTCGCTGGGTGAAAGGATACGCGATAACTTCACTCCCCTGTTTGATCTCGTCCAAGACGACGGAATCTCCCTCAGTGATCTCAAGGTCCACGACCCTGCACGCGCATTAGAGCTTACGTGTATACCCTCCACGACAACTGTCTCTTTCGCGTACCCATCACTCAAGGAATACTTTCTCAATGATGGCGGCGAGCCTCTAAACGAAAAGGGCAAAGATGGCCGTGGCCTCAACCTTGCTGAGCTTCATTTCCGCCTACTGAAGCAATGCTTTCCTAGTTTTGCTGAACCCGGAAGCGAAGCTTTGACCCCAGCTGCCAAAGCTTTCCAAGAGTACGCCGCTACGCACTAGTACACGCACCTCGCAGGCACTTTGCCGAGTAATTCTGCCAAAGCCATGAATCTTTCAGGAGACGACTGTGAAGAGATCTTGGGGTCTCTTGGACATTTCTTCGAAGACGAAAACATCGTGCAGCAATGGTGGCAGCACTTACCTGCGACCTTCTTCACCAGAGCCAAATCCGAAGACGTAAGCCAGTTCATGACTCTTTGCTATCATCATCCAGACCCAGAAGCGTTAGAGTTCATTAAATATGTGGCCGGCTTGCGTCACAAGAAGGGGCAGGAGTTCTGGCTACTAGTGGCAAAGGTGCACGCCAAGAAGGGACTACATGGCGACTGGGACCGAAATCACTCACTCCAGGTTATTTTCCAGATCAAACATCTCGTCAATACGGAAAATGCGGTCGCAGATACTCGAGGAAAGTTGTCTCAGGAAGAGATGCTTGAGGCTGCGGAATGGGCCGAGTTGGAGTTTATTACACGTCCGCCTGAATACTCTTTGGAGATTTAGAAGACAGCTCAAGTCTTGAAGAAAAGGAGACGTTATCTTCTGAGGCGACTCAGAGTATCATCAAGGCATAATTGTGTTTGTTTCGGATATGCTAGGAGATTTTTAGGCAGAAGCCGGGAGGTGGAAGACAGCGTTATGATGCAGCCAGTAGTCCTTCAAGATACTTAAATCTATCCTGTAAACGCATTGAGCGCGCTAAGAGCCTCCTCTATCGTGAGATAACGTGGACACGTGTTGAATGATGGCTGTATTGATTCAGGCTATACGCCATGTAAGGTGAAGAAAGACATATGGCCCCGCCGAATAACTCCGATCTCATGCTATATATCCAATCACCTTCTCGTATATCTGCTCATCCCGTCCACCTTCCCAGTCTTCTTATTCGACTACCTCCACCACGTCGTTTGACTTTGGAGAAGCCATCACGATAGGTCTCTGATCGGTCTGCACAGCAACTCCCGACCCACCTGTTGAGCCATCCGCAAGCGCCTGCCTCAGCTGATTCAAGATAGTAAACTCCGTGCGCAGCTTGACGGCATATACAGCGACCTTGTAGAAACCCTGGAGGAAGAAGTGGCCGCTGTAGCACAAACCCAGGACGCTGGCATCGAGCATGATTATGAGGACGTTGACAGCGATTAGACTCCGGAGATTGTCTCGAGTGACGCGACGACTTTTGCCCAGAAGTTGGAGGTTCTGCAAGTACATACTGGTTTGATAGATGTAGAAAAACCCGATGAGGGATTCTTGGGTAAAGAAAGCGGCGACTTGCACCTTGTCCCAGATCAGGTTGGCGTTCTCGAGTCGCGCGACGAAGCGTGGGTGACGCTACGATCAATTAGTACGGTACGGTTGCGTGCGACGAGAGACGTGCAGCAATCATCCCGAACAAGACTGTGGTAAGGCCAAAGATGACCGAGTTAGTAGTAATCATATAGAGTATATAGCGGTCCTTCTTCGTGTTTCTCCACACGAGGCCGAGGCGTGAGTATAGAACAAAAGACTGAGTGAGGACGAATACGAGCCATGAGAGGTGAATGAAGACGATGGCAGAGTATGATGTCCATTTGTTGAAGTTGACTAGGAGGATCGAGATGCCGTGGACTACGAGACCCCAACTACAGAGTAAGCAGCTCCAGAAGTAAAGGCTGCGACGCGTGGCCCTGTAAAACAGGCGGATGTTGAGCTCGATGCAGATGAACCATGCGATTCCCAGGAACGCTGCTGCGGCCATGGAAGATAGTCGGTCGGCAAATTCGGGTGCCTTGGGCTTGCTGGGGTCTCTTTCTGAGGCCATGATGGCTGGTGGGAGGATGTGCTTCTCGGGCGGGTGCCGTGGAGGAGCACGAGTTGAAAATGCTGAAGGCTGCAAATCGATGAGGTACGGTGAAGGAATTTATTGCTGTGGGACAATATCGGTGGCCGAAAGCGTTGTCGCGTGGGCGTGCTTTCCTCAGTCACCCTCACGGTGACTGCCGTTACAGACTCGGTACCGAGAAGCCGCTCAAGGCACGCGAGCATACGAGCACGCGAGCACATATTGAATGCCACGACGATATCCCAGAATGCGACTGCTCTTTTAGAGGCAACTCGGGGTGCTTTGGTAGATAATGTCAACCCGGCAAACAGAATCAGTGCTGGTTATGAGGCCACCTCATAACAGGAGAAAGCTAAATATGTGCTCTGTCGTCTACATCAGTATAGAAGTTAAAGCTCACATATTCCCTAAGGTAATATCGACTTCTTAGAGATTGGTGCTCAATCCTTTCTTGTATGAGGTGAGGCAAGAACGTGAATAGAATATTAACTTTCAAGATCTGACTAGTTGCATGGTGCAACCGATGACGGACGATCGTGACACCCAGCATGCCGTCAAGATCATGTACTTTTATCTCTCATGCCCCCAATCTCACTTCTTTGCCGAGGGATTGACCTCTGCGACGTTCTCTTGCCTGCTCAAGATCTTCTTAGGGCCCCAAGTACCAGCTCTACCACCTGGATCAACCCGACCCTTCTTGGGACTCATCCGCTCACCACCTCCAGCGCTTCCGCCGAGCTCTTTGATGTTCTTGGGTGCTGCAGCCATCTTGGTGGTTGATAGGGTGCTCAATGGTGTTACTGGAGCGTTTGCAGAGCCACTGCCACTGCCACTGCCACTGCCACCGCCATTCCTCTTGCCTTTTGGCTTCTTTCCGACCGACGTCTCGATCCAGGCACCGCCCTCTTTCTTGGCCTTGCGCTCAGCTTCCTCTTTCTCTCGCTTCGCACGCTGTTCCGCTTCTCGCTCCCGTGCGGCCTTGTCGCGAGCCTCGCGTCGGACACGCTCCTCCTTGGCCCTCAGTTCCGCTGCCTGTTTCCCCCTCACTGCGCGCTCGCGAGCCTCGTAGGCCTTGGCAAACTCGTGCTGCTCGAACCGGACTTGGGCTTCGGTCTCAGTGCGCGCCTCAAGCTTGATGCAGGGGTAACATGGGAAGTGCGATGGGCGGGACTTGTCGTCGTCGCTGATGTCAGGGCAGACGCTGTTGGAGAGAAAGCCCGGACGGCACATCTCGATGTATGGACGATCAGAGAGGTGGCTACATGTGTGCAGCTTCTTCCAGTAGAGACACATCTTGAAAGCCTAAAAATGTTAGCATCTGTAGACACGGCTACCAGCTAGTACTTACCTTGTCAGAGTGTAGCTTCAGCTTGGACGAAAAGGTCGCGATGATTTAGAATTGCGTGTAGAAGAAGTAAGGAAGAGTGGAAGGACTGCTGTTTTAGGCTTGAGTAAGGATGGAAGGTGCATGGGTGAGGTGAGAGCACATGGCTTATCGTGTATGGTCGGCAGTAGCGCCCAAGGTGAGAGAAAGAACATTGTGCGAGGAAGGGGCGGCCCAGCCTCATCGGGTCAGCAACGACAGCTTCCAGTGACTAAGTGGGAATTGAGCGAGAGCAGATGTGTGAGTGAAACCAACGGTACAAGATATTGAAACTATAAAGGGTATATCCATCGCAATACGCAGACCATCGAGATCTGATGTCCATCCGTACAAATATCCTGGGTATCTTACCTACCCGAAAACATGCACAAGATAGCATGCCGGGCCACGAGACGCCGCAGTAAATGGCCTGCAAGCATAGTGAGAGCAGGAGGGAACAGCGCAGACCCGTCTACGCCCTCATCTTTCGTCGCATCTCCGGACGGGCGCCGCGATGCTCGACCTCGGTGACGCGACTGCCGCCAATTTCCTTGACCTTCGCTACTAGGGTGTCGGTCTGGTCGAGCTCTTCGATATCGTCGCCGCCTCCTATGCTCTTTCCCATGAGCAGGACGTTAGGCACCGTTCTTCGGCCTGTCGACTTGTGCAGGAAGGCTTGTAGTTGTTGGCCGATTGGGCTCTTATCGAGTTCGACGACGTAGGGTTCAGGCTTGATGTTGTACTTTTCGAGAAGGATGTGTTTCGCTTTCTTCGAGTAAGGGCAGTAGGACTTTGAGAAGATGATCACTGTGACAAGTTAGTGACTGTGCAGGGCTCAACTGAGGGAGGAGTAGCGTACTTGGGCTCTTCTTCAGGATGGCATTGAGCTCCATCTCCACTTCGTGATCCTCAAGCGTCTCATGCTCCATCATGGCTGCTTGGTCGCGCGGCTTGCCACCCTGTTGCGCGACGCCGGGGACCCTGTCGCCGTCCATCTTGACGCGGCCCGCGACACTCTTCTGGTCCTGTCCTTCTACCTTGACCTTGTGGTCTGTGTACTTGTCCTCAGCGTTCTTCTTTGCCTGCTCTTCAGCGGCTTTGAGTCGCGATCCGACGCTCTCTGCATCGCGTTGCTTCGTCGCTTCTGCGTATTCTTTTTCTTGTAAGGCTTGTTGGGTTTTTGTGTAAAAGTCGGATGTCTGTGTTTGGTGGGCTCCTTTTGACATGTAGAACAGCACAACGACTGTGATGACAATGAGGATGCCAAAGAACCTCACGCGACGTTGCGACGGCATGATGGCGATGTGTGTAGATGTGGTATGTGTCGTGTGATGAGCGAGTGCGCCGTATGCGTATAGTATCAAGCTGGTATGTTGCCCGAAGACTGCCCGTTGCCAATGGCGGTGGAGGTATAGAGCCTTGTTTATATGGATCGACGGGCGGTGCTGATAGTATTCGTGGTTCGATGAAGGTCCGTGGACTGCGATAGTCGCAGGAGCGCGGTAGTGGCGCGTGGTGTTGATTAAACGTATGGAAGACGTGTGCGATAATCCTGCAAGGGAAACGTGTACAGAAAAGAAGTACACAATAGCTGCTATATTCGCTGAAACAGTGCGGCGGTTTAGAGTGTGTTGGTGAGTTGGTGGACCCGGCGCTGGAAACAATGTGGAGGGATGGTGGCCCTGGCTCCTGGCCTTGGTTCGCGTCATGCCGCTTTCCGCATCTCTCCTCACTCCATCCCGGTCAACCGTCCGCCTGCCAACGCTGTGATTCGCGACTCTGAGCCACGGTGCCTGCCTAAATCCTCTTCTGTCTTGGGCTTCTTATTTGCATAGTTCCATGCGGTTCCAATGTCTGCTTAGACGGTGGACGGCACGCATTGTACGTAATCACGCGCACGCGATGCAGTGGTCTTGACGCTGTGCCACACTCAATACAAACCCCATCCAAGACCCCCTCGTTGAGTTCACTTACACGTAGGGGCACCGCGGTGCAAGGCTAAGACGTTATGCTGTGCCTCCGCTGACCACCCATCCCTGACCGACGACACTATCGAAATGCCGCCGACACCCCGACGGCGCGTGACCGCGTTGATGGAAAACGTTTCCAGCTTCCAACCAAGAACGTCGGATCGTCTACTCCATCAACACACGCCGTCGACTACTCACCGTCTAAGTGGAGGTCCCATCTTGTGTCTCTCTTGGTACTTGGAGCATAGAGTAAGCTCTCCGCACCATGCGTCTCACGACGACATGCAGGCTGTGACCAGGTTCTCCACAGACGGCTGCAGTCCTGTACTGGGTTTAGCGCCTCCCCATACCGCTTTCGTCTGTTCCGCTACACGTTCCAGATCGTTATAGCATATAAAGCTCACTACGTCTGAGACTGTTCGGCCTAGTACCGTTACACTTGAAGAGATCACGGCGTGCACATCTCCTTGTACGATTCCAGTCTTGACCATTGCGTCATCCACCGACCCACCATGTCTCCGCGCCTTCCATCAACACCTGTTTCCATTGTGCCTTCTGCGTCTGAAGTCAAAGCCGGAGGGCTCAACCAACGCAACCTCGAGATCGCTACCAGAGCGCTCTCTCGCGATGGCCTCGTGGTGTTGGAAGATATGATTGACCATGCAGTCTTGGACCGGTTGAACAAGAGGATGGTCCAGGATGCACTCGAATTACAGGCAAGAAAGGACAGTCCCTTCAATTACAACAAGGGAAACATTCAACAAGATCCTCCTATGACCCAGGAGTGGTTCAGCGACGAGATATATGCCAGTACGTGTCTATTGAAGTAAGTCCTGCCACGCTCTAAACACGTACTAACCTCAAACCAGACCCAATCGTGACGCAGGTCACTTCAACAACGCTTGGTCCTAGGCCTTCATTGCGCTTCATTTCTGGCAACACCGCACTACCACCAACTGCGTCATCGCCACCAGCCTCTCAGCCGACCCACAATGATGCAGACTTCGACCACCCCTCAATCCCTTTCGCCCTCGTGGTAAACGTTCCTCTTGTGACTATGACGCCAGAGAACGGCTCCACAGAGATCTGGCTTGGTACACACCAAGGTACCACTATTGCCGACCAAGAAGGTGAACACGGTGATCGTGCTAGCGGAAGGATCAAGCAGCATTTGCTCAATGCTCGTCGCGAGGTTCGACCACCCGCTCAGCCGGTCGTGAAGAAAGGTAGCATAATCGTTCGCGATCTGCGACTCTGGCATGGAGGGAAGCCCAATCTGAGCGAAGACCCGAGAGTTATGCTTGCAATGAGTAAGTTTCTTGCTGGCACGAGGTTCTGTCAACTGACTTTTTTTCACAGTACACTTCGCGCCATGGTATCGAAATTCGATGGAAGTCGAACTTGCGGAAGAGCTCGCTGAACGCTTGTTGCCTGAAAAGACTGGTCTGCAGACTGCGGCCACGTACGTTTCGAGTGAGCAATTGCTCAAGAATTATCTGAATAGGCCATTTGGCAATGCGTACGATTTCGATCAGACAGAGAAGATCGATGATATCTTCTGAGGTAGCTCCAGCGTAGTTGCCACCGATCGGCCTCTTCACCGTTATATGAGCAGCCAAGACGTCGATTTCCATGCTGCAATAAGTCAAATTCAGTCATCTCGTATTCCGCTCCGCCCACTTGGCACCGCCAATTTGCACTTGGAATGCCCTGCAGCTTCGCGACGTCGGCCATTTGCTAACTTGAGGTGTGTCAGCATCATAGCCTAGAAGCTGTATGCGCGCACAGCTGAAGTTGGCCTCTCATTGGTAGGGCAGCTTACGCGAAGTGCTCAGTAAGCTTCAGTGGGCACGTCAGCTGGAGGAGATGTCAAGGCTTGGCGACCATTGAACGAACATCAACATCAGTATCAAGTGGCCCCGCCACGGACACTTTTCCTCAGTCTTCGATTTTGATGTCGTTCTGCCGGTTACACGTTACTTTGCCTTCATGTTCCAGACCAAACGAGCTAGTGTTATTCTTGCCTTACCGTGGAACCAGCTTGCCTATATCCAGCCATGTACACAACACGGGACAATCAGAGCTTACACGTCACACTTGCCCAGCCAATCGTCGAGGTGAATGCTGGCGATGCAACCAGAGGCTTCAAAACAGCATTGGCGGTGGAGGTACCGCTGATGGTACTAGCTTTGAGCACCGTCATCATGAGAGTGTATTCAAGGCTAGCAATTAAGAAGAAGGTAGCGCCGGATGATATCTTGATCATCCTGGGCACGGTATGTTGAGCCCCAATCGAACTAGCTTGTACAGAGAGCTTGTAGTTTGCTCGGGCTAATCGTAATCAGGCCGCGGCTCTCGCACGTACCGTGATATCTTGTATGAGTGCAGATGACAATTGGGGTTACGATCGAAAAGGGTGAGTTCCCGTGCTGCACAGATCGTTCCGAGCCGTACTCATAATTTTTTTCAGTCCCGATCGAACGTCGGAAGTTCCATTCTATCAAGTAAGACTTCCAATGTGTCTAAGAAATCATACTGACATGCAACAGCACATCTTCGAACGTCGCGTGGCGTACATCTTTGCCGTTACCTTCACGCGTTTCTCGGTCTTGGCCTACTACCTCCGAATCTTCCCACCGGGGATGGCATCACTTCGAAAATGCTGTTATGTCCTTCTCGTCCTGGCTCTTGCGCACTTCATCGAAGTCCTCACGGTTCTCATAGTCTTGTGCGAAGATATCAGCAAGCTATGGACCGGGAATTGGCTCGACTTCACTGGATCACAGTGCTTCAGTTCTGCCCTATACAGTTACTCCGCGGCGATAGGCGATAGCATCGTAGACAGTATGATCTTCGCGCTCCCGATCCCATACGTATGGCAGCTTTCCAAACTCAGGATCCGGCAACGACTTGGCCTTGTTCTCGTCTTCGGGCTAGGTTTCATTGTTTGTATCGTCGCCTTGCTTCAAATTCCTTTCATTAAGCGGCGAGAAGGCAATATGAGATACTTTGGCAGCGCCGTCAATATCCTGATCGCGATCCAAATTTCGTTTGCCATTATTGCAGCTTCGCTGCCCGACTTACGTGCGCTAGTCGCACGCAGTTTCGCAAGATTCTCGCCTCTCCATCATCGAAGTCTTGCTACAGCCGGACGAGAATCAAGTGGCGAAAACGAAGGACGCTCAGCCGACCAACGCGATGCCGAGCAGGGCTTCCCAAAGTCGGCTAAGATTGGAGAGCCACAGGTGGCATCTGAAGGAAAAAGGGTTTCCAGGAAGCCAGACTGGCTGCGGAATAGCATTCCCGCAAGTTTGATGTCAACGATGATTACACACAACGAGGTCACTCAGTTGTCGAATGATGACGACCGATGTCTTCCCCAAAGATCAATTAGAATAGCGGAATGAGGACAGTCTGTAGCTATTACATGTCATACTGTACAACCGTAAGATTTCTTGGAATCTGTCAACCAACCCAAACAGTGGTGAGGCAGGTCTTAGGTGATCAGTCTAGTACCTGTTCAGCTAGCCTCAAGCTATGTCTATGATCTGCATGAACTGTTGTACCCATTGCTGCTTACATCCATGATACCCCGCCATCGCGCAGTCGCAAGCTGAAATTTATCTTGGCAATTTGCCTTACATGCGAGAAAAATGTCCAACCCAAGTTAGATCATTCGCATGATGCTCGCGCACCTGCCTTTTTTCCAAATCCTCGGGACCAATCAAGAACAGGGAATGGTAATGGACTTCTCCGACGCTGACGGAGGTGTGCTGCGGCCTGCATGTCTTAATGATGCTGCACGTTATTTGAGGTGCAGCGCGACTGCATGGAGCGAGGATACATATAAAGTAGGGTGTGTGCCCGACCTAGGAAGGTACGACACATAAGAGTTGCCTCTATAGTAAACTGCAAAGCTCGGATAATGGCATCAGCGTATGACTTCGTCATCGTAGGAGGTAAGCGGGATCTCACTTTACACGTATCGATTGATGCTAACACATCCATTGCTAGGCGGAACATCAGGTTGCCTTCTTGCCCACCGACTGTCCCACTCCGCACGCAAACCGTCTGTCCTCCTCCTTGAAGCCGGAAGCAGCCCCTCTGGTGATTACCTCCGCGCACCCTACCATCGGTACTATGCGCAAGCGCTCCGACCGGACCTGGACCACGGCTATGTCTCTAAGCCCGAAGGCGCCTTGAACGGCAGAACGATACCGTACACGCGAGGAAAAGGCCTAGGCGGAAGTTCCATCCTGAATTTCGCCGTGTATCTGTACGGAAGTCGTGAGGACTACAATCGCTGGAGCGACCTGGTAGACGACGAGAGTTGGAAGTGGGAGTCTGTCAAGGAATCGTTTCAAGCTATTGAGAACTATGACTTTTCCGGCTCAAAAGATTACAAGCATATCGCTGATCCAAGTACCACCGCTCACGGTACGAAAGGCCAGTTGAAGGTTGGTCTTCCGCCTGTGCTTGAGAAAGGCGTAGTGCCACAGATGGAGGCACTGGCTGCGGCTGGAGAGAAGATCGTTATCGATGCTAATTCGGGAGATCCGGTGGGCATTATGGTCTTTCCGCATAGCTATAGTAAAGAGGGGAGAAGTACGAGTGCGATTGCGCATTTGATGGACCCGCCGAGTAATCTTGAGGTATGGACAGATGCGAAAGCAGAGAAGCTCGTATGGGAGGGGAATAAGGTCACTGGAGTCGTTCTCGAGGATGGGCGGCAAGGTAGGTGTTCCATCTAGTTCAACAAGAGACGTAGCGAGTACTGACAGGACCCCAGCGACGGCAAACAAGGAAGTCATCATCTGCGGTGGCTCAATCGACTCACCCAAGCTATTACTTCTCAATGGCATCGGACCAAGATCCGATCTCGAAGCCCTCAGCATCGATGTCAAAGTCGATTTACCCGGCGTAGGCAAGCACCTGAAAGACCACGTCCTCACCTTCATGACGGTGGAAGTCTCAGGCTCAATCAATGACAAATACGCCTTTGACAGCAATCCCGACCTCATCGCCGCAGCTCAGGAATCCTGGACCAAAGACCAGACCGGTGCTTTCGCTCTCCAAAACTCGTCGCTTTGGGGCGGCTTCCTCAAACTACCAGAGTTGGAATCATACGAAGAGTACTCCGCGCTTCCGCCAGACCTCCAAGAATTCCTATCCAGAGACCAAGTCCCAGCGTACGAGTTCATCAACAACTCGATACTGTGGCCACCGGGTACACAATTGGATGCAGGCAACACATACATGACTTTCATCGCTTTTCTCATGAACCCGCAATCTAGCGGCTCGATCACGCTGCGGTCCAGAAATGCATCCGACAAGCCAATCATTACGTTGAACTACCTCACGCATCCCTACGACATCCGCATCTTCCGCGAAGCTATCCGCAATACATGGACGAAATTGACAGGCAACCCTACTATCGCGCCACATATCGTGCGCACGGTTCTAGGCCCTGAATCCATGGGGAATGCGGATGTGGATCGATTTGCGAGTGAGAATGCGGGTACCGTGTGGCATGCTTGCGGGACGTGCAAGATGGGTAAGGAAGGAGATCAAAAAGCGGTTGTGGACAAGAATTTCAGAGTTCGGGGAGTGGAGGGGCTACGAGTTGTTGATATGAGTGTTGCGCCGGTCGTGACGAACAACCATTCGCAGGCTACAGCGTATCTAATTGCGCAGAAGGCAGCGGAGAAGATGATCCAAGAGTATGGGCTGGACAGGGAGGGCTGAGGCTATCATTTGGTAGACGTGGCAGATGCACGCTTGGCTGCCGGCAGAGAAAAGTGCCAGTTGTCAATGTCTTGAAAAGTGACCTTGCATCCTCGGTAGTGTTGAATGTCACAGCTTGTACCTGTTGTCGACTTACGGTGTAGTGATTGGCATGTGCGGCACGCAAGGCCCCGTTGACAGCGTAGCAGGCGACCCACAACATCACACGCGCCTGCAGGTACCGGATGATATTTATAGCCGGCTGGGGCTCTGGAGTCTAGATTCTACTCCCAAAACGACAAGTTGACAGTTCTCCGGAGGTTGCGGAAAGACGATAGAAATACCAAGAAGCTATTCGCAACTAAGGCAAACCACTGCACGACGTCGCAGGCTGCATGCGCAGAACCAGCAAAGTGCGCGAGGCAGAATGATTGAGGAACTACCGCGCAAAGGCCAAGAACCTAGCTTGGGCCAACACGGGCATATCCTTCTGGGGGAAATTGCTATGACGAGTGGTGGTGGTGAACGTGCGCTGAGACGAGGAGGATGGCCAGGTGATGCCGCGACGGACGTTGCTGGGTGAACCGGAGGCGGAGCGAGCGCTGAGCATCACTGTGTACGACACCCCGTAGAATCGTGAGACAGCACACATCCTCACGAATAGCGAACTCATTGACATCACGAGAACGACACGACTTCTGTTTCCACTACTGCGTCTAGCCAAGTTTCAAAAATCCCGCAAGCGCATAACCCCGGTGTTGTTGAAGTTGGAGTTGGAAGGTCCCCAACCACCCCAGCCTCTCCCGCGGCTTCCAACCACACGATTATTCTAAGTGTACCCTTTTTACTTGCGCACCTCCTCCTGCACGATTACACACATCCTACCACCCTTTCTCTCACTTCCATACCCAAGTTCAATCATCACTGACTTTTCCGTGGTTCGCATCCTGTACCACGCCGGCACCAGTCATCCACGCCAGCAGACACGAAAGACGCGCTAGCCAACGGATCGACCCCGCAGCAGCACTACCCACCCATTCACCGCTCCCAAGCCGACTGGACGATATCTACGAATTGCAGCGCGCTTCTTCTTTCGTTTCCCCCCAATTCCTGCAAACGGTCCTATCTATTCCAATCGCAGTAAACCTCGCTGCTCTGCTGCGTTTGGAGAGGCTCAGTCGCTCGCTTTACCATGTGGCTTCTCAACGCTCCTCCCGCCGTGCTCGGCCTGATCGCCTTCGCCTACCTGCCCTCGGCTCTCGCAAAGCCCTATCCCGTCCACTTTGACGAGTTCGCCTCGCTGCACAACAGCTCGCAGCTGATCAAGAAGCAAGATTGCGCCAACCCCTGTGGTTTTGGCGGCTGGCTGTGCTGTCCTTCAGGCTCAAGATGCTACACCGACAATGCCAACCAGGCGCAATGCGACACCAGCGGCGGTGGTGCCAACACTGAAGCGGCAGGCGGCTACTACCAATACTACACGACTACCTACGTTGAGACTGTCGGCCTTCTCACCAAGACGGAGACGCGCAGCACCTACATCCCCGCGACAGCGACAGCGACATGCAGCGACTCGCAAAACCCCTGCGGCGGAACGTGCTGCGACTCTGGCTTCTACTGTCTGAAGGCCGGCACGTGTGCGCTGATCGCTGGCGGAAGCTCTGGAGGTATAACACCCGGTGCTCCTCTTCGTCCAACTAGCTCTGGCGTCGTAGTCGTTACCTACACCGGCACCCCGACCGCGACCCAGCCCTTCCAAACACCCATCCCCACCGGTGCAGCAGGCGGCGGCCTCGTCGCAACCGAAGAGAGCAACGGCGGACTCAGTGGCGGTGCCATCGCCGGTATCGTCATCGGTGTTATCCTCGGTATATTGCTGCTCCTCCTTCTCTGCCTCTTCTGCTGCGCCCGCGCCCTCTTCGACACCCTCCTCGCCATCTTCGGCTTCGGCAAGAAGCGCAAGCACACCCACGAGGAGACCTACATCGAAGAGCACCACCACAGCGGCGGCGCTGCTGGCGGACGCACCTGGTACGGAGCCGGCCGCCCTGCTCGTCCTTCGCGCGCCGGCTCTGAGAAGCACAGCGCCGGGAAGAAGGGTCTGGGCCTCGCTGCAGGACTAGGTGGTCTCGCTCTTGCGCTGGGTCTCAAGAGGAGACACGATGCCAAGGTCGACGACAAGAGCACCACTGTCAGTGGAACATCATACATGTACAGCGACTACACAAGTTCAAGTAAGTAACCCGATTTGCATCCATTCGGAAAACAAATGCTAACAATCACGCAGGCAGCGCAAGTTCATCAGATCGCCACACACGCCGGACACGCCACTCATCGAGACGATAGGCGGTCATCCACCGACCGACATCTTTTCAGCAACTTTCCAAAACTGTATAAAGTCTTTTTTTGCTTTCTCGTTCTTGTGTCTAGCCTCGTGCTGGTGTCTTATGGCATGGGTGGTTTTATCCGTGGGAACATGGGCTTCGACAAAGTCGACCCTACTGGCGTTACTTGGGCGTTTGAAGCGACCTCGCTCACGACTGCGAAGCGACGAATGTGTCATGTCCTTTTGGTTTTCGACTTTTACTTTTCCGACGTATGCGATTAATGAGGATATGCGTATGCGTGGATACGAGATATGGGGTGCTGGTGAAGATGTATATGAATGCAATGGATATCGATATCGAAATAGAAATGGCATTAAGAGGAATTGTGAATATTACATTTGGGTTCCCTCGAATTTGCCGATTCTTAGAATCAATGAGTGCATTGAGATTTTGGTTTGCAAGGTATGTGTATTGACTATTCTACATTCTTCATCACGCACCTTCTTTTTCTAGCATGATGTTCAACTCAGTGTTGGGGGGAGGTGTGTAGTCACGCTGGTGCTATAGAAATAACGATACTATACTATGATCTCGTTTTGTTCCCCAAGCGTCGCATGGAATCTGACGGTAACGTTCTCGGTGACTTACAGCTCCGTCAGAAGTGGACGGCTGATGCGAACATCCAACATGTTGTTCGTCGGCGTGAAATCGACGAGTAAGTCATGTAAGTCTAACACATTGTAGTGAGCTTGAGGAGAGTTGACGGCTGCAGTCCGATTATACTTTACGTAAATCGGAATACGCGGTCAGTAAGAATATCCAAAGCATCACGGTGATAGTCAAACAGGATGAGGCTATATTGCCCTAGTGTTTGAACGAGTTCCCCGTCGACCTTATACGTCCCGGCTAGCGGTTCGGTACTAGTCTGTCGTTTAGTAGCGCACGGACTGTCGACTTCCTGTCGAGGTGTAGCTTCAGAGCTCTGAAGGTTCATGCTGACGTGTTGAACGCTATCAGGAGAACGAATCGAATGCATGCCTGGTGACCCGACTTCCGACATTGTTGCGTAGCTGACGGCTGAAGGAGTGGCTGTTTTCTATTAATGCGGTGCAACAAACGTACACATGAAGCAACATACGCAAAGCAGGACTGGGAGCGTACACCATATTCTCCGAAATATCGTGTCTTTTCATCCATCTCTCAATCTTTTGCGGTTCGACTTCTTGACCTCTCACCCGGAATTTCAAATCGGGCTTGTCCGTCTCGACAAGGCCGCGCCGTTGGCGATGTCTGATGATAGCCTTCATCTCTTCTGGTTTGATGTTTTTGTCCAGCTTCCATTGACTCAGACGAGACCTGTACTGGCGGATTCTAGCTAGTGTATCAGTCTAAACCCTGCGGAGTTGGGGACATAGATCTTACTCAGCGGTGAAACTAAATTCTTGCTCCATGAGCATCTTGACTTCTGGAAGCGGTCGCTTTTCGGTAACATGCAGCTGTTTGATCCTGTCTTTGTATGGTTCCCAATCACTCTCGCGGAGAGTCCGAGCCCTCTTTCTTCGCGGGCGAGCGTCTGAAGTGGCGTCTGAATGCAGTTGGCCAAGCTCGGATGTTGTGGTATCGTCCCCGTCGAATGGCTTGAAGTCCCGGTCAATATCCATGATAGTGTAGATCTTCGAGAAGCAGCTGAGTTACGTGTATCGCCCAAGTGATGTGACCTCGTAGAGCAGATGGAAATGGAGAGTCTTCGATTATTTCCAGAGACGTAGACCTAAGAAGAAATGCTGCCATGCATAACCAAGAGTACGTGGTGCGCTCTGGGGGTGGGTTATATGTGAACTAGGCCAGTACAAGAGGCTGAGCTGCAGCTGGATGCTATTGGCTGGCAGACAGAAGTACAAGTCATGCAGGCAGTCCTCTTCGCCTAGACGCGCAAGTACAGCGCCTCCATGCACGTCCGTGGGAGCACCGGTGCAATATTGAGCCAATCATGTCAGCATCAACAAAAGTACAAATCCGAATCTCTGATGCCCGAGCAACGTCAGATGCAAAAGTACAAAACAATCTGCAGCTTCGGATTAGTACTTTGACCCGTTGGTATCTGCAGAACGCCATCAGTTCGCATACCCCTTGACAGCTCACCATGCAAAAGTACAATGATGAAAGGTATATAGCGACGTGATGGGCCATCTTACTGTCTTGCTGAGACAGCTAAGAGCGTCATTCCCATCAAGCGAATACTTCAGTTAGCCGAAAACGTTCATGTCTTTCGACAGCCAGTCCACCAACACCATCGCAGCCATCGTGTTTGGCCTGCTTCAACTTGGCGTTGGCCTAGTCTCTCTTTGGCAACAAATACAGCTACGTCGAGCATACCGTCAGTGTTATCATGAGCTACGTGATAATAGCCTGTCCTAATAACTTTGTAGGGCAGGGAAGCGATCGAAGGAGATACACGATCTAGGATGCGGAAGGTGCCAGTCCGTAGGTATGTTGGCGTCTTTGCTAGAGTAATGTGTGACGGGGCTGACCGACGCAAGGTTTGATAACATCAAACCAGGAGTCGTGTTCGACAGGGCCGCGCAAGAGCAGCATATACTCGCAAGACTGCGCATGTTTTGAAGAACTCCAAACCTCTCGTAAACGTTGGTGGCGACGTGGTGTTATACGGGTGAATAGCAAAGCTACGCCTATGTGAATAGAAGCGGGCAGTCGTGCGGGCTGGCTGGTAGCGCAAAACTCCAGGCGGAAGTGACGATTGCGCCAAGACTAAAGTGGGCTGGCGCTAGGTGGAGCTCCAGCACCTTCGCTGTGACAAGTACTCACGTAATAACCTCCCTGCTGCGCCTACAACCCTTGCCTTCCTTCCATTTACACCCTCTACACTCAACCCAATCTAGCGACAAACGTGTTGATCTCGTTTGTCCTTCTTCACATCTGTGATCAACAGTCTACACTACCCCGCGACACTCGAGCGCCCGCGACCGCCACACTTGACAGCGTCCAGGCTCCACGACCGTCGGCAAACTGGGGAAGCGGAAACACGTCGACGAGGACGCTCGTCCCAGCAAGAAAGAGAAAGCCATGGCAGTAAGTCCGCCCCATTGATTACTAAGTTGCGCTTTGTTCGGTTGCGCGTCCGCATTTGCATCCAAGTACTCGGCGTCTCCAGCGTCTCCGCCACTCTACACATTTCACCAACTTCACACCTCTGCATCCCCAATCTGACGTATTCAAGGAAAACATGCAGGTCGACAGCCCTGCAACTGCCGTTGAACAGCTTAAGGAAGCCTCCGGTAACAACGGCGACATCGATGAGTCCCTCTACAGCAGGCAGCTGTATGTCCTGGGCCACGAGGCCATGAAGCGCATGGGCTCTTCCAACGTCCTCGTTGCTGGTCTGCGAGGTCTCGGTGTCGAGATTGCGAAGAACATCGCCCTAGCCGGTGTCAAGTCGCTGACACTCTACGATCCCAAGCCCGCCGCGCTCGCCGACCTGTCGTCGCAGTTCTTCCTCACTCCCGCCGATGTGGGGAAGCCACGCGCCTCCGTCACCGTACCGCGCGTCTCCGAACTCAACCCATACACACCTGTGCAGGAATTCAGCGGAGGAGATCTGACTTCAGACTTGTCGCAGTTGAAGCAGTTCCAGGTCATCGTCCTTACAGACACTCGGCTCGAAGATCAAATCAAGATCGCAGACTACTGCCACGACAACGGCATCTACGTCGTCATTACCGACACATACGGTCTATTCGGTACCATCTTCACCGATTTTGGCAAGAATTTCACCATCGGCGATCCGACTGGTGAGAATGTCAACAACGGTATTATTGCCGGTATTGATGAGGAGGGTATTGTATCGGCACTAGACGAGACAAGACACGGCCTGGAGGATGGCGACTGGGTCACATTCTCAGAAGTTGAGGGCATGGAGGGCCTCAACGGCTGTGCGCCTCGCAAGATTGAGGTCAAAGGACCTTACACATTCTCCATTGGCGACGTGTCTGGCCTCGGAGAGTACAAGAAGGGAGGACAATTCATCCAGGTCAAGATGCCCAAGATCATCAACTTTGAGCCCTTCAGCAAGCAGCTCAAGAAGCCCGAGCTTCTCATCTCCGATTTCGCCAAGTTCGACCGACCACAGCAGCTCCACGTTGGTATCCAGGCCATCCACAAGTTTGCGAACCTCCACAAGGGCGAGTTCCCACGTCCTCACCATGAAGCCGATGCGGATGAGCTCTTCAAGATTGCACAAGAGATCGCAAGTGAGGGTGAGGAGAAGGTCGAGCTGGACGAGAAGCTCATCAAGGAGCTCAGTTACCAGGCTCGTGGTGACCTAAGCCCCGTTGCTGCCTTCTTCGGTGGCATGGCTGCTCAAGAAGTCTTGAAGTCTGTGTCTGGAAAGTTCCATCCCATCGTTCAGTTCCTCTACTTCGATTCGCTAGAGTCCATCCCTACCTCCACGACCCGTTCGGAAGAGCAGTGTGCTCCGATTGGCTCGCGCTACGACGGTCAAATCGCTGTATTGGGACAGGAATACCAGAAGAAGCTCAGCAACGTTAAGCAGTTCCTCGTTGGTGCGGGTGCCATCGGCTGCGAGATGTTGAAGAATTGGGCTATGATGGGTCTTGGCACTGGCCCTGATGGCAAGATCACTGTCACTGACAACGACCAAATCGAGAAGAGCAACTTGAACCGACAGTTTTTGTTCCGACCAGCGGATGTTGGCAAGCTAAAGAGCGATGCCGCTGCAAAGGCAGTTCAGGTTATGAACCCTGACCTCAGTGGAAAGATCGTTACACTGCAAGACAAGGTCGGCCCGGAGACAGAGCACATCTTCAACGAAGAGTTCTGGAATTCTCTGGACGGTGTAACGAATGCACTGGACAACGTAGAGGCGCGTACATACGTCGACCGACGATGTGTGTTCTTCCGCAAACCTCTGCTTGACAGCGGTACTCTCGGTACCAAGGGCAACACCCAGGTTGTTCTGCCATTCATCACAGAGTCTTACTCTTCATCTCAAGATCCACCTGAGAAGTCGTTCCCTATGTGCACGCTAAGGAGCTTCCCCAACCGAATCGAGCACACAATTGCCTGGGCGCGAGAGTCGTTTGATTCGCTGTTCGTCAAGGGTCCTGAGATTGTCAATCTGTATTTGACACAGCCAGACTACCTTGGAGCATCACTGAAGCAGTCCGGTAATGAGAAGCAGACTCTGGAGACCCTGAGGGATTTCTTGGTCACGGAAAAGCCGTTGTCGTTTGACGACTGCATCATCTGGGCCCGTCATCAGTTCGAGAAGAACTACAACCACGCGATTGCGCAATTGCTCTACAACTTCCCCAAGGACTCCAAGACGGGCTCCGGTCAGCCATTCTGGTCGGGGCCCAAGCGCGCGCCAGACCCATCGAAGTTTGACTCTTCAAACCCAACACATTTCACATACGTGGAAGCTGCTGCCACCCTACACGCGTTCAACTACGGCATCAAGCCAAATGCGTCCAAGGAGCACTACGTCGAAGTTCTCAACGACATGATCGTTCCTGACTTCCAGCCCGACCCTACAGTGAAGATCCAGGCCGATGAGAAGGAGCCAGATCCGAATGCCAACCAGGCTGGTGGCGACGACAATGAGTCGCTCGACAGCATTATCAGCCAATTGCCGGCACCAAAGTCTCTTGCTGGGTTCAAGCTTGAGCCCGTCGAGTTCGAGAAGGATGACGACTCCAACCACCACATCGACTTCATCACTGCTGCCAGCAACCTCCGTGCCGAGAACTACAAGATCGAGCAGGCAGACCGACACAAGACCAAGTTCATTGCTGGTAAGATCATCCCGGCCATTGCCACCACCACGGCTTTGGTCACCGGTCTCGTCAACCTTGAGCTGTACAAGATCATCGACGGCAAGACGGACATCGAGCAATATAAGAACGGCTTCATCAACTTGGCGCTGCCATTCTTCGGTTTCAGTGAGCCGATTGCCAGCCCGAAGGGCACATACCAAGGGCACGATGGTGAAGTTACGATCGATAAGCTATGGGACCGTTTTGAGGTGGATGATATCCCCCTGAAGGACTTCGTGGCGCATTTTGAGAAGAAAGGTCTGTCGATTCAAATGATCAGCTCTGGTGTCAGTTTGCTTTACGCATCATTCTATCCTCCATCTAAGTTGAAGGATAGGATGCCGCTTACGTAAGTTTCATCAATTCCTTTTCCTATACACGACTAACAAAAGATAGCATGAGCAAGCTTGTGGAGCACGTGAGCAGGAAGCCGGTACCGGAGCACCAGAAGAACGTTATCTTCGAGATAACAGCTGAAGACCAGAAGGAGGAGGATGTTGAGATCCCATACGTCATGGTCAAGTTGAAGTAGGTATCCACCACCTCGATTGAAGATAGCGTTGGACTGGTTAGTGGGCTGTTTCTCGATAAACAGGGATAGTTTTCACATGAGTTAGACGAGCATAGCTTGCATGAATAGACACTTCACATCATACCTTGCCTCCTACAATATATCAAAAGTGTAAAATACGAGAATACATAACCATGGTTGAGGAATACGTACTCAGGTTTGTGGATTGTTCAACAGGCAAAATCTCCGTGACAACCTCCGCGCTATTATATTCTCCTTCTTCCTGAAATATGTGGGGTTGATGTCAGCGGCAACGCAACACGAAATCTGTCGTGGGGAATCCGCTTTACCGGCCAAACTGCATGTTATGAACCCCACCCCATTCAAGGACAGGGATGATTTGTCATAAGAAGTAAACCATCTAGAAGTGTACATTGCCCTAGAACCTAACTGAATTTTGATTCTTATACTAATGTAGTCTACAGCGCATCTGCTGAGATTCACCCTTGTGTAAGGCGACACTGCTAGTCGGATGCCGACGTCGGGAGCTCGTGGGGCAAAATGCCAAGCATTACCGGTATAACCCTGTCACGAATGTTGATTATCAAGCCTCTAGGACTTTCCTCCAGCACGCGACGATGTAGCATTTACGTCCACACCTACAGTCACATTCACATACATCATGGCGCCCTCACTAGAAGAGCCAGTACAAGTCGATTTCGAAGCACCTCTTAAGGCTGCGCCAAAACTCGTTGCGCCCGAGCCAGGTACGTTTGCCCCGCCACCCCTCCGCCATTATACTGCAACTCTGTGAGTACAGACTGCTAACATCATCGCAACAGAACATTGCCCTGGTCCCGAATCTCTCACGGCCGGCCAAGCGGATTCCTGCGCAGGATGTCCCAATCAGTCAATATGCGCCTCCGCGCCGAAGGGCCCCGATCCCGACATACCTATCATTACCGCGCGCCTCTCCTCCGTAAAGCACAAAATACTCGTACTCTCCGGTAAAGGTGGCGTCGGAAAGTCGACGTTCAGCACAATGCTTTCACATGGCTTCGCATCGAATCCGTCATCGACCGTCGGGCTCATGGATACCGACATCTGCGGGCCCAGCATACCAAAGATGATGGGCGTGGAAGAAGAGACAATACACGTTAGCGGAGAAGGGTGGGAACCAGTATGGGTCAGCGAGAACCTAGGAGTCATGAGCGTACAGTTCATGTTACCCAACCGCGACGACGCTGTAATCTGGCGCGGCGCAAAGAAGAACGGGTTGATCAAAAAGTTCCTCATGGATGTAACATGGGGCGAATTAGACTTCCTCGTCGTCGACACACCACCGGGTACATCCGACGAGCATCTCTCCGTCAACTCCTTCCTCAAAGCCAGCGGCGTCGACGGCGCAGTCCTCGTTTCTACACCCCAGGAAGTCTCGCTTCTCGACGTTAGGAAGGAGATCGACTTTTGCAGGAAAGCGGGTATACCTATACTGGGCATCGTGGAGAACATGAGCGGGTTCGTATGCCCGGGTTGCAAGCACGAATCTCAGATCTTCAGAGCGAGTACGGGTGGTGCAGCGAGATTAGCGAAGGATCAAAATATACCATTTTTGGGCAAGGTGCCGCTGGACCCAAGGATAGGCATGGCTTGCGACTTTGGAGAGAGCTTCCTGACGGCCTACCCGGACAGTCCGGCGTGCGCTGCTATCAAGGAGGTCGTTAGGAGAGTTGGAGAGGAGATTGGATTGAGCCGAGAAGAAGTATTGCCTATTGACGAGGACGAAACATGACCTCAAACAGCGTAGTCGACATACAGCAAAGATGTACTGGGACGAACCGAATTGAACAGCATAAACGACTTTACGTTAGGCGTAGTCATATATCTGCAGGAATATATACCCACTGGACAAACCGTACGGCGTTTGCAAGTCGGCCCGCGTCAATGATGTGAAGAGTTACGAAGGCGGTTGACGCAAGCAGCGCAGATCACTGAGTTCGCCTTGATGCAACCGGAACATCGCAATCAAGGAGAACGAGAGATGGACACTACGATAACAAGCATCTGCTCAGGCAGTTTCCTCCAATAATGAACTGCACATTTCATCAAGAATGCAGCGCATTGCTGAGTAAAACTACTTCTCCAATTTGAAAGTCACTGGGACACAGCGTATGCGAAGCCACCTCGCCTCTCTTGGAGTCGTCATTCACTGCCACAATGGCGCCGCCCCGTTGGATCTTCGTGTGGCAGATATCCAGTGGAAATTATGAGTGGACTGGCAGCCACACCACAGCCATTGATCAGCGTCATCGTATCACGCTATATGGTGCTTGGCAAACGTAGCGGGTGCTTGGCGCGTGTTTCGAAAGCTTGGTTGGGTGGCCTGTGGCTTGGACGAAGATAATGAGCTCATAGATGTTGCGCGAGCCGATGCAAGATCTGTAAACGCATGCTGGGAGAGAGAGAAGAAGAGCGAGTGGGCTGGATTGGAGACGGCGTGTAAGACCATACAGAAGATCGAGATAGGTCCAGTGTCTTCGCGGTCCACAATGCAGCGCGGAAGGCTCGAGGATGTCATGGCCCACACGGTTAGCGGCAACGATCCCTGCCGCCTCGGTGCCATCAATCACAGGCACAACAACTTTCCTGACTTTGAGGCTAGAGGCGCTTTCATTTTGGCCCCAGCCTTCCCTGAATTCTTACGCTCCCCCGCCTCTATCGTTTCCGTAGTACACGCGCTTCATAAGGGTGTGTAATTGTTTTCGTCGCGACAGGAACGCGGTATTTATCAGCAGCGCGCATCGCATCTGCACCTGAAGCCAACTCTTGGACCCTGAGCGCATTGCCATTGTACGTCTTTGCTCTGGCCCAATTGAGTCAATAGACTGACTGGAGCGCAGGATCATAGACATCTTAGACGCGTCTGCGCATATACTCCCCCAAACCTCTCGCTATCGAACATCCCTCGCGACCGACGACCACCATGGCCGCTGAATACCAACAACATGAGGACCCCAGTGGTGTGACAGGCATTGGCGCGGGTCCTCAAGTCATCAGCACCTCGGGTGCAGTGGATGTCATCATGGGACCGCTCCTCAACTACCGACGTACAAGCAACCAGCAAGGCGGGCAGCCTGTCTGGCACGGCAGTGTCCTCATCGTCGCCACGCCCGGACAACAGAACCCGAATGAGGCACAGCCAAACCCCCAGCTTACACTTTTCCCAGCTGGTGCGGTCGACAAGAACATGGGTGACGTGAGGTTCAGCGTGGAAGCGCGCGAGTTCCACGGAGAAAAGCTATACGAGGATAGTAAGAGGGCTTTCTGGCGCTTCAGGATCGATGCTCCTATGCAGCCATTCGAATCAAGATGGCGTTACGAGATCCAGAACCTCAGATACACCGACACGATGAAGGAGGAGAAGCCCCAGAACTTCGTCGTGCCCTCAATCACCCAGTCGATGCGCATCATGTTCCATTCTTGCAACGGCTTCAGTGTTGGCACCGACATGGACGTCTGGTCCGGACCTGTTTTGTGGAATGATGTCCTCCGCATGCACGAGCAGCGACCTTTCCACGTCATGATTGGAGGAGGTGACCAGATCTACAACGATGGAGTGCGAGTCGACGGACCCCTCAAGCCATGGACCGACATACATAGCCCTCATAAGCGACGCGAGTTCCCCTTCGGCCAGCAGATGCGTGCCGATTGCGACGAGTACTATTACAACAACTACGTCAAATGGTATGGTCACAAGCCCTTCTCCACTGCCAACAGCCAGATTCCTCAGGTCAACATCTGGGACGACCACGACATCATCGATGGCTTTGGCTCCTACACCGACCATTTCATGAACTGCGCTGTCTTCAGAGGCATTGGTGGTGTTGCGCATAAGTACTACCTCCTCTTCCAGCACCACCTTGCTCCTCCAAAGAGTACCTTCACGACCGACGCGCCCCAGACGACCGATGTAACAGGCCAAGGACAAGGCACAACTCCCGCCGATCCGGTGCAGGTGGATAGCACTTTCGTTATGACCAACGATGAGGGCGACCCATCATACCTTATCGGCTCGAAGCCCGGCCCATATGTCGAGGAACGCAGTCGCAGCATCTACTGCCAGCTCGGCGCACGCATTGCCTTTGCTGGTATTGATGCGCGAACAGAGCGTACGAGGCATCAAGTCAACTACCCCGAGACCTACAAGATGCTCTTCGATCGTCTAGACGCCGAATTCACCGCAAACCCAGAACTTAAGCACATGATCTTGCTGCTCGGTGTACCCATCGCCTACCCTCGCTTGATCTGGCTCGAGAACATTCTGCAGTCACCCTTGATCGCACCCATCAAGTTTTTGAACAAGCGCTTTGGCTTCGCTGGAGGTTTCTTTAACCAGTTCGATGGCAAAGTTGATTTGCTCGATGACTTGGACGACCACTACACCGCGCGTCAGCACAAGGAGGAGCGTCGCAACCTCGTCCACAGCCTGCAGGCATTCTCCAAGAAGTTCTCCGCCCGTGTCACCATTCTTGGTGGAGATGTACATCTTGGAGCCATTGGTCGTTTCTACACCAACCCCAAGACACACCAAATTCCCGCAGAAGCTGACCACCGCTACATGCCCAACATCATTAGTTCCGCCATCACCAACAAGCCCCCACCGCAAGCTGTCGCGAACTTGCTGGCCCGCCGAAACAAGATCCATCACCTCGACAAGGAGACCGACGAGACGCTTCTCGAGATCTTTGACCGCGACCCAGCTCTCCCTGGTGGCGTCAATGCGACAAACGGCAGCTCCACCGCCCAGATCGAGGGCGACGGCAAGGACGGAAAGATCGAACCCAAGACCTCCGCCGCAAACCACGCAACAATGCCTTCGCGCAACTACGCCATCATCTGCGAATCCGCGATCCCCACTCCCTCCACCCTCGGTGTACCTCCCGGCTCAGCGCCCTCCATCAACACGAACAACACCGCCGCGTCCAAGATCTCCGCTGCCCCTGGCAAGAAAGACAATATGCGTCTGGGTTTCCATCTCGGAGAGGAGAAGGCCGGCACTCAGCACCCAGCTGCTGGTGGTATCAACCCATCAGGCCTTTGCGGACCGTATGGACTGGATGTTACGCTTAGGGTGGAGATCAGCAACCAAGATCGCGAGGGCAGGACTGATGGCTACGGCTTCAGCATTCCCGCGTTAGATTGCTCGGCTTATGCTGATCGCGGCGAGAAGTGGTAGACTATGACTACGAGGTGGACGCTTGGGATGTTGGATAGAGAAGGTCTCAAGCGGTAGATAGGCGAAGGTGCCATGGTGGAAGATACTGGATGACTTCATTTTGCTTTCTTGTTTTGGTTTATACCCTCGACAGTTGCTTGGCATAGAGCAATGATGTGTAGTAGTTAATTAGTCGCTAGTCTGTAATATTATCCCATTACTGGGTTGGTACAACGAACTGTTTTTGTCTGTATGTGGGGAGGTCTTATGATGGTTAGGATGTTAGGTTCCTGCATGTGCAGCCCCACATGCTTGACGATAGCATAGGTCAGGTCGTGTAATCACATCGAATCCGCGGAGCAAGCGTAAATTAGACCCTGCATGAAGAGCAGAAAATAACTCTTCCCGTAGGCTGGATGCAAGGCCAAAGAGCACAAGGTACAGCTCGCACATGTGTTAGAAAAGGAAGGTCAATACATGCTGGCGAAGAGGGTCTCATGCGAAGTACCAACCCCGGCACTTGTTTACCCGTCCGCCCGTTGGACGTTCTAGACGAAGATGTATCCCTGCCATTATCCTCCATCCGACTGGTGCAGACCCTTGGAAATGCTTCTTCCTCTATGCTGCTTTCCCATGTTGAGACGTATCTGTATCCGAAAGATCGGTAAGCGGTCGTTCGACAGAATGGGTTCGTTGGCCGCTGCATGCACGCCTGGGTCGAGATCCTACGCACGCTGCGTAATTATATAGTTTGCCATGAGCTGTCAGATTGTCTGGTCGCTCGTCGCTCTTTGAACTTTCCACCAGCCAAGATGCTGGCCAAGTTTTTCACTCTTTCTTTGGCCTGTGCCGCCTTTGCATCAGCACAGAGTGCGTCGCTTGCTGTTTCCCCGGCCGTCGAAACACTCGCTGCGACTGTCACGCCTGCAAACCTTCCTCTTTTTGATAGCGAGACGATCCAGTTAACAGACAATGTTGTGGCTGCACTTCAACAGAATCCCGATTTCGCAGACTATGCCTCACTTGTTGAGTTTGAGGATAGCGTAAACTCAACGCTCTCGATGCGGACGCGTCGTGCTCGCAGAGCGCTTCGTTGCAAGACGATGCCTGGAGATGACTCGTATCCGAACAAGGCGGAATGGGATGTCTTTGACAAATTGCTCGGCGGTGCTCTGGAGAAGATCGTTCCCATCGCTTCGCCTTGTTATAAGGATTCTGAGTATGATAATTACGACGCTGCCAAGTGCGCGACTCTGGTCAAAAACTTCGATGCAGAGGAATTGTAGTATGTTGGATTGACCGTACCACCCATGCGATAGCTGACAGATGTAGCTACAACGATAACGGAGCCTTGATGAACCCTCTGTATTACGGGATGACATGTCCACTTCCTGCATCAGGCGACTTCGCGAACGGTACTTGCACCCAGGGCGGCTACTCAGAGTATGCTGTAAAAGTCAGCAATGTGGCACAAATCCAGTTGGCTGTGAACCTCGCGCGCAACCTCAACCTTCGCCTGGTCATTAGAAACACTGGTCACGACTACAATGGTCGCTCGGTTGGAAAAGGTGCGCTTAGCATCTGGACTCATGGCTTGAAGGAAATCAAGTATGTTGAAGACTACGAGAGCCCCACGTACAAAGGTCCTGTCTTCAAAGTTGGAGCTGCTGTTCAGGGCTTTGAGCTATACGAGGCTGCCGACAAGTATGGTGTCTCTGCCGTTGCTGGTATCTGCCCCACGGTCGGCGTGTTTGGCGGGTACTCCACAGGCGGTGGTCATTCGCCTCTCATGCAACTGTTCGGTGTCGGCTCGGATCAGATCATTGCTCTTGAAGTCGTCCTTGCCAGTGGCCGCTTCGTTACCGTTACTCCAGAGGTCAACGGCGACCTGTATTGGGCTATGCTCGGCGGCGGTGGCGGTACCTTTGGGGTCATTACTTCGGCTGTCGTCAAAGTCCATCGCAAAGTTCCGGTGACCACCTCTTCCTGGACCATAATGACGTCCGAGAACGTTACTGCCGAGAAATTCTGGGAGGCTTTCAGGTTCTTCTTCGACAACATTCCCGTTTACAACAGGGCTAAGACGTACTCCTATTTTTCGGTTATGAAGCTCGCGCCGGGTACCTATATGTGGTCTATGGGTCCGTTCTTCGCCACTGATAAGACAGTCGAGGAGTATAAGGCTTTGATCAACCCGTTTTACGAGAAGTGCGCTGCCCTCGGTATTGAGCTGAACGCCAATACGACTCACTATGACAGCTTCTACCCGGCGTATCAGGCCACGTTCGGCACGTTCAATTATTACATTGGTGGTGCCACAGGTATTCCGGCTAATCGTTTGGTCACATCAGACAATTGGAAGACGTCCGAGATCCGTGACCAGACCTTCGCCGCCGTCCAGAACGCTGTCGAAAATGCCATGATGATCAACATGTACCACCAGCGCCCCGCCGATCAAGAAAACAGGGATATCAACTCCGTCAATCCTGCATTCCGAGATGAAGAGAGCCAGATGGTCATCATCAATTCGGTCGCTGAAGAAACCGCTGCGGGATGGCAGGCTGCCGTCGAAAAGCTCACAACTCAGGTCATGGCTCCTCTTCGTGAGGTGTCGCCCACTGGCGGCGCGTATGGAAATGAGGCCGACATCGCCGAGCCCAAATGGCAGCAATCTTTCTGGGGCTCGAATTACCCTAGGCTTCAGCAGATCAAGAAGACGTATGATCCTGACATGCTCTTCTACGTGCACCACGGGGTAGGCACTGAGGGCTGGACGATCGATGATGATGGTATCATCGGCGCCGGTGTCCAATCGACGGACGGTCCGTTGTGTCGCGTATAGTCAGGCTATAGCACTGCTCGCCGATCCTGTAGATAGTCCAATGCGATAGCGATAGCATCAATGGGAGTGTCCTTGATGCGACGTTCCAGGCGCTGACTGAGTACGCGTCACCCATGCCGCACGGCGCCTACGACGACGCCCTCGACTCATCTGATGGTGAGCTTCCCGTGTGCCAAGGACTTGATGCGACGAAAGAAAAACGTTGTTTCGAGATTTCGGCAGTTGTCATCTGCTTGGGCAGACGCGGAGACTTTTGACAGCCGGACTCTGTGGTCAAGAGGGTCCATCATGGCTCTGAGGAGAAGCCGTCGACAAGATTCTATAATTCTCCGTGCTTCACAATGCGATGTGACAAGATAGCGGAAAATGCACCGCGGATTCCGCTCTTTTACGTGCCCGAAGGATTTACCGGTGGGCATTTTGGGGGGGCTGTGCGACACTTATGCTGCAGAAGCGGAGTGCGGCCGCCTGCCCGTTCTTTAGCCCCGCCGCCTGGTAGACGCTCTTCTAGAAGGTCGAAAGCGCAGGGAAAGTCGATGCGACATGCATAACCATGCCTCGTCGCACGTCCGCACCTATGAGGAGTCGAGACGTGCAGGGAGCCTTGCGGTCGCGTTGCAAGTCATGGTGAGGGCCAGAGTGTCAGGAAAGTGTATCGGCGGAACGTCAGGGCAGGTCTACCCGATTATTCAACCGCGTTCAGTCTGTCACCGCGACAGGCAACGGGACGTAAAACAAACAGAGATCTCGTCCTCCGCCATGGCTTTCTTTCTCACGCCTCCGTCTTGCGATCGTCAGCTGCTTATTGACCCCATCCGCACTCAAATCTTCGGAAGCCTCAGTATCCGACGCGGAATCCTCAACATCACCCTCCAGCATGTGCCCCTTCAGTAAGCTTGGCACCTATACCGCTCCGTGATATTGCTAATGAGAAAAAGCTTCATTGCCTTCTGGTGAAGGTCCAGCTCGCTTCTCTCCCAGTGCCGTCAAAGACTGGCAGCCCAGGCGAAAGTCTGTCTCCAACGCTTGCGAGCGATGCCGACGCAGGAAGATTCGATGCGATGGCGAGACGCCTTGCTCGACGTGTAAACGGTTTTCAATACAATGCGTGAGAACACAAAAACCAAAAGAAGTTGTTGCATCGTGAGTGCCTCCACCCGGTTAGACGCGTCATCGCGTGGTCACATGATGTGTTCTGATGCGCTCAAGTGAACATCGAGAAGCGCTGGAAGGACGAATACATCAGCTCGAGGCACAGCTAGCCAGGCACGTCAATGCGCCCATGCACGGAATGGAATCTATCGACCAGAACCTTATGGCTGGCACACCCACTTCGTTCGATTGGCAAGCACCTGCGCCCCACCTCAACCTCGATACGACCATACCGGCAACCTTCACAGCCGATGACCTGGATCTCGGTTCCTTCTCGGCTAGGAGTGGCAGCATGCCCTCTATCGCTATAGATGAATGTGAGCCTTTCCCCAACTTCTCCACGCCGTCTTCACCAGTACCTTCATTATGGTTAGGTACCACGCGTGCCTCGTCGCCCGATTCCATGCCACCCGGTTCCGCGCTACCGCAATTCGGTGCAGCATATCCCTCGATGAGTAAACCCATGTCATCGTCGATCGAACCGCATACGGCGCCATCATGGGAATTCATGGCTCAAGCAAGTAGCAGTCAGTTACAGCCGGGTACTACTAGCAGTCGGGCACACTCTCGCAAGACTTCGACCTCTTCCCTGTCGCAGGCTAGTAACGAGCAAGCCATGTCGCCAATTCCTGAAGTCGAAGATGACATCCTTCCCCTGGCTCCAGCGCCGCGACTGCCGCGCCAGGGGATCTTCGCAGCCCGCCATACTGAAAGTCCTGGCCCAGCTTCTTCACGATCAAGCTTTACCGATCGTAGTCGTGCAATAGCTACTACGCCACTTCCTAGTCGCTTCGAAGCGGAGACTTTGACGACTGAATTCGTACAGCACATCGAGTCTCTTGACTATAGAGCTTACTCCATTTCTCCTGGTCTCTTTTCTCGGTTCTGCGAGTCTGTATACCCAAACCCTCAGCGACCTGCGGTCGAGGTCTCCGCGTCGATGTCAATGGCGCGCTTCCACGTCTTCCTTGCTATGGCCATTGCGATGAAGGTGAGGATCAAGGATGCACCGGAGAACACGAACGCTCTCCTCGACACTTGCTACGAGCTCGCCATGCAGCAAACTGCATCGTCCACATTTTGGCAAGAGACAGGTGGGATGGAAGCTGCTCAACTTTTGGCACTTTTTGCTTCGCTCCGCAAGCCTTCCAGCGATGAGCCACGTGGTCTTCAACACTCGTTTTCCTGGTGACGATGACTTTCCTTGCTTTGCTTTCTCTTCCTTTACGACTGTATGCCCCTGCTTTCTTTCTTTTGTTTCTGACATTCTTTAAAAGTCCCGATCATTCTTAAATCATGTACATAAATAGCAATGTTTACGAACGAAGCTTTTTTGCGAGCGCAATAGATACCACTCGATCCATTGAGTTGTCGGAAGAACTTGTGACACTTTCGGACTAAGCAGGTGATCCCAAATGTGCCTATGTTGGGTGTGCGTCCAACTGTCCTGGCATCAAGAAGTGACAAGCCGAGGATGAGCCGTGGAGATTACAGGTTCGAAGCAATGGCGATCAACGCAACACGCCACCGCTGCCAGACCCACAAAGCTCCAGGTGAAATTTAATTAGCTGAGGATGAAGCATCGAGGCAACAATGGCGATGGATTGCTTTGTCTCCATGATGGCGTTCGGCCGCAGCTGACCCGTCCGCGATGCCGGGCTTGTTTCCGAATCTTGGGGCGCGGCATACCCGATTCGGCGACTTCCCCTCAATTTCTATTGCCTTGCCGGCGGTTGGCCGAGCCATAAGTCGATATCTCGACTGGTACTGAGCATCACCAAAGACTCAATGATGTCGCGGATTGACGGAGCTGAAGTAGCAAAGCACAGCAGCAAGAAGGATTGCTGGATAGTGTTGGATTCAAAAGCGTATGACGTGACAAACTTCCTGTCGGACCACCCAGGTGGCGCACCGATCATCTTGAAGAATGCCGGGTCGGTGAGTACAGATGCGCGGCTAGCGAATTCAAGAGCTGATGTCAGACAGGATGCGACAGAGGAGTTCAAGAAATACCACCCGTTGAGCTATCTAGATGATTATCTGCCCAAAGATGCGTTCCTTGGTCCTCTCGATCCCAACACGTTTGGACAGCTACGCCAGATCAAGAGCGAAGAGTCGACGAAGCCGTCTGACACCGATCCCAACTCGAAGGAAATCCCACATGTGAGCCTTTGCGTCTCCACGACCGACTTTGAGGCAGCGGCAAAGGCGGTTTTGCCACACAAATCCTACGTCTACGCTTCCGGCTCTGCAAACACTGGTGCATCGATCAGAGGCAACCTCGATGATTGGGGTCGCATCAATTTCCGTCCGCGCGTGATGCGTAATGTAGGCGATGTTGACACGCGCCGCAAGATATTCGGACATAGCTCGCCATACCCATTCTACATCTCGCCGATGGGAACGATGGGCGCCATCCACGAAGCTGCCGAGCCAGAAATGATCCGAGGCGCAGTGCGCAAGGGCATCCACAAAGTCGTCAGTACTGCAAGTTCCAAAAGTAGTGAGCAGATCATGCAGAGCTACATAGATGAGCAGCAGAGGCTTGGAAACAGCAGCACGACGCAGTTGTTTTACCAATATTACATGCCTGTCGACCGTAATAAGGCTATTGAGCTTATGCGCATCGTCAAGCGCTGCGGCTATAACGGACTGTGGATAACAGTGGACACGCCTATTCTTGGGAAGCGAACAGCGGATCGCTATCTCCAGGCCGAAGAGGCGCTAGCAGTCGGTCTTGCAGAAGAAAGCACAGCGGAATGGGAGACTGGCGGCGACAACGCTTTCGCACCCGCTATGGGCGGACGGCCAGTTCAAGGTCAGCTGAGCCCACACACGACGTGGGAGGATCTTGAGTGGATCCGCAAGGAGTGGGATGGTCCGATCGTGCTGAAGGGCGTGCAGTGTGCGGACGATGCGAAGCTTGCGATGGATTATGGCTGTGATGGGATTCTGCTAAGCAACCATGGTGGCAGACAGTTGCACACCGCGCCGAGTGCACTCATGACGCTGCTGGAGATTCGAACGTACTGTCCGGAAGTGCTGGGGAAGCTGGAAATCTTCCTCGATGGCGGTTTGAGAGATGGAAACGATGTGTTAAAGGCATTGTGTCTGGGTGCCACAGCAGTGGGCGTAGGAAGACCCTTCTTATATGCGCTTGGAGCGTATGGGTCGAAGGGCGTTGAGAGATGCGTTGACAGTAAGTTTGGTTATGTTTCAGTCAGGGTGATATGCTAACGTGCAATAGTCCTGGCAGATGAGCTGCAGACGGGCATGCGTTTGCTAGGCATCACATCACTGGATCAGTGCAGGCCTGAGATGGTTAATGCGACGCGTCTGCTGAATGAAATGTGGCGACCAGAGCAACTGAGTCTGAAGAGCAAGCTGTAAAGGTAGGGTGTGTTGGTTACGAGGTTATGGTTCCAAGTTTCAAGTTCCAAGTTCCAAGTTTTGCAAGCGAATGAAATGAAAATTGGATTGTACACAGAGTGCATTACCAATCCAATCAAGTGAAAGACTACGCTTGCATGATTAATGGATCGTATTCTGCCTTTCAGTGTTGTTACCGATGTCGCCGACCCCGCCGTCCACAGATGCAAAATTTTCTGACCCCTCATCCCCCACCCCACTACTCAAATGAACCACGATATAATATTATATTTTGGCAATTTCTCCATCGAAAACAGTTATCCTGTAGGGGACAGATGGCCGAGTAAGCATTCCTTCATTCACGCTCTCACAAACTTGTTCCTAACATACAACGCAGGCTGGTTATGGCGCCAGGTTAAGGTTACTCTTAACATTACTTCCTGGTCACGAAAGTGGCGTGGGTTCGAGTCCCACTCTGTTCAGCATTCGTCTGGCATTGTCAGATACTCCAGGATCTTTTTTTTTGGTGTTTTGGGTGCCTAGGAGCGCTGGTTACCAAGTTCAAGCTTTTAGTACCGCCCCGCCCACTCTTTCCCCACCTAGATAGAGGGGCACCTTGCTTTTTATACTCTGATATCAACCAGGATACTATTAAGACCTCGTTTATAATTACATATAGTGCACGTCTATATTGCGCTGTTGTAGAGCTTGCGCAGTCACTTCGGGTCTTATCACGTCAGGAAGAACTCGAATCAGCACGCGAATCGTTGTATAGAAGGCTTGTTGAAAGCAGCATAGCTTATATAGTTGAACATGCTATCGTAACGCAACTCAAATGTTGGTGCATCTCACTTTTTCGCAACAGCGACAAGCGCGACACAAGGAAAACCCTCTACCTCGACCACATCCGCACCCTTCTGCCCATTCAACGGCCTCTGGATCTTCACCGCTGCCTTCTTCCCAGCAACATTCAACTGCTTCGCGAACTCCTCGTTCTCGTCATCGGTCCACTTCGGTCCCATGTTCTTCCACATACCAAGCATGTAGCCGCAAGTCTCCTCCACAGTCTTCGATGCATAATATACTGTCTTCTCGTGCACTTCAACGTCTTTGAATCCTGCGCCTTCCATGATCTTTTTCATATGCGAAGCTTCGAACCACTCATCCGCAACAGGCCAGCGGAATAGGGGGTCGTCTGGCTTGACGGCTTTCTGCGCTTCGTGTACAACAGCCATATGACCTGTAGACTTCCAGGTAGTGACGACGGCGGTGCCTCCTGGCTTGAGAGTGCGATAGATCTCAGCTGCCCCTTTTTCTCCATCAGGGAAGAACATGATGCCCATGTTGGTGATGGAGTGTGTAAATGTCTCCTCAGGGAATGTCAGATTGACTCCATCCATCACCTCGAAGGACAAAGTTGCCGCGGAGATTGTAGCTGGAAGGGCGCGGCGTGCTAGATCGACCATCGGTTTCGCATTATCGACACAGGCTGCCTTGAGTGGAGTGTCTGGGTATCTATACAAAAGCTCTTGCGCAGCGATACCATTTCCGCATGCGTTGTCCAGCACATCGGAGTTGGAATCTACCGCGGGCAACATGTCGATGAGGTGCATGGCGACTTCGCGGGTGCAGCCCCCAGTTGCAGCCTCATAAGTCGATGCAAGCATCTCAAACATATCGCTGGAGGTAACGTTGGGTTGGCTCATGATGATGGAATACTCGCTGTTGTATCTCGAGTGATACTATGTATTAGATACCAGGTCAGCAAGGTGCTTATATACGGCTTATGATTGAAGAAAAAACCAAGAACAAAGGATTGTGGCCGGGGCGGGGGTAGACGAGATTGCGCGTAACGAGAAGTAAGCCTGAAAATCTTGAAGTTTCTTGTTTGACCGGATTGATACAAGATTCTTAGTTGGAGTTCGTTAAGAAGTGTCTGGGTTTCTTTTGGGCTGGGGGCTCGGGATTCGGAGACATTCACATGCACCCTGGGGCCTAAATGAAGTCGCCGACAGCAACTTGAGTTATTGCGCGCTTCTTGGGCAACATAAGCTAGAGACGGGCGTATTACGCCCCATCGTTGCTCTAGCTGTATAGAGCAGATACAAGGTTGACGATGAGTGGTTTAACGCTAAACATGCTCACCCACAGAAAATGCCCGCATCTGCTTCGCTATTCCACCTCTAATAGCACGCAGCCCCTTCTCCAAGAAAGAAACGGCATCTATGCTATTCGCTCTTCGAAATGACAAAGTATTTGAAGTCTGTACTGCCAGTCCTCGGATAATTCGGACTACACCAAGACTTTCCGGGCGTATTCTTACACCCCATCTCAGAGTTTTGCATCCTCCTTGAACCTAATCAATCCATCCTGAAAGGTCGTCGCAATATGCACGCCACTCTCATAGTCCCACATACGACTAGTATGTAGCGCTCTACCTCCCGTAGCTCGAGTTAGCCACGCTTCTTGCATAAACCATTTTCGTCCGTCCTTGTCACCGCCCTTGTGCCCCTCCAGGTTACAGAGTGGCAGTGGGCCATCTTCCCACATTGTCGCGTCGGCATTCGGGTGGTCGATCCGCGGTTCACTAGGCATAACGAGGTCCTTGATACCGACATGGAAGATGACGCTGTGAGACAAAGACGCCATGCGTTTGTAACCCCGAGGCCGGTCAAGATGGTTTGGCACAATGAATAGCGAGTTACGGTCCGATGCGTACAAGTGTGCACAGGCGTGCATGTTGGCCTCTCGTGTCAATGTGAGCTTCTGGTCGCATTCCGAGGGAGGCGGATATGGTGCGGTTGGTAATGGAAGTGCACCGCGTAGCGTGTAAAAGGTCAGCTGTTTACGATCGAGCGGATGACGTCTCTGATTGTACTTCGACATGTCAGCCTTGCGGATGTGCAAGCCGGCGATTGGATTGAAATGATCGGGATGAGCTGGAAGGTAGGTTTCCCGGAAATGTTCAGAATCATTGCTTGGAGCCGCCGCATGCTCCATTGGCTCATCTTCTTTGCCTTCTAGTGCGTCGCGATACACTTCTTTCAAGTCAACAAACTCTTGCATGTCGAAGGGTGAGCTCTCTTCCCGTTTGAAGGAACAGGTACATGTAAACATGTCTCCGTCGGCTGCAACCTGACTTACGGTCACGTTGCGTGTGCAATAATTGTAACCGTCTCGAATCTTTCGCACGCGATAGGTGTAGTGTTCATCTGGCTTGCCCCCTAGTACGAACCATCCGGTGATATTCTAACATTTCGTTCAGTTTTGGTTCGAGCAGAAGGTGTCGCTACAGCTCACATGTATGAGGAATCCTTCATCGACAGTCTGCGCAGCGGCCCATGCAGCTTGCGCAAATACGTGACCGCCATACGTACCGTTCTCACCACCAGTCGGTGAGTAAGCTTTGACGATGGAGCGGAATGTCCAATTGTCAATGCGTTCAAGTGCGATCACCTTTTCGAACGGCAGCACCTCCTTGTCAGCGGTAAAGTAGGGACGTACGACCATGGCAGCGACAACAAAGTATGATTGACGTGGGAATATGTCGTATGCTCAATAAAGGCCATCATTATGTTGGGCGAGTGCTGCGGCGTACAGCAGGTACAGATGTGGCGCTAATAAGTTACCTCGGGACGGGCGGGGTTCGGATGAATGACGGCGCAAGCTGTCAACCTCCGTCACTGGGGGTGGCTACAATTTGTGTCGCATGTTACAAACAAAGGTCTAAGTAGAAGTATACATTGTATTGCATGCTACCCACTTGCTAAAATATGATAGTGTGCATGTAGCAACTTAGAAAAGCCACACGAATTCTGTACCCCTGTTGCCATTAGTGCAATAAAGGCACACGCGGTATGTGCGAGACGCGATGGAATTTGCTCGTCATGAAGTGCTATAATGAGTATGCATGCAGGAGTATGTACATATCCGATAGACTCCTTTCACCTCATCTTCCAGCCCTCTTCTTTAGTACCCACAGCCGGATGAAGTAAAATACAAGACCGCAAAGCCAAATTCCTACAAGGATCGCTGCTTGAATGGGTGCGAATACTGCGCCTCTGATTACAACGAAACCACTGATCATGGCAAATAGTATGGGGATGAGAATGAACGGTTTCACAGGTCGAGGTAGATCGGGCTCTCGAAATCGTAATATAATTGCGCCGAGCACCGTGAGGAAGAAGAAAGCATACTCAGCAAGGCCATTGAGAGTCAGTAAAATGCGCATGTTTCCGAGAAGAATGTATACCGCCGAGAGAATAGTGTTGAGTATGAGAGCGTTGCTAGCAGGTGTTAGTGGCGGATGGTTGGACGTGACTGGTCTACGTACATTGGCGACTCTCCATCGTCCATAGCCGTGGCTGCTGCCTCGCTCGAATCGGCATGTTTAGTCACCTTCAGGGTACCGACACGACCGACAGTGCCGAGAACTTGCGGAAACCAGTTGTTGTTGGCCGCTGCGACAGTCATACGTCCTGCTACGAAGGAGTTGCCGAGGGCAGAGCCTGCAATAACAAGACATATGAGCACGGTAGCGAAGTAAGCTACGCCCTTTCCAAGAAAGTGGGTAACAGCCGTCTACACCATGTCAGTACACAGGCATTGAACAAGAGTTTGAACTACTTACTACAGCAGCAGCGTCTGTTGTTGATACAACCTCCCAAGGGAGAAGAACGTAGTAGACGGCGTTAGCCGCAACATAGCATACTATGATTGTAGGGATAGCGGTGTTGATGGAGAGCGGCAGTTGGCGACTGGGCTGACGCAGCTCAGCTGCTACATAGTTGGCCTTGTCCCAACCAGAGTACGCCCACAAGGCTCCATACAACGCTGTACTGTAAAAGCCGAGTGACTCCCACGTAGTCACTTTCGTCCAGTCGAACTTTGATCCGTCGGGTAGTACCGTGTCTCTTGGAGCGAACCAATTGTTTTGGTGCCAATCGCGGCCTCCAAGGTCCTTGCTCTTCCCAAGAAAGACGAATACGACCACTAAGCCAGATACAATGAGGAGGGAAATGGTAAACAGCTTTATGGCAACGAAGAAGCTAGACAACCGGGTACTTGTCTTGGTGCTTATGGAGTTCAACGTCGTTACACACAGTAGGACGAGCAGAGACAACAATTTATGTGTGATAGGCGGATCTGGCTCGTTCACACCCAAGCTGGAGTAGATGGACTCTACAAATACCTGAAGTAGACATACGAAGTCAGTATATGTCTCACATGCACTTCGTACAGCCAGGAATTACCTACAATACTGAGGATCGCAAGGGTAGCAGGCATGGTTGCCACGACCCAAGACCAAGCAGCCATGTATCCGAAGACGTCGCCATATATATATGTGAGATACGGCTGAATTCCACCTTCTCCAGGGAAGGCGGTGCCAAGCTCCGCCATGGTCAGAGCACCTGTCCATGCTAGAATTCCCCCAACAAGCCATACAAGAAGCCCAGCGCCAGGTGATGGGACGTTCGCATCGATGGGCCCAGGCGATGAGAACACTCCCGAGCCGATGACGATGCTTATCAGCAGCGCGAACCCATCCAGTGCACCAAGATTGCGAGCAAATGTGTTTCGCGTCGCCGTGACGTCATCGTGTTCTTCGTCTGGGGCATACGATGTTGTGGATTCTTGGCGGAGTAGAGGCGCCGTCTCTGTGGGGGCCATTGTCGCGTTGTCGAGGTTGAGAGGTTTGGTGAGCTAATCGTCGCCTTTGCCGAGGTTGTTACGCGTCACACGCGTCAACGCGGTGCGACTTGCACACGTCCGATCCCTCTTGAGTTGCAGGAGTCGCAAGAATATATCGCTTGTTGTTGAGTTAGAATTAATGATATCGGATGCCGTAGTTGTGTGAGAGGAAGAAGTTTTTGAGCTGGGCCAGGCCGCGCGATGCTATCGCGTCAGGTTGAGCCTAACTTACGTCATTCCCTTTCCTCACCGGCCGCCACGGCATCGAGACCTAAGACTTCACACCGTCATCTTTACAGAACTAGGAGGTTACACTTTTTTGATGCTCCACGCCATTCATCTTTCTATTAGTATTATCAAGTGTAACGTCATCCTGCATATTATGGCCTGACAGCTTTCTTTTCGCATCTAGGGCCTGCGACTCTGCAGCCAAGGTACTGCCCAGGCCCGTGTTCTGCATGTCGAACGCATTCGAAAACAAATCTGTTCCATGAATCAAGAAGCCCGACAAGCTGTGCTTTTCGCAACCATTTTGTTAGGTGCAGCTTGACATAGACCCTTTCCGAAAACCACGGGATGTTTGACAGACGCGGTAGCAGCGACATAATGATAATTTGATCAGTCGTATGTTTCCGTAGCAGCGAAAGGGGCTCAAAGTCGACTAAACTTTATGTAACAGCTTTCTTGACAATCGTAATAGGCCGGGTTGTAAAGACTAAGGACGACGCTGCAGGGCCGATGAGAGTCGCCGTATCCTGCGGGAGTAAGACCGTTACAGACAGCAACGACTATTACAAGAGATAAAAGAGTAACGTATACTTGTCTGCGACCATGTCTGAGGGACAATTGCGATGAAAACCCTATGCATTGAGGCGATACCGGACTGGCGCAGTTGTGACATTAGCAGAAACCTGTTCGCTAGCTTACCTGCACATAGGGAATCGTGGGGACTTAAGCTTAAATTCTTAGTGCAATGACAGACCAATGACGCTGGGTGGGTGCCTCGACCGTTGCAGGCTTAGCGGTCTGTACAGGGCTTAGCGCTGCGTATCATCATGGCGACGTCATTCTTTGTGAACCCGCGGGCATGCAGTTTGCTTGCACCTGCTTAAAGCTCTGGATCCCTTGTCGAACTTTCTTCTATCACGCACCGCCTTTTCGCAAAATACCCCTGCCTTATCAATTGCATCCCGACTCGTACAGCAATCAATTGACCTCCACAGCCACCAGCACAATCATGTTCTCGAGACAAGCAACCCAGAATGCACGCTTTGCAGCTCGGTGTGCTCGCCGCCCAGCTGCGCGGATAAACAACTCTCAGTTCCGCTCCCAACAACCCCGCTTCCAGTCCACCGAGTCAGCAACCTCCGGTAACGCGGGCGCTGGCTCACATGCCGCCATCGGTGCCGTTTCCGGTGCCCTTGCAGCTGTCACAGTCGGCTACATCTTCTACAGACAATCAGGCGCCCGTGACGTAGTGTTGGCCTCCAAGACTGCTAAAGGTTACGTCAACTCGGCTACACAGAAGATCAAGGAGCAGACACCCGAACCCAACGAGGCGCTGCAATGGCTACGCAACGCCGCACAGAGCTACGCTGCCTTCATCCCCGGTGCCAAGGGCTACGTCGACTCTGCATTCGATGACCTAGATGCCATTCGCGCAAAGCATGGCAAAGAGGTCGACCAGATCGTCACCGAAGCATACGATGAGATGCGCCAGGTCCTGGGCAATGGCGACATGAGCCTTGTCACCGCGCACAAGACCTGGGATGTCATTACTAAGCATATGAGCCGCATCGCAGATCTTGCCGGCGACGCATCGCAGCAGATCATGGATAACCACCCTCAACTCAAGGAGAAGGTTGGAGGTAATATCGACAAGCTCAAGGAGTACGGCGACAAGTATGGTCCCGAGGCCAAGAAGGAGGTCGACAGGACATGGAAGCAGATCAGCGACGTCGTCAAGACTGGCGTGAGTGCATCCAACATCGAGAAGATTCGCAGTATCGTGCAGGAGAAGGTTGAGAAGCTAAAGAAGATGGGCGACGAGGCCTGGGACAAGGGTATGGAGCAGGATAAGCCCTATCTCGAGAAGAACCCCCAGGTCAAGAAGATCGTGGAGGAGAACGCGGATGCGCTCAAAGGCGGAAACGTCCAAGAATTATACGAGCGCGTCAAGTCTGCTGTTGAGAAGGGCGATACAGGCGACCTCGAGTCATACGTCAAGAGCGCTGCCAACAAGGCCAAGGATGCTGGTTTCGGTGACTACGAGCAGTACTTGAAGCAGATCCCCGGAGGTGACCAGATTATGCCCAAGTTGAACCAACTCCAAGACGTTGCCCAGAAGCACGGCGATGAGGCCCAGAAGCTCTTCAAGGACACCATCTCAGAGATCTCCAGCATCCTCCAGAAGAAGGGAGACGAGGCGTCGAAGTTGGCTGAGAAGGCCAAGGAAGACTCTAAGAAATAGATCGCCCGCCGCCCTGATGTTCCAGCGAGGTGGAAATTGTAATGACTAATTAACTTGTACTATAAGGCATTACTGGCGTTGAGCATGTCTAGCGAAAAGCAATCAATTACAAATGACGACTCTTGCTCTGTACTGACGGTCTCACTTCATGTCGCTCTTACATATCCTTCCTCTACCGTTCTTGCACCGCGAATCACCACCGCTCCAAGAGACAAAATCTGCTGACCTGGCCCGTTTATTTGGGCAGCTCTTCTAAGGAAATGCTGATACAAAAAACTTAATCGAGTAATACCAGCTTGCACATATCGTCAATGTGTGCGACACTCGATCACATCTCAGGTGGTGAGGCTGCGTTGAGGCATGTGCGGGGATGCAAGCCCATCACTGCCTATATGCAGGAACTATTCACTGCGCACACCGCATAACGTGTTGGGTTCTGGAATCCTCCATGCGGGGTGAGTTGGTCGGTGTACTTGGAGGTTGCACAAGACGTGGGCTTGCAGTGACATGCTTCTCAATGCAGTAGCTCACAACCTAAAGTTAAAACCACAAGCGGTGAGACAAGCGCGTAGAAAGTGCAATGTTCGTGGTAATAGACGTAACAAAACACTGGGTGAAAGCATCTTGTTGGGTTGCAGAGGAAGTTGTCGCCAAACCGACCCCGCGATCCGCTAAGGGAATAGTGGGTCCAAGGTGAGGGAAAGTGGTGAGAGAGCTGCGACGGCGAACCTTCGTCCGCCCAATGGACCGGGCACGCTCCACCCGAGCAGCCAATGACGTAAACGCGCCTCCCTTGCTGCACCGCCCTCCCCTGACACCTGGCAAGCGCTACTACTCTATTTACTCCTCTCTCTCTCAACAAAACCCCAGCCTCTACAACTTCTCACTCCAATTCTCCACTTCTCTCTACCAAAGTCCTTTCTTGCACGTCGATCGACACCACTACTACTACCCACTCAACTACTACACACTAGACAACCGCAACCATGGGCAAGGTACGCGTTTCTGTGCTAACATGTACCCCGCCAGTACCCCGCTAACACGTGCATAGGCGAAGTACATCATGCTCGACTGCGACAACACGCTCGTCCAGTCTGAGCGTTTCGCTTTCGAGGCGTGCGCCGACCTCACCAACCAGGTCCTAGAGAAGCACAACATTTCCGACCGCTACACAGCCGAGTCATTGCTCGAGGACTTTGTCGGCCACAACTTCCGCGGCATGCTCAATGGCCTGCAGAAGAAGCACAACTTCAAGATGGACGACGCTGAGATGGACGACTTTGTCGCGCAAGAACTCGGCGCCGTTACCCTCAAGCTCAGCCAGAAGGCCGTCGAGTGCCCTGGTGTGACTGAGCAGCTCAACAAGCTCAAGGAGCAGGGCTACCCCATGTCTGTTGTCTCTACTTCCGCCAAGAGCCGTGTCGTCGCCTCCATTGAGAAGGCTGGCATCGCCCACTTCTTCCCTCCCGAGCACGTCTACTCCGCCGCCACCTCACTCGACCCCCCTTCCTCCAAGCCCGACCCCAAGATCTACCTGTACGCTGCTGAGCAGCTCGGTGTCAAGCCTTCAGAGGCCGTCACCGTCGAGGACAGCAAGAGCGGTGCCACTGCTGCCATGCGCGCGGGCATTCCTTGCATTGGCTACGTTGGCATCTACGGCATCGAGGAGGGCAAGGAGAAGATGGACCAGATGGCCAAGCTCCTCACCGATGAGACCAAGTGCGCGGCTATCATGTACGACTGGAAGGAGTTCCCAGAGTGCTTGAAGAAGATCGAGGCCAAGATGTAAGCGCTTGGTCTGACACTGGGGAGCCGAGGAAGATGAACATTTCACCATCTCTCCCCGCCATTGCGGGAGAGCTTACGACCAGATTCACGACATCAATGACTAAATAGATTCAGTAATGAAGATTTAGTGGACGCAGTCCCATTCACAGCAGCTACCTACCCTCTGCCTCACTCTCACTTTGCCGCTCCCTCTGCTGTGTTGATTGTTTTGTTTGGTGACGCAATGGTGGGCCCCACGCCGTTCAGTGGGTAGGCGTTCCAGGCTCGGGTGACGGCCCAACGCTGCCCCGCTCCTCCCCACTTGAGACCCATCGTGAACTGCAAACTCCATCGCGAAATATCCCGAACATCGAACATTTGCCTTTGCCATCCCAGATCTCTAGCGCAGCATTCACGCGAGGTCAATCTCTGCTGCTCACGTGCATGCAAGTAAGCAAATTTGAACGGCCACCGTGGCACTAGCCGTAGCCCCAACACCCTACGGCCCGGCGCGCTCATCCATCAGCCCTATTATCAATGCTTGTCTTCTTATTGCTCACATGAACGAGCCTGCTATATCGACATAAGTGAACAGCTCTCACGCGAATTTTCCAGCCAAATCACGCGATGGAGCCGCCCCCGCCCGTAGCCGCTTGAGCCTCACATGCACCCCAGTCAGTAGAAGACTGGACGCCCATCTCCGCGAAGAACAATTATTTTCTATAAAAAAAAAAGGCTAAGAAGGCTACATTGCCTTAACAATATACAAACCTGAGTTTCTGGGGCAATATAGACTTTGGGGGACCTGTTTAGTGTTTCCCTTTGATCGCGTGCATGCTCACATGCCTCGGTAAAACAGGCCGTCGGCCAACTCTCCCTGCGTGCCTGCGCTCTAGGCGCAGCGCAACGCCCAACAGGGCTCGTTGGCCGGCACATCCACGAAACAACATGGTCACAACCCACTGGATAGCTGCATACGATATTCCTATTGCCTGGCCGAACGTTCAACAACAGCAGTTGTTATCTTTGTTCTAGGAACAGCAGTTATCTGTATCCAAGGATCTGCACCTTGGCATCTGGGCGCTGCCTTCTTCCGCTGTAGCCAAGACATGCTTAGTGAAGCCTCCTTCCTATCTCGTCTACAGCCCCTTACACGAAGCTTTTGCTTCATTTAAAGCCACCAATGTCATACCCTGTACGGCATTCGTCCTCATCTACACGTTGCTTATGGTCTCTACCGGCTGCCAATCGCGGATCTGTACCACCATATGTAATGGATGGTTACATGGTTACACGGATAGTAGCATCCAAAAGGGCAGGTATGGTGGCTACCTGCCGGGTTTGCCATAGGTGCTGCAGTGTGGGTGCTGGCATATCGAGCAGCTCCATGTCGTAGGGTCGCATTTAAGAGTGTGCGAAGAGCCCATGATGGTTCTCCATCGGCATCTTGCGCATCGTCCAAGTCGCAGTCAACATGTACCTACGCACCGCCCTTCTTTCCTTGTCCGCCCTTGCGGCGGCAAAGGAAATGCCCAAAGATGAGTTCAAAGCCGCACAGCTTTATGACTCTGGTATCAGGCACGAGAACAATGTTGCCCTCAAGAAGGTCGCAACCGCATTTCAGCACCTTCGAATTCTGTATTAACACTTATCAGGAATCATGGGCACGTCAGGAAGCCGCCGGCATGTACAACTCTGCTCAATACGCCGAGATTAAAGACAAGGTGGAGTGCATGAACGGTACCGCAATCGCCGGACAGGACATCTTCCGATGCCAAAATGTCAGCTCATGCACCATCAATCATGACTTTCAGCCGTTGATGTATCTGTGTAGATTGACTTGCTTCATTTCTTGTCCCACGCCGAGCTCGGCAGCACTCGCGGTGTCGGATCTTCTTCATGGGGTAAGCACTTATAGATCAACTTGCTGAGATCTTCGCTAAACAACATTAGGCTGGACATCTGAAGATGGTCGCGAATTCGTTGCCATCGGACAGCAGGACGGCGCTGCGTTCGCTGAAATCACTGCTGAGGGCAAGCTTTCGTACTTGGGTCGTCTACCCGCCTACTCTACGCCCAGCACCTGGCGCGAGATCCGTGGCCAGAACAACCTGATGATCATCGGTAGCGAGGCGGTCGGCCATGGCATTCAGATCTTCGACATGAAGAAATTGATCGACATCGACCCCGCGTCTCCTGTCACCTTCAGTAATGCCAATGACCTCGTTGGCCATTTCAAAGGCCTCCCCAACGGCCGAACACATAACGTTGTCACAAACCCTGAAACAAACTTCATCTATGCCGTTGGTGCCCAGCCAAGGACTGACAAGTGCAAGTCGGGCATTATCTTCATTGATATCACCGACCCTTCAAAGCCAACAAGCCCAGGCTGGTGAGTGAGACATGTTCTTGGGGATGTGAGCGTCACTGACTCAACATAGTGCATCAGAGGACGGCTACGTACACGACGCGCAATGTCTCATCTACCGCGGACCAGATGCGGAGTTCGAGGGCCATGAGATCTGCTATGGCTACAACGAAGATTCTCTGACGATCTACGATGTTACAGACAAGAAGGCCCCTGTCATCTTATCTAACACTTCTTACGAAGGCGCTGCATACACCCACCAGGGTAACGTTCTGGACCCCATGAACCAGCAGTTTCTTTTGCTCGATGACGAATATGACGAATACGACAAAGTGGGTCCCGCGATTCCTGGTCACCCCATCACGTATATCTGGGACATCTCATCCCTCCGTGCGCCAAAGCAGACTGGACTGTACAAGAGCGGAGCAAAGGGTATCGACCACAACCAGTATGTCGCGAATGGTTTCGCTTACCAATCGAACTACGGCACCGGATTCCGCGTTCTGGATGTTCGCAGCATCCCTGACGACCCAACTGGTGCTGGCGTGAAGGAAATCGGATTCTTCGGTATGCAAATCTATGATCATCCTGTCGATTCATCTATACTGACCTTTCCGCAGACGTTTACCCGGAGGATGACGACATGCCCGGCGGCGGTACCGTCGACTTTGTTGGCACGTGGTCGAGCTATGCATTGTTCAAGAGTGGTCACATCCTGATCAACACCATGGAACGTGGTGTTTTCATTGTCAAGATGCAGGAGGGTTTCGAGAGATAGATGGACAGTATCTCGTTAACCTGAGATTGTTCGCGGCAGGGAGAAGTTTAGAATTCATTGCAACTGTCGATCCCGGCTGTATCGTCGGTATCAGTGCCGCCTCGCGTGCACGACGATTGGTTCAAAAAAGAGTCCCAGCGCAACACATTCCCCCTCTTGACGCCGGATTAAACTTATCGACAATCATGTTCAGACCGCTCAGAGCCCTGCATCAACACTGCTTCGCACCCTCTGGCGGTCGCGGTGTCATCGTTGCTCGCTCTTTGGGCTCTACTCGTTTACCTCCGGACCGCAACTAACCGCCAAGCTACACGCCTCCGCGCAGGATCTAGTCGCAGATCCGTGATATCGCCTCTTCTCGTTTCTTTCGTTCTGATTGTGGCGTTGGCGCGCCAAGGGCTTGGCTCCATCTGCAGAGTCCGTTCCTTCCCAATCAAGTCGCGTCCGGCGTGGAACTAGATGGCTCCGCCGAGCGACGCGGTTATTCTACCTTCCTCATGCAACACAGCATTGCGCAGCCAAGCAGACTTTCATCAATCGCGTCGCCTTCGCCCCCCAGCTCTACACCCGGCTACCCGTTTTCACGGACCCACCGCATGCCCTTACCTGCTAAATTGCGGTTCCTGAGCGACCATGAAGCACCGATGGATACAGCAGCTGCCTGTACTGGTTAGTTCTACAAGCACATGGTGGCCCATGAACACTTTCTGGACCAGCCATATGGATACGAGGTTTAGTATATAGAGCCAGTCTGTACCTGTGACATATTCCAAGGCAACCTCCTCTTCTCCTGCTCATCTGCCATTACTATTCATCAAGATGAGGTTCGTTCCTTTCGTTGCGCTTGCTGCGCCTGTCCTCGCACAGTACGATGCGAAACCAAAGCCTTCTGCAAAGCCCGAGAAGCCTCAGAAGCCTCAGACGCCTGGAAAGCCACACCCTCATGGGCCACCCAGGAAGCTTGTCTCTCGCAAGGACCTGATCAAGGATATCAAGCTCGAAGACCTTCTCGCAGGATCCCAGCAGCTTCAGACTTTCGCCGACGAAGCTGGTGGCAACCGTGCTTTCGGTAGCACTGGTCACAACGCTACCACTGAATGGCTGTACCAAACGCTCAAGGCGACTGGATACTACGATGTGTACAAACAGCCCTTCGTCGAGCTCTTCACCGCAGCGACCACCAAGCTCACTGTTGCTGGCGAAGAGATTGAGGCCGCTTACATGACCTTTGGTCCCTCTGGAGATGTTACTGCCAACGTTGTCAAGGTTAACAACCTCGGATGCGCTGTTGACGACTTCCCCGCCGAGGTCTCTGGCCAGATCGCGCTTATCTCGCGAGGCACATGTCCGTTCGCTGACAAGGCCGCCAACGCCCAAACCGCCGGTGCGGTCGGTGCTGTAATCTACAACACCGAGCCCAACACACCCCTTTCTGGTACCCTCGGTGGTGATGGCGACTACGCTCCCGTTGTTGGCATTACCAAGGAAGCTGGTGAGGGTATTGTAGCCAAGCTCGGCAACGGCACAGTTGAAGGAACTCTCTTCATTGATGCCATTCGCGAGAACCGCACCAACTACAACGTCATCGCTGAGACCAAGGAAGGTGACCACGACAACGTGCTTATGCTCGGTGGTCACACCGACTCCGTCTTTGCCGGCCCCGGTATCAACGACGACGGATCTGGTACCATTGGTACGCTCATGACTGGTCTTGCCCTTACCAAGTACAAGATCAAGAACGCCGTCCGTCTCGGATTCTGGGGTGCAGAGGAGTTCGGCAAGCTGGGCTCCTTCTACTACATGAAGACCATCAACGGTACCTTCGGTGGTAACGCAACCGAGGCCAACAAGATCCGCGCCTACCTCAACTTCGATATGATCGCATCGCCCAACTACGTCCTAGGCATCTACGACGGTGATGGCAGTGCGTTCAACTTCTCCGGCGCCGCCGGATCTGACACTATCGAGAGGGACTTTGAGGAGTTCTACGAGGAGCGTGGTCTCGCCCACGTACCTTCTCTCTTCACTCTTCGCTCTGATTACGCTGCTTTCCTCGAGAACGGTATTCCTTCCGGTGGTTTGTTCACCGGTGCTGAGGTGCTGAAGACCGAAGAGGAGGCACAACTTTTCGGTGGTGAGGCTGGCGCACCACTCGACGCATGTTACCACCAGGCTTGCGATGACATCAACAATCTGGCCCTTGACGCTTACCTTCTCAACACCCAGAGTATTGCCAACTCGGTTGCCAAGTACGCTCTCAGCTTCGAGGGTATTCCAAGGGCCAACATGACGCTCCGCAAGCGTGGCGCCGAGAGGAGCAGACTTATGTCGAGATTCGATGATGGTGGACATGCTCACCATGGCCAGACATGCGGTGTTGGAAAGCACACCATCTAAATGTTGTATTATTATAGATGTGGTTGGATGGCTGATGTTGTTGATGATACCATGAAGTAGATAAGCCAATGTAGCAAAACATTTCAAACATTACCGTGTCCTTTTGCTTTCCAATACACATGCTTGAACTGTACAGTCTCGCGACCGGTGGATGCCGATAAAGTCTCTTGGCACCGTATGTGTCAGCTTGGACGGTCAAGAGCTCTTCATTCATCCTTCAGCTCGAGATAAAACATATCACATCATTTGACTCAGCATATAACGTACCCGTCTCCGATACTTGGTTTGGAGCAGAAACCACCATACCATCTCCACGTCTTCCTCTCCGCGAACCAATACTGTCCTTGAACGCATATCACATCTGAACCAGTCCTCCACCCTGATACTTACAAAATTTACACAACGACAGTTCAAACAAGCATACCAAGCATCTCGCGTATGCATCGACGTCTTGCCAGAACAGAAAGAGAATAGAACGAAGCGCTTCGCGGGGCGGAAACATGAGGTGCAGCGGAAAGCGCACACCTTGATGGCAACGGAGTGGACGCTATGCCACTTTGTTATTCTCAAAGCGCGGAATCTTTTTAGTACCGGAGACCAGATGTATAGTAGGCCACCTTCAGGGGATTTGGAATGATCAGGGCGGTGTGGGCCGAGGATCGTGATGTGGATGTTGGGCTGCGCGGTGAGAGGAGTAGTTCGCGTGTGTATCGTTCACTGGATGTCTACTTGGGCAGCAGTTCGGGCAGTGGAGAACACGCAGCTTGGCTTCTGGGCGTCGCTAAATATGTTGATCGTGAACTCGGCGATGCAGTCGAACCCTCGTTGGCGTGTCATGCAGACTAGGCTATTGTGGCTTGCGCTCATGGTTACTCCTTGGTTTGGTTATCACAGGAATACGATAATGCGTGTACGTCACTAACACTGAAGTTAGGCACCTGCATTTGGCTGACCGGATTGCCAGGCTATTGGAACAGAGTTAGAGGCGTATGTAGCGTTGAGCCAGTTGATGGGCGTAGGGCTATTGTCTGGATAGAGTCGTGGCGGGGCGCGTTCCGTCTGAAGGAGGAACAATTATCGGAGTGTTTGCTGCTCCGTCAAACCGCAAGCTGGTCTCGCCACGATTCAAAAATATCCAAAGTTCGTAGCCTATGACGACGCGACATTAATCAGTAATTGTTTGAGTTGTCACAATGGGTGCAAACCGGTCGGGGCTGTCGATCTCGAAACGCTGGGTCACAATGATCGCCCGGACCCGCGCACCTAACGCACCTAACGCATGTCGCGAATCCCCCGACCTCTTCGACGATCAGTGACAAGGCCTTTGACATGTACAATCCTGTTCCCGTCTCATTAAAAACAAGATATCGATTCCGCAGGTCGTGTTGCCCGTGACGGTGTACATCTGAATTTTCGCTCGGAGGCACTTCCCCGGCCTTGCTCGAGTGGCAATCTCGTCTAGCCCACTCGGTGCGCGTTTCATCCGCAGCCATGTTCCTTGCGACCGGAGCCTGCCAATCCTCCGACGTTCTTCCAAAGTCGGTGACCCTGCTAGGAGGCGCCCAGGCGTCTTTGCCCAAGGTGACCGCGTCGAGGTCGAATGAGCCTGAATTAATAGCCCAGGACAAGGCACGAGACACGTGTGCACGGCACGCAAGATCATGGCAGGCGGCGCGTCCGCACCGACACTAGTTTGGCGAACCGCCGTGTGTTAAACCGAACTTGTGGAAAATGAGGAGACGATGAATTCCGCATCGTTGGGACTGCATTGATCATGACAGTTGTGGCTTCAGCGATGCAACGTAGGCCCACACCTGTATAGGATGGCAGTACTCGAGGCTTCAACCGCATCACCTAGTGAAGCAGAAAGTGCGCTGGTTGCAGCAGCTGGCAGTCTGAAGGCTATATACCACGTACCCCTACAATGGTTCTCATGCGACGCGATCCATTGCAAGTTTGCCTGGAGTCCATCCAGAGCGTCGCCGTAGAGCAAATCACATCACGCGGAAGAGTCGCCATACCTACCGGTAAGCCGACAGCTGCTAGCACCTCAACATCGTCGTGAGCGCGGTAAATCCCTTTGACGCCACTAGGAAGCTTGACAGGCATCAGACCTGGACAGCTTGGAAACAGCACCAACTTCGCGGCCGCGCGTGTCAGAACAGCTGTCTAGATCTTGTATCTTCACCGCCATACTTCACGATGCGTCATAGTGACTAACAGTCCATGAACACCATGTCGCAGTGAAGGCACTGCTCCCCCGTAGTTTCCCAGTTGTTCGAATGCAAGTATGCATCGCCTGGAGCACGCGCAATACTCGTGCATCACCCCGCAAAAGGGATGCCCTTCCCTGTCAAGCGAGCATTAGCGTTCCAGCAGGATAGATCCCGTTCCGTATGCAGGTCGGACCATTACGATCCAGTAGCACTGCTGTTACAGGATTAGTGGCACGATTCACGAAAGGATCGCTCGTTTGCCTTCCGTATATCCACCAAAGCTTGACGCCCAACGAATGGGATACGTCCTTCTCGAACACAGGGCTACTACGCCACTTTCTGTCGAACTCTATTTTGACTCGAGGGTCTGTCAAGTCTTCGCTTCATCTCCTGAAAACCCCCCTAGCTGCCGTTATGGATCAGTCGGTCTGGATAGAAGATGTGAAGAGTCTTCGCTTGTGTCATAACGGCTCACTCTCGACCGGTCGCACATAGTATACAACACCACGTTCGCTAAGTTTACGAAGTTTGTTATCAGGCCACCATCGTTCCACATATCTTTTCCACGCTGGCTCAGCATGAGTAACGAATATCATGATAAGCCTTCGTTCCAACCATGGGGCCCATTCATCTCAGATAGTTACAAGAATGAGCCCATCACAAAAGCAGACATCATCATAGCCTCCGTCGTGTGGGGACTGACATTACTCAATGTCATTTTGGCCCTATGGCTCATTGTCAAGCAAACAAGAGGATCACGGTCACCCCTCAGGAGTGTCTACGTCTGGATGATATGGCTGGAACTTATCGTCTCGTTTGTAATGGGTCTTGAGAGCTTTTTACATTTGCTCAAGTACATAAGACCAAGTAGGCAGCGACTGCATACAGCTTTTTGGGATCATGCTAACCACCACTATAGGCTTTGCCTTTTACTTCACCATCTTGTTCTGGTGGTGTATTCAGGTTCAGCTGCTTTTACAGATCATTATCAACCGGATTCGTGTCATCGTGCCCGATCGACGGCGGTCCAGATGGATCATGATTGGCACTGCCATTTTCGTCACGGTTATCAACATCAGTGTCTTCAATGTCTGGATACCAGCACGGTTACAGATCAGCGCGCAGTAAGTTGTTTCCTGGTAGCGTTTAGTAGTGGTTGTCACAATGAGCAGGGCTCGCCTAGCTCGACAGTGGTGGAGCGACATTTGCGCAGATGCCATACTCAATCATACCAAGCACTGGACTAACGATCTGACAGGTATCACCTCATCAACGAGTACTGGGACCGAATCGAAAAGGGCCTCTACCTCCTTGCCGACGCGGCGTTGAACTGGTATTTTCTTAAGACTGTGAAGGAGAACTTAATCAATAACGGCCTCACCAAGTACAACAAGCTTGTTCGCTTCAACCAGCAAATCGTCATGGTTTCGCTGCTTATGGATGTCATGATCATTGCCGCCATGTCGATACCGAATTCCTTTGTGTGAGATTTATCTCCCAGTCCAAGCAACCCCATCACATTTACTAACCCAACGTCATCCAGGTACATCCAATTCCATCCTCTGGCCTATCTCGTCAAACTCAACATTGAAATGACAATGGCCAACCTCATCAAACGCATCGCTATCTCGACATCGCGCAAGACAGGCATGGCATCCATTGCCCACGAGTTCAAATCTTCATCCAACCAATCCACCACCGGCCACCGCACCGGCGGCACAAACACGCACAAAACACGAGGTTCGATTCACGAGCTCGCGAGCTTCGCTTCCTACACCGTCGATACAAAAGCAACAGGCGATCAAGATCAGCATCGCGTCACTAGCTTCGCCCCAACAGGAAACCAAATCAAGGAGACGAGGGAGGTCATTGTGCATACCGAGCCGAACCCATTCTACGAGCGGAGAGGGTCGGAAGTGGAGATCACAGCAGGACATGGAAGGAGACAGTCTCATGGTGTTGTCATTGAGGAGAGGGGACTAGGCAGGCAAAAAAGTCTAGAGAGTATAACAGAGGGGAACGAGAGTATGAGGAGTGGGTCGGTACCCAAGCGACTGACAGAGGATAGTGATGATGAGGCAGCGCTTGTACAGCAAAAGGCCTGGGGATGGCCGAGGCGGCCGAGTTGAACGCGCGAACGCTGTTGAAATGTCAATTTGTTTTGCGTTCATCCAGCATGGGTTTGGTAAAATAGACATTGTTTCCGCATTATAGACGTGCGATGGAACGATAATTATAGACTTTTTAAGAGTTGGATATATCAGATCTACCGTTAGTCCGAAGAAGGAGCGAGCCACGTACGAGTACACGGTTGTGGTACCGTACCTAGGGACGAGTCAATGTGACGTGGCGCTGACATGCACGACTAGTATCTCTATCGGACTGTGCCATCGGGGTGATGGAAGAGGCTGCATGCGCGTGTTGTGCCAGTTCAGTCTCATGAGTTGAGTGAAGGCAGATGCAGATGCTATGGACTTGGCCAGGCCTGTAGGTAAGCTCGCGATACACGTGACAGCACCACGTGTCGCGGCCTGGACTGGACGATGCTCGAGCAGAAAATGTTTCTCGAGCGGAGACTATCCGTACATCGGAGTTCACTGCGAGGAAAGTTGCGGGTAGAAGGGGGATTCTCACCTTGGTTCCCCGGAGCGACGCCACGATCTTCCCCGCACTTCCCAGCAAGGAAGGTTTGCCGACCAGGTACATCACGGTGGCTTGGCATGCTACACGCGTATACGGATCACACCAAGATGGTAATCCGTTTTCTCACCTGATGACATGTCGTGACCCTTTTAACCGTGTTCAAAAGGTTGTGCTTGTGCTGTAGTTGTCAGTCAGTCTTCATCTTTGTTCTAAAATACTCTCCGCTCACTCAATTCCTTGCCTACGTCATCCACCAAGCCACGAGCATGGGAGTCGGCGACACTTCAATCCGCTCCAGCGAGCGTCCTGAGGCTGGCAGTGTGAACATACCGGTCGGCGTATTTCCAACATCGTCGAAGAATGAGTCCATCGATGCACACAAGGTCGCCAACGAGGTGATCGCACGGTTCAATGATGCACTTGCGAAAAAGGATCATGCGGCTATTGCCGACCTCTTTTCTAAAGACAACAGTTACTGGAGAGATCACTTAGCGTTGAGTTGGGATCTCAGGACAGCAAAGGGTAGTGCAGACATCAAGAAATACCTGGACTCCAGCAAGGTGCAAATAGAGAAGATTGAGGTGGACAGGAGCTCAGACTACCGCGCGCCGAAGTTTGGAGCGATCGATGTGCTAGGCGATGTCACTGGCATCAACTTCTTCGTAACTTTCGAGACGAGTGTCGGACGTGGGGAGGGTGTAATGAACCTAGCTGAAGACAATGGGCAATGGAAGGTGTTCACGCTATACACTTTGCTGAAAGAGCTCAAGGGTCATGAGGAGCCATTGGGTCACCGAAGGACAAAGGGTGTTAAACACGGCGGAGATCCGAACAGAAAGACGTGGAAGGAGACGCGTGATGCAGAGAAAGAGGAGATCGACCCGACAGTGTTGATCCTTGGAGCCGGGCAAGGTGGGCTAACAGTCGCTGCGCGCCTACGGATGCTCAACGTTCCCGCGCTTATTGTCGACCAAAATGAGAGGGTTGGCGACAATTGGCGCAAGCGATATCGGCAATTAGTACTCCACGATCCAGTATGGTACGACCACATGCCTTACGTCCCCTTCCCAGCACATTGGCCAGTCTTTACCCCGAAAGACAAGCTGGCGGAGTTCTTCGAAGCGTACGTGAACCTGCTGGAACTCAACGTGTGGACTTCGACAAGCCTCAAATCAACATCGTGGGATGAGAGTAAGAAGCAATGGACCGTGACTGTCGAACGCCGGAAACCTGATGGGAGCGCTGAGACACGCACATTACATCCGAAGCACATTGTACAGGCGACAGGCCACTCCGGCGAGAAAAATTTCCCGCAGATCAAGGGTATGCAAGACTTCAAAGGCGACCGCCTGTGCCACAGCTCGGAGCACCCAGGCGCAAATCCAGAGTCAAAGGGCAAGAAGGCTGTGGTGGTGGGATGCTGCAATTCCGGTCATGACATCGCGCAAGACTTCTTTGAGAAAGGATACGACATCACCATAGTACAGCGCAGCACAACATGCGTTGTTTCTTCCGAGGCCATCACCGACATCGGCAACAAGGGGTTGTACGATCAAGACGCACCGCCTGTTGATGATGCCGACCTTACTTTCTGGAGTCTGCCAAGCGAGCTTCTGAAAGCACAGCAGATCAAGGTCACGAAGATTCAAGCCGACCATGACAAGAAAATGCACGACGGTCTTCGCGCGGCTGGCTTCGGTCTTGACAGTGGGCCAATGGATTCAGGCCTTCTTATCAAGTACTTCCAGCGCGGTGGCGGCTACTATATCGATGTCGGCGCGTCCCAGCTTATCATCGATGGTAAGATCAAGGTCAAGCAAGGCCAGGAGATTGCGCAAATCTTGCCAAACGGTATCGAGTTCGCAGATGGTGATAACCTGGAAGCTGATGAGATCGTATTTGCGACTGGGTACCAGAACATGCGCACGCAGGCACGAAAGATCTTCGGCGATGAAGTCGCGGACCGCGTCAGCGATGTATGGGGTTTCAATGACGAGGGCGAGTTCAGGACGATGTGGCAGAAGAGCGGTCATCCTGGTTTGTGGTTCATGGGTGGCAATTTGGCTCTGTCGCGATTCTACAGTAGGGTACTGGCATTGCAGATCAAGGCTGTAGAAGAAGGCATGATATGAGATGGCGAAGGCGCGGAGGCGGGACTGTAGTGATAAGTAGCTGCCGTAGAATTGAGAAAGGGGCCGCGGCCGTTCAACGCACACCTACCGTGAGCTTTCTCTGAGTTTTGCCAGTTTCGGATTTAGCGCGGGGCATGTCTCCACTCGCCCCATCTCAAACTGCACAAGCTTCAATCCTTCAACATCATTCTATCTGAATCCATTCTTCGTCGTACGTGCACTATTACACAGGTTCTCTTTCCACACACCATGACTTCAACGCCCCAAGTCATCCTCGTCGTCGGCGGAACGTCGGGAATCGGATACGCCATCACGCAATCCATTTTGTCGTCACCTTACCTGCCGTTGAACGCAAAAGTAATTGCGTTTGGGCTTATAGATTCGACCATCAAGCTTGAATTCACGAAGCAGCAGAGAGAGCGTCTCCGAATAGTTGAAGGCGATGTCACAGTAGACGAAGACCGCGAGCTAGCGGTCCAGACGTGCTTCAACCATTTCGGAGGCCTCGATACCATGGTGTACTGTGCAGGCGTTATCACACCAATCCAAAGGCTAGAAAAGCTGGACATTGAAGCTGCGAAGAGGAGTTTTGATATCAATGTTTTTGGCGCAATGAGTATGGTAGGTGCCATCTTAACACACCATACTGATCTTTCCTTACAGTATACGAATAACTTCGTGTTGTTTGTATTACTAATATCTCTCAGGTTCAACTTACACTCCCTCATCTCCGTGCGTCACGAGCATCGCATCCCCTTAATGCTGGTCGTGGCAAAGTCATTATCCTCTCTTCAGCCTGCGATAGTACTGTATCATACCATGGCTGGATGCCTTATAGTACTACAAAAGCTGCGCTAACCCGATTCATCTCCTGTCTCGCACACGAGGAGCCTCTACTTCGCGTTCAGGGCGTATACCCGAAGTTGACACGGACTAAGATGATCGATGGCTTAGTCGAAGGGAAGTATCGGGGTGTTATGGCTGACCACGAGATCGAGAGGTTCAGGATTTGGGATGAAATGGGTGATGAGATGGTGGAGCCACCTGAACTGTGCGGAGAGGCTGTAGCGAAGTTGGCGTTGGGACTATTCGAGGGAGGAAAGAGTGGAGAAACGCTGTATTACGACGAGCATGTTCCGCGGAAGATCGCGGGGACGTAACCAGCTGAAGCAAGTTGTGGAATACTTGAACATACGTCAATATACTACTTTCGACGCCTACTAGTCCGAATCGCGTTTACGTCGCTAGCCGATTGATTTGAGCTTAATACATCTATATAAAGAGATGAATTGAACTGTCGCGATACAATAACAAAGATCCTTCTAGTCAGAGCAAGTAATGTTGGCTTCATCAGTATAGTGAAGCGCCACATCCATTCACTCTGTCTGGCCCGAACCCCTGCCACACTAGCATCAGTCGTGAACATTACTCTGAATCGCACATCTGGTTGCAGGCTTTATCCACCACAACACGAATAATCGAAGATGGCAGAAGATCAACTTGCGTCTCCAACACGTAGTGCGATTATGAGTGACGGTATTGCGGACGCTGAGTGAGCACCCCCTTCGACCTGATATTAATTAGCTAACTCGATGCAGAATCGATGACTTCTTTAAGAACGTTTATTCCCGCCTTCCTCAAGAGCTGCGCCTGATGATATACAACGAGCTTCTCACTGAAGATATGATGCACGACATGGCTACCTGCGTGAGCCCTACTACTTACGCCTATCCGCTCAATCACACCACGTCCATGTAAAAACCAACTCCTTGATTCCTCAACCCTCTTCGTCGCACTCTGCAGGCTCTCAAGCCAGTCTTCGCGAAGCTGATCGAAAAGTAGACCACGGCTACTCACAGCGTGGTTTTGGAAGTTGCGCACAAGAACAAGATCCCTTTGGATATGGACTTCACAGAGAGATCGTCGAGTAGCCTGGCTAACGCCATCTACGATTCGTGCTGTAAGTTACCGAATACATGCTCTTCACGAATATTGAAGGAACTAAAGATGTATAGTCTGAAAGCCGACATTGTCACAACAGCACGAAAGGTTATCGAGTAGATGCATAAAGGCCACGAGTGAATAAAGAATGGAACTTGCAGATGGGACAAATTCATGTAAAGAATTGAGGCATTAATGGTGAGCGCGTAGACATCGAGAAGTACAGTGGATGGGTATATAGAATCAGACTGAGGGCGAACGTCATCAGCTCAGTCAAGACTGACGACCTAGTTTGTCATCCTCAGAGACCTTCACGATCACAGCGCCGATACCCGGCCCTTTGCCCCAAACACGATGCGCTTCCGGAACTTCTTCCAACGCCCACATCTTCCTGATGGGCACCCGAATAGCTCCGCTCCCCAACATGTCGAAAAGGGCTACTAACTCCGGTTTGAACGTCTTTTGATCGCGATCAATGTAGTAAAAGCTCGTCCTGTTAGGGCAAAAGGGCACCATCCCTCTTGCGAGTAGCTTTATAACCTGAGGTGGCTGACTACGAGGTTTTCCACCGGTGAGCAGGTCGAAGTTACCACCATAACCCACAAGAAGACCTCCCTTTGCCAGTATGTTCCAGCTGTCGTCCCAAGATTCGAAGCCAAGAGCGTCGTATACGATGTCTGCGCCGCCCACATCCTTCATGGCCTGCATCCAGTTCTTGTCGGAGTAGACAAAGGGCGTTGCACCCGCTTCGCGGATAGCGGCGTGGTTGACGGGCGATGCTGTCCCGTAGACTTCCGCACCTTGCATCTTGCAAAGGGTGAGGACGGCAAAACCGACACTGCCGCTGATACCGTGAATAAAGACGCGCTGGCCAGCTGAGATCTTAGCGGCGCGGTAGGCTAGCCCGTAGGCTGTGTTCCAATCTAACACCAAGGCAACTGCCTGCTGCAGATCGAGTCCTTCTGGCACGCTAACGAGGTGTTTCTCGGGTTGGTTGCAGAGCTCGGCTTCCGCATCGTATTTTGTGAGACAAGCGACGAGGTCTCCAACCCGGTATTTTGTGCAAGCCGATCCATTCTGGTGCACGCGACCGATAAGCGCGTAGCCCGGTGTCAAGGGTGCTTTTCTTTGTAACGGGTAGGCGCCTTGTCGCATGGATATATCTGCACCACCCATGCTGGCGTAGAGCACTTTGATTTGGACATCGTTGGGGGAAGGCGCGAGGATGGGGGCTGTGACAACCGACACGTTTTCTGGGCCGCCGAACTCTGAGATCAGGACTTTGCGAATGGATGTAGACATCTTTTGTTTTGAGTTGGAATCTGGTCAGCGGTTTTGTGTATCGTTCTATCTGGGATGCAATCGATGGTATTGAAAGCGCAATGTTGATGGAAGCTGGAATGATGGGCCATGATGACTGCTGTTGCGCGCACTCTTATGCTCATCGAGCCTGGCAGTACAAAAAAACTCGCGACGCCCATCGAGGCGGAGTATGGGCTGATGCGCTCTCATCCTCACTGTGAAGGTAAGATGCGGAGAGTTCGTGGCTTCGAGATGCAGGCCTGACGCTGAGTGCGGAGAGACTGATGGTCTTCTCGGGGAGATAATCTGCCCGTCTTGCCGAAGAGGTTAGCTGCTTACAATTTTAGGAGCTAGCGCCAGGCACTCATTGGTGATGATTGCCCAGGCGGTATACAGCCATCTTAAAAAAGGTAGTCAGCTCGGACTGTCGCCTGGAAGCTTATGCACGCCATCACGAGTTTGGTGTAATGCGCGCCAGTCGTGGACCCCACATGTGGAACGTTCTCTCACACCTTTGAGGGGACATTGTGTGAGCTCATGTTCAGTACACCCTCATCCTCACCGAAACAGCCTCACTCTGGAACAAAGTACGGTATTCGGATATCGTCAAAATTGACATTGCTTTGACCCTATGTCTTCAACACCCTTTTCTTTCATACCTTATACTTTCCCTTCGCAGCTTCCTTGATGATGTCTGCTGCCTTCTCCGCCGTCGCATACACAGTGGTCATGATGTGAGAAGCTGGGAGAATCGGCATGACACTGGCATCAACGACCCGCAGGCCATTAACACCATAGACCTTCAACTCTTGATCCACGACACCGCCGTCTTCTCTAGCACCCATCTTGCAGCTGCCAGCAGGGTGATACAGCGTCGATGCGGTGCTGCGAATGAAAGCATCGATATCCGCAGAGGCGGTGACATTGTTGCCCGGAACAACCTCGAACGGATTGAGTGAAGCAATAGATGGTGTAGCAACGAATTTGCGAGCCCAGTGTACACCTTCGCGCAGGAGTGCAGTGTCGACTTCGTTACGGAGGAACCCTACATCTGCTACTGGAGCATCGAACATGCTGGACGAGTTCGCCTTTACGCTTCCACGAGAGTACGGATGCTGAAGTCCGAGCACCACGACGCCGTCGGCCCAGATTATCTCCATCATCGCAGAATCGTTGGCTTGGAGCTTCTTGTTGAGAGAAGCAAATTGTGCTTCATAGCCTCGTGCGACTTCAGCGGGGGTATCAGACGAGAGAGAGGCAGATGATCCGCCTGCAACCGCTTGAGCCAAGATAGATTGCGTGGCGTTGGAATAGGTTTGAAGTGGCAGAAAGAGAAGGAAGTCACCGGTCGGGGAGGTTAGTGGGCCAGACTTCTCGTTATCGTACTGCTCACGAGCTTGAGCGGCGAAAGTGGTGTTTGTCGTCAGGGTGTTTGTCAGTACGGTAGTGTTGACTGTGCCAATGTCAGTATTTCATCAGCTAGACCACATGATGGCCTACTTACGGACGTTCACCACGGCAACGGAAAGATGGTCGTGCAGATTGTATCCGACGGCGGGAAGATCAACGACGGTGGTCACGTTAATGGATTCAAGCAGGGAGGCTCCGCCGATTCCAGAAACCTGCAACAATTGTGGTGTATGCAACGATCCAGCAGCGAGGATGACTTCTCGCTTGACCTTAGTTTGTTGACTCTCGGCATCTGCAGAAGTCGAGAACTCAACACCAGTAGCCTTGACCGTATTCGTCTCATTGCAAGTTTCCGTAAGGACGCGTGTCACAAGGTGGCCAGTGACAAGGTGATAATTCGGGCGCGATTCGGCAGATGCATAGTAGGCTTCTTCTGCGGAGGAGCGTGTCCAGTTCAGCGGGACCATGTTGTGTGGGCAGAAATAACCACCGAATGCATTCCCAGTCGCCTGGTCATTGACGGAGATTCCCAGTTCCTGCGTAGCTTGTACGAAGTTCTCTAAAGTAGTCATCAGTATCTTTCCGCATGAAAATGGTGCGTCAAACTCACTAGTCGTTGGCCAGAAGAAGGGAGAGTAAGTTACTTCCATGTATCCTTCATCGCCATGGTATTCTGGATTGACCTGGATGTCGTATTCGGCCTGGATCTCAGAAGTTGGTGGTGTGAACTTCTCGTTCTTTCCACTGGTTAGAAAATGCCAAGGAACCGCCGAGAAGAACAAACCTTTTTGAAGTACTTCAGGAAGGTCTCAAAGTTCCAACCTTCGTTCCCCAGAGTCTCCCATCCATCATAGTCAGATCGTGCGCCACGATCGAATACCATGCGATTCAGTTTTGTTGACCCGCCCACGACCTTGCCTTGTGGAATAGAGACAACTCGACCGTCTAGTCCTTCGTCCGGAGCATACGAGGTGTTCCAGTCATACTTCGTTCCTACAGCACCGCCTGCAAGACCTGGGATGGTGACATAGTCCTCATTCTGGTCGCTGGAGACAGATCAGCAACTTGATGGGTATGGTGTTCATGCGACTTACAGATCACCAGCCTCGATAACGAGTACGGTCACATCTATAACAGAACGGTGTTAGTGGTTTCTGTAAGCCGGGATATGGTGTAAGCCTACCCTTATCCTCGGAAAGTCGATTTGCAACCGTAAGGCCCGACGCGCCGGCGCCTACGATGACATAGTCGTATTCTGGAAGAAGGTCCTCTGCTCTCGAAACGAGCTGCGCATTGGAGAGAGGATGTGCGAAAAGACCAGTCGCAGAAAGCGCGACAGTCGCTCCGAGACTCAATAGGGAAGGCATGATCACAGCGTGCAACAACAATCGTGTCTATCGTCCTCACAAAAGAGTACTTGGGTATATGTACCTAAAGGAAGTCGAGGTAACCGTAATAACACCGGCGGTCGGGCCACCCGCATCTGCCGGTGTTCAACCCCAAGGGCCCAGCCGAGACCAGTCCATGATATTCGTCAACATATAGCGCATGGCGTGTTGGCGAGTTTCCGATTTATAATGGTTCGGCGGCTTTTATCCTGTGTACGCGATAGTTTTCAAGCAAAAGCAGATTAGCGGAGGCGGAGTATGACGCCAGTAGATCCTCCGACCTTATCCGGGGAGTGAGCCGTGTTGGCGTTTCCCGGGGCCGCTGGCTTGAAGGATCGGCATTATGCGTCCGTACAATAATTGGTTCGCTGCATTGGTTCGGTGCTTCGCTGGAAGCGGGCTGTGTTCAGTGGCTTGAGGGGGATTATGTGGTGCCTTGTATGAGGGCATTTATCGGCCCTGCCTCAATATACCACGGGATCTTGCTGTCGTGTTGCGGCACAGTCGAGCGTAGATCACGTGCTGTCTGTGGTAGTGAACCTCGGCCCAGGCGGGACTTGCCCACGTGGGCTCGCTTGCAGCTTGCGCGTTGGCGACTTGAAAACATCCGATGCAGATACGCAATACAGCCACACCAACTTTGAAATACGAAGTCTCAACCTATATGAGACTGCCGATGCGATATGGGAAACCGAGTGATCTAAGGTTTGTCTCGCGTTAAGGTTTGTAGATGGATGTCAAGTCGCGGGAGGCCTTTCGAGGGTAGCGCCCCTAGATACGCGGTGCACTACTCAGGTGGCTATGTCATTGCTGTCGCCCAAGGACTAGACTAATGTTTGATGGCATCCATGTCCGCTACGCAATCGTCGCATTCGAACTCAGAGTTACGCCGCGAGCCATACTCAGTGACCCCATTTAGAAACGAATTCAGACCGGCAGACATTCATCCAGGCAAATGAAAGCCTTGCATCGCAAGTGTGTTTACTCACTGTCGTGTTCGCTATAACGCACTATAAATCAACGTGATCTCAGTCTTGACTGGGATACCCTACGAGACCTGTCTCAAGAGGTGAAGAAAAACACTGAACACCAAAAACAGGAAACAGCTGGCATGTACAAGAAATGAATGAATCCGTCGGTACCTCCTACCTCGCGAGATCAATGTGACTGCTCACGAAACAGCATATTTGGGATGTTCACTAACTTACATTCCACGAATTGAACTATACATGAGAGAGCAAGCGAAGCTCGGCTTCTATCTCGACGTTGGATAGGCTTGCGTGAGCTTTTGGTTGGTGCACAGCATGTTAGCTCCAAGATGTTCCATCACCTCGGATGCGGAGTGAAGACAACTGCTTAGAGATTACTAGCCGCTGTCTCGACAGTGTATAGTATGCCAATCGAGCCAATTTCGGTACGAACCTTGAATGTTTAGAGCCGTTCAGGATATGGTTAAGTCAGTCAATTCCAACTGACGATGACACCAGTGATTGTGTACTGAAGTGTTTAATAAGTTAGGCTGATAACAGCCTCGGAGCGTTTTCAGTCATCATGGCCGCGAATCGCATTCGATTACTTCGTGTGCGAAGACACGAAGCAACAAGCGGGAAAACAGTGTCAAGTTTCAAAGCACACAGAGGAGTGGCAGTAGAGAAGTGGCGATAGTGCTGGAGATGTGGTGCTAAGATTGAGGAAAGCAAAGGTTAAAAGCGCGTAGTTGCCAAACCCATCGCGTCGCTCCTTATTACGCGCTAGCATATTAGACCAATCCAATTTGGTAACTTGCTATGACATCATCTTTGAACGGCGACATGGCCCTCAACAAGGTTGGCCAGCTTCAATCTAGATAGGAAGAGAAGTGTCGGTGGCTGTCGACCACATACTCCTAGTCTCGTCCCGGTCTGCCCTCCTTCCGGCTTCGTCATCGTCTGCCCCACCATCCATCATACCGATTGCTTTCTGCCTCAAGTTCAGCACGACCATGAGATGCTCTGCACTCAAGCGTTCCTTCTTCCTCGCAGCCAAGATCTTTGCAGTCTTGATTGCGCTCTTGATCTGACGCCCATTGAAGTTTAGCTTTGCCAGTTTCTCCAGTTCAGCTTCTCCAACATCCACATCCTGCGCGTCAATAGTAGCCAGGAAGTTGCGCCAGACTTGCAGACGATCGCTTTCTCCGAGAGAGCTGTAGCTCAGCGTGATGTCGATACGAGATTCGAAAGCCGTGTCGATACTGCGCATTCGATTCGTAGTCAGGATCATGATGCCTTTGTAGTATTCGAGCAGGCGAAGGAAGACCGAAACAAGCTCGTTGCGTTGGAGATTGTTCAGAGTGCGCGCCTCCATGAACACATCAGCTTCGTCGAGAAGCAGGACAGCACCGAAGTGACCACACAAATTCAGCGCACTCTCCAGATTATCCTCGACCGTACGCGCGCTTGTTCCTAGATCACCAGCTCCGAGCTTGTATAGAGGGCGACGCAGGTGCTCAGAGACGGTCTCTGCGGTGAGTGTTTTACCCACGCCTCTTTTTGTTGGTGTCTAAAGTCAGTACATGTTTCACAGGCGGTGAGTACTGGGCTACTTACGGAGGGCCGCACAGAAGCATGATCATGCCTTGGCCTTTGCCGACTACGAAGTCGTCGAAGGATTTTCCTTCCTTGAACTGATCGCGGTCCACCAGAGCCAAGACCAAATCCTTCTCGTTCTGGTCAAGGACTAAGCTGTCGAAAGCGTGCTCAGCCCAAGGTATCTCGTGAATCTTAGTCACATCTAATATTTCCCACTTCTTCTTCTCAATGTCGAAACACTTGACATAGTGCACAGCTAGAAGACATTCGTCATCGGTCATTGGTGAGAGATCCAGTTCGATTGGCGATCCCGGGCCGCTGGGGACACTGGGGGTGTAGCGGTTCATGGATTGGGCCCACGTTAGCTGGCCTATCTCAGAAAGTTTTGCGTATTCTGGAAACGCGAACGCGGTCTGGTATTTGTGGTATGCTCGCGCGTCAACAACCATTCGCTCGTTTACACGTTCTTCGCGTTGGTCGGTAAAGGCTTTGAAGAAATGGCCGCGTAGCTCTTCGAATCGGCGACCTCGTTTGATGAGTCGTTCACGGATACTCTGTTGATCTGGAAGACCTTCGAGAGGTGATACATCCAACGCAGTCAAAGCTCGTAAGCCCTGATACTGGAACACGTGTTTCGATTGAGCAAGAAGACCACATCGCCTTCCATCCCAGTCAACCACATCGACGCCTATCGACCAGACCGATTTTTGAGCTGGGGGAGGAACGCACTGAAGGCTGCAATACCTCACAACCCCGACTGAGTCAGTCTTATGATCGAAGACCATCATGGCGGGAACAAGAACCAAGTTCAGATCCTGGAACGCAACATGTCCGGTCGTCTTTACATCGCGGATCTTCTCGAAAGACTCCTTGAGTAGGGGTTCGAGGACTTCCTGGAGTAAGTCGAGGTGGTGCCTGGCCTCAGATTCCGGATCGACACCATCCTTGAAGCTAAGCATCGCTTCCCATCGATGAATGAATGGAAGAAACGGCGGTGCGAACGACTTCATCTCATGCTGTGTCAAGCCTGGATAACCTTCGAGTATCTTCTCCAGCGCAGCATGAAGAAGCGTACTGTTGATACGTACTTCATGGATCTTCCATTCCTCCCTCACCTCGTCAAAACGACGGTAGACGTTTACTGCAAAAGCTTCCCGTGCTTTCTTTGTCCGAAGTTTGTCGCCTGTAGCACCATATACCAACGGCTTCTCGTCTACCCAGTGGTATCTGTTCGGATCTTGATCGGTTGGGACGCGGTATATATCTTGGTAGTCGCAGCGCGTGCCCGTCTCGACAGCCTCCGATAGGTCATCCTCGGCGGGTAGCTGTTCACCTGGAAGGAACGGATGCAGGCCCATTCCAGGTGGCGGCGGGCCCGAGTGCGAGTCCCAACCGCTGTGATACATCATCTAATCATATCAGTGGGTCACTGGAAGTTGAAGAAACAACAGTGGTGTCTAACCATCTCTTGGGTCGGCACAGGCCTTGACCCCCGTCGTGGACGTCGCGAGCGTTGACTACTGACATCGTGTTGCGGCGGCATAGGAGGAAAATTGCACATCTTTTCAGTAGATGAAATCGCCGAGAGGTGAACGTTTGTATGCTCCGGCAAGGCTGGGCGTAGACAGAAGATATCACAGCCGAGGAATTGCAAGATCACAGTGCTGAATACTGTCGGAACAGATGACAAGGCTGGAGTAGTGACCCAAATCACAGAGTCTGTGAAGCGTACGTCCTGAGTAGAGTCTGACGAGAGTGTCGCCGGATATATGGCTACTCGTTGATGGATGCCTGATGAGACCGGTGAACCTCAGGCTACACAACAGTCTCCCATACAATTGGCTAGAGACCGGAAGCAATGCCCCGCACCTCAACAAGATTTCAGCAGGGCAATGAGAGGGCAACGAAATACAGGTGAGACGAGGTTCGCGCATGTGTGGATTTAGAGCACCTGATCGTACACTGCATCTAGAGAATGCTCAGCTCCACCGCTACCGTTTGTGTCACTATAGCCAACACTAGCTCCCACATTGAAGCCGCTGCCGTCAGTGCCCGCATACCCAGAAGAACCGTGACTGCTCGGCGATATACTCTCAGATTTTCCACTCCCATCGTCATCTTTGGTGGAACATGTAGAGCTCGGATGTACGCTGCCTGCTGAATCGTTGTTTCCAAAGCTCGTGGACGCGTGATGTACAAAGGATGCAGAATCATGTTGTATCGAATCTGGCCTCTCATCGTATCCTGTGTCATAATGCTGATGATGATCGATCTGAGCGAAAGGACCAAAGAGCAAGGTCCGAATCGCAGGATCGGTCACATCCTGAACCCGGGGTATATTCAAACCACGCGATCGGTATTTCGGCGGAAGAGGGATAGCAGTGTCTGTTGCTTGCACAGGCTCGATGCTGGCGATTGGACTCAATTTGAGGAGACGAGAGGGCGGCTTCCTGGGAGTCGATAAGCCCGCGGTGGCTTGCGAGGGTTCGGTGCTGACTGCCCGTGGTTCGCGTGCTCGTCGATAGCGCAGTGCAGAGAACTAATGACCGTCAGTATATTGCAGTAACCATTCGTCTTGATACTATACTATACAACACATTGTCGCTAAAGTCCACGGGGCGTTGGTGTAAGCTGAAAGCACAACGGCAGTTGATGCGAAGTGAGGATACCGAAAGAGACCGATCAAAAGCATAAAACGAACATCAAGAGGGTTGGCCGGTTACGTTACGCATGCATTGCCATACTTGCAGCAAGATCATAACCTCGTTCCTGGCTCGTGATACTTGAGGAGCCGAAGCACAGCCTATCCGAGGTACCGTGGCTCCGCATGCCTGATACGGAACGATCACGACATTGGGAAATCGTAAAGTTTGGCTCTTTCAAGATGGTGTCGAGGTCGAACGTGTTCTTGTGAAGCGCACATGTTGCTGTGTCGCGCAACACCTCATGACTTGATTTGGGACAGCATGTCTTTCTCCGATTCTTCAATGTAGCACATGAGAGGTCGGAACGGGATTGCGGATTGGAATGGCGAATTCCCGGAGGGACTCAGGAGGTGCGTCCGCGACCTTGGGATTACCCCGCGACGACGCGTCAGTGAGATCAAGTATAGACTTTCGAGCGTACCCAACCACGCGCTCCTAGACTCTGCCTTAAGACGATGTTCGCGGTGGTACGTGGCCTGATGGTGGGATGAATAGTGGTGTTGAATGTGTTGGTCGCAGGAGACGCGAACAGACACGTCCATCCATTAGCAAGAGGGACCAGCGCTTCGCGCTCGCGCTAATCATCGCTCGCACATTGACTCTGCTGCACCACTCCTTCACAACACCACCCTGTGAGATCCCATGCCACTGTTTTACGTAGGGCCGAATACTGTGATAACAACGCAAGATTTTTCGACGCCTACACCACGCAGCGATGCGAACCAGGAGCAGATCTCCGAGAGTATGACATCATCGCAGTCTGGCCTTCCACATTGAATACGAAGCGCAAGGGCTGTCGGATGGTCATCCCAAGTTTGGTATGAATTCCTATACTGAGCGAAAAGAAAAACGATACACAATGAAGCGCTGTAACATTCATCGCTCGAGTTACTTTGCTATCCGCACCGTAAGTGTAGAGCCGCTTGCAATGACCGAGCGGTACACAGCTGGGTCTTTCTCCTGGCGTATCAAAGCTAGAAAATTGCGCATCCAGGGATGGCCAGCGCCTATAATCTGAGACACAGAGCATCACGTCTTGCCACAGACTGCCACGTCGACGGCACGTGACCAACTCGACCCTTGTGCAAATCACTTCACCGCTCCACTCAGTAAACAAGGCACCATGGCAGGATACAAGACCGGATTGACAGCATGCGATAAGTCATAGTTGACAGTTGGAGACCTATCTACGCATAATACAACTGTCATGTGCAAGTCCATTCACTCATCAAAAAAGTTTCGCGATCTATAACTCAGGGTCTGGCTGCATCCTGTTGAACGACCCCACGGACCCCTGCATACCTCAATCCACAGCACCACTTAAGCTCGATACTGGGCTACTACGTCATACCTCTGTACGATCGCGAAGTTTGCCATGTGTTATCACAACTATTCTCAACATAATGGGTAAGTCCTTGTGTTTCGCGGTGCCTTTATGAGAAAGCAGTTCTTGTGGAAAGCAGCCTCTCTGACAACTTTGTATGTAGTTGCGGCCATATTGGCGAATCGCATACGCATCCGTGGACGCTGTGCGACACGGCGATCCAAAATTTGAACGCCCTCCGCGGGCCCAACTCCCCACCAATCACTTCGCCCACAGCGAACTATGCATCACCACCGAAGCGCAGTTCATCCACACGACGCTTCTTCTCGTTGAGCGGACAGCTTTCGCGGTCTTCTACTAATGCGTCGACGAACTCGCGTCGCGCCGTTTCTGGCCCCTCAGGCGCGACAACGCCCCGAACTTCAGACTCGAGCTCAGGGTCCTACAACTATACCATGGCGTTGGATTACAGCACCTTGCCAGATCATCAGCTCGTAGCAGTAAAATGCGTAAACCCAATCAAGCGCACGCATGTTAGTAGAGATATGGTGGTCTGCAAAGATTGCGCACGCGAGATTGGCCACATGCGCAATATGATTCAGCGATACGACAAGACCGGTAGCATACGTGGGACCGCCGCGTTTGAGAAGTTCTTGAAGTGGGAGGGAGAAGGTGGAGGAGAAAGGGAGGGCGATTTGACCGTACCTGTGGACGATGACAACGATGGCGGGTCGTTTGGGGCTAGACAGGCTATTATCATGGGTCATCCAGAGAGCGTCATGAACGCTGAGGGGCCGAGGGGCTTGGGAACGCTCGAACGAGAGGGAGGATTTGATTATCGGTATTGAACTGCAGGGCGTCTGTCGAAGGAGTCGGAGTGAGGAGAAGCGGTATATGTAACGAAGACGTCGTTAGATTTTGTAGTTTAGCACTTGCGCAACCTTTACCATCGCTCCAGCACCAGGCTCAATATGGTCCGGCCCCTCCCGCGGCTTTTCATTAGCGTATAATGATGTGTAAGTACCTAGGTATGAATTCATATCTCGACTCCTTTCTTTAGACCGCGAAAAAAGGGATCACGATGAGCGCTAGTCCCTCCGAGCTGTCAACAATCGTACGAGAATCAGATGATGGGCTTGCCGCGCCGGCCTTGATGTTCTGCAGCTCCTGTATGCATACACACGCCCCACGCAAACTATTTCTAGCAACGAACTTGTGCATGCTAAGTTCTGCGATCATGCAAGAAATGCAATGCCGAGGTCAAACTTGCAGTGATCCACTGATTCTTGTACGTTCTGATTCGCTCGGCGGCACGCTCCTTCATCGTCTATATGTAGCCCGGAATTAAGACACATTCCGTACTTCCATATAGCAGGCACCATCGAAAAGCGCACTACCACTTGCTCACGAGAAAACGGACTTGCGCATCAACAGTAGCCACTAGTTCGGCGCTTTTCTCCGTTTGCGCCACCTGCTTCAAACACGTTGAAGCTTCCACTTTTGGAAGCGATGTGAGAATAGACGATGACTATATAAGTTTGAAGCGAGTCCTACATCACGGGAATACAGCTAGCTAACATATGTGGCCTAAATAGTATACCCTAGCTTTCTGAACTTTGAATGAGTACCTAGTGTCGAAATGGGAGGTTCTAATGTATATGTGATGCAAAAGTGAACATGATTACCGACGTACTTTCAAAGCTGCAGCGCATCGTGATCTGAAAACCTGTCACATCAAGGCTCGGTGAATTTTGCCGACGATGCTTCCACCACTGACTCTATTCGCCCGAAAGCTCCCAAAGCCGGGCTACAGTTATATGTTAGAGCTGGCCGAGCTATCTCTTTCAGGTGGACTAGTAGATACATCAAGGTCCCATAGACAATTCCAATACGCTGCGTGGCCTGCACAGTCTGGTGTCCAAGAAGATCCAGAGGCGCTTTGGCTGGACACTCCGCGGAGCCTTGAGGTCTCTGCGCTAGTCGGACACCAGCATTAGTGTTCCCGCAGCTTCGCTTCGCATTCCCTAACAGCCTAAGATCTCGATTCAGACTCCCTGTCCAGGCAGTCAAAGTGAAGGTCGCGTCTCGTTCGCCGGTTTTGCCATCCGCTACCAACGGCGCTGCTGCCTAGCACGTTCCAGAACAAGTAAGCTGCTTCGGGAAACAACCGCGCAATTTCGTCTCATCACCGATTCAGGTTCCTTGACAAGGGCAGTACGGTACTTACTTCCGCGGTGCGTAGTGATGAACTCGAGACAACGGCAAAGCATTGGTTCGGCCATACGTCCGCACCTGGGCAGTTTTCGACAGATATTATGCTTACTTACTCGAAACAGACATTTCGTTGCGTATTTCGTAAGTCTCGCTACTTCTCACTGCGGTATGGAATCGTATTGGCTCGGTGCTACGACCGCAGTCTTCGACGGCTGTGCCTTGAGGTTACTCGAAGAAGGCATATAGTGGAGCCATCTTTCTCCGTGGAAGCAGGACTCGCGGCTCGAAAGAACATTGGCTCGGCGGTAAATCCGCAGTCTTCGACATCATTCAGAGTTGCCGGAAAGAGTAGATAGAGGGTCAGTTCCTCTCCGCGGCATCAAGAGAAAAAGTGCCAGCGATGTTAACGCCAAAGAGAGGGCCGATACTCCATAGATCGAGCCTGTTACTTCCGAATTGATCACTCTACTATCATCTTGAAGGGAACCAATTCCATAACGCTTGCTACCTACTACCTCGAGACTTCCATGTACGAGCGGATGGTCATGAAGTTGCTTTTTACATGCGAACGAAAGAGCACGTTTCGTGCGCATGAGGTCGAAAGAGTATGGAAGCACTTTCACGATGATCTTGCTCACCAAGCACCTCTTCACAATTCCACCTCGCAATCACTCCCACAGGGGGAAAACATCAATCAAGCCTCTCACGTGCTACCTTCTTACTAATTTAACCTGATGATGCAGCCTTTCTCATCTTTCTGTAGCGCTAACCCATTCTTCATCATAATAATCACGTATTTTGTCACCGGCCAGCCTCCGCTCTTGAGAACTCTAGAATAGTTCGCGCTACTATTCTGCGAGAATCCAATCCAGATAACAAAATTCTCAACAACAAGCCAGTCAACATGTGTATCGAAGTCCATACCCGCTACCGCCGCTGCGCCCACGCCTCCCCACTTCGCTGGGACTACTGCGCCATACTCACACCCCGTGAACGTCAACCCGCCACTGGCCGCTCCTGCCGAAGATACAAAATGCGCTACAAAGAGTCCTCCGATAACAGCGCTTGTTTCGAATGCAAGTTGACCGAAGTCACTGGGTGGAGCGCAGCAACATCACCAACAGCCTCGAAGTTCCCGGAGAGATCGCCTACCGTGTCTAGTTTCTTGAGCGATGGTGAAGAGAACGGGAAGACGATGTGGTCGCCGCCGTTTTCTCCGACGTTTATGGAGAGGTCGCCGACTTTTGCGACGTTTAGTGGTGCGACGGGATTATTGGGTGGGAAAAGGGACAGGGATAGTAAGGGGAGCGAGGTCAGTATTGTCGCCAGTGATGAGCCGTTGAGCCCTGGCGTGCCGACGAAGGGGGACTGGCGGACTAGCGGCGATAGCAAGGAGAGTCAGGGCAAAGAGCAGCAGGGCGAGGAAGTAGGGGAACGCGGGTTGAAAGGTTGGTTCAGGAACAAATTCAAGTCAAGAGAAGGGTACAACGGCGGGGTATTGGGGTTTCAGATGATGGATGCGTAGCTGGCATGAGGTACCCAGAGGAATACATGGGTACATGATTATTCGAAAGTCGACAAAGACTACAGTGAGTACCTCCAGGCTCTACCAAAGCTTTGTCTCAAATCTCTCCCGCAGCTTCTCATATTTCTTCACATCACCTACACTCGGCCTGACCGTCTTCGCCGCCTCGACGAAATCCAGCTCTTCGACGACCTCGCTGCGCCTTCGCAGTGCGTGTTGTCCGGCTTTACGCAACAAACTCTCCAAATCAGCACCCGAAAAGTTGTTGCAGACGTCTTGGCGGCCGATCTCGGCGAGCTCGTCGCTCAAGACGCCGCGTTGGCGGATGAGCGCTTTCAGAATATCCACACGCTCCTCTGGTTTGGGCAGTTCGACGTAGAGTAGGGTCTCCAAGCGTCCGGGTCGGAGCATGGCCTCGTCTATCATCTCGGGCCGGTTCGTAGCAGCGATGAGGTAGATGCCTTCGCGCATGGACAGGCCGTCGAGCTCGGTGAGAAGTGTGTTCACAACGCGTGCGGAGGCTTCGTGAAGCTCGGTGGAGCGTTTCGGGACTAGAGCGTCAAGCTCGTCAAAGAAGATGACACACGGTACAGAGGATCGGGCGCGCATGAACACCTGGCGCAGGGCCCTTTCTGACTCTCCAACGTACTGAGGATTGTTAGCATGGAATGATCCCATGAAAGCATCTTGTTGAGGTGGAAGATGCTAAGAAAAAGCTCTTGGTGACGTACCTTGTTCAGAAGCTCAGGCCCCTTAACGCTGATGAAGTTTGCTTTGGATTCCGCAGCCACCGCCTTGGCTAGAAGCGTCTTACCACAACCAGGTGGTCCCCATAGTAGTACACCCGTAGGAGCTGAGATACCAAATTTGGCGAACTTTGCAGGATCTTTGATAGGCTCGCAAATAGCCATCTCGAGCTCTTCGCGAACACCCGCCAGCGCTCCAACGTCTCGCCATGTAGTGTCCGGCACAGTGGCAAAGCCTTCTCGCTTTGACGATGGGGTGATAGTAGGAAGTACGGCTTCAAAAGCTTCCATCGAGATTACAGTGTCTTCGAACCCCTCCGGCCGTGGAGCTTCCGTATCTTTCACGCGGGTGATCAGTCGACGAATCGATTGGTACACCCGGTTGTCCGCGTTGAGCGAAAGGCCGCCGTCAATGTCCATTGTAGTCTCTGCGTCTGCTGCCTGCTTCTCAAGTGCTCTTCGATACTGATCCATAGACCATGTACCTGCTTTGCTAACAAGATCCTTCAAATCGGCGCCGACAAATCCGGCTGTCCGTTTCGCCAATACACCGAAGTCGACATTCTCCGCGAGCTTTGGTTCGCGCGTTAAAGCCTGGAGTATAGACCGTCGCATAAGCTCGTTGGGTACACCCATGTTGATTTCGGTATCAAATCGACCTCCTCGGCGTAGGGCTGGATCAAGACTGTCAGGGCGGTTGGTAGCGGCGAGTACAATAACAGGCTTGCCATTATTGCCTTCCATAGCAAGACTGTCCATAGATATGAGAAGCTGAGCAACTATTCTCTTCTCCATTTGGCTCTGTGCACTGTCGCGCTTGGGTGCAATGACGTCAATCTCGTCGATGAAGATCAGACATGGTGCAACCTCCTTGGCCTTCTCGAAGTGTTCCCGTACCTGCTTCTCGGATTCTCCAGACATGCCTGAAACAACGGATGGGCCCAGGATCTCAATAAAGGGTACACCAATCTCAGCAGCAAAGGCTCGACTTATAACTGTCTTACCGCATCCAGGGGGTCCATGGAGGAGTATACCGCGTGGTATGGGAATTTTGCGGTTGGCGTATTCTTGTGGGCAGAGAAGCGGGAGTACCAAGTGCTCTTTGAGCTGCGTCATGACCTTCTCCACACCCCCTATATCTTCTAATGTAACGCCTGTGGGAGCCGCAGTATCGATCTTATTCTCCTGAGCCCCTGCCTTCTTCTGTCTCTTAGCCTCCCTCTCTTCCTTCGACTTTCCACTATCCCGCTTCTTGCTCTTCTCGCTCTTTTCCCCATTTGCAGCAGGTGGAATCGCCCATTGATTGACAATTTGCTTGTTCATCCAATCGCTTGATCGATCTTTCTTCTCTTTTGGCTCGTCCATGGTGAAGTCTCCTTCAAGTTCGGCCATTTCGTCTTCGTCGTCGGATTCTTCGTCTTCGCGGATAACATCGATCACGCGGTCAATGGAGTCCTCGATTTGCTTTTTGGGCCGCCTCTTCAAGCTGGAGTTTGATCGCTGTATGTAGTCGTATACCGTAGATAACCGGAGCTTCAGCGCGGATTCGTTCTTTTCGTCCAGGTATTTACGGACTACTTGATACACCTCCTTATCGAGGCCTGCCTGGAGCGAGGGCCGACCTTTTGAGACCATGGCGACTACGGTGGTAGGATTCGAGTCAAAAGATGAGTACAGACGTCTATGTATTCGCCAGGCGTATTGGAATACTGGGTCTTTTCAAGCAACCGACAATCAATAAGGCTCTAGAGACCGTGGATTCTGTGCAGCCAGTGAAGCTTGGTACTGGTTCATCGATGAATGGACTGCAACAAGGGACTATGGCAGTGATATGGTATGCGACGGTAATGTTGCGCGTGATTGTCGCATCACCAAAAAAGTTCGCGGCGGCTATCGATAAGCAAGCATAGCGCGCCGAGCCTAGCTTAGCTCTAGCCCGCATACGTCAATCAAGGCACAGGGTCATGTCGCATGCGCAACTCTCATCACTCATGGATTACGTAGCAATATGGGCAACTCAACCAGCGCGAACAAGATCTCAGCCCAGGATAAGTGAGTCGTGATCGCCACTCTATTTAGACGCTGCTGACGGGCCAGGGCGATCCTGGATATGAAGAACCAGCGCGATAAGCTACGACAGTACCAAAAGCGCATCACCGTCCTCACAGATCGCGAGAAGGAGATCGCTAAAGAGTGCTTAGCTAAAGGCGATACAAATAAGGCGAAACTCGCACTGAGGAGAAAGAAGTACCAAGAGGGTCTCTTATCCAAGACTGATGCACAGCTAGCGCAGCTCGAGATCCTGACGAGTGATGTCGAGTTCGCCCTAGTACAGAAGGATGTCTTGTTCGGCCTGCAACAGGGAACTGCAGTGCTCAAAGAGATACACAAGGAGATGGGTGGTATAGAGAATGTGGAGAAGCTGTTGGGCGAGAACGAGGAGGCTCGGGCTTATCAAGAGGTGCGTCGCGTCCCCTCGCCTCACAAGATGGATGCTGACACATGCGCAACAGGAAATCAGCGAACTCCTTGCGAACAAAATGTCCAACCAAGACGAAGACGAAGTCGAAGACGAGCTCGATGCTCTCGAAGCCGAAGTCAACGGCACCGTCCCTGCACTGCCCGACGCGCCTGTTGCACAACCACAGTTCACACCCGAAGAGAAGGCGCAGATGGCCAAGGACAGGGCTGCGAGAAGGGCGAGGGAAAGGGCTGCCGAGCAGGCATCGCAGCCCATGCTGGCGTGACGAGATATTGCATTGGCGCATAGATTGCATTAGAGCGTGGCGTTGGGGTGTTTTGCTGGCATACAACACTTGGACATGGTGCATGTTTGCTACATCTATGCATACGTACAAGAGTCTCCCTGCGACTTTGTTCTACGGCTTCCTGCAGATGGTGACCATGTGTGCGAAACATGGGCAATGATGCGGCGTCTTGCATGTTTGCCGTCTACGCCAGTCTCGCCTTCTCTTCACATGCCGAGCGCGTTGCGTCATAGCCCTTGCCCTACAACTACGCCGTCCCTCCTGCCATCCATCTCCAAACCACCAGAACCTTCTGACCCTGCATCAACAAGCCCTACCCCAGCTCCCTGCACGAAGCTCAAAGCTACCCCGCCATCACCCCACCACCATCAGCCTTACCGAGCAAACACACCCGACATCCCCAGCAAACATGTCGCACTCGCACTGTCACGACGAGCATCACGACCACTCACATGGCGACGGGCACGACCACAGTGACGACATCACGCCCGCGCTACAAAACATACTCTACGAGCAACTCGACTTCCCCAAGCTCGTCACGCTCAACGAAGATGAATCCAACAGCGGCCGCGCAATCTGCCAGAAGACATGGGCGCAGCGCCTCGACCCGGAACCCGAGCTAAAGAGCAGCGCCGACGAACAAATCCTCATGACGGTCCCCTTCACGGGCCAAGTCCGCCTCCACTCCATCATTCTGCGCACAAGCCCCGGGCCCGACTGTCCAAAGACCCTCAAAGTTTTCGTCAACGAAGACTCGCCCGACTTCGAGACGGCCGCCGAGAAGGAACCCACACAGATACTAGAGATCAGTCAGACGAGCGAAGTGCAAGAGATACCCGTAAAGAGAGCAAAGTTTGGCACTACACGTAGTCTGAGCTTGTTCTTCGAGGATAACTGGAGTAATGGCGAGGAGGACGAGACGCGAATAAGCTATCTGGCGTTCAAGGGCGACTTTATGAAGCTGAACAAGGAGGCGGTCTCTGTGCTGTACGAAGCTGCTGCAAACCCTAATGATCATAAGAATATTGTGGGGATTGGTCAGGGCGTGGGAAGGAGTATACAGTGAGTAAGGCGGTTGTATTGAGCTACAAGTAGTCGCGTTGGAGGAACTTCACATGGGCATGGCGCATGGCAAGGCGTCATTATCAAGTAGCATAGGATATGCTTCAGTGTCGATTCTACGACATTGACGTGTGTAAACAATTGCATTTCATAGTCTGAACGGTCAGCAAAGGCGCATGGAATGTTTATTTGAGATGACATACTCAGCGTTGTATTTGCGCTTTCGTGGGTATCGTTTCCTCCGTGTATGCATGTATGTCTCTATCCGGTCCAAATAGCGCCCGTCATATGGTGTGCGCTCAGTCTCTTCTCTGGCGCTTGATGTCGCCCCAACCGCGGAGATCTTTCGTTCCGGGCGTACCCTATGATCTTCCTTCTCTCCTTCCGTAGGGCTTTTACATGTCACCTCTTCCGTATCTGAGTTGCTGGCTCTCTCGCTCACTCAAGTATGTCTCGTTCCGCCCAGCACCTCACCATGCACCTTGCCCCAGTCAATCTTCGTGTCAATCTCCTCATCCACTCTGCCCACCACCGCCACACTATCACCTCGTATAATGTATAGACCCAGAGGTACTTCTTCACTAGGTTCTTCGTCTTCTATCGGTCGGATGATGCGCTCGACGGCTTCTTGGAGGACGAGGTTCATACTGCCGTCGCACGAGTGGAGGAGCCCGACCATGGTGCGGCCATCGAGGGTGAGGACTGATACGCGCTCTAGAAATTGTTAGGGGGATGACATGGTAGGGAGCTGTAGAGGGGAAACTTACTGTTTAGGTAGGCGTTTAGTGCCATTGTGATGGTGTGGTATAGGAAATTGCTGGGTTGGGGGTTCGGACGGGACGTCGCAAGTTGGTTTATGAAGCCGTTGCGTGAAATTCGCCTAGGCTATTTTCTTCGAGTTCTCTCTGTGCGCGATCGAAGGGTGTTTGCGTGACGTTTGGCGGTATCGTATCCAGTTGTGGAAAAGGTTGCGACTTGCTTCCGGTTTGGGTCGCAAGGATTTGGAGGCCCGGATAGATATATTCAATAGGCGGCACTTGAGCTTGGTGCTTACTGTGCGAGCGAGCGAGAAAGAGCAACGTGTGGCTTGCGCGTGTCGTTATGTGGTTGGAGATGCACATGAAGCTCGCGATGCTTTGCGGTGGAGCTTCAGATGGCACGTGCGCAGGGCCAATCAGAGCAGTCTACCCTCCGCATCGCTGCTCTTCTCTCGTCCCTTCACCAGCACACTAGCGGATGCCGTGGTCCCTTGTTGCTCTCCATGTGTGCACTGAAGACCGTGTCCTTCGACTTACCTTGCTTCTACTACTGCTACGCCCATCTCAGCCCGAGTTGACCTCAGCATCTGATATTTTGGTTTCTATTGCTTCTGTACCTCGTCTCCGTACAATGTCAGGCAAAGGAAGGCCATGGGTACTGGATGAATTGATTGTGATCAAGCGCAATGGCCCTTACAATAATCAGCATCAACACTATTCCGGGTCCATGCTCGAATCTTGAGCACGCTTGTTTACTGTGTTAGAATGTATAGTCGAGAGCCGAGATCCGTCATATTCAAAAGGAGGTCGCCTTCCCCGATTATCATCCCTCGACCGCTACAGATCCTGGCTTCCATCACTACGACTTCTTGGGGTGGTGAATGTGTATCATCTAGCGTTCATTTGGAGGCAAAGGGAGCGAGGCAGAAGGTAACGCTTCTAGAGGCGGACGTCACGGGACCTTTACGCCTGGACAGTCAGTGCGCTGTTTCCGAAACATCTGGGTAGCCACGAGACAAGGGGTGCACGTAAATATATATTTCCGTTTTTGATCTCGAATTCGGCGCGCTTAGGACTAACTCTACCCCGCACCGTTATCAAAGCCAGTGGTGTGTCTCCAGAACGATTCTGTGAACGACATCAAGTCTTTGATACAATGGGCAGATACGCCAGAATCAAGTTGCAGACTAACGTCGCCATCCCTTGGCTCATTGAGACTGCTCGCGGGCACGGTGAGTATTACCATTGTCTTCCGCCACTACCTATTTACCGTACTCTAACACAACGTTCTTGTAGGTAGCAATATGCAAGTCACTAGCGATAAGAATTCTAACCCTTTAGCCACGCCGTCGCCGACGCCCTCAACGAGTTCGGCCAAGACAGGCAGGTTGAAAGGAAAAGCGCGAAAGGAAGCAAAGAAGATGGAGCAGCCGCAAGTTCAAGCATCTTCACCTAAGAAGAATGCCTCTGGAATATCATACAAGTGCCTACTGAGGAGATACTTCGCCAGGCCCGTTATCTGGAAGATCTCGGTCAAGAGCTTGTCAAGTCCAGATCTGTATGGAATGCCTTCAAGGAGGCTGTGCGAGGCCGTGCGGAGCACACCGCCAGGTTTGCTGAAGAAGAGCCCGAGCACGAAGGTAACGCCGGCCACGTGTACTTTCTCGATATACTTCGACAAGTAGTCGACATGATTACAAAGGTTGTTCGAGTCCAAACAACCTCGTAGGGCATCCGACAACACAGCACGACAAGGAGCTTACTCTAAACAACCTGTTTGAGGCTCTCCAGGACATTGAACTACCCAATGATACATCAGAGACTGCCACGTTGGATGTACCTTCCGACGAAAGTACAACCGATGGCGCGCTGTTGCCTACACCACCAGCCCGCTATGAGCCACCCACCGATTCCAAAGAAGAGTTACGGCTGCGTTGGCTCTGTTTCAAGGACGAAGCTGATTCAATCATATCGTGGGTAATTGGTATATGGAAACAGTATTTTCACGGATGTGAGGAAGATGCAAACTTAAAGACTGCATCTCTTCTATCAGATCTGGCGCTCGAGCTGATATACAAGCTCGAAGACGACATGACAGATGATCGTGACATGGTACAAGGAGCCAAGCTCATCGAGTCAGCGTCATTATAGGACTGGGTTGCAACCACGCTTGCCCTCTCGGATTTCCGCGTTTTGATCTCGAGATGGAGAGGAAATAGAAAGTCATCATGGCATGCGGATCAATTCCCGACCCTGCAGGCACGGCCAGCGCGCGTCTACAACATAGCGAGGATTATGTCATGCTACCGGAAGACTCGCACTTCCTGCGCAAGAATGATCCGCTTATACTGGCAAAGCTAGCTCTTAACTTGCAGTTTCTGTAAACTGAGATCGGATTTGAGTTTGGAAACGATGACTGTAGCTTGTTACTCATGTGCCACTTATACAACGCACTCCGGCAACTGGGCTATCTTGACGTTCCGTGGGAAACATTTAACTCACTGATCGACATGCACATCAAGTGCCTGTTTCTTGGTGCACTTCCAACCGAAAGCGTAAAGCAGATGTTCAACCGCGCTTGCATCGCGTGCGGATGTCCGCCAGAACTTGTTCGAGCTCGCAACATTGGGAACGCCCGGGAGGGAACTATCAAGAATCTAATTGAAGGGCGAGACAGGAGACCGGACGCCTTGAGCTTCCCAACCAGCATGGCCATCGTTGCAGATCATCTTCACAATCGTGAGCCCTTACGCCACACATGGACGCGTCTCGATGCTGAGATGATCACGAAACACACTACAGCGAGCGAGAACTCCCGCGTCGAATCGTTCCTCGACGAAGAAACCCCCATGGCCTTTCTTGACCGGCTTCGCAACCATGTCGCAGACTTCCCACGGTACTTTGCGCTCGACTGTATTGAGCTAACACGCGTTTGTAGCGGTCTACTTAAGAAACTGATGACGGATGAGATGAGAACATTCATGAAGCACGCAATATAGAAGGAGAACATTATGTCGCGCTCCTGATCATGGCAGAGCTCGACAGCGTTGAGCAGAGGACATGACCAGGTACGCCGGTACCGTCGACCAAGCACGCAATGGAAGTTCCGGCTATCTTGAAGGAGTACATCCAAGGTGGCGAGGATGCTCGAGCAGTTATTGAAGACTACATGCAGCGCTAGTTCTGCTCTTTCACGAGGATGACTTTCATATAGTAGATACATACGCATAGTCCTAGCGAGATATCCGCATGCTACCCACTCCAGAACCCAATCTTGGGCTTTCTCTCTTGCCACAGCTCATACTCCTCTAGCAGTTTTCGTCAAGGTTGTCATAGATTACCTTATGCGCTCGAAGCACGCCTTGTACTGTACACAGAGCTCTTTCTCCATTGAGTCTTGTTTCTTCTGAAAACTCAGTTGCAAATTTCCCTTACGCATGCTACACTACGAAAGGTTACCACGTCGGCAGCTCGATCTACCATCCAGGGCTCAGTCCGGGCTGGAGAGTGAGTTACACCCAATGCGGTATAGTCACATGGGGGTCCGCACCTGGGCAAACTCCAGGAGCGCGTCGCAGCGTCCTCGTTTTTTCTTCGCCACAACTTTGATGGCGTTCAGGCTTGAAAAGACGAAGTTCGGCTTCTTCTCACTACACACTGTCACTTATCCTATCGGTATGGGCGAGGCTGTGTTGACATCTTCCAATCCCCGCGGAATCAGAACACGTACGGATGATGTCACATCAGACGCATTAACCGACGCGGAGAATAGCGCATCAGCACATCATCATGTCATTCGCTATGTGCTGACTGAAAGATGTGAAATTGTGCATTTGCTGCTGTTGTCGTTGCGGTGCGGGACTAAGCACTGCATACTCCAACTAATTCGCACGACCTTGAGCTCGCGGCCCACTGGAATATCGACAACGACGAGCATCCAGGTTTCCATTACATATTCTCGATACCAAACCTTTTGATCCTGTCGCAACACCTACTGAGTTAGGTAATTTTTCTCCACGTCGAACACCGCCACTCGTGCCATGTCGTCGACCCGCGCCAATGAGTACGACAGCGGGAAACGAAACAGTAACGCATCACAGCTGCCAGTATGGCGCCGAAGACTACGTTGCATAAAGTTGCCAATACTCCCAGTTCACAACCAGGAAGGCAACAGAAATCTCGAAGTCACCACAAGCAAAGGCCACCTCTATCTTCTCGACCAGTTTCGCGACAAAGTACCGCTACGCATTCGCAACCAACTTATCGCTATGATCTCTGAGTTTGTGGGAACTTTCTTCTTCATGCTCATTGGGCTAGGCGGCAATTCGGCGGTCATCAACAACACAGCGGCTGCTGCACAGTTCAATGGAGGTGATCCTTCAGCAGATCCTGCTAAGATCCTTCTCATCGCTACAGTTTGGGGCGTGGCTGTAACGGTAAATGCCTGGACCTTCTTCAGGATCAGTGGTGGGCTCTTCAATCCCGCTGTAACTATGGCATTGGTGCTCATTCGCGCCGTACCACCACTTGATGGTCTTCTCGACGTCTTTAGCCAGCTTGCAGCATCTATCCTAGCAAGCGCCATCACTTATGGACTCCTACCTGAAGGTGCTCTGGCAGCCACTGAGCTGGGAGAGAGCACCACAGTCACGCAGGGGCTGTTTATCGAAATGTTCATTACCGCCCAAGTAGTTGTTTCCGTTTTCATGTTGGCAACGGAAAAACACAAGGCTACGTTCATCGCGCCCGTCGGCATCGGATTGGCTGTGTTCGCTTGCGTTCTCATGTGAGTCTTCTTTGTTTGCTCCGCAGCTATTTGTGGTCAGCACTACACTACTAGGGCGCGTTACTCACGGAATATAGGGCGTCAACCTACACCGGCGCAGCCATCAATCCGGCTCGATCTTTCGCTGTCTGTGTGGTACAAGGAAGCTTTCCACACTACCATTGGATCTATTGGGTTGGTCCCGGGCTGGGTGCATTGTTAGCGACTGCTTTCTACCAGTTGATACGCAAGCTGGAGTACTGGACGGTGAATCCCAATTTAGACGACTACGAGACGAAAGTCGGCGAGACTATTCGAGACGTGGCCAGCAGAGTGGCTGACATATCAAATGTTCCAGGCACAAGGTCAAACGATCCGACGAGGATGCCGGAGGGACTATGATTGTTTGACAGGTCCACTGAAACCCAATTCGTTCAACACACAGGGTACATCGGGGTGATCTGTGTCTCTTCTAATCATTGCATAGACCGCAGGTTCTTCAATGCTGCTATACAGATGCGAAAACCCCATGTGTGCAGCGGTGTAGCTACGTTGGAAGCGTTCACAGGACTACAGTAAGGAAGCATTGCGGCACCACAACAGCCATGATGGTCTGGGTCGATTGCAACAGAACGGTAGCTTTAGTTGTCAGTCCGGCTTCCAACTCCAAGAAAGAAACAATGCGGATGCGATAAGGTCGGACATGTTGGTGCACGGACCGTCCGAACCGAAGCCTTTGGTACCGCGTCGTGCCCGAAACCTGGTAAACCCCGGATGCCATCCTCATCCACCAACATGTGAGGCAATCCCAATTTATTTCACCGAATGCCAGGCTCTACGGTCTTCATTCACCTTCCTCTTTAACATTACTGCGCCGCTTGCAAAGGATGCGGGCAACACGAGGCGTCCACTACAGACCTTGTTTATCCGAGATGCCGGTTGCTGGTGCCTCTTGGCGGGGACACAGCGCGCCTTGGGAGGCTTAACACCTGCTCAATGCGGCAACTACGATGCGCATATCAATTAGACTGATAGATGCAGTGGAAGGCAGATAAAAAGGCTCTCTGCCTTGCTAGAGCACGACAGGTGCTTCGTTGCATTCGTCTTGGTCTCTACTCGACGCGTCGCCTGGTTAACATTGTATCGTTCTTGCGTCCTGCAAGTGCGTCCTCGTCGCCATGCGCTCTTTCGCGATCCTCGCTGCGGCGCTGCCATTGATTCACGCCATCGACCCTCCGCGCATGCCACACCAACCTCTCGGCAATGGCACTAAACGTCTGAGCTATAACGAGACTACCAACGCTCCTGGTTCTTTGACGCCCTCAACCCGATCTTTCACTTGGGTTGGCACCGGAGAGGATGGCGACTACATCTACACAGCCGCATCTGGAGACTTTGTCTTCGAGAACGTCGCCACCGGCGAATCCTCGACTTTCATCTCGGCTGATCAGGTCCCGGCTGACTACTGGGACTACTTCATCTCGCCCGACGCGACCAAGGTCATGTGGGCTGTCAACTACACCAAGCAGTACCGCCATTCTTACTTTGCCGACTACTTGATTATGGACGTTGCGACTGGAGAGTCCGTATCTCTTGACCCTGAGTCCGTCGGCGATATTCAGTACGCCGAATGGAGCCCGGTTTCGTCGTCTCAGGTTGCCTTCGTCAAGGGCAACAACCTGTACATGTCTACCAACGGCACTATCTCCCAGATCACGGAAGATGGAGGTCCCGACTACTTCAACGCTATTCCTGATTGGGTTTACGAGGAGGAGATCTTTGGCGATCGCTACACTCTATGGTTCTCACCTGATGGAACTAGAATCGCTTTCCTCAGCTTCAACGAGACTGGCGTTGGCACATTCAGGATTCCATACTATATTGAAGACGATGCTGAATACGTCCCCGTTTACCCCAACGAACTGGAGCTCCGCTACCCCAAGGTTGGCACTAAGAACCCCACAGTGGTCATGAACTTGCTTGATGTGGAGTCTGGCGAATACACCAACGTCCCCATTGATGCTTTCCCAGAGGACGATCTCGTCATTGGCGAAGTTGTCTGGCTTACTGAGGAGCACAGCAAGGTCATGTACCGTGCTTACAACCGTGTCCAAGACATGGAGAAGCTGGTACTCGTTGATGTTGAAGCTGGGTCATCCAAGGTCACTCGCGAGCGTGACGGTACCGATGGATGGCTAGAGAACTTGATGCAGGTTCGATACATCGGAGCTGTTGAGACTGTGAACGCGTCCTACGGAAACGCTACCGAGTACTACATGGACCTTTCTGATATGAGCGGCTGGGCGCACATCTACCTCTTCCCTGTCAGCGGCGGAGAGCCCATTGCGCTAACATCTGGCGAATGGGAAGTTCTCAGTGTTCTCAAGGTTGACTACTCTCGTGGACTCATCTACTACACCTCCACCGAACATCACAGTGCTGAGTCCCACATGTATTCCGTCAGCTTTTCCGGCGAGAAGACTGCCCTGGTCGACGACACCGTGACCGCTTTCTGGACCGCATCGTTCTCTTCCGGTGGCTCATACTATGTCTCTCGTTATGCTGGTCCCGACGTGCCATACCAGGAGCTCTACTCCATCAACTCCACCGAGCCAATTCGCACGATCGTCAACAACACTGCGCTTTACGAGAAGCTTCAGGGCTACGCTCTCCCCAACATCACGTACCTCGATATGGAGCACCCTTCCGGATACACCCTGGATGCCATGCTCCGTCTTCCACCCAACTTTGACCCCAGCAAGAAGTACCCTCTCATTCTCCTTCCATACGGTGGTCCCAACGCCAAGGAGGTACAAAAGTCCTTCAACGCACTCAACTGGAAGGCTTACATTGCATCTGATCCCGAGCTCGAATACGTGACTCTCACAGTCGACAACCGTGGTACCGGTCGTAAGGGTCGTGCTTTCCGATCTCTCGTCACCTCTAACCTCGGTGAACTCGAGGCTGAAGACCAGATCTGGGCTGCCAAGGAGATGGCAAAGAACGAGTGGATCGACAGCGAGCACATTGGTATCTGGGGTTGGTCGTACGGTGGCTACCTCTCCTCCAAGGTCGTCGAGGTCGGCGACCCAATCATCAGCTACGCCATGATCACCGCCCCTGTCAGTGATTGGCGCTTCTACGACTCCCTCTACACTGAGCGTTACATGAAGACACCCGACATCAACCCTGAAGGCTACAACCGCAGCCGTGTTCACGACGCCACTGGCTTCAAGAACATCGCTGGTGGCGTAGTCATTCAACACGGTACTGGCGATGACAACGTGCACTTCCAGAACTCGGCTGCGTTGGTCGACCTGCTCATGGTCAACCAGGTCACACCTGAGAAGATGCAGAACACGTTCTTCACCGATAGTGACCACAGCATCAACTTCCACAACAACGGCAAGTTCTTGTACAAGCAGCTGAGCAAGAAGCTATACGAGGAGAAGGCTCGTAAGGGTGACAGCTTCGGCGGACATCAGTGGAGCAAGAGGGCTTTGGGACGGAAATGGAGGGCTTGAAAGCGCTTCAAGTTAAGTCAAAAGTCCCGTAATCTTTAGTTCCAACAATGCTATAATGTAATGATTGTCCAAAGCTCTACCGACTATCACTCCAAATCTTATCCTGTCAAGCACTTTTTTCACTACTTACCTTGTTTCGAACGATGATACCTTCGTCGGGGTCGTCATTATCTCGTTCCAGACGAAGTAACCCCTCCAGATCGACAGTACCGCGTGGAGAGCACGATGTGTGAAGGCATCAAGGGCAGGCATGGCGAATTGCCGCTTCTACAGCTGATGTACGTGCGTTTCTCAGTGGATAATTGAATCAGCAAGCGTGACAACTAGCGCTGATATATGAGACAAACGCGATTCCTGGGCGTGTAGTGAAGAATCTAGCTCTCGCTAGTCGCATTGCGCGGGTCTGAGACCCCAATCATTGACAAACAAACCAGCAATGTAACACAACTTAGAACGATTTATTACGGCCACCACACCTGCTGAACGATCGAACGGACCCCTCCCTAACCGGACAACATGGCAGACCAGACCCGCCTTACGACGACGACGACGCAGCGCGAAGACACGCCGAACGACAACCCCCAGAAATTCCAACACATGAAGACAGTATCCAGTCTTGCGGACGGACACCGCTACGCATTGGAGTACTTCCCCGAAGAGCTGCAGGCTCTGCTGAACATAGCTTCACTCAAACTCGACGAACGTGTTCCCGGTCACTTTGGCGCGATCTTAGGATGGCAGAAAGATTCTAGAGTAGAGTCTCAACACCCACGGGTGACGATGAAACCTCTGGAAATTCTCTGGGATCTAGAACACCGCACGACAGTACTGTCCGATCCGTTCCCGTTCAGTGGGAGTACTTGGAAGATCGTCAACATCAATGGTGAGGAAGAACTATCAGCATTACGGCGTGGCTACGATATTGTGCCGCCATTCTCTATTATCCTCACGGTAGTTGATCATGAGCACTTGATCTTGCTCCAGGTATTCTTCCGCTATAGTCTCTTGGTACAGGGCTTTGACGACGCTATTGAGGGGTTCAAGCACAACTTCTGGCTTTGTTTCGAGAAGCTTTGTCGCCATGTCGCGGCGCAAGCTTCGGCAGCCGATCCGCAACAACACGATGACGCATGTATACTCAGTAAGGCTACGCCGCCTATAACTGCTCTTATAATAGACGCAAAGCTAGAGAGCTTCACCAGTCAAGTTGCTACTAGCGAGCATGCACACCAAATCAGTAGTACAGCGCCGGAGACCAAGGATAAAAGGGCGGAGGCTACCGGCGACTACCTTGAAGAACAGCCTACGGAAGCGCATGAGGAAGTGACCAAGTGGAAAAAGGCCTTCGAGGATCAGAGCAAGGTCCTAGCAAAAGAAAGGGCATGGTTAGGTCAGCGCCAGGCAGCGTATATGAAGCTAGCGGCCAAGGTCAAACAGCGAGAGGGAGAAGCGGAAGAGTGGAAGAAGAAGTATGAAGCCTTGCGAAAGGAGACCCGCGAGGCTTGAGCTATCCTCCCCACCTGCGGAAGTAGCAGGTCGCATCGCATGATGGGAAAGAAAGGCAGGTAAAGGGATACATAGAATCACGAGCATGCAGCGCACATGCTTTGGTAAAGAGATCGCAATATGAGCTGAGGTTCTCGTCCTCTGACTATCCATAGCTTTCAAATATTAATGGCAACGTGAATTACTCCTAAACTCCTATTGGAGTTCCCCGCGTATAGCGATGAGTGTAACTGCTTCAAACATCAAAAATCATCTGCAGATCCGGGGGTTTTATAAGTACCCCCGCCCCTGCTTCTTCAGTCCGGTTGTCCCCTACCACCGTGATTATTAGAGCCCTGGTGACCACCCAGGCTATGGACTATAGGACTAGAAGGCCCCGAGTCCCCACCCCTGTTATGGGAATCACCTCTTCCGCGAGGATTAAAAGCCCCTCGATAACCACCGGGACTTACGGTGTTGGGACTAGAAGGCGCCGAATCCCAACCCCTACCGTAGCTGTTCCTGCTGCTAAATCTACTCCTGTTGAGGTTTGAAAATTTCCCACGATAGCTACCGGGACTAGAGGCTGCGGGACTGATAGGCGCTGAGCCTCGACCGCTTTGTGCTTGAGAAGAGGCTCTGATTGCTCTGGTCTTGCACCCTGTCTCCTTCAAATGCTTACGCCAATCTAGGCACTGCATTCCATTAGGTAATTGAATTCTTTCGACTGGGACGCCAGTCTTGCAGTTAAAGCAGTGAGCTGTCACCATATCAGACGTGGAGGATGGCGTAGCCGGCAGTGGCGTTGCGTTGCTATTCGCGACGGTAGCGGCTGAAGCGAAGTTTCCCACACTAATATCAATAGCAGGTTGCGGTTTGGCGGCAGGAGAGTCAGGGTCCTCTTGCGCCGGGGAGTTCGTTGATGAGAGCGCACTTGGAAGGCTTGCCGTTCTAGCAGAGAATTTCTGGATCTCGGTATCGAGATCTTGATTCTCGTCATCTGCCCAACTTTTCCTTGCAGCTGATCTTCCACTAGCCTCCACGACTGGCGCTACGGGAGGATTTACTACATGCTCAGCTGATGATAGATCATCTTGTAGTCTTTTGATCTCGGCCAGATGGTTTTTAATCTCTTGCGCCATCCTTTCCTGATCCTCTCGAGCTGATGACAGTCTTGTCTCCAAATCACTGATTACCGATGATAGACGCTCGTTCTCTTGTTCAGTCTCAATATAATCGCTCTGCGCCACTGATAGCTTACTCTTTAATACTACGAGTTCAGACAGCATCTGTTCCATCTCGTCTCTCGTCGTATTTCGATCGTTTTGAGCCGATGCCAGTCTTTCCTCTAGTCCCTCGATGTCAGTCTCGTGTTTATCGATCACTTCCTCCTGCTGCTTCATTGCGAGGTCGCTATTGGCGGCCAGGCGACCCTTTTCCTGCTCAAGGATCTGTACAGAATGTTCAGTTTGGGCGACCTGGGCTTGAAGTTCTTCATTCTGCATGAGCAGCCTCTTATACTCATCACTCTGCCCCATTCTATCGGATTTGGTGGCGCGCTCAAGGTCTTCCTTCAAGCTAACATTGGCCTGCTCTAGCTCGTCTTTCTGTTTGGACATCTCGCTCATCTTGCTCTCCAAACTCTTTATGTGTAATTTGATCGCCACAAGAAGCTCGTTCGCATCCGCAAAGTTTACAGTCCTTGATGACTGCACTATCGAGGGCCCTTTGATATCATAAGTATCAACACCAACGTCTTGGAGTCGATCAAAATTTTGGCTGAGATCGTCAACACGGTCGCTTAAAGTGTTGAATCGATCGGCAGCTCCATCTGCCTTCTCACGAAGCTCACCGACGCTAGCGCTGATGGCATTCAACTGCTGCGGTATCTGTTCGAAAAGAGCGAACCCTTTCAATAAAGTCCTCATCTGCGCATCGTGCCACTGCTTCTGCAATCCCACGTCACGAACACGGCGAATCCAGTCAAGAAGCAGGGCTCCAGAGAAGAATGCAACAAAGACTGCTGCGAGAAAGACGATATCGTCGGGTGTAGTAGGCATCGCGCTGAGCGTGCGTCGTGCAAAGGTGTATTTCTCCATGATTTCGGTTTTGCTTCAAGGCCAGCAGATATGACATAGTATGTCTGCAAAATTTGATCATCTACAGGATGTTGAGCGAACATATCGAGTTCGCGCGAAACAAGGGCGCAGCGCAATAGACAAAGGCGAGAGGTTCACAAAGACGCTGGCTGAACAAAGAGGCAAGAAACCCACCCCTGATTCTATTCTGAAAGAAGTGACCGATCGCGATTGCGAGTTTCAGATTCGTCGACCCAAGAGTCCAGTAGAAGAAGCATACTCTTTTCCAAATGTGAAGCAATGCGCATATGCCTCAAGCAGTCTCCGAGATATCTGACTTCTCTATGATCTCGTCTAGCAGTTCAACGAACCTGACGGCCATCTTTTTCCCACCCGCTTCGTTTGGCTCAACCCTCGCTGTATAGTCGTCTGCCAACTTGCCATCAAGCACCCCGTACAACGCGCAAGGCACCATCTCCGTACCCTCAATCCGTATCGCTTTGGTCGCCATCTCGTATATCGCTCGAATGGCGGCTTGTAGCTGCCCCGGATATGAATTGTATCCTAGCGCCTTGAGCTGCGCATCGGCCCAGCTGGTTTGTCCTAGTCCCGACTCGAGCGGGAAGTATATCATGCAAACGATGACGGCGCGAGGCTTTGTTTTGGCCGTAAGACGGGCGATGTAGTCTTGGATCTTGGTGCCGAACATATGCTTGAAGTACTGCAGTGAGCTTGCGGTCCCGTTCTCGAGGTGTTTGCGTTGTGTCAGCCAGGCGAGCTGCAGCATATGTCGTATCGTGGAAGGGTTTGGGCGCAGCGCAATGTCGTTGGCGCCAACGCTGACGATCAATACATCATTCGAACGAAGGTTATCGCGAATGAACTCGTCATGGGGTAGGAGTACGTCGTCTCGATCTCGAAGCATGGATTCTTCTACTGCCGTGTTAATACAGGTCGCACGATGCTCGAGCAGGTTGTTCATCCAGAAGGCGACATCTGGCTTCGGAACACAAGGGTGCTTGAATGCCTTATCGTAAATGCGTGGCAGCTTGATTGGAACGATAGGACTAGTCTTGTCGACCCAGTGTTTGTTGTCAAGAGACGAATCCCCAGCTAGATATACGATTGGTTTCTCCGGCCGTTCTGCAAGCGTAACGTTGCGGAAAGTGGCGAGGTCGTCAATGGGATGGCCCTTCCACTCGAAGTAAAAGCGGGCGCACTGGATCTTTTCCATCGTAAATGGGGATGAGGATGCCATTGTTCGCAAGGTGTAGGTTGTCGTTAGGGAGAATAGGCTCCAGTCGGATGACCCATGGCAGCAACACGCGACGCTGCCACTACTGTCGTCAGGTGATGTCGTCTACATATTCGAGGAGAATCGCAGAGCTTGTGTAGACACGTATTCGCGCGTAGATGAAAGGCAGCATCTTCGTGATGCGCGTGTGACGATGGATAATGTGGAAGCAATCACGTCGAAGATGCGTATGCGCGTGCGGATCCCTGCGCTTATGACGTCATCGGGACTTGGTGAGCAGTTTCCCATTCGGGTAGGTATAGATTGTGGTGAGCTTTCACGGTCAGCGCGTCTGGAGCAATCTGAACGGATAGGGCGCGCAACACGAGCGTCGTGGGCGGGCGCGCAGCTAGGGCGACGGGGGCTACTGGGGCGTACATAGCGTCCACCACCTGCGTGACGGCAGATCGAGGAGCTCAGCATCTCATCACTCACATGTTAATAATTTGAGGGCAATATGTTCAAGATATAAGAGTTGATTAATAATCTACCTACTCAACCAAGGCGACTTGGTGAAGAAAGCCTGCCTATGCCACATTGCTCCGCCGAAATGTAGTCAACAGCTGTTCCTGCATAGCAAACTGCTCGTTTTTGGCCGCGAGCTCGTCGGCCAACGTGCGATGCGTAGGATCCGAGCACTTGCCTTGGTTACGAAGTTGTGTTTCCAACGCATCGACGTTTGCATGTAGTTGCTGAGTGACTTTGTCTAGCTCGATGACACGTTTCGTCTTCTCTGCATGATCCTTCTCGACATCCTCCATGAGGGCTACAAATTGATTGGCAATAGCTTTAGGCCCTTTGATGTCGACTTTGGAAGTCGAAGAGATGGCGCTTTTGACACGCTGGAACAAAGAGTAGTTGCGCTTGTTACTTGGTTTAATGTTGATTGTCAAGGCCACGTTGGGTAGGTGGGATGTGGCTGGCATGTTAGCAGTAGAAGTAGATGTCTTGGATATTGGATCGCTGAGATTATTGATGTACTTTCCAAGGTCTTCCAATTCAGCTAGCATGACAGGGTTCATCACCGACCTGCTTGCTGCGATTGGTGTGCGTGGTGAAGTTGAGACATTTTGTAGATCGGAGAGAGTCAGTGTACATTTGCTCTTGGTTCGTTGTTCCTGCCCTAGAGCCTTCAGCGTGGATATGACAGACGCGAGCTTCGACTCCAACTCGGCACACTCAAGCGAAAGGCGATGATTCTGTGAGGCTAAGCGTTCAATCTCCAGCTCTAAGGCACGCAGCTGGTGCGCATCTATAGCTATGTCGGCTTTATCTTCTTGAGGAGCGATGGGAGTAGTGCATGAATTCGTCAAAGGAGAAAGGGAAAGAGTTTGGGTTACCGGGTCGCCGAGATCGATATCACGGAATCCGTCAGAAGTAGAATGCTGTTCGGCGTGTAGGCCACCAATGACTTCTTTGAGATGCTTCACTTCAATGTGGTATCGCTCATTCTCATTTCTCAGTTCCTGGATACATTTCATATCTGTAGCCTGGCCATCAGTCAGATCTGCGTTAGCATTCGCAAGATGACGAAGTCCTTCTACTTCTGCTTCGGCGGCAACCCGTAGTTCTTGAGCATCCTCAAGCTGTTGGTATATGAGCTTCTGGTACTCCTCGCAGCCGTTCTCGTGATGTATATCTGTTGGGCGGCGGTTGGCTAGCGTAGTTTGGACCCCGCGGTACGCGTTTTCAGAAGGAGGCTTGAGGTTAGATAATCGAACTTCCAGTTGGTCAATCCTAATATCCTTGGCACCGAGTTCAGTTTGTAGCTGGGCAATGACGTTTGTCGCGTCTTGGTCCTCCTTGGTACGCTTCTTCGTCGATTTCGCACGACTGAGTTCTTTCTTCATCTCACGAACCTTGTGCTCACTGTCTTCTCGCAACTTAACAATCTTGATCTCGAGGGCTTTGATGTCTCTGAATTGGTTTCCGGACGCACTGGTAAGGTCATAGATCTCGTCTTTCTTCTTTGCTACTTCACTCTTGTAGAATTGGAGTTCCTGAGAAACTTCGTTACGCATGTTCGTAGCAAGAGCCCCAGAGCCTTCAAGTTCGGCAACTCTCGCTCTTAGTTCCGTGATTTCCAGGCCTTGCTCAGAGTGCATGCTATCGTGACGCGACGCCATGGCGATTTCCTCATCGGGGTCGTCGGGGATCGAAGGCGAAGTCTGCATGGTTGAATTTTGGCCAGACTTCTCTATACTGCTCGTACCCACACGTGAAGCTTTTTGTCGGAAAGTCTAGGTCACTTCAGGGATGTGCACTTGTGTCCAACAGGTCTCGCATTGTAAATTCAGGCGAACACCATATTGCTTCATTGTACTCGTCACAGGGCACCTGTACACAGTACGAGAACTCTTCGACCATATCCTAGCGGTATGTTGTAGCAACAATGCAACAGCGAAACTGTTGCTCGAGCTAGACAACTTATTGCATCATAGGTCCCGGCGATGTTGGTTGCGCTATCATCAAGCCACTATAGGTCAGAGAAAGATCATTCGATGGGGAGTTGACGCTCCACGTAGCCTCAAGGACCACGTGATGATATACCGCTGTACATTCTTTGGCGGACATTGACCTGGTTCATCGCATCGCTTTGGTGAATTAGTTAGAGTTGGGCCATGGAATGCAACTTTGTGCAGCTCGCAGCACACTGCTAATGTTGAAGAACTACAAGACCAGGAGTCTAGTAGGCGGTATATACGTGATGCCGCGCTACGCTGCATCTGCCGTGTTACCGGCATACCCTTGGCCGCGTCACGTCGCAGGCTGTGGAAAATGAAACCGTGCACCGCCACATATGTTTGACGACGCTGCCCAAACACCGAGCGTGGGACCTTTGTGTTGAAACAAGACGCTCGACGCGTCCGAAAATAAAGCTGTCAAGTCACAGATTATTTTGAGATGAAGGAACGCAAAGATTGCTTGCTGTGCGGGGAACAAGGCCAGGACAAAGAGGAGAAGATGCGAGAAGGTTGTGCAACACGTCGCATCGCCAGCGGCACTAGGAGCTGGGATCGAGGCGATTGACCAATCACGAACGCGACATGTGGCTCCCTGATCATGCGCCACTGCGAGTGACGTCGGTTTCAGGGAAATCAAGAAGGGACAAGGTCGTGGCAGCATCATCGCCTGCCAGCCTGTGCGGAGGCATAAAGAACCAGGCCGCCGCTGTGTTGCAGGCTTCATCGAGCCTTTCTACACCCAGCTGCTGCAAACAACAAATACCATCGACTTTTGGTAGCGAAGATATCTGCAGCCACAACCAGCCTACCCGCCCCGTAGCCCCTGCAGCCATCCATCGCGTAGCCGTAGCGCCTCTCTTCTATCAAAATGGTCGCACCCGCTCTTGTCCTGGGCCTGCGCGGCGTACAAGTCGTTTTCAGCATCATCGTGCTGGGTCTTACAGCCTACAGTATGTTGCACACAGACCGCTCGATGCCGTAGCGTCACTAATATGTCTTCAGTTGTCGATGCCTACGTCACCTGGGTGCCGGCGAGCGTCGCCTTCATGCTCTTCACTTCCATTTGGACCCTCCTGGCTGTCGCATATCTTGTCCTCGCACCAGCTCGCTTCCCCGCTGCAGCCCACAAGTTTGCCATTGGCGGAGTTGAGTTCATTACCATGATTTTCTGGTTCGCCGCTTTTGTTGCAGTGGCCACTCGATGGGGTAACAATTGGTGGGCTGGCCGCCAAGGCACCTTCTACAGTTGCGGAGTTGCGGCGATTGTCTTCTCTGCTTTCAACTGGTATGAAACCTAAACTCTCACGCACGACTGTGTACTAACACATCACAGGGCTGCCTTTGTTGCTTCGACCGTGCTTGCGGCGCTGCACATCCGCAGCTCTCCCAGGAACGACACCGCTCCTGCGCCAAACATGGCCGGCGTATAAACAAAGACTTCCTGTCGCGCGACGCGGCCCAGACCAGCCATTGGTCTTATACCTCATGATACCCAAACCTTTCTTAATTCCACCCTTGTACCTGCCGCAGAATGTAATGTCCAGCGTAGCGGTCGTGTTTTGTGCGGTGCGTCGGAACCCCTGATACCATGTCTTTACGATACATGCTCTTAAAGCGTCGAATAATGGAATTTTTGACTCTGATCTACTAGTTGCAGGTGTCAGCTACAGTTTTGGTGATGATTGCCACGACGGGTCTGCGGCAACCGCGACAGACAGCGCCCCACCTTTAGCGATGCCGGCGGCCACCAACCTGGAGATCATCGACCCTGCTTGGAGCAATCGACGCTTACTGTAGAACTTTCTCAACTCCAGATATTCGCATCTCACCTCACTAAAGCCGTGTTTCTTTTTCGCTGCCCACTCGAATGATACTTCGGCTGCAACTAAGCGGTGCGCTACCCGACGCGAGTCATCATTCCCTCCTGCACGCATCCATGCGAATCAGCAACGAAGCCAGCGCTGGTCGTAGGCCCTTGGCCAACTGCGCATTTACGACTACCACCCGCCAAGTTTCCGGAGGGTCTGACCGACAGTTGGAGCGCGTACCGTGGATGCCGTTCATGCTCAGCATCAAGAGGGTATGCCTTGTGGAGATCTCTTACCTTAAGTACCGCTTGGCTGGGACGCGGTACATCCGACTCTTCCTGAGTGTTGTTGGACATTGATGAAGCACCCACCAGAAATCAGGATTATCATGCATTTGGGCTAACTTACCCCGGAAAGGCCTCGTTGGCTGACCCACTCACTCTATCTGTCTCGCGTGCATGCTCGGAGCAATCCCACGCGCCTCCCGTCGATGGAGTACCCACACACGGACATATTGCTCCAAGAACATCAAGCTACGGGCTTGGTCCAGTTGGTTGTGGACTCTATACGAATTTGATTGCCATGCTGACGCCCCGACGCTGTCCCAAGGCGTGATATTCGTGCATCAACCCCCGCCTGTCGCTTCGGTAGCTACATCACGAGCATTTGCCGCGTTCAAGCCATCGCTACCGCTTAATCCTCCTGATATTCGCGCTTAGTGCGTGCGCCTCTGGGTAAGCATGAGCCGATGCTGGGTGCTTCTCATGGGACCGGATACGATCTTCAAGTTCTGACAATACTACGACACCCTTCAGGGCGTGATATGAAAAGCAAATTATCACACGTCCCACCAATTTGTAGTTGGACCCCAAATCCGTTCGTGCCTTGCGAAATTGATCGTCAATTCGCCATAGGACGAGATCCATGGTGTCGGGTCAACATTTCCTGTCCGTGCCGTCGGAAGGGCACAAGTAGGTGCTGCCTCGCTAAAAGTGCCACTGCAACTTCGAAGTGCAACACGAGAGCAGGTCACGTACCAGCCAACAGGTTAAACACAGGCTCGAAAAAATGCACTTGCAAGCAGCAAGGCGTTCGTTCGGGCTCTTTTGAGCTTTGTTCGGGATGATTAACACCCGATAATTGGAGGAACAAGCCCAATTTAACCGGCTGCCAAGGTATGCAGCTAACGCGCCGCGACGCTTACCCAATATAAGATGCAGGTTCGGTATTACGGTCGTGTTCTCCGCCTTAGCCTAGGTAGGCTACGGAGCATCTGGGGTAAAGAGCCGGGGTAGTGGACCGCCCTTGGGCCACGCCGTATTATAAAGGGTAAACCCCAAACTGCTCGAGCTCAAGCAGCCTCCAGCGCTTTCAACACCGGCATCATGGGTCTCCTCAAAGCTCAGGATGGTACTTCCGACCCCATCATCACCCGCATGGTGGAGCAGGACAAGGTGCGATGGTGGAAGAAACCGAATCTGCGCATTATGTACATCTGGCTCTTCTGCTGCTGCATGGGCGTTGAAATTACCTCTGGTTTCGACTCTCAGCTCATCGGCACACTTCAATTTTCCGTTCCATTCAACACATGCAAGTTTCAACCGATGCAGATTTAGATGGACAATGCTGACAGTTCTAGATTTCGGAGAAGGCTACAAGGACGCAGATGGCGAAGCCAGCATCGAACCCAAGATTATCGGTTTCATGTCCTCATGCTACCAGCTCGGTTCCATTCTTGCAGTTCCGGTCGCACCCTGGTTGAGCCAAAAGTACGGTAGACGTATGTCTATCTTCGTTGGTTCCGTCATCATGGTCATCGGCGCTTTGTTGCAAGGTTTTGCTCAGCACAGTACGTACACAACCCATCCAGATGCACAGTGGCGGCGTATCTAACACATTCGCAGTTGGCATGTACATCATCGCACGTATGCTCCTTGGTTTCGGTATCCTCTTCGCCATCGTCTCCGGTTCTTCCCTGATCGGAGAGTTGGCTTACCCCAAGGAACGCCCCTTCATGACCTCGCTCTTCAACGCCTCTTACTTCATCGGATCCATCCTTGCCGCTGCCATCTCAATCAGGACAACAGAGATGGTTGGAAACTGGGGCTGGCGAGCACCATCTCTGCTGCAGATCTGCCCGTCCATTCTCCAGATTTGCACTGTTTTGTACGTTTCTCCGAACGAGTTTAGGGTCTCGCACTAACCTAATTAGCCTGCTACCTGAGAGCCCACGTTGGCTTGTCAGTCGTGACCGTGACGAGGAAGCTTTCGCCATCCTGACCAAGTACCATGCCGAAGGTGACGCCAACTCCATCCTCGTACAAGCCGAGATGGCCCAGATCCGATCCACAATCAAACTCGAGATGGAGAACTCAAGCCGCTCGTGGATGGACATGGTCCGAACACCCGGTATGCGACGCCGTGTCTTCATTTCCTGCTTCCTCGGTCTCTTCACCCAAATGAGCGGCAATACTCTCATCTCGTACTACCAGAATCTTTTGTTCAAGATGATGGGATACACCACCAAGTACGCCAAAACGCGCATCAACATCGCCAACCAATGCTGGAGTTTGATCAACGGTGTCACCATCGCTCTCGTTGTCACGCGATTCCGCCGTCGCTGGATGTTCATGCTTTCCGCTGGTTCCATGACCATGGTTTTCATGGCCATGACCATCGCATTCCAGCGTCTCCAGCTTGCTGATGCCCAGGGCACCAAGAATCAGGCTGCGCAAATCGCCTCGCTCGTTTTCTTCTTCGCATACTCGCCCTGCTACAACATTGGTAACAACTCGCTCACATACACCTACCTCGTCGAACTCTTCCCCTACGCCCAGCGTACCATGGGTATCGGTGTCGAGCAAATGTTTGGCAAGCTCGCCGGATTCTTCTCCGTCTACGTCAACCCAATCGCTCTTGACGCGATTCAGTGGAAGTACTTTGCCATTTACTGCGGATGGATCACATTCGAGTTCTGCTTTGTCTACCTCATGTACCCCGAGACATACAACCGCACGCTCGAGGAGCTTGCTTTCTGTAAGTATACGACGAAGACGACTTTGATCGAGCTATCGCTAACTCCTTCCCAGTGTTCGAAGACAAGGAGCTCGCCGACGAGGCTGTCAGGGCTGTCGAGAAGACCGTCAACCACGGCCACCACGACGAAGGAACAGTTACGGAGCACGGCAAGATGGAGACTACTACCATCGAGCGCACTGCTTAGGTCGTGTCTTGTCCATAGTTTGTCGCTGTCCATCACTCTTCGCTACATAGGGTACGCGCCCGAAGCTATTGTTGCTTCGGTGAATTTAAACAACGTTCGTGCCCACGATTATGCCAATTCCCTAATGTTCACGTGCATTCCTTTCGTTGTGCGATGAAACTTTTCAACGCACGCTTTTATTCAATCCTCATGAGATAACAACAAAGGGAAAGCTGATGTAGGTAATGCGACGGTCGTAACAAGCATTCCAAGGTTGGTGGCGGTACTCAGGTCTTGACGCCACAACTCTTCGATTCGCCGCGCCACAGTAAGCTCATCAAGCGTACGCCACCCGTCTCCTCAATCTTGAACATCGTCATCCCTCCTTTTAACCATTTCCGTTGTTGCTCGAGTTGCTCCTATCGTTTTCTCAGGGCACTACATTACCCTCATCATCCTCTTCACCCAACTTCCGATCCGCCCCTTCCGAGCCATGTTCCCGAATGTCTCTTTGCACTTTTGCCTGCGCAGTCTCAGCCTGCTTCGCTAGCGCACGATCAAAGGTGCCCCTCTCTGCTTCTGTCCAAATAGCGCTCTCGATGGCGTGTCTGTAATGCGAACTTGAGATACCACCTAAGTCTTTGATTGCTTAGTGCAGCTAAAATGGTCACGTGGTAGAGCATGGTCACGTGATGCTAAAGTCATGACAATGCCCGAGATGTATTGCTGCGCCATTCCGGCGATGGCGTAAGGTCAGCTATCAAACAAAATATATCTAGTGTTTACTATCAAATGAGCCGCCAATGAGTAGAGAGCGAAGCTATTATCTTGAGTATCGCAATGCCAATACATCTGCTCCAGCAACAATGTGAACTTTGAACATCGACAAACTATTTAGTACTTCACAAGTCAATTTCATCTTCTTCCGTACTCTCCCGTTCGGCGAGTACGACGTTTTCGTCATGATCAGCTACCTGGGTAGTTCTCTTTCGCCTACGTCTAGATGCGCTTTCTCTGGATCGACAGGTCCTCCTTTGAACTCGCGGCCTTCTCCCCTCCTTGGGCTGTAATGCATGTTCTCTTCTTCTCGTTCTCTGAGAGCATCGAGATCCTCGGGCTTTCGCCGTTGGCTGAAACGCGTATTTCGCACAGAAGGCTTCATTTTGATCTTGGTCGATGGCATGTTTGAAGCTTTCTCTGCTAAAGTGTTGCTATTTGCTTCTTCAGTACGCGTCGACATTCCTGCGCGGGTATCAGTCAAACTTTCGGACTGAGCTACATCAGACTCGTCTTCTTCCTGGCCCACTTCAGGCTCATCGTCGTCAGTGCTCTCATCATCATCAAGGTTTTCATCTTCGGAATTCTCGTCGTCAGTATCGCCCTCACTGGTACTATCCGAATCGCTAGTAGTACCGTAGAGCTTGTTTTCTACTGCCCTAAATTCTCTCCTCAATCTGTGAAAGTACCAGCGATTCGCATCAGCGTCATGCTTTTTATCGATCTTTTTCTTCCATTCCACCATCGCAGCACGGAACGTTACGTAAACAGCACTGCTGCGGTCTACTACGGGTTCGGTATTCCCCAGAGCATAAAGTAGGTGCGCAACCGTCTCTTTGATTGGTTTGGTGGTGCATTTGTTGTGGTAAAGATCGAAAGCTTCCATGTCTCGTCTGAAGTCAATTGGTGGAGTAGGTTGTATGAAGGTAGCCATCTGAACAAGCTTGTGTAGATCTTGCGCCTCTTGAAGAAGTTTTTGAAGATCATTATGCTGAGGAGCAACAAGGTTATGTATGAAGGTAAGGTCAACATGTTTGCTGCTTGCAAGACTTGTCAAAGCCACATGTATAGTGAACAGTAAGCTCGTCAAAGTGCAATGCGTAGCACTCCCGAATATCACAATCAACTAGTAGCATGAGATTGTATTCTGCATGGTACTGATAAGAAACCGATTGGTTGTACCGATGAGCTCAGATCGAACAGCACAGAATGCAAACGAAACTGGCGGTTACCATGGGGACGTGCCCAGGTGGTGAGAGCGAACTCTGCCTTTGCAAAGTGCGCGTTGTCAAGCCACCTCCACAACAACCTCGCACCTGCCTCAGAATTGCTTGAAGTTTTCGTGGCTCACATACTGATCTGACAATCTCTAGATTCTCGCCTCGCCGATCACTCACAGCACGATGGATCTAGCATCCCAACTTCACGAGCAGTTCCGCCTCTGCGGAGGGCAGTCATTTCTGCCTCAGGACGACATCGAGGCCACCTTTGCGGTCTTGTACGGTGCGCATTCCCTGACTATTTGGCATTGACCTTGTCCGCACGCTAACATCAAGTTTGAGGCGAGTCCACCGAGCAGGACCGAATCGATTTCGACCTGCTGTTCCGCGGTCTAAACGAAGACATCTGGGAACTCCAGCAAGAGCTGTTGGGGAACACAGTTGGATGGTGGTGGGCCCTGGTCGCAGCATCTCGTCTGTACGACCGTTTGAACGAGATCATGGACAAGAGGATCAGGGCATTGGCGAACGGCAGCCATATCATTGTCAAGGGCTTGCCTCCAACCATGCCAGGGCAAATGATGTCGAGGTGGGCGAGCGACTACGTCGCTAACTCTTCTGCTCGCTCGGCGTCCCTTTCCGCAACACCTCTGGAGAACAAGAGAATCCCCGGGGAAACGAAGACTCGTCGTACGGCCCGCATCCGTCGTGAAAAGCGTCAGCGCAAGGAAGCTGCTATGACCAAGGCTGGTGCATAGTGCGCTGGTTGGTGGCATTAGCGACTACTTGTCGGCCTCAAGATCAGGATACGTGATCTTTGTAAATGATAAGTACACCACGTAGTTCTATACCATATTCAGATTTTCTTACCGCCCTGATCCAAAATCAAGCGTTCTCATATGCTTCCTTATATTTCCTCGCATTCTTCAACCTGATATACTCCTCCAGTGTGATCTTCCGCACAGCTGGACCAGTTACAGACTCAGTGGCTGGAATACTCGACGTACTAACATTGCTGTCTGGCACTGAAGTTATAGCGATACTCGCACTTGGTATAGCGTGGCACTTTGGTGTCGTATCCGGGGTTGGTTCTGCAGTGATCGTCTGCTCACCATCGCTGTCCTGGATAAAAACAGATCTGCTCATATTCAGTAGCGTGTCCGCTACCTGAGCCTCCGCAGAGAACAAAACTGGCTGTCTCAGTGCTAGCATGGTCCTCGCTGCCTCTCGATCTTGCTCGGCGTGATGTTCGCCTGTTCGACCAAGCCTGCCAGTACGGTGACCAAGCCACCCCATGCGACTTAAGCTTTGATGAGGTCTGGTAGTAGCAGCAGTATCTTGCTGCGAGCATTCCGAGATCGTGATAGTGGGAGTGTTTGGTGGATTATTCAACATCTTGCCAGCTTTTTAGATCGAATGAAGGAGTTGTATGGTTAATTGAGGGCTAGCCGAGTCAAAGTGATAGAAAAAATGCGGCTGTTCACGAAAGTATATTGCAAGGTTTAGCACGGTTTACGAGTGGCTATATTCTCCTTAAGGTCAGGCAGAGCACTAAACGCAGCTAAATACGAAAATCCTGGACGATTAGTAGTAGTGAATGGTCACCTAATCTGCAGCGCGTGAATTCAGTGACTGATTACTAGAATTCAAAAAGCTGTGTACACGAGGCAAAGTCTACTCCTCCCATTATTTAACGCCCCAGATCTCATTCCATCTATCGTCTTCCGCCATAGCCCGCTCCACTTCTTGCTGCGTTAGCGCATGTTCGAAATCCATTTGTTTCACCATCTCGTCTGTGGCATTACTCTTCGGCTTAGCGCCGAAAACCTTGTAGCTTTTATAGAGGAAAGCCTTTTCACCAGCAAGATCATCTGGAAAGGCCTTGGGACGATTAGGAGGCTTCAGGAGTGCGTCAACCTCTCTAGCTCGAAGTCCGGTTGGGCTATCAAACTTGAACTTGAAGTTGTTTCCCGCAGATGGCATGAAACCTTCACCCTCATCCAGCCTCAAGTGCTCAGGTGCTGGTTGCTCAGGTTTGATGGCCTTTGAGGGCGATTTTCCAGTTCCGGGAGCAGCGGCAGTTTTGTTTCGTTTCGACCGACGAAGAGGTGTACCCTCACGCGGATTTTCCTTCTTAGCCGAGTTAGTCGACTCCAGAGTCCTTCCGGGAGCGGGTGAATTCATGAGCCTTTGAACGAAATCCTTACTCGCAGGATCAACAGTGATATCACTGTTTGCCATCTCCCTAAGGATGAATGCAGCAGTAAAGTCATCGTTATCGACATTGTGAACAAGTGTGCTTCGCATGGCACTTTCATGCTTACCGTGATCAGGATGTGTATAGCCTTCTTGTCGTTCGAGCATGACTAGAAAGAGGAGTTGCCGTTGACGCTCGAGTTCTTTGGCTTGCTCGAAATCTTCAGCCTCTATTGGTTCGTCAATATCCGGTGATTGCGCCAAGCTATCTATCTTCTGTTCAACCAACGTCCTTTTGCTTGGAACTCTCATCTGTGGTCGCTTCAGAGCATTGTGTTCTCCAGTAACCTGAGATGCTGCTTCTTGCTCTTTCTGTGGAGTCAGGAGGTCCTTGGACTTTGACTGCCTCTTCCGTGTCTGCTTTACTGGGCCTTTCTTGGCGAGCATTACGGAGCCTTGTGCCAAAGATCCAGCCAGAGCAGCTTCGAGCTGTTCCTCTTCGGTTAGAACTTTATCCGTAGAAACCTCGTTCACATTGCGCGTAGTACGGCGGACCCATGCAGAAGTTCCACTTTGGCGGTTTTTGTGTTCTGCTAGACTACCCAGAAGGTGGGTTGTAGACGTATTTGAAAAATTGGCATCCTGTGTTTCGGGCAGAGCGACTGTTTCTTCAGCCGGAGTCCTCTCTGCTACCAATTTCGGAGTTGAATGCGCTGGTTTCTCGCGACGCTCTCTGGCTTCCATCATAGCTCGCCACAGCGAAGTACCTTCTTTTAGATGGGGCATGTTTGGTTAGTAGTTGTGCGTTTTTACTGAAAAATGAGAGTGTAGAGTATAGATTCTAGACTTTTCAAGACGAATAGTAGGGAAATCCATTCACAAGCGTACCTACGCTGTAATCACACAATGCTAGTCGCTAGGGCAACAAGGGGTGTGAAATAGCTTAAGAAGATACGTTAGCTGCCCAGTATATGCTCAATGACATTGACGCTTACTAGAAATTGGAGGCATTGTCGGAGTGAGGATACAAGAGATTCTGCGTGTGCATCTCAACATGATGTCAGAACTTCATATATTTCACTACATAAGGCCTGTTTACCTAGATAATTCCTCAGCAAGTAGAGGTCCTGCATGACTACCTAAGCTGCTTGCAACCCTCAATCGTGATCATTTCCGCCACGATCACCGACTCTCAACTAAGTCCTCCAGGCTCAGCCCAGTCTTGATCTTTCCAATATCTGTGCTCCCCTTGCATTGTTCGTTCTTTCCGAATGGCCCTCTCAGGGAACGAGTCAGGCCAGCCGTCCTTGCGCCAATGCTGCAACCTCAAAGATGTGTGATAGCTGTATGCATCGTCGTGCCATTCGATACGTGGCTCTGCATACTGGGGGTCTATAGGAGCGAGTTGGCTCTTATTCTGGAATACAGACGCAGAAGGTTGCGCTTTGGTAATCCCCAAGATCACTCTGATCTTGTAGTCGGCCTCCGTAATTATCTCGAGGCGGTTGTCTTGGCGAATCTTTTCGATGGCTTCGTCGAATACTGCAAGGGCATTGCGGCGGTCTCTTGGTGAGCAGATATCGCTGTCGTTTCTCGCGGAGACCGCTGGCTATGGTAGTAACGAGGTCGTCTCCTAGAGGACCTTGGTACTGGAAGTCGCTCATAGAGAGGCCGGTTCGCCTGGTCGGCGGAGGATTGGGTGGAGTACGGCGAGCACCTGAATCATGTGGGATGCTGGTTGCCTTTGGCATTAGAGATGTGGTATAGCAAAGCAATCTTAGAAGTGGAAGAGGGAGAGGAGGGTGATAGTAGGTGCAGGTTTTGAGACACAGCTAGGTAACAAGACTTTATGCGATCTAGAATCTGAGTGGTATTACAGTTTTACCGCGTGCGCTCTGATGAACGTGACTGCAAAGCAAACGCGCGCAGTAGTAAGACATGATCATGAGAGAAGTAAATTTTGTCATGTTCAATCGTCGCCGCAGAACAGGATAAGTGCAAACGCCGACAATCGCTGCTCAATATCAACTTCTCAGGTCTCTCATGACGTCAGGACTCATTCTTAGAGCGGAAGTCAGACTCGGTGTCTCTTGTCCATACTCCGCCTCTTTTGCAGGTACTCAATCCCACTTGAAGAACTTCTCATCATCGTTGACCTTGCGCATGAACTTCCAATGAAGATCCTAGACTCACTCATTTGAACCGAAAGAGCACACTTACTGCCTCGTGCTCAGCATCAGTAGCCGCTGTGGCACGAGTCATGGTGATGATGGAGAGGTCCTGGCGGCGTTGAGGTTGAAAAGGATACAGATTGCTGAGATTGCGAGAAAATCAGTGGTATATGAGAAGTCAATCGAAGGGTTTTGAGAATTCCTCTCCTGGTGAAAAGTGATCATACAAATTAGGCCTAGATGCGTATTCTCTTTCACCACTATGTACTCCCAAAGGAATCGTGATACCCATACACTGTGTATATTCATCGCATCCTCGATCTACCTCGGCGGCTCAAGTTTGACCCGATATTAATTTCTTCACGACGTACACCTGTCTTCAGCAGGCTTTACCTGGCACTTCCATTGCCATATATCTCATATGAATCACCTCGTCTAGTTACATGTGCCTGGGTCGCTTTATTCGGGATGGGGGCGTTGTAATCTTTTGAACATCCTCCTCCTCATCGCTGTCGGCGCCTTCCCCTTGGGAAGCGCTGCTATTCTATACAATGTTAGCGCCGCGCAAATGTCATTTGGAGAGATGCAACGTACATTTCTTGGAGTGGTGAAGGATACGAGATCACTGACCACTGACGGTGATGGTGGAGGCGGAGAGGGTGCAACAGACACGGCGGTAGAGGTGCCGATCAGGGGTTGATTACTCTGCGAAGAAAAGGCGCTGAGGGGAGTTGGCCGCCCAACACCCTGTGAAATGAGTCAGCTGGGCACTCTCATACTCATTCGACAAAGACTAACTTCTTGTTCACCCTGAAGTATTGCCTCGGCGCTCAGGTACGTAGGTAGAGTCGTGAGAAAGGCGCCCTCGATCTCTTTCGCAAGACTCTGTGGGTCACCTCGTTGCGCCTGGCTTCTGTTGATGATGTTTTGAAGGGCTATGGTGATAGCATTGAGAGCTCCACGGGCTGACTGCTCAACGAGGGCATAATCTCTGTTCTTGTCATGCGCTACCTACTGCGTTAGATTGCTTCTTGCAAAGATTGTTCAATTAATTACCGAAGCCGTAAATAGAAATGAGCTTAGCCTCGTCAACATTTGAAGTGTCGTCGACTCCAGGCTCGCCGTTGTCTGCAGCTTCGGGATGCTCGCCGGGATTGCCGTCGTCTTCGGGCTCGACGTCCTCTTCAGGCTCACCGTTTTCTGATTCTTTGTCGCCTTCTTCTTCGTCTTGTGAGCTTTGCTCGCTAACGAACTCCTCGTCAAAACCTTCATCCTCATCGCTTTCATCGGGCGTTGGCGCCTCCGCCTGAGCGTCGTATGCATCATCGGTGGCTTTGGATTCGTTTAGCCAGTCTTGATACTCTTGGTGGGAATCGAAGCCAGATGCCTGCCAATCTGAGCGCTCATCTTGGCAATTCGTCGACTCCGAGTTCTGATTTGACATCTTGGCTAGACTTGGAGGACTGATAGACGGTCCGGGTTGAAGGTATAGTTGTTCTGTTTCGAAAGGTTGATATATTTAGGGGAGCGTGATATTGGCAGCTATACTTTCTTGCGTGGTGCGATATTCCAATCTGCGGTTGGGCAATACGCGCAACTAATCGCTGCGTCACACCATGTTAGGTCGAAGGCCGCTAATAGTCGCGGTAATGAATGTACGTGGACTGGGAGAGTGACTAGAGTATATACAGGCTGACGACCACATGAGGTATGGTATGGTCCTCGTAGTCTGACCTGCCGCTGACTTTAGTATAAGGTAGTGAAATCGACAGGGCGGTCAATGAATGACTCCGTACTCCATTAGTTAGCGAAACATAATATGCTATCACAATCTCACATTAAGTTCCTCATCGAGCGGCGGAGGCGAGCGTACAACCGCGCCCCCTTTGGGTCTTGCAAGCATTGCCGTTGTAATGAGACTTTTTAGTGTAGCTATATGGCCTACAAGAACAAGGCCTGATTGGAGGGCTTATAACTACATTGAAGATTGGCTCGCGGTTTGCTACACTGAAGTGTAGACATTGAGTAAACATTGACACATTCACAGCAAGCGGATAATGTGTGCCTGCCGCGGAAAACAGCAACCTGTCGAGCGGTCGCGCCATCAAGTGTCTTTCTGAATACGTTAGGATCTGAATTTCCGAGTAGACAGTGTTGGCGGAGGCCGACGTATACATCCGCTTGATGGCTCGTCTCCTCGAGGTAGGTGACTACGAGACCAGCATCAGTTCCTTTCATATAATCACAGCCTATTGCATCGCATCTCGAAGTTAAAATTGCTTGGCTCTTGATTTTCACGAAGTCTCAATAAGATTCCTCCATCATTTACTGTATATAGACCACTGAACATGTCCAGGTGAGGGGAATCTGCTCGGTTCGGCGTTTTCGGATATATGGGCCAGTTGCTGTGGGCGTACCATATACGCGCCATCAGCAAGGATTCATCGTAATTTGGGGTTGCTGAAGCCATAGGGAGTACTGGATTTGATGAGGTGTGAGGAGGAAGATGCAGAGGTAGACGCATGGAGATGTAGCGCTGATCTGCTGATCGTCGGAGATTCCCGGCTGTTCCTCCGATGCATCGCCAAGAGGGCAGGAACGCCTCTTGCGGCGTCTCTCGCCGTTGTACTATGTAGTTCGCGTCTTGGAATGCAAATGTCTTATCGAAGCTGTAAATACTGGTCTCAATGTCATGGTGTTCTCACAACCCCGCGACGCGTGTCGCTCAGCAATACGAAGGCTGCGCCACACGAGGCATGTTCCACGCGTCTCGGTCGGGCCTAGGCTCCCCTGAATGCGGGCGGACGTTCGCAACGCGCTTTTTCTCAGACATCGGGCCATTGCGATGGGGTGAAACACGTTGTGGACATCTACGATCTTGATCTCTGTACTCTCCTTTAGCTACCAATCCCACAGATGCCACACAGCAAACGCTAGCGACCATGTCGTCTTACCGGAAGCACATGCCGCGCCCGGCCCGCCTCGTCTTCAGCGTCATCCTCATATATGCCTTCTTCTGGGTCAAGGGCTGGCCGCGCACGTACGACGACGAAGAGCTCCCGCCGAGCAAGCGGCCGCAGCAAGAGTCGAACCTCGGCCCGCACCAAGTCGACCATGACCAACTCGTCGTCGCCGTCACCACGACCGCAATCGACGTCTACAACAAAGTCACACCTCTCATCCTCAACACCAACGAACAAGATCACGGCACGCTCCTGCTTTTTTCGGACCTACAAACGGAGATTGGAAGATGGCCAGTCTTTGACGTCATCTGGCGTTACAAATCCGACTTCATACAGAAGACGAAGCAGCTGGAGAGATACCGCGCTCAAATCGACTATGCGCGGAGGAGCATACCCCTGACCAAGCTGAAGAAGGAGGACCCGGAAGAAGAAAAGAGGGACATGGAGATCCTGCACAAGTACAAGATACTGGAGACAATGGCATCTGCGTGGGAGTACAGGCCAGACCGCAGCTGGTATGTCTTCGCCGGTGACGAGACTTACGTCAACAGGCCAAACCTGCTCGATTGGCTGAGTCAACACGACCCAGACGCGAAGCACTTCTTTGGCAACCCTCCCGCGCCTGCGACGGCGCGCGTCCCCGATCCCTTCGCCGCCGGAGGCACGTCGTTCATTCTCTCGCGGGGTGTCATGCTGGAGCTGTTCAAGAAGCGCAAAGACTTTATCCAGAACTGGCGGGAGCAGATTGCGGACCACACGACAGCTTTCGACCTCGTCGCCAGCGCGCTGCAGGCCGACCTCAAGATCAGCTTTACTACAGTCTGGCCCAGTATCTCTGGCTTCGACCCAAGCACTGTACCTTTCTCGCCTGCTATATGGTGTGAGCCTATCTTGATGATGCACCACATCACACCAGATATTGGCAGTGATCTGCTCAGATTGGAGAAGGACCGACCCTCGGACCAGCCCACCCTGCGCTTTGCAGATCTATGGTATCGCTTCATGACCCCAGAAGACTTGAACTACACACGCAATGACTGGGACAACTTATCCTCCGAATCCTCGAACAACCGATGGAACATCCTTTTTCAAGGTGGCGAGCATCAGGATGCGGATCGCGCAGGGAACGGAGAAGCGTCGCCAGAGGCATGTCAAGAGTCCTGCGACAACAGCAGATACTGCGTCCAGTGGTCCTACTCTTCGATCACTCAGAAGAATTGGAACGAGAATCCGCCGACTAAGTGTCACCTTAGCAGCAGTATACGCTTTGGGACACACAAGGAGCCACAAAAGTTAAACGTCGATGGAGAAAGGGCAACACTGACCTGGAAAAGTGGGTGGAAGAAGGACAAGTTCAGTAAATGGACCAAGCAGCAAAGGTGCAAGGAGCAACAGCAATAGCTCCATAGTCTCATCATTTTCAGCGTTTTAGCGATATTCTTATTTCACAAATCTCAGCCCGACTTTGTTCCCATCTCCAGTACTTCTTGTAGTTCGGCCAAGCCCCTCATCTCCGCCCCCGTCGTAACGTCCGTCTCGTCTCCAGAATCCCCGTTGTCCTCGACGTCGCCATTGTGCGAGCTCAAGGCCCTCCCAGTATTTCTCTCCACTTCCCCATCCAGTCCAGAAACCGCAGCATCATCAACCAATGCTCCAAGGCCGAGACTGACTTTCGTACAAGCCATCTTCAAGTCCCGGAACCAACCCTTCTTCGCATTCACCACCTCGGCGTATCCGACGGCAAAGAAGTACAACCCGCACAATGCCCCCAGGTTATCCATGCTTGGGCGCTCGCAATTTTCGTCCAGAAATGCCCAAAGACTGGCAAGGGAAAGGCGTTCATCATCGCGTCGCGAAAGGCTAATGTTGCGGCGGAGAAACTGGATATCTCCTTGGCTTGTCATATATGCCGAGGCTCTGTACGTGATGTTGTCGAGGACAACGTGGCCCAGGAAGAGGGACTGTGAGGAGAAGCCGACTCTGTCGTTCTCAGGCCGCTCCCAGAGCACGTTGTCGACGTCGAAGAGCGCGTTGTAGACGTCAGGGAAGTGTTCCTCCACGGTCGTGACGATCTCGTTGTAGGTGTAGGCGCCGGGGGGTTGTGACTCTATGTTTTGAGCCATTGTGGAGGACCTGCAGTTGGTAAAGGGATGTCAGAGTCTGAGGTCAAAGGCCAAAAAGATAGAGCTAGCAAAGTTCAATTCGAGGTCACTGTGCGTCGCGTCTGCAGTGTGATCTCATTGCCCCATTCGGCCTTGAAAGTGAAGGTGAAAGTGCACCTCGTGGAATCAAAAAGAGCAAAAAGTGAAGCCTAGTGGAAGTATCTCCATAAGACCGAGCTTTAGGGGTATCAAACTGCGAGCTGATAGAGAGCTTCTTGAATCAGTGGTAGTATCGCCATAGACGGCTCACTCTCAGCTATATGTGCTGTTCGATGACAGTTTCTTGATTTATGTAACATATAGCACGGTTTAATAGCTAGAAGCTGGTAGAAATGGCAATTATATCCTTTGAGTTTCATATGTTGTCAGTTTGAACGCGTGAAGACATAACCACTAGATGAGACGTCATTCGAGAATGCCATAGAAGGTGTCGCACGCGAGTACTCCAATGCACGTGCACGTGTTCACGCTAGCGTCCATGGGCCGCCTGATTGATCCTTCCCGGAACAAGCAACGCTTCTGCGACCTGCATCTCCTTAGCCTTATCATCAATACCCCGTGCATTGCGATATATTATGCTGTAGTCCAGAGTACTTTGCACCAGACTTCTCTGCATGCTTTGTCATACATTTTGAGTGTAGGGGGTCGAGCGTCTGGCGACGCGTAGTAGCTCGGACGCGCCAACATTACCGCGCGACTTGCTGGCAACAAGGCCAGTGATCCTTGACAAAGAATTGACCAGACATTGGATGCGCTGGAACGCGACACAAACGGCTCTCCTCCGCGACTTGCCATCTTCCACGAAAACCGGAAAATGGCCCTTCAGACAATTCGAAAGCTAATGGCCAAGTCCGGCGCCGACTTTTGCATGGATGCACTGCCACCAGCGGATTCCCTGACCTGGATCGAACCTGCACTGGACGAGGAGGAGTTCCCAAGTCTGTTGATCGGCAGCGTAGGCAATCGCAACGTGCTTACTTATCTGGTGCCATCCAGCGGTGGATGGGAGGTTCGCTACTGCCTCAGATCCATTGGCGATGACCGCGCGACCTCGACGCTGCCACTAATCACTGGAGATGAGGCCATTACGAAACCTCTCATCGTTCCGTTTAAATACTTCACAGATGGAACGAAGACCAAGAAGCGGATGCTTAGCATGATTATACGTTACTACTTCCTTTTGCAAGGTCATATAAGCAAAATCGATGCGTGGAACGATGACTTTAGTCGGCGGTTAGCGTCTGTGCTGAGGAAGGCCTACGAGAAGACCGATGGGGGCCATGAGAGCTATAAGCGTCCCCGAGAAACAGGCGAGACTGTGGAGGAAAGCTCGGAGCCGGAAGATATGGACAGCCCGAATGGCTTACTGCCTTCCAACCAAAATGGCGTGGTAAACGCACCAGAGAGTAACGTCACGGAGGATACCCCACGTGGTTTCAGCTGGGAGGGGAACTCAGACTTGCAACAACTATGGGCGTACCTCGCTGAGCGCGACGCGTTGCGACTCTTGGAGAATATTCCCGATGCTGATGACATGGAATTCTTGGATCAGACATACATCCTAGAGGCCCAACCGAAGAAACTATTTGTCGGAAGCCATGCAAGGTCAGGGGATAGAATTTATGCCTACATGGTACGAGTAACGCAGCGCGGTTTCCATGAGATCCGATTTTACGTGGAAAGCGCTCGTGGTTCCAAGACGTTAATGTCAGCCGAAGCTACAGGGAAGCAGCGCATCTTGCATCCTTTCAGCAAAGCCTACCCCAGAAGTACCGGTCCCAGCGAACAAGCTGATAGAGCCAGATTGACGCTCATGATCAAGTGGTATTTCATCGCAGCTGGAATCGCAACGGACTGCGTCTTACACGAAACCAAGGCCTACCCCGAGCGTCTCCGCTGCGCACTAGAGTACATATCTGATCAAATGGGAGCTAACGCCGTCAAATCATTGGTGACCGTACCAATGGATGACAGTATAGCAGGTGAGAGTAGCGAAAGCTCCTACACCCCAGAGGAGAAAGACATCCAAACGACGCTATCCAATGAACCCACGCCTAAAGCGCCTCGCTTCCCTCAGAGCGCTGCACGTAAATCAGCTCCTTCGATAGTAGGTCGTACAATTCCTCATGAAACACCAACACAAAAGCCGCTGCCGAGGACCTCGTTCTCCAAGTCTGCCAGCCCCGAAGCAGCTCCAACACCCACGGCCCCGCTGCGCAACGCTAAGCGCTCAGCTGAAGACGAAGAGTTTGAAGCCCTCGCCAGGCTGATCATGCAACAAAATGCACTCACTAAGAACCTCAACGACGTTGATCATGAGCTCGAAGTTATGGATGCGCGTTTCGAGGCTTTCCAGGAGAAATGGAAACGAGAGCGCGCAGAGTTGGAGAAGAAAAGAGACGACATCCAAGAACAGAGGGCTGCGGTGAGGAACATGTTCAAAAAACGGAGGACGCTCGATGTGGAGAGTGACTGATGGAAGCGTGTGATAGGCGGTCACGTCTGCGAACCATGGTTGAGCTCTCAGGATAACGGGAACCCTGGTCAGTCTTGTGAAGTACGGTATATAGGCGCTTGAATGCAGCCCCATACATTCTCAATACGAATTATCTTCCATCGTTGCTGGGTATCCTTCTTAGCCACCCGTTCGCTTATTGCATGTTCAGCTCGAGTATCAGTCGCCGTGAACCTGAATCACCTCCTCAACCCAAACACACTGCCGCATCGGCTGCTGTAGCCTACATGTGTTTCAAAGAGCGCCTCATCACATTCTCAAAGTAGGACTGCTGCGCCCCAGCGGACCACGAGCCCTTCGGTACGTCAAGTAGCGTCGCAAGTCACCCAGAACTGCCGGTACCTCGACTCAGCGGCCAGGCCAGTGGCATGGCCCACTGAAAACCGACATGAAATGACTGGAGAGTCTCATGACCAACCTTCGCAGAAGCCGACAGCACATTATGGTTCTTGTAGGGTTTCTGCACTTGCAAAACTACCACATACTCTGAACTTGTCAACGGCAGACGCACCTCGACTCGAGCATAAACCCACAAGAGATGTGAACACACTGTGTGTTGCCGGGTCTATTGTTGCTTCCACTCCCGCCATCAAGAAAACAAAGGAAGCGGTCAAGCAAGCGCCGAGACGTTGCAAGAAAGATGAAAACCCCGCTCCTGTCACCGCAAGACCATCGCACGAATTGACAACTCTTCGCACATCTAAACCTCAATCGCCACCCAAAGATGCAAACGCGCCGGGACCGATCTAGCTGCGCCTCTGAAGCGGGTTAGTCATTCTGTAGCTCTGGATCTCGGCCTAGGCGCTCGACCACGTAAAATCACTCGAGACATACTGCGACATCCACTGAAACTTCTTGTTCTGGACGCAAACGAAGCGAAAAGCAAGAAGCGCAAACGGGCAGCGCCCGAACGGGACGAGAATGTGGATCCAGCCTCTGCAGGTCACCGCGTCCAGCGTCAAAATCTCGAAAAAACCGAGGTTGGAGCGTTTGGAGGATGGGTAGCATTCAGGAGGGTAGAGGCGTAGGCGCAAGGCAAGGATGGTGAAGCAAACGGTTGTCGCGGTGACCCCGACTTTAGTTGTCTGAAAGTATAGCCAATACTTCTCTAGCAGGGCGTCAATGTCTCGTTTCTGAAGGAACATTGGCAATTCGAGCTCACTTCGACTCGCAGTCACCTGAGATGCGCTAGGCTCATCCACTCAATTCTATAAATCTATCAAACCCTTCTCTGAATGATACTTTCTTCCCCTACCCACTGCATCCGATTTCTAATATTGGCCAACGTCATGCCACATCTACGTAAAAGAGCTCAAAAGGCCCGCGTGGTGGATATCAGCGACTCATCAAGCCAGGCATCCGAAGACAACAGCCCCCCAGCCAAGATCGACCCCAAAGCCAACAGAGTCCGTCTACATTACGCTGCTGAGAACCCAGACAGACCTAACGCGGGGATAAATGGGAGGTATGGCATGTTTTCGCAGGTCGATCCTCTTCTTCCACCGCCTGCGACTCCGAGCAAGACGGCAGCGAAGCGCAAGAGAGCGACGATGGACAAGACGGGTGATAAAAAGAAGTCAGGGTTGAAAGATACGTCAAGAGAGCGAGATCAGAGTCCATTGTTTGAGCCGGAGCATGCTCGACAGGAAGATGCAGACATGTCTATGCTCAGTCCGCCTTCGACGCCATCGGCCAACGTGCGCTTGCCAACCCGCAAGAAGGGAAAGCTTACCGATTTTTCCACCTTTGCTCCCGGCCGCCGCGGACAGAGGCCTATCGTCATCGAAAGCGGATCTTCAAGTTCAGACTCCGATTCGGACGCAAATTCCAACATCGTGGTAGCCACACAAGATAACCTCACGATCAAGGCCACCAAAGAGCTCATCGCCACTTCCGTCCTGCCTGGCGATGTCTCACTCGTCGATGATTACATCGGCCTACTCAAGGATATAGCGGCTTACTCTTCCGAGACCGCTAAGCATGACCGTATTATTGAAACACTCTCCGAAGAAGAAGCCACCGTATCCCTCGCCCTCGAAAGGCTTGCCGACAAAGAGGAACAGGAGTATGCCGGCATTGCACAAGCATGCGCTCGGGGAATACGGAACGACATGACAGGCCTGATTATAGCCGCTGATATGTCTGCTATCCATGCTGCCGTTGAGAAGCGCAACAAAGAAGCGGAGGTGGCTCGTCAAGCTGTACCGGAGGTGATGGCGGAGAGGAAGGAAGAGCTAGAGGCGCAAGCGTCGGAACTACGTCACAAGCGAGAGGCTTTGGAAGGGGAGAGGACAGACTCAGAATTTGAGAAGTTGCATGAGAAGAAGTCGGAGTTGGAGAATCGGGGTGGCATGGCCATGGCACTTGAATTGGGCAAGAGGTTGGCGAAATAGGAAGGCGCAAGGGGATCTCGGTGAGCTCGCATGGTGCGTCGTGAGTAGGCCTGCGCTTCCAAGGGATGCTATCTCAGCTGCACACATGGCCCTGACGAAGTGTTAATTGACTTCTCGGCTCATTTCAAGCAGAGATGGTTCGTATGAGCCGTCAGATGATCCCAAGACCACATGTACCTATCATTTAGCTACATCTAGTCACATGCATTGATTCACTCAGTCTGTTGCTTCAAGTAGACTCTGAACAATGAGATTTATGGGTATACCAGTAGACTAGCGAACCGCCCCTTGAACCACGGAAACCCGAATTGAAACGCCTTATAACCCCAGCTTACAAATAAAACTACAGACAAAGAAAAGAAGCGACACTCATCTAGAGTACGCCTAATACAAATCAAATGACCACTAACCCTCGACCTCAGTCTCCGCCTCAGCCATGACCTGCTCGCCCTCATCCAGCATATCCAACACCCTCTTCAAACCGCCGACCATGGCATTGGCCTGACCGACCAGCAACAGCTTCTCGGCATTTGCAGGCAAGCCGAGGTAAGTGGGCGGCTCGCGCTCTGGAAGGTCATTGACCCAGCCCATGAAGTCCTTCCAGCTAGTCGAGGTAGGTAGCTCGAGACCCTCGCTATGCTCAGTTTCCTTGACGATTTTGAAGTTGTCCTCAAAGGCGGCGGGCGTCATAGTGGCATCGACGAGAGAAGCGAGAATGCGCCAGTCTTCTGCGTCGTCGATCTTGCCACCATACATCTCTGTGATGAGGTAACGGAGCATCTCCCATGGGATCTTGGTAGGAGCGATATTAGATCGGCCTTGTGCGACGGTGTCGACCCATGTGTCAATGATGAAACTGCAGCATTCGTAGTCACTGTCGTTGAACTCCCAGAAGCCCTTCCATCCCAAGGTTGGTGCATAGCGAAGACGCTCTTGAATAACTGCGTGAAGGAAGGACAAGAGGAGGTAGACACGTGCCTTCTCCACTGGGGGCTTGATAGCCTTCTCGGCTAACGAAGAGAGCGAGTCTTTCATGTTAGCGCGGACTCCAGCAGGCTGCTCGTAGGATAGGACGCGAGAAGCGCGAAGCAGGTTGACCGGAATCTTTGGACTGGACTCCATGGACAGGAAGAGACGGAAGTCGGGGTTGGGCTTGAGAGCTTCAAGACGCTTCTCAAGCGATTGCAACCATTGAGGAGCGAGATGGACGTTCTTGACAAGAACCCAGTTACCTGTGGTGGCGGCGTTGGCGATGGCTTTGTCGGCTGATGCAGCACCTTCGTTGGAACCCATGGCAATGTTTGAGCAGCTGACTTGCTCCCTCTCTACAAGGTTGTCGACCTTGTAACTTGCGTCGAAACCGGGACTGGAGCTGAGTGCTACAGGTGTGACTGCGTTGACTTGCTTGACAATGTCACCCAGATCACCACTGGCGTCAAGGATGCCCTTACCGAACACTTCAGTAACAAAGCGCTCGACGGCAGGTACAAAGCGATCGACACGGAACAGCTTGACCAAGACGAGAGCTCGTAGTAGCTTGTCGAATTTGGTGAGATCTTCTGGCCAAGCCTGCGGCACATGCCGCTCTCCCATCTCTTCATTGAGGAAAGCATCCCAAGCGCTGTCCTCAATTTTTGGCAGCTCTTCCTTGAACATCGGGATCTTGCTGGCACGGTCCATGGCCTCCTCCTTGCGTTCTGTCTCGGTTGACACATCGATACCCTTCAGGTCGGGGTCAAGGATTTGATCGATGTGTGTCTTGTCCATCTTGTAGGGCGCTGCTTGCACGAGAAGCATAGCAAATGTGACACGGTCCTTCTGTAACAAGGAGAGCGATGTGCGGCGGTATGCGTCTACAAATAGCTCGGTGACGATCTGCTCGATACGGGCAGCATGGCCAACGATGTTGGAGTTGCGAATCTTGCGCAGCACAGTCTCGAAGATCTGAGTAAAGTACTGGAGCGAGAATTGGTAGAAGTGGTTGAGATGGTGCAGTTGCTCCAACACAGCGAAGATAGCTGAGCAAGATCGAGCAACAACTGTGTACTCCTTGGTGATGTTCTCGACTTCCGTCATCACACCAGCAGTCTCAGAGACCTTGTCCGAAATATCCTTGGCCTCCTTCTTGAGCGTCTCAAGCGTTTCAATGACGCGATCGTCGTCCAGAATGTTACCGCGCGACTCGTTGAGAGCCTGCAGCAGTCGCTTCTCGAGCTGTCGAAGATGGACTGCGAACTCACCCTGCATCTTGATGAGGTTTGATCGGCGCTCATCAACATCAGGTCGCTCGGACTTGAGGACTTCATTGAGTGTCTGTGTTTGCAAGCTGCTCTGCGTGACAGTAAAGTTGACGAACGTGGTACGACTGCAGATATCAGGAGCAAAATTGGCGGAAGGATCGCGCGTCGAGAGGTAGAGGCGGAAAGACGGCGAGAAGTCGATCTCCTGCTTGCCAAGCTGAATGAGCACACGACCTCCAGTCTTCTGGTACTCCTTGTTGAGAACATGGTTGAGGATGGGGTCTAGATGTTCAGCATCCTGGATCAAGATTGGGTTACCGAAACGCAAAGAACTCTCAAGTTGCTTGGTGAATGAATCATCCAGGAAGCTAGTCACCGTGAGACGGCGGTCCTTGCATTCGTTCTGCAAGAACTCTGTTGTTCTGCCAGAAGGATCGATGATGAGCGGATAGCGGTTGAACCTCTGTAGGATGATGGCGTTCTCGGTGCACAGGTCGTCAACCGGCAGGCCGTTGTGTTGCCAATTCAGGCGGTCGTCAGCAGTTGAGAGGTACTCCGTGAATGGGTTTGTTGGCTTGAAGCTGATTCCGGAGTGTTTGAGGTGATCGTACCAATCCTCTGTAAGCGCTTTCCTGTACTGTTGGTCATAGTAACCAGCATAAGCGATGAACGCAGCCGCAACCAAAACGTCACCAACGATGGTGTCGATCTGAGAATCGAAAGACTTGCTGCTCTCCTCCCATCGAACGCGTTCAGAGGACAAACTGTCGAGAAGGCGGACACTGCGGTCAACCTTGAACTGAACGGTTGCCATCTCCGTCTTGATAGCCTGAGTTTCGCTGATCAAAGCCGCGTACTCGGTCTTGTATCGGCCAATACTCTCCTCGAGGTTCTGAATAAGAACCTGGGTTTCCTTCGCACCCTCCTCCGTCTTCTGAAGCTCAACTTGCAGATTGTCGACTTCAGCACGTAGGGGCCCAACACGGTCAAGGATGTCGGAGTAGGTGACTTGAGCAGACACCCATTGTACGAGGGGACCGCAAGCCTTAGAAGCGCGGTTGACCTTCTCGAAAGTAAAATCTTCTTGGGAAAGATATTCCTTCTGCATCTTTCTGCGGTGACCTGCAGTCATCTGCCTCTCGTTGTCGAACTGTACGATACTGGCGATGAAGTCGTCACGTCTGACAATGGAAACGATGGTCTTCCAGCTGTCAGGCTTATGTCCAAGAATTGTGCAGACAGCTTCAAGAGCGAGCTTGACACCAGCGGGAGGATTCTGCATAGATCGGACTTCGGTAAGGTGTTGTCGCTTGATGTTCTGCACACTCTTCTGTGCCTCCAGAACGGCCGGCTCGGCAGCCGCCAAGTCGTGCTCTACCACCTCTTGCCGCTTCTGAATCTCCTCCTTATCCTTCGCAAGCTGAGCCTGCATCTTGATTGATCCAGCCTTCTTCTGTTCCGCCTCGTTCTGATCCGCAATCATACGTTGTAGCTTTTCATTCGCTTCGGCATCCTTCTTAGTGAGCTGCGTCTGCTTCTGTGCAAGGCTTGCTCGCAGTTCCTTGACCTTGTCGAATGTCTCGCGGAGCTTCTCAAGACCGACGTTGAGATGGCGCTGCTGCTCCTCGAGGTCTTCGCGCTTTTCGTTGTAGAGCTTGACATACTGCGCAACGAAGTCCAAGAAGTGACGTGGAGTGAGGTACATCTTCCGGTTCTGTGTCTTCTGCAACTTCGCGTTCTTGCTGCGTAGTGAGTGGTGTACAGCGACCATTGCATTGACCACACTCTCGCGATGGGATGGCGGCAGGGTGAGTCCACGATAAGCAACGGGGATGCTATCCGGTGCGACGTAATTGGCACGGTCGAGATCGACCGATTGTGTGAGTTCCGAGCTGACTTGGTAAAGAGCCTGGTCTGACCAGTCTCCGAACCAGTTGAGCACGCAACGGTTGAAAAGAGCGGGACTGGTGGCTGCCTTCGACGAAAGACCCTCCTCAGGCGGGTTCATGGTGAACACCACGTGGAGGTTCTTGACGATTTGCTCTGTGAACCACTTGTACAGCTCTTCTTGTGAGTCGAGAATGATGCCTTGTCGCTGCGCACCCTCCTTGATGGCAGTAAGCAAGGAAGCGTACTCATCACCTTCGAACAGACCAGGAACCTCCGCATTGGCCAGGAGGGTGTTCATGCGCTCGAGGAAACCGGAGTCAAGAACGTTAGCTTCGTCCATGATGAAGCAGATCTTTTCGCCCTTGCAACCGCATCGTCGAAGCACGGTACGCAAGTCTTCATCGAAGTCTTCGCCTGAGTACTTTCCGTGCACTTTGATTTGGTAGACGCTCAAACCATTCATCCACGCCACGAAGCGAGACAGAGTTGTCTTTCCAGATCCGCTAACTCCGATAAGAATGAGATGACCCTGTGGTTGACGGAAGACACGATCGATGCGAAGTACATGCTCGAGCACGTCATTGAATAGGATGAGTGGCACATCCACTTCTTCTTCGCAGAAGGTACGGAGACGAGCCTTGACGAACTCACGAAGCTGCTCACGCTCAACCGGCACGTAATTCTTGGATAGCCAGTTGGAGAAGAGGATGGGGCCACCAAGAGCTTTCTCCTCGTCAATGGTAGGGAAGTGTTCAGCCGCAATACGGTGGACGCACTCTTCGGTCCATTGCCTCTCTTCCTCCGCGATAAGACGATCCTGGAACAGGCGTAGAGCCTCGTGTGCCCAGATGCGAACGAGGCCTTCGATCGGCAA